CATCCGTTAGAAGACGAGAGGAAGGCAGCACCATCAATAAGCGCCGGAGGGCGCCGTGTGCCTGGAATTGATGCGTATGGAGTGTGGCGCGCATCGAAGCACCATCAAATCTAGAATCACGCCTTGGTCGACGATGTCCGCTTCACGAGCCGTTTCTTCTCGGCCTTTGGCATCTTGTGCTTACGCTTCTCCTTCGCCTCTGCCTTGACAGCCTTTTTGCGCTCCTAGAAACGCCCGCGGAGTGAATCAAATGATGAAAATAACTGGACGGCGAGTAATCACCTTCTTGGTTTCTTTGTCTTCATGCCGATGACCCCTTGGTTTCTTCTCCACGAAGCCCTCCTTCGAGTTCCCTTTCTCCTCGCTCTCCTCGTCATCTTCGCTAACGTCCTCGTCCTCCTCTTCGCTACCCTCCGACACATCCGCCTTCTTGTCACCAGCCTCCTGTAGTCCCTCAAAATGTACCTTTGGTGTCGACACAGGAACCTCGCCGGCTGCGTTCTTCGTTCGATCCATTGATAGACCCGTACCATTGTCAGGAGCAGGTACCAGGCCTATTGTGTCCGCGTAGATGAGGTTGTCCCCTCTCTTGAATTTCTCGACGTCCCGTTCGGGATCATATATCTCGTTCAGCGTCCGCGGGATGAAGGAATGAAGGAAAACCGAGTCCTCGTGCGCCGTATCTTCCCTTAGGGAGGATTCTAGCTCGCCTGTATCGTCCACCTTGTCCACGTCTTCCTGGTTTTGCTTTTGACTTATCTCCTCCGCCGCAGTCGCTAGCCATGTCCTCAAATTATCTTCATCCGTCGTCTCCTCTTCGTCTGTCAGCTTTTCCCGCGTGACGAAATCGAAGCAGCGTCTCAGACCCAGGCACTTCACACCGAGCCGCCCAAAGAAATCCTCGACATTCCTAATATCATTCCGCAGGAAGTCAAAGGCGGAGGGGTGATCATGCTCCACGCTCTGCGAGACGTCAATTATCCAGGGGTGCCCTTCGTGATAAAGGATGTTGTATTCTGAAAGATCGGCGTGGACCAGCTTGCAGACGTGGAACATGCGTCGCACCATTAGAACAAGTTCTTCATATAGACGAGCGACATCCTCGGGATGAAGGGATGCATCTTTTAGGCGTGGAGATGCCCTTATAATCGAAATTGGTTCAATTTCTGGTGCAATATGAGGGGTAGTCGAAGCGCTCACCAGCCCTCCTTGTCTCCGACGAAGGTCATGACGAGGACGTTCTCGCGCACTTCAAGAGGATCCGGAGCGTGGATGTCTGCTGCTACGAGGCGCTTGAGATTGCGCATCTCTTTCTCTGCCCATAGTCGGACCATTTTGCGTGGGTTGCGGCTGTAACCTCGACGGAAGCGGTACTCGCCAGTGACATACTTATCTCGATCTTTAAACACGAGAATAGACGTCTTGTAGATTTTCAGAGCCAAATGACGACCATCTGGAGTGCTAGCATGATAAACATTGGCCTTGTAAGACATCAACGACCAGGGAAAAGAGGATCAGAAGGAGAAATGGGCACCTCTTTCCCTGTACTGACGCATCCATTGACTTCGTGAATCAAACCTCTGCCAATCATTTTGAACAAAATCAGCCTTGTGCGAGGATCGAGCACTTGTTCGTTCGTGGCGCGATCGCTTTTATCCTTCAAATTTGCGTGCGCACTGGGCCCCTTCCTGTTCACGCCGACGCCCATAACATAGGGTACATCGATCTTGGCCAAACGTGAGTTGTATTTTGAGAGAGCGACAAGTTGATTAGAGGTGCGATCCTTCCTTGTAATGCCTGTTGGCTTCGATGACGACGGAACAATTTTGGGATGATTAACGACAGGAAGTGCCGCGACAGTAGTATCTTGCTTTAGCGAAGCGGCGGTTCCTTGTGCATTTCCCGTACGGACTGCTGCATGTTGTCGTAGCCTGTTGTACTGTTTTGTAAAATCTGCAGAAAGGAAAAAGATCGAAATCTTGCACTGGGTGTAAAAAAATTGCGAACTCACCTCTTTCTGCGTTCTCCCAATCCTCATCTTCTACTCTGCTATCGTCGTATTCGTCATTGTTCTCATCCTCGTCCTCATCTTCGTCCTCCGACCACTCCAAAATGTTGGGGTCGTCTTCGGGGTCGTAGGTATCAATATACGCGCGACCTTCGCGTGAGACCTCGCGTGTGTTAGTTTCATCGGCGTCGTCGAACTGGCTAGGTACGATGGGTGATGCGATCGATGCCATGGTCGTTGTGCTCAACATCGAGAATATTTCTCGGCAAACAAAAATTGCAGTCACGTGCACTACGTCATTGAGCACTGCGCTTCGCAACGTTGAACACTGCTAGACACTGCTTCCACTGCATCTTCCACTCTTATTACTTATGGACACTCTACGGCGCAGGATACCCTTCAGGCTCGGCGACGACGGAGACGACTTTGACTCACAGGGGAATCTGGACGAGCAACGTAAGTATCTTTCTCACATGAGCGGCCATTCATTGACATTTCGGAACAGAACAAGACGCACTACTTGAAGACCTCCGGAAGGAGAACAACAGTGTCAATCGCACATATTACACATCTCTTAAAATTCTACTCGGTCTGTCTGTGATTCTGTGCGTGGCAAATTTATAGCGTATGCATTTCCTACAAGTTGCTTATTGAATTCACCAGCCAGTTCACATCTTTCAAGCATAATCCTCTAGTCACTGTTTTCCCCATAACTTCCAAAGAGACCGCACTGCCTCTCCCGATATTTTTTATCATCTTGTCGCTCTTCATCCATCTCAACCTGACCCTCTGCTTGTGTGCTGAGGACGCACGCGTTTTCCTGCAATTGGCCGACCCCATCAGTCCGCTTTCCTATCAGATCCTCTACCTACTCTCCGCCGTTGCTCCCACACTGTCGATATACCTAGGAAAGCCCTGGCAAACCAGTGTTTGGTGGTGTACAACTCTCGCGATGGTCTTCGTTGTCCATGCCGTGATGGACACCATCGAACAAAGCAACGAAAATATTGCCGACCTAGAAACGATGAAGTACAAGGCAGCTGGAGCTTAGCGTGGAGGGAGGAGTGTCTGTTTATTTTCATGGGGTCGGTTGGTGGCAGGGAATGGGATAATCGAAGCGTCGTGTTCCTCTTCGCGACATCCAGACTTTCAGGGCTTTTCTGGTCTGTCGTTGTTGGTGAGCCGAAGCCTGAGCCGTTCTGCCGAGAAACTGGTGTATTTTCGACTCTAGAGTGCTTTCCGGGGCGCCAACCCACACAACACTGAAGATGTAGTTGGAATCGGCCATGAATCTTGCAGCCTACTAAAACCTCTTTCGAAGCCCTTCGGTCATGTCGGGACTTGATGTATTGGACGGAACTAGATATACACCCCCGTTATATTTATTATCTCCTGTAGACTGTATAATACCTCACAAAATTGAAGCACAGTACTACTTAGTACTAGTGCTTTCGATGCCAAGTGCCACAGGCAGAGTAGCCCCTAACTTTTTTTCACACGGTCAACCGAAAGTGTGATCGCCACAAACAGGTGGAGTTGAAAACTCTCTTGATGTCCGACTCATCCTCCAACGACCGAGACGCGTCAGTATTGGGAAAACGCGGTCGTAACCATCCCCTCTCCAACCCAAATGATATAAACGAAGCCGACGAACCTGCCTCAAAAAAGCCAACAGTGGAGGAAGAAGACTCGGACGACGACGATGTCGGCCCAATGCCCATGCTAGCGGGGGCACCTGCAGCTAAAAAGAAGCGTAAAGGTGTGTCTTGAGGATATATTCTCTAGATCGTGCTGTTCTTGACTAGGATATTTCCATAGTGCTTCCCCATGAACGCCTATATCTCGAACACCTCCCCTGCACTGACCAGTACTTCAAGTCCTTCATGCACCGCGACACGATAAATTTCAACATCATGACGAAGTGCGCAGTGAATCATACACAATTTCATTCTCTCTCTCATCAAGGTTCTTCAGAACCGAATTTCTGATTACGACGTCCATCGATGGTCATGTCAAGCTGTGGAAGAAACAAGAGGAAGGGATCGAATTCGTCAAGCTGTACCGGGCGCATGTAACACCTATTGTCGCAGTTTCTGCGAGCGCAGATGGCCAACTGTTTGCGACAGTGTCGGAGGATATGACGGCGAAGGTATTCGACGTGGTCAACTTCGGTGCGTTTCCTCGTGCCATCCCATTCCTAACCCATTAATCGTGTCTAGACATGATCAACATCATAAAACTCGGGTTCAAGCCGCACTCCTGCTGTTGGGTGCATAAACGCGGTCAAGTGCAAGGTTTGCTCGCTGTGTGAGTAGCTGTCTGTTTTGGGAGTCCGGTTTTTGTTGACCTATCATCAGTGCAGATTCTTCGTCGGGCGTGATTCGGTTATATGACGCTCGGGGAGGAGATAAGCCTTTGGAGACAGTGGAAAGCGTGCATCGGTTCCCTGTACACGTAATGACGGTATGCTACACCTCGACTTCGACAATGACAGACTGATAAACGGACTATTGAATGCAGTACAGCGACAAATACGACACCGTCATCTCTGCCGACGAGGGAGGGTTCATCGAGTACTGGCAACCCTCGGAACCGTTTGGCCTACCCAAAAATGTTCTAAAGCTCTGGAAGTTCAAGAGTGAGACAGACTTATACGAGTTCAAAAAGGTGCGATTCACCATCTGTTTCCCGCTCCGTTCCCTTGAGTTCAACCAATTTCAAACAGTCCCAGTCTACCCCCACGTGCATGACATTATCTCCTGACAATTCCTCATTTGTCACTTTCTCGTTTCCTGACCGCCAAATACGCGTATTTTCGTTCCTAAAGGGCAAGTTGTCGCGCAAGTACGACGAATCACTTGAGGCCATTCAGGAGATGCAGCAAGCCGGCACGGCAGTGTACCGGGTGGAAGACATGGAGTTCGGAAGAAGGCTGGCGGTTGAGAGGGAGCTTGAGCTGCCTGGGCCTGATGGTGTCGTCCCTGGCCGCTGGAGTAATGCAGTCTGGGACGAGAGTGGTGCTTTCGTGATATATCCTTCGTTGTTGGGCGTTAAAGGTGCGTTCCAGCCCTCCTTCGTATCTCTGTTCCTAGTTTACAGTTTACTTTTCTTTTACAGTGGTTAACGTCGTCACAAACCGGGTGGTCAGACTGCTGGGCAAAGACGAGGTCGTGCGGTTCTTGAACTTGACATTGTACCAAGGGTCTCCGACGAAGAAATCCATTACGACTATCACAATGGCCGCATCAGCAAACCCTATTCTAGCGGATAAGGGTCAGCGCGATCCAACTCTTGTATGCACTGGCTATAAGAGATCCAGGTTTTACATGTTCACTCGTTCAGAACCAGGGTGTGTTCTCGCGTGTTTCGTCTGTCCTTTGTGTAACTCAGCCAACCTCCCCAATCATACAGAGATAACAAATCAGACGACCGAGATGTCTTCAACGAGCGACCCACACGCGAAGAGCAGACCGTCGCCTCATCCACAATGAGCCAACGCACCGGGCCCTCTCCCCTCGCCAACTCAGCCACGATACACACGACGCTGGGCGACATTCACATGCGGCTTTTCCCGCAACAAGCGCCCAAGGCCGTTGAGAACTTTGTCGGCCATGCACGCAGCGGGTACTTCGAGGGCATCATTTTCCACCGTGTGATCCCCAAGTTCATGATCCAGACGGGAGATCCTCTGGGTGATGGCACGGGAGGGGAGTCGATTTGGGGCAGGGAGTTCGAGGATGAGTTTTCTGATGATCTGAAGCATGATCGGTGCGCTTTGTTTCATTGCTTTTCTACTCCCAATATTTGTTGATGTGGTGTGTGTGTTGATTTTTGTAGCCCATATACTGTCAGTATGGCGAACGCCGGCGCAGGAACGAATGGCTCTCAGTTCTTCATCACGACCAATGCGACTCCCTGGCTCGACAAGAAACACACTATCTTTGGGCGTGTCCTTTCGGGTCTGGAGGTTGTCCATACCATCGAAAATGTGAAGACGAACAAGGCCGACAAGCCGCTTGAAGACATCAAGATTGTCAACGTCGATGTAGAGTAGATCGTGTGTTGTTGATTTTTGTGTTTTGAAGCTTTGGTCTGGAAATGCGAGGTGTTAATACCGTGAGCGATAACGCTTAGAATGCGACATGAGCGAGCGTTTTTGTCGTATGTTCGACATTGACCTGGACGGTTCGATCGCCCAGGACACTGAGGCGATTTTGGAACATCATTTGGATGCAAATCATGATTTTTGTGGGTGTCAATGCAGGGTAGTCTTCGGTCAAGTGAGCAGGGCAGGAGAACTTCATGATAAACCAGGGATGTTCTCGCCCTTCACCCTGTGGCCAAGTCAAGGTGGATTCATAGAAGTCGAGGGGGACGCCAGAAAGGACATGTTCTTGGGAGGGAACAGGCATGTACGCAACCGCGTAGTCGAGCAAAACTCCTGCAAGGGCGACGGCTACATCCGTCGGGATATCGGCTGGTAAGGTGTAGGACAGCGGTATTCCGGCGTTCGAAGGATGTAGCAGTGCGCGGAGGGAGTCGAGCACATGGTCGAGTCGATCTGGGATTTGCTGAAACTAGGCCAGGAAACGAAAAGGACGTGAATTGCAGGTCCAGAAAGGGTTGTCGTATCATAGATCAAACGTACCACCTCGATAGGAGAGCCAAGGCGGACGAAGATAGGAAATTTGTCCAACTCTTCAATGCGTTGAGCAAGGAGGGTGGAGTTGACGAAAAAGGACTGCTCTGAAGCTGGCTCGTAGACATGGAGCACGGTTGAAAAGAGAGAACTTGTAAATGGGCTCTGTCGATTGAGGGATTCAGACAAGCATAAGTCTTCAGTCTCATGTGAGCGATGGTAATTACTGACAGCACGGAGTGAAGCTATCAAGTTCGAGAACAGAGAGATGGGGTCTTTCGGGTAGAATAAATCAACGAGGTAGCCCGTCCTAAAGGCGGCCAACGGATAAGCGGTCGAGGTCAAGTACAAGAACGCCATGACAGTTTGCAGAGATATTTTCTTGATACTGACCGTAGAGACATTGATACAAGGGATAGATCGCGAGCTAATACATGTTGATTGGGACTCGAAAGGCTTTTTCGTAGTTCGCCAACTTTCTTGATTTCTTCAAAGACAGAGTCGATTCGGACGGTAGAGATGCTTTGTGCACCGGTGACAGACATTCTATAAAGACAAAGCTTTTCGACGCTAGACTCTTTAGTGAGTCTGAACCGTCGGGACAAGACTTGGGATTGAAGTTCATGACAGAATTGGACTTAAGAGAGGCCGTGGGCATGGTTGCCAGGCAACGCAGGACCCCGATCCTCCCCGGCAAAATCGGGTGTATGGGGTCCCTCTGGCTGGAAAAGGCAGGCAACGAGGCGGAAGCGCTGCCGTGGACGAAGGGGACTGGACTGACAAAGGGTGCGTAGACATCATTCGTTCAACATTCATCTCGACCTCCTCGTCGAACCTCTTTTTGTCTGACTCACTCTTTGTTTTCGTCATTTTCTTGTTTGATATATTCCTTTCACGTCTTCCTCTCTCTTTCGACCCTCAAAGCGCGAGCCTTCTAGCGCTCTCGACCCCGGTTTTCTCTCCATTTCCCAGCGCGATCGCTTCGACTACCCGCCCGCACCGTTTATCCCTCCATTTCCTCAATTCATAATCGTATTCAGGGACCAGCGCTAGCAAGGTTGCAACCCTAACTTTCGAACTTTCGCCACAAAGAAGCATCCCATTCAAGTTGACTCCACCGAGACTAGCAAAGCATCGCATCATCATCAATGTCCGCTTCGCCCTCACCCACGCACCAGGCTATCAACGGGGCCGCCGGTGATGCTCAGGATCAGGCTCAAGATCAGGTCAACGGGCATTACGACGATTCGGAGCTCCTACGCTCGTCTGAAGCTGCGGTTCGCGGATTGAAAGTTGAACCTGACCCCAACCACCACGATCACCAACAACGCGAAGAAGTGCAAGTAGAGCAAGAACTTCTGGGAAAGACGAGCACCGGCGCGAACTCGAAGCCCAAGATGGTCCCGCGCTTGTCCTCCTCGACGGCGACGACGCCCATCACGCGTACAGTGGCCATCATCAAGACGCATGCGCTCACCTATAGGTTCGACATTGAGAAGAGGATCCAGGAGGCGAGCTTTGAGGTGGGTGTCTTGTTCTAAATGCACTTGCTTTATCTACTCCTCTGCGTCGAGATTCTTCGTCACCTTTGGCTTCCTTCAGGTTCACGGCAGGGATTCTGTCGCGGAGTTGCAGTGTGGCGTCTTCTGGCTTTCCACGAGGCTTTGAATGTTTATTTATTTTGCCCGCAGCGGGAGGTGTTGAACGAACGATCGCGAGGCTGCTGGTTATGAAGCTTGTCGATACTGACTATGTCCTATATCACAGATCGTGAAAGAGAGGCAGATGGAGTTCGACACGGAGACGGACCCAGAGACGCTGTACGAGCTCTTCGGAGAGGACACAGATTCGTTGGCTGAGTGAGTTTCTTCCCTTCGATTTTGTGCTCCCTTCTATGGCGTTCGAAGTCTCAGACGTCATTTGGCTTTTTGACTTCCCGGTTACGTTTGGATTACCTGGTTTGTTGACCTTTGCGTTCTTGTCCTCTTTCCCTCTTCCTTTTCAACCACAGAGGCCCAGTGTGGGTATACGTCCTCGAGCGACGACGCGCCGTCGAAGTGTGGAACACGCTCATGGGCGACGCGGACCTCGACACCGCTCGACGCGACTCTCCCAACTCCCTGCGCGCGCTCTACGGCCTCTCCTCGACCCAAAACGGGCTCATGGGCTCCCCAGACAATACCACCGCCGAGATCCAGATTGCCTCCCTCTTCGCCTCCTCGCCGCCCTTCCCCACCTCCGACCTTCCCTCCGACGACGCCCAGAGCACGGGCGACCGCTTCGGCTCGGTCCGCAGCGTTGCGAGCAGCGTCCTCGAGCAGATGCGTGCTGTGGCTGCTGCGGCAGGTGATGATGAAGGGTACGCCCCTTCGAGCGCGACGAACCCCTCTACGGTCGGCGGCTCGTCGCACAGGCTGAACTCGAATGGCAAGGCGCCGTTCAAGGCGCGTGCAGTGCCTGTGACTACGGATAAACCAGACATCGTCCCGCGCACGACCAAGGCAGCAGCTCTACGTGCGGGCCTCATCGAGCCGACCGACGGGGCGCTGAGGGCGGTCTACTCGCCCACTAAAGCGAGGGCGCCGGTGTCGAAGGAGAGGTTGGCAAAGACGTTCGCGAATGTTCCTGGCCATAAGCGCGCAGAGACGATTGCTGTAGCGTCGACGGCTGCGCCGACGATTGCGCCCAGAATGACGAGGGCGGCGTCGTTAAGGTTGGGACAGGCGCCTCCACCCCCGCCGGCTGCAATGAAGAAGCGCTCGGCGACAGATCCTGCAGCGACTTTTGAGGGTGTTCCGGGGCATAAGAGGAGAGAAAGTATAGCTGTTGCGTCGGTTAAGGCGCCTACGGTTGCACCTAGGCTGAATAAGAGTGCAGCACTTAGGGCACAGAAGGAGCCGGCACCGCCGACGTCGTTCATGTGTGAGTTCTTTTTTCTTTCTTTCTTTCTGCAACTGGGCGGTAACGTGGTCTTCTTTCTGGCTCGAACAGTCAAATCAGCAACACTTTCTCGGGCTGCTTCCAACAGCGCTCTGAGCCCACCGAAGACCCCCGCTTCCGCACGCCCCGCCTCACAAGCCGGCCACACGCGCCGGGCCTCCTCGGTCGTCGGACACCGACCCAGCACCGCATCCACGCCTGCACCCATCTCACGCCCTAAGCCCGCCGCTTTAACCCCGAAGACCAATGGTGGGGCAACCCACGGATTTGACACGAACGACGCGGACCTACCCACGCCTACACAGACGCCGACGACTGCGACGACGCCAGCCCCTGCACCGTCGAAGGTGCGCCCGCGCCCGAGCAGCGTGATTGGTGCACCGTCGATTGCCCCGAGGACTAATAGGAGCGCGGCGCTGAGGGCGGCGAAGCAGGAGGCGGAAGCTGCTGCCGCCGCCGCTGCGGCGAGGAAGGGCCCGAGGTCCAGCAAGGTTCCGCCGTCGAGCTTCAAGCCGTCTCTTGCTGTTTAAGTCTAAAAGAGTCGGTTGGTTCATGCAGTCCGCTCGTTACTGATTTACTTATGGGCGTTGAATGCCAGAGTCAAAAACGATGTTGTATTCGATGGATGGACATGGGGACGATGACGGTCTTGTTCAAGGGAGGTTTATGATTTTGCACGATTAATTATTATGCGCCGGCCGCGCATGCACATATGCCTCTTTCCTTTTATTCTCTCTCTATCTTTCCTGCTGATATATCCCTGCTTCATATTTTCTTATCCTGGTATCGTTATCCTTTCTTGCTTTTCTCCTTTCGTCGACCCTTTCCTTTCCGGCTGGTGCGGTTATCCTTGACTGTTTCTGGGACCTTCGTTCGTGATGCATACGATGATCAAAGTGGACTGGGACGGTCGTTGGGTAGACTACATACATATCTAAATATGCATTTATATACCTTGTCATTCACGCTCTTTAAATATATGTTGTCAAAGGAATGTCTCAACCGATCCAGCGTTTTTTGGCCGCCTTCATGGAAGCCTGTGCTGTAGAAAGGATGTGCTGGAGAGTATCGTGTAATCTTGCTCAAAGACGGTGACTGTTTTGATCCTATCCGCAGCATTCCATTTGTGTTCATCCACTAACAACGAAATCTAAAGCGTTCGACAGCTTGGGGAATTAGAGTTGTTGTCTCGTGGCGTGCGCCACACTCTTATGCATGAATTAGGAAATTTTGTACTCAAAGGGTGAGAACTTAGATTGTGGCCCCATCGCTGTACCTTTGATTAGTCCGAGCCTCTATGGATAACCAGAGCGGTTATTTTAAATGGGCTACCCGTTTTCTATCTCCCTTTCCTAAGTCTGAACGCACTTTGTCCATTGCGGTGCAAGTACTTCGTCACAACGAAAATGAGCATTGTTGAGTACATAATGCAACGTGTGCCATCGGAGAACACGCTTGTCAGGAAAATAAAGGATGTACGCACCTACATCGGTTGCCATGTTCCGTCCTCGAGGGCCCAAGTCGGTCGCAAAACTGAGAAAAGGCCACCAGTGCTCCCACTAGTTTGATAGTGGGCACCAATAGTACGATTGTGTGATTTGCTGCTTATCCCCTCTCTCCAGCATGGTGCATGTGCAAGAATCAAGGTCATCGTACGAAAGACTTTGGTAGCGTGTCTGGATCTTCTACTGCCTTATTCATTTGATACACTGCAGGCATCTCGATCGCATTCGGAGGGCGTCTTCCCAGGCAGCGGTCACCCGGTCTTGAGCTCAGAAGGCGTACGGAGAAACTACTACAGAATTAAGGGTAGAAACGGCTCTGGGTTCCCGAGGCTATAGCAAAGAAGATGTTAAGATGTATCGCAGGCATTATCCTACAAGATTACATAGACATAGAGGGTAATTATTTAGATAATATTAATGCGACCATTCCTTGAAGAAAGACGTCGTGGCTCGGTTCTACAGACACTATTGTAAGCTAGCTTCGTTGTCTAATCTTTTCGTTCCATCGTTTTCATCATGAAAATGTCTACTCCGAGTTATCCTCCTCCTCCTTAACAACAACAACAACAACATCATCATCATCATCATCATCATCATACCAGCCTACGTCAAGGGTTGCGAATGCTCCTCCATCGACAATGCTCACGTGAAGTTCCACCAGCGATTTCCTCAAGAGAGGAAAGAGGGCGTCCAAATGTTCCCTGGCTTGCATTCTGGCTCTTCGATATCCATCCTCATCCAGATCATGTTCCCAGGCGATAGTAAGTCGGACAGGGAACACCCTTCTGAGTGCAGGGAGTTTCGTGCTGTCGGAAAAAATGGGATCGAGTTTTGGACCAACCCAGCGCCGGATGGAAAGGTTTTCCGTCGAAGCCGTCAGGGAAGAAATACCCGAAATCAAGACGATAGTATCAACGATTCCTGCTGACTCCGTAGACTTATCCTCGAAAAATAAGCTAATCGGCCGTAATACTTCTTGGATGTAAGAATTTCTATTTTGGCCGAAGACGATTGAAAGAATGTCAATTCGAGCTCGCAGACGGGGAAGCAGTGTGAGATCGTAACGTGGGTCTGATTTGTCTGCAAGAATGGGCAATCAGACAAAACATGAAGGTGAGCAGAAGGGGCGACCTACAGACAATGTACTCCCTTGTAGCTTGCAACCACGGCAGTATCCTGATATGAGGCTCCTTGAGATTCATCGAATTAACCTCTTTTGTTGGAAGCAGCGTCACAATATCTAGATAGAATTCCAGAGCCGGAAGCTTGAGGAGTCATAAAGGGCCATGACTGCGCCGATGTTCAAGTTTTCTATCTAAATTCGAAGTCGAAGCGTAAAACAAGTGCTCTGACGTGGTGAAGTCGTTGAAGAACGTCGCGCACGCTGGAAACGAGTGGTTCTTCGTTCTAGCGATATTTGTAGCACTGGGAGGTAGTCTATCTCGACAACAACACTCCTACAAACGATGCAAGAGGAGGGTTTCGATCAAGCAAGGGGGCCAAAGTATGCCATCAATGGGTTTACAACTGGTCTGGTCGCTCAGCAAACCATAGATTAGCAAAGACGTAGGGAATTACACGGCAATAGAAAGCTTTACAAACCAGTGTGCACAGGAATGTGGAGGTATCGTAGCTCATCAGTTCAGTTCAATGTTTTTAGAGGAACAACTTTCTGTTGGAAGCGGTCCGACAAGTCCGGCGGACAGGTTCAAGCATGTGACCTTCTGAATGTACGTGTCCGCGAAGGCTTACCTCGAGTTGCTCACTTCCACAACCTGCCACTTTGTCGACAAAGATGCCAGTTGGGATCGAAGCCTGGATCACCCAGATACCGCCCATAACCCGCGGCTGGCTCGCCCTATCTGTTCTTACGAGCTTGGCTGTGGTAAGTAATTCACCAGGCTGCAAGTTCACGCGATGACTGACGAAGATACGCCTCCTTCCTTAGCAATGCCAACTGGTTACCCCATTGCAGTTGTACTTCAGCCCTCGAAGTGCCTTCATAAACGTCCAGGTACTTGCGTAAAGCTTCTGCGTCGATCATAAAGCTTTCACTCAACACAGCAAAATCCAATAGCCATGGCGGGCGGTCACTACGTTCTTCTACTTCGGGACGATATCCTTGGACTTCATCTTCCATCTGTTCTTCTTGTATGTGCAGCATTTTAACCCGTACCCGGAGTGATTCATTTGACGAAACTGCGCATTCCAGCATGCGGTATAGCCGAATGCTGGAAGAATCATCATTTGCGAACAAGAAGGCTGGGTATTTCTGGTTGCTGCTCCAGTCATCCGTCATGCTGCTGGTACGTATGTCAAGTACCTTTGTTACGAAATCCCATGAACCTTGACTACAACGTTCATAGATCTTATCACCACTATTCAATCTTCCCTTCCTATCCTCACCACTTGCCTTCGTCCCAATATATTTATGGTCCAGACGACATCCCTCGACACCCATATCACTGTTCGGTTTGATTACTATCAGTGCTCCTTATTTGCCTGTTGCTCTCGTGGGATTCTCGTGGGTGCTCAACGGCACATGGAAAGCGGCAGCAGGAGACCTTGTAGGTTGTGCAGTTGGCCACGTTGGGTGGTTCTTGCGGGACGTTTGGACACGAGAGATGGTTGGTGGGGTTACTGTCTTCAGTGAACCTCCTGTACGATTGTAAGTCCACATTCCGTGCTTTCGACTCTTGGCCTCCGGCGCGTCGTACTTACCTAGCTTTGTCGAATACCTAGGAAACGATTGTTCGGAGATCCATGAATCTTTCTGCATCCAGCTGTGTACGATAGCTCAAGAATTACGTCAATGTCGCTTCTCCCTCTACTTTCCGAGTGTGCCGGAGCAGGCCGTAAGGAGCACAACCTCAGATTGCTAAAGCCAAAAGTAACAAGAATGAACATCTTGAAGGAGGTATGTACACAGCGAATTATCCGTTCGAAAAGCCCAATTCTACCACATTGCCTACGCACATCGCAGACTGTACAAAAGATGTAGATCTGCACGGCGAAAGCGCTGCGTGCTGTGGCGTCAAGCACCCTAATATCTTGAAGTTCTGGAATGTCCAACGTTAGTCAGTATCAGACCAGTGGGAAATCTCTCCAGCTTCCATAATCTTGGACATGGTCTTGACCCTCCGGTGAGAGGGCTTGGAGGCGTCGGGCTGTTTGAGCCGATGTGTTGGCTGCACGGGTGGAAAAACATACTGTCCTTTCAGCTGCTTCATTAAGCGGTGCATTTCCCATTGCATTATCTCCGTAGAGGTGGAATTTGCCGTCGGAGATGGTGGTGGGCGAGGAAAGTGCGACAACAAGGATGGGGGTCTCTCGGGACGAACAAAAGAGGCTGCAGGTCCGTATGGAGGTGGCCACATTGCACGCGATGATCGCGAGTAGGCATGTGCATGTGCGCTGGCGCTGGCGTTCGTTCTCATTCGGTCGAATTCATGGACGACAAGTAGCAGGAGGAGTGTGACGGTGGATAGTCCGACAATCACCATTTGCGGGAAATATCCGATGCAATCTAATCAGATAGAGAATCAGTCCGGGCCGCAACGGAAAAATAGGCTAGCTTCCGAAGCGCGGGGAAGACGCTCACCAATCAACACCCCTGAGAACCCCAGGTACGCGTTAGCGATGTTCAGTTTGAGAGATTAACAGGAAGATTGCCTACCATCGAAGCCAGGAGCATCTGGCATACTCGCCCGCAGTTGAGGAATAGCGATGAGGATGGCGCCAGAGGATATGAGGTGTGGAAGCAAGGATCTCAGGCTGGAAACCCTTCGTGCGAGAAGAACGTGGCCAATCGTCACATGGGTGAGGACCCAGCTCACAGCAAAGAGTAGAAGCGTGAAGAGGCGGGCTTCGTTCGGTCTTCTGACATACAGATCGATGTCCCGACTGGCCTGTTCTTGCTTTCCATCTTCCGAGTTGGAGTAACTCTCCAAGTCGGTGGTAAAGATGTCGAAACTAGAGGTAATGTCTATTGTGGCGATCTTTCGGATTGGAACGGTCTGATTATCGGCGTTCGCGGCGCGAATGGTGCTGGAGAGCATGTATGTGTCGAACGGATATAGTCGCGCCTCATGTACGTCGAGAACATGATCGCTATCGAACTGGACAAGGTTTTGAATACTTTAAATAAGCGAGTCAGAATCTTTCATTGGCAGCATGGCGAGTTTCTCACCTCCTTCGGTGCCCAGTGTCTCGATTGAAAGGTATGTGAGATGAATCATATGTCGCAGTGGGCTCGTCATCGCTGGTAAGATATTAGTCTATCTTCTTCTAACCAAGTTTAACGGCGCAAGCTTGCCTATCCACGTAGAAGCGCAACGGAATTGCTGGAAGACCACATGCGTCCGAACCATGCACCCCAGCAGACCCAGGTAGCATGAAGTCTTCACCACAAGCTCCGATAGACCATCGAATGGTGATAGAGGGTTCGTCCACATCCACGTCGACACTCTCTCCAACGAGTACGATCTGAGAATAGATGAATTCTTCTGTTTAAGATTGGAGTTCGCTAATATTAGACATACCCCCGGAAAAGTTTCGGCAACGGTATCCAGAGTCTTCTTGAAGAAAGGCTCGTCCGCGTCCGCGCCGACGAAGGCGAAGGAGATAGACATGATGAAAAAGAGGGAAGATATGACGGCAAGGATTACAATAGTGGAACCACGGAGAGGGATGACTATCTTGCGGAAGGAAGGTCGAGTAATTCTAGTATCCGTACGAGTCTCAGTGTTGTCCTGTACGAAATTTTGAGGGGATCTTGTGCCATCCTCGGTGGATTGTGGGGGTGGCATGGCTTTTACAACTTCCGGAGACAGGTGAAAGGAACGTAGGCGATGAAAAGAGCGACGAGACTGAAGAAAAGAAGGCATTCGAAAAGAGGGCATATCTGGCATGCAACCAAAGCTAAAAGCTGAGGTATGGGGTGCCGCGGGGGCGAAGAGGCTGCATATAAGGCTTCAATCGAATCGCACGGCAAAGTCATTGGATTATTCTCTGTGCGGCGTTGGGGCTAACCGCCGCTGCGTCGTCCGTGCGTTAGGACGCCATTGTACCGTTCCTCGGCCACCGAACAAAGACACCATTCCACGTTTTACGGCGAAGTCAATGACGCGAAGCCCATGCATGGGATTACCAGACCCCACACCCTGAGCAAGGAACAGTGCCGATGAGTAGAAGCTCCCTGATCTAGTACGCTTCGTAACATCTGAGCCGTATATCCCCGCCGATTAAGTCAACAGCAGCAATGATAAAGAAGCGTTGCTCAAACGAACGGGGCGAGTGGGAATAGAGCGGCAATAAACACCAAAGTAAAAGTCGGGCACGAGGAACGGGCGGCATTTGGCTCTTCACCGGATCAATAGGTGAGGTTCGCGGAGTCTTGGAAAAATTTTGGCGGGGTGCATGGGAGTTCAAAGAAGATAGAGTTGTTGAACGGAAGGGGATTCGCCAACCAATCCGAAAGCTTACAGTAGAGGATACGGATCGAGATAGTCTTCAGCAACTATTGCTCGTTCCGAAGCATTTCTTCTAGCACTTCGATCTCTTGTAGTGGGCCAACCTCGTCGCCCTCTGGACCGAAGACCATCAAAACCCGGCGGGCAAAGAGAAGGAGAGCTCGCATATGCTCTTCCAACTTCTCATCTCTGGAATCATGTGGTGAAGACACCATCGCATTCCAAGCAGTTTTCGCCATTTCCAACAGGTGGACCCCTGTACGATTTCGTCAGATGGGGACACAGAAGACCTGAGTCACTTGGACCTACCGATTTGCGGATAGTTTTGAGGATAAACGAGTATGTAAAGTGCCAACAAAGTCAAGCCACTCTCGAGGGCGAGGGGATACTGACCCTCATGTGCACTCTTGCTACAAGAGTCCGAAAGACGAGTCATGTATTCTTCTCGGAAGACACATCGCAGCGGCGGTGGGGTGCCGTCCATCGGCTTGCTGGGCAAAATCGAACCAACCTCGGAGCCAATTCCAACAAACTCGCACAGCTGCTTCGCTAATGTCCCAAATTCGTTCACAGTCTCAGGGATTTTTGGGAGAGGTTGGATTCTGTCGATGAATTGACATGATAGACATTTGCATTTGAACCCATAGCTAATTTGCAGGATGTTGTCTCGCGTCTGGAGCAGAGCAGGGTCGAGATAGGGAATGCAAATCTGGAATTGTTTAAGTGGGTAAAAGGAGTAACAATAAAGAATATCTGCGCAAACCTCTTCGCCTGGAAGGATGTCACGGAGCGCTACAACTTCCATAATTACCGACTGCCCCGGTGAAAGACGATATTTTGCGGCAGCATTTGGAATGCAAGAGTGGTTGAATAATCGGCTAGCAAAAGGGAAAACGCCATGGCCAATTGTAACGAGGTGGGAATGGATCGCGAAATTATTGTTGCCAAATCGTGCAAAGAGTCGTGAGACGAGTCCGGATGGTGGTGCAGGTGATATCGGACATATTGGAGGTGGGGCTTCGTCGCTTGGGTGAGGCAGAAGGGCCAGTACTGTGGCGGATGGTGGGTGATGTTCGGTGGAATAGGGTGTATCGGTCAGCGACATTTGGGAAAGCACATGCGACAGCAAGATGGAATCGAGTTTTTCATGTTCTTGAAGGCCTTGGAATTCTTGAGATGACGAGTAAGAATTGTACACCTTGCAGATTCGCTTGTGATTCAGGCGCCAATGGAAGGCCTGGCCTAGAAAACGGTTGGGTGTTAGAACACCAAAGAGGCCATCAATTGTGACCATACATTTGTCATTACAATACCAGTATGAGGCGCATCCGGAACAGCGTCTGAGTCGAGAATCGGTTGATGGAAGACGAAAACATGCATCGCAACGCACACTCTTTTGCGACGGAAGGAGGATCGATGCAAAGGCCGTATTGATGAGAATGTGGGAACCTTCTACAAAGGTGTCGACTGCTACACATTTGTTGCGAGAGTTGGCGTCAGGCACAAGTTGTAATGACTCTGGGAGCCATTGTAAGGTCAGTTCATCCATGCCGGATGGAGGCGGGTTGTACTAGGTTCGTAAATTCTGGTCGTAGCCAAAGCCGCCGTGTACAAGACGTGAGAGAATCGCTTAAAGGTCTATCAACAAGCTTGCCACACGTGCAAAGAAAAATAGCTCTAACATTGTTTAAACATTTCGACGAGATTATATACAGGGGAGAAGGGCTAAATAAATATTAAAATACACCAAATGGATACATTTCGTGCCTATTTTCCAGCCCGCTGGTCCACAGCGTGTCCACAGGCGTCTTCAGTGGAAGTTTTTGTCCTGGTATCGATTTTCGTTCGTGTCTAAGAATCCCAAATCGCTCCAAAGGCAGGGATTCCCCTGCTCATCATCCCATACACCACCTTCTGCGTCAGCTTCTGGTTCGAAATGATACAGACGGCCTCCGCGTTAAATTCCTTCACGAGGCGGTAAGTAAGTTTCACCATATCCGGCTTGCCATGAACTCGGGTATCTGTGAATAAAAATGCTTTGGTCTTAGCAATGCTATCAGATAGAAGGGGGTGATAATGCTTACCATAGACGACGGCATCAGGAGACGCCGTTAGGATTGCATCCACGAATTTGTCGCCAAACGTTTGCCGCACATTGGGAGATGTCCAGAGCAGGCGGATGGGGACACGTTTCTCCAGAATACAGGGAGCACAAGGCCCAATTCCCGATCCCGTTGCAACGAAGACCAAACGACGGAAGAGGGGCACGATGCGAAGAACACCGAAGGTCGGGATTCCACGGACCCAGAGCTCTTTGGGGGGATTGCTAATCTGCTTGCTGGTCCAGTCCCCTGCCTTGCTTACAACAAGCGAGTACCCCGTCTCTCCAGGCAATGGAACAGTGGCGAACCCGTGCCATTCCATGAGAGGGTTGTCCGAAATACGGGTAAAGCTTCCAGGAACAGGCGTGACTAACTTTCTGGTCAGGACACTTCATAAACTCTAAAAAAAAATGACGCTGACCGTAGTCAAAGTGGAGACGGACAGCATGGCCGGACAATATTTCAGCACGGACTGGAACTTTACGCAATCTGACCCAGGGGAGAATGATAGAACCTGGTGGGAGGCGCTTTCAGTCGGCCGGGGCTGACGAGATAACATTGGGGACTAACCCGTTAGAATGACGAGTAACCAAAATGGTGGTGCATTCACGAGAGCCTTGCCGAGAGATTGGTCAGGTTGCTTATAGTCGTTGGTCAACAGGATAACCTAGAGCAAATTCAGGGCTGTATCTGGGAAGTTGTTGACAATACGTACTTGGCACCAAACAAAGGCCGTGGCAGTCCATCCGAGAAATCGGTGAGTTCTCTCGAAGGTGTCGTGATGTTTTATACGGAAGGAGGGGAACGCAAATGTTATGATGCCGACCAATAGCAACAAGATGCAGTAGGTAATAACAACAGTGGGGATAGAGACCTAATAAACCGCGTCAACGTTTGCGGGATGTCAAGCCTGGTTTACGAACTGTAGAGCCTTGAATCATCTCTTTTGTCGCTTGTCCTGTGAAGAGGAAGAGCCAGACAACGCCAGATATAGCGCATCCAGAATGCAAACCACCGATGTGATAAACTCGCGCACAGACACGACGAATAGCCAACGGCCATCTGCGTTAGAGGATAAGCGATATTTTTGAAGGCACGATAGAAAAGGGCATACGACGCAGGAACTGCACAGAAGGTGTTGAAGAAGGCGTTAATAACATAGTCTTGGCGCATCAAAATAGCACAGAACAAATTGGCGATGACAATAGTCCCAATTTGCTGCGCATTAGCTCCTTTGATGAGTATAGAAACGAAGACCCCGAGATTCGTGACGAACACGACTCCAAAGAGACGGCGGTAGAGGGAAAAGATCTGGTGTCGGAGATTGCGAACGTATTTCCCTTGTGTCTTATCGGGGATCTCGTCATCTTCATAGCCTGACCACGGGTACTCGCGCTTCGCCAGGGCAAGAGAGGACTCCTCCGAACCAAGATCGGTGAAGCTTGAAGGTCGTGTAAGGCCAAGGGAACGCTGGACAACTCTAGCGTTTGAAGATGTCTGATCATCCGATTTGCTCTCTGGCTGGTAGACAGGTGCCGGAGGAGTGACTTGTGTCGAAGCGATGGAGTCAGACACAGTAGTCCTCTCGGAAATCTTATCGGCGTTCAGCTGATCTCGGGCCATCTTCTCAAGAGCTCGTCGATCGGTTTTACCATTGCTTTGAGTCCGTTAGTGACGTCACTCCAGAAGGCAGACTTCACTCACGGTGTATGTGGAAACTCATCCATGTGAAGGAGCTTCGTTGGGACCGCATAGTAAGGCTGTATCTTCGCAGCCGCAGATTGAATGTCTTGTGTTGGAACGCCAGAGGGCGTGGTGAAACCCCATAGCTCTCCGTCGATAAGTAAGGCAACCGCGGTCTTCACGCCAGGACACGTCTTCGAAGGTGGATTAGGCCCGTTCAATGTGTGACCCACAAGTTCTCACCTCCATAGCCGATGCCACGCCATCGAGCTCGACGCGGAACCCCTGGGCAAAGGCAACATGAGAATATTCAAACCTTGAAAGATATCTTCGTACCTTGACTTTTACTTGATTGTCAACGCGACCCAAAACTTCCAAAGTACCATTCTGGAGCCAACGGCTGTGAACAAGCATGAGGAACTGACGGCTACAAAGCCCGGCTACATACCCAAGGTCTCCAGTATTGAACATCATTGACCTGAAGGTATGTAAGAGCCGGTATCGATAGCATGCGATGAAAGTTGACCTCACCCGTCGCTCAAAAAGGGATCCAAACGATACCTCTCCGCAGTTTTGTCAGGTAGATCAACATATCCCCTGGTGACGCCTGCACCACCAGCCCACATTAAGCCTGCCTTCCCAATAGGCAGAGGGGTCGCGTCTTCGTCAAGGACGTATACATTGTTGTTAGGAGTCGGCTTTCCGATCGTCAAAAATTCGCCCGAAGTATGCTGCTGCATAGTGTTGACAATCGTGATCTGCACAGTTGAACGTTCAGACTTCCTAATTTATTTGAAGATGTGGATAGAGATACCTCTGTTGGCCCGCAACAGTTGAAGAATTGAACGTGCTGGGCCCAGTCGTCTGCAAGGGCTGGAAAAGGTATTTGCGATTTAACGGGGACGTAATTTTGTGTTGAAGGAAAACACTGCACCTTTAGGACACGGTTCGCCAGCCACCGCAACCGTTTTGATGTTGGGATAGTCAGACGGATCGTGCGGCCTCAGCATTGACGGAGTTGCTACGACGATGTCGACAGTCTTCATGACTGCCCGCCACTCCTTCGAGGTCTTGCCTCGGAGACAGAGCGTAGCACCATTGCACATGCTACCGAGGATCTCCTGCACGCAACGATTAAATCATGGCCACATGGATGAGATGGATAAACCTCACCCATGCTGCCATGTCAAAGGATATGTTCATCAACTGAGAGACTCGAAGGCCGGGTCTCATCCCAAGATTTCCCGGCGCCAAGCACAGCACTGTAAAAGCCTGTTACGCGAGTGTTAAAGTTTCATGAGTGCCGACTCACAGTTGGCGACATTTCCGTGGCTGACATCAACGCCCTTGGGAACTCCGGTCGTTCCTATCGACGGGTCAGAATAGAACCAAAAATAAGAAAGAGATTCGGACCTACCGCTTGTGTAAATCACATACGCCCCGTGCTCCGGTGCAGAAAGGTCTTCAGGTTTGGGACAGTGGCCTTGAGATGAACCCTGGCAAATGATGGCCTCAAGTGCAAGGACGTTGCGGTCTGAGTTAGAAATTCTATGGGCGAATTTCTGCAAGACAAGAACTGGGCATGACCCCGACCCCGCAAGAGCGTGCGTGAGGGTGCTGTCGGAGACGATGTTGCCGTCAAGAGGGACATAGGCGGCCCCAGCCTTCAGGATGCCGAGGATACCCACCACCATCGGGATGGAGCGCTCTGCGACGAAGCAAACCCGTGAATCGAGGGAGACGCCTTCGTTTTGGAGCCTGGTGGCAAGGCAGTTGGCTTGGTGGTTGAGTTCGGCGTATGTTATATTCTTCTCGAAGTCTTCCACTGCAATGGTGTCGGGGTTGACTCGAGCATAGTGTTCGAACGCATGGTGGACACACTGGAATGGAGTTGGGGTGGTTGGTCCAATACCAAAGTCGTAGAAGAGTGCCTTGTCGGGGGGTGGAAGCTCACGAAGAGGGTCGCGGGTTGGGACTGGAAGCTTCATGGTCGTCTGTAGGATGTGAGAGGCGCTACCTACCATTCAATCCACCTGTGCGTGGCCTTTTAAGGATCACCTAGACGAGCCTGTCGACTCCATTGTTAGAAAGCAAGTGTTGCCTTTCCGAATAACTACCGTCACGAAATCCATTAGGGAGTCCAATAACATGAACAGGACGAAATGATCGAATGCCGCAACGCCACGAGAAACGGGCCCAAAGATCCAGCGGGAACAAGCGTACACGTTCTTGTGATCGAGCTGTAATCTTCCTGCAGTTTCCACATGTGTTCGGCACTGGTAGTGGGAGAAGATTGAAATATCCAGCGGGGGGGTCTAGTGCGTAATTGCTGCCAAGATCCTTGCCATGGAGAGTTGAAAAAATGACCGATTACACCACCGCATGTGGGTGACTGGCCAAGGTGTAGACCAACAGAAGGGACGAGTTCCAACACACGCGAAAAGAGTGCAGGCGATCAGCACATTGTTTGGCATGCAGTGCATAGAACAACAACCGCCCGCAGCGAGGCAGATCATCCCACGAGATAACTCCAATTTGGAACGACAATCCCAGTCGACAGATCCCAACCGCATTGAGAACAAGCTCGGAGGGTGTCAACTGACAGCAGCGGACACCAGCGCAGTGAGAAGGTCGACTCAAACAAACTTCGGCGAGTTGTTCATTCGAATTTCGCCGGAAGAATGCTCAAAAAATTACTGGCAGCAGGAGCAGTGTTCGCCGCCTGGCAGTAGGTCATCGTGGCTGCCGACTCTTGTCCACAACATCTGTCCCACCTTCTGCAGAAGAGGTCGCGTGGATAGTCCTCATCTGTGCAAAGTCTGCACATTACCATCGATCAGTTAGAGTAAGCAATGAGTTAGAGTAAGCAATGACCTACCATATGCGGACCGTAATATCGCCTCGTAAGCGACGCCCGCCGAAAAGCGGTAATAGGTCTTCAACGTCCGTTCAAGAAATCATGCGAAATTGCGTCGAGGTAGCGTCAACGAGAATCGGGCTCCGGAAGATCAGGAAGTACATTAGTGCATAAGGACATCGAGGCACATATGGAACAAACAATTATCTAAAGCGTTGTCGCTCGATCACAGATTTCTGCCTCGTGTCTCGAGACACGCGCCTACGAAGGAGTATCAGCATGGAGCAGGTGGAGATGAGTAAAGACAGTCTCGAACCAGTAATACTCCATCACATCTGCCTGACCGAGTTTTCGGAGAAAGTTTTCATCATGAGTGATGATAACCAATTGGAAGTTGGAGTGTGTCTTGCGTTCATTGATGATGCTGTCGACAAGGCCGTGAGTAGATGCTCCGCAAAGGATGATACACATGCTTACTCGACCAAACTAGCGGCTAGAGCGTCAATGTTTTCGGTATCGAGGGCGTTGGTCGGTTCATCTAGCGCGAGAATGCCGCAATTCTGGCCAAAGGAATCGGACAACGCTAGGCGGATGATAATGGACGCCAACATCTTCTGTCCGGCAGAACATCGGCCACGCATGTCCATTTCCACTTGGTCTTTGGTCATGACAACCTAGGACGACAGGTTATGGCGAAGTATTGTCGTAGGGAAAGAGGTCGCGTACTCTGTAGTTGTACGACCGCTTCGAAGCACCACCTTCGACATCAGACGCTATTTTAATGCCATCGATATCTAAGTGACATGCATGAGTGAAGAGGCATGAGCAAACGGATGGGCCGATCTGGACGCACCAGTGCCTTGATAAGTCTTGTTCCATAGATGCTTCATGGTGTCGTTGACTTCTTCCATTTTGAGACCGTGGTACTTCATAATCGCACTACACAGTGGTTATATGCGCCACCCAGCAGCAACCTTTCGTTACTCACTTATCAAGAGCCTTCGCATACTTCTCCAAGTCATTATTGGCCATGTCTGACACCTAGAAACAATGCCCTCCGTGCTTGATAAAACCACTGTGATTAGAAACTTACCTTCACCCGAATGAGCTGGTCCGTGTATTTCTTGTACACGTCCTTGAACTCCTTCAAATCGCTCTCCAGAGTCTTCAACTGAGCTTTGAGTGACCCAAGCTCTCCTGTGAGTTGATGGTACTACATCGACGGAGAAGCAACGGGGGAGTACGTCAAGAAAAACGTTGGGGAAGAGAGAGAGAGTAGGAGGGGCGGACCACTTCGTTTAACTTCTCCTCTCTCTCCTTTGCAGGGCGGTATTTATGTTCGTAGTTTCTCCGGGCCTTGGCCGCTTCGTCCATGTCGTAAGAGTTGATCTCCGATTGTATTTTCGATATCTCCATGGTCAGCTTCTGCACAATGATGTTATCCCGAAGATTCGATAGGGTTGCTCCGCTTTCATTTATCTCTTTATCGATACTTGCTATGACTTGTCTGCAAGACTCGGTCTGAGATTGCAGGTTGCTCAATTGCTCGTCACACTCCTTGAGTTTCGAAGAACAGTCGTCTAAAGCGCGAGCTTTCTTGTCCTTAACATATCTAAAGATTTCTCTTTAGGAAATGGTTATCGAGTGCGAGATGACGGACCTTTCTATCGCCTTGTTCATGTCATTGAGCTTGTCAATACTTCGGTTGAGGTCTTCCGACACCTGCTGAGCTTGATTGACCCTTGAGGTAAGATCTCGTTGAACCTGTTCGAATCGGGTTTGAAGAGCTTCTCTGGGTTCACGAGCACGAGCGAGATTGGCCTCTACATCCTGTCATGTCCCGTTAAGCCGGTAGTTTATGACCGCTTTAAGATGTAGATACCTTGGATTGGGCTGACAAATCCATAATCTCTTGTTTCATCTTGGCCGCTTCTTCCTCGAGTCTCTCCTTGTCCCTGAGCTTGTTTAATAGACCAAGCTCCTCTTTCTCCATCTGGTGTAGACTTTTCTCCAATTCGTGGCTTAAATTAGACTGACGTTCGGCTTCGCTACTCAGAGATTTGCTCTCTCGGTCATTCTTTCGGCTGTATCCAATTCGTTAGAATCCGATGGATCATCATGAAGGCGGGGGCGCGTACAGCTCTTCGCGAATGGCGTTTAGCTCATTCTGAACCTCATCGGCCGTTTTCGTAGATCCAGTTGTTGCCAGGCTAGTTTCGAGTTGATCTACCTCCTGCCTTGCTTTGTCGATTTCCTTTTGTAGCCGGAGTACAGTGGTGATCGCTTGTTGTTTGACCGTGAGAATGTCCTTCACTTGGCGATTGATAGCCTCGAGACGCTCTCCAATCTGCGGATGTCGAAGATGAATGACGACGACGACAGGCTGCAACCTGCAATAGGGATAGCGTACCTGTTCGACCTCTAGGCCAATTTCCGGATGGACAGCTTCTTTCCGCTTAATCTCCTCTTCCAACTGAGGAATTTCTTTCGCCGTCAAGGCATCTCGTGCGGCGCTGATAGGCCGAAGTTTCTGAAGACGATCCAACTCGGACTCCCAATCAGGGAGCTCCTCCATTAAAACGTCAATATTCTCTTCCGAGGCTTTCTCGATGGTCTTTTGTATCTGAAGTTTCCGTCAGGTATCCCCTCGCAAACAGAGGCGAGAAAAGGGTACCAACATGCTTTTCGAAGACGGCCAGTTCCGTATTGGTAAGACTTCGAGTACATGCGGAGCAAACCTTCGTTTTCTTGGTCTCCTTGAGCATGCTAGCGTACACAGAGCTTGTGGCGATATGCCTTTCCGATCACTAGAATGAGCATAACCTTTTAAAGAGAGAACAAGGCGCGTACGTCTTCCGGAGGTCGACCTCCACAGCTGTAGCTTCGATGTGTTTGTCAAGCGTGGTATCTTTCTCCCACTCGCCTTCCAGCTGGGCATCCAACTCTATCCAATTGAAAGATAAGCGGCCATCTAAAGCAAGAAGAATATATCTGCCACACACTTTTCAGCTCAGCCTTCTTTTGCTTGAGCTGGTTGTTCAAGTGGCTTAGGTCCAAATCTGCCTTCTGCAGCTTTCCGTTCGCTGCTCTGGATTCGTTTTCGATCTTTGCCCGTTCTCTGTCCTTTTCACTGGAGCAGATGCTATGAATAAGAAACGTCGAAGCAGAGCGTGAGGACTAACAGATAAAGGTGTTCCGCGTCCTCTTCGACTGTTGAGATGTTGACCTCGTGGCCGATAAACGACTTCAGTTTATTGTTGATAAGGTCCATGCTGCCAAAAGGGATAAGAAAGATTTTATCTCGCGACAAGATTCTAAAACACACTTGTTTTCGACTTCCGATGTTTTGTTCTTGACTTCGCCTCTTTTAAGATCCAACCTTGCCCTATACTCCGCTTGCGATGTCAACGATTGGAGTTCGATGTTCAGTTCGTCTCGCCGTTCTTCCAAACCCCGCGCCTTTTTAGCAAAATCTGCCAACCGTGTATCGTACCTGGCAGCAGCGATGGAGGATTTCAGTTTTTGTAGGCGATCCTTTTTCTCTTCCATTTCCGCGCGTGTGTTGCGTAAAGACACAGGCACATCTTCCAAGTCTTCGAGTTGTCGCTCGGCGCTATGAATCTTTTGCTGTCGCTCAGCCTGAAAAAGGTCCCTTAGCGCGGGTCAAACGATCAGATCTTGAGTATTACAATTTGGCTTCTGATGTTTTGTTTCTGCAGATTCTGACGTTCGAGTTCCTTATCCAACACCCTAAGCTTGTTTTGATAAACCTCATTCTCCGACTTGAGCTCGCTCTGATAATCACAGATTAAATGATATCAATGGATCAAAATACTAGAATTATTTACCTGAAGCTTTTCCAACTCGGACCTTCGCCTCTGCTGAACATCATCTAACCTTGTCAAAAACTCGATGACCTTATCTCGCTCAAGAGGAGAGTAATTGAAGCCCTTGATACCAAACGTGTCTCCGATCTCGTGAATGGCCTGTTCTCGAGAAGAGATGCGCCTTTTTTGGTCCTAGGGTTTGAAAGAATTATCTAGGCAGGGACTGGATATAGATTATATCCATACCTCTGCCTCGCCTCGAAGACGTCCTTCTTCGTTCCAAAGTCGCTTCTGCTGAACTTGAAGACTGTCAATTTCCTCTTGAATATCTTCGAGTTTTCGCCGTTCCAATTCGCCTTTCTCTTTCTGGGAGTTGATGATATCTTGGAATTGGTTTTGTCGGGACTCCAACTCTTCGAGGGTACCTGCCGCACAGTGCTATGAGAAAAATGCGACGAGTTCCGCTAGGTAAGACCTACCTGGAACTAACTCGCATTTCATCTGGACCTCCCGAAGGGTAGACTGCGTCAGCTTCTTGCTCTCTTCCAATTTCTCCACATTGAGGTACATTTCGCGGAATTTAGCGTATAGTTCATCGAATTTCCGATTTGCTTCAACCTGGGCGTCATATTGTCGTTTACTTTCCTCGCACTCAACTTCCTTGGCGCCAATTGTCGACTTGAGGGATGAAATGCGATCCTTGAGCTTGTCGCAATGTGCCTTTTCTCGCGAAAGCGATACTAGAGTCTCTTTTTCGGCTTTTAACTCGGCCATACGGTCCTTACGCAAAGTTTTGATAGAATCGAGAGCTTTAGTATATCTAAAAGACATAAGCCTCACGTTCGACGTGTGACGCTTTATACTTACCGCGTGGCCTCAAAAATATCGTCGAATTTCTTCTTCAAAGCAGCAGGTTCGGCAAGAGGCCAATAGGAATCTTCTTGATGACAAAATATGACGTTCTCGAGGACAGCCTTCGAGACGCCTAGAAGCTGAGGAATCTCTGTGTCCATTTCGGCGCATTTGGTAGAGATAACACCTCGCTGAAAACAGAACTGAGACGGATTATACAATAAGAAAGAGCTGCATAGACGCACCTTCCCCCCTTTGTCCGCGTTTCCATCTGCTAGAGCCAAGATGCTTTCAAGCGTCTTCATGGTCAAACCGGCAGTCTTCTTCACAGTCACGCTTAGGTTCCTCACAACGAGCATCCTTGCTCCATTCGCAGCATGAAACCGAAGCTTAACTTGGGCCTTGACCTCCTTCTCGTTAGCCATCTTCGGGTCATGAACAAACGCTCCGCCACGCGTGTTGGGAGGTTGGTCACCTGTCGTGGCATACTTGAGGCATTCGATGATGGTGGTCTTGCCGCTACCGTTGTGCCCGACTATGACGGTCACTGGAGAAAAGAATTCGATGACGGATATCTGTTTGTCGTCGAAAGAGCGAATGCCCCGGATTGCGAGCTTATTGAGAGCGGCCATGTGGGAATGGCTGGTGCATACAAGCCGCACCTAATTTATTCGGGCGAGTCTTCGAATGTTCAAAATACAGGGGATAAATGTCTTTCGCGTGAGTCGAGATCGGCAGCGGAAGAAGAAAGTCCAGAACGTGCTGTGTACTTACCAAAAGACGCGTCTGCAAGTCACCAAGCCGCGATTTGGCTACGGCCCAGACACCAAATAAAGCGAGCGGATTTGCTCCGAGGCCACACCGTCACGCTCAACACCCGTCCCATGTTCTCTCTTTATCGCTCAGCAGCAAGGCAAATTTCACGGCAACTGACCCGTGGATTTGCGGAGATTGTTAGCGCCAACTCGTCTGCTATCGTTGTTGCGCAGCCGTTGGATCGAAAACGAAGAAAACCAAGGGCACCCAAACCGGATGCCACTACGAAGGCAATTTCGGCCAATGGCAAGGTCCCTGTTCGAGAGGACCATGGTCTGTATGCCTTCTTCAGGAGGAAGGAAGGCGAAAACCTTGTCGGCGAGGATCGGTTTGAGGTGGTAGAAACGCCAGAGTCGGCTCAAATTCTCACAGGTGCGCTCGTTGACGCGTCGAAATTTCATTTAGTCTTGACCTAGGAGCACAGGAAGGGCATGGGAAGCCGTTGAACTGCGCAACAAAAGCTTCAAGGACCTCCACACACTCTGGTATGTGTCATTGAGGGAAAAGAATCTTTTGGCGACGCAGAGAGAAGAAGCAAGGCGGATGGGCGTCCAAAATGTCGAGGCTCAGTCCTCTATTGAGAAATCCCGACACGTACGGCTCAGTTGGTTCTATTTTCTATGCATTCGCTCGATATTTTCTTGCAGTGCCGGAAGACAATGGGCCGTATCAAAGCGGTGCTGAATGAACGACGCCTTGCCTATGCAGGAGCTGTGAAGCTTGCCGAGAAGGAGCTCGAATTCTTGCGAAATCGTCCCGCCAAAGAATATACCGACGAGGATAAACAAGTACTCGAGCATCAACGCCAGCAGCGTGCTGAAAGGAAAGCCCGAAGAGCAGTTAAAAGCGTAAAGGAGAAAGTGACCTCGCCAGCAACCGCGTAGTTTGGATATGTTACAGTAACGGCCTAATGCTTTATTCAATGGTCGCCGTTACTCCGTTGTCCGTTGAGCTCTTTTCCTCCAAACCTTGTCCCAGGTTATCATATCCTGGGACAGCCAGCAATCCTTCACCCCGGGATCCTCATATGCCTCCACCTGTCTTGTTCCTTTTCTGAGTAGGTGCTCTATGAAGCTGACATTGCGCGGAGAGACTTTGGCTGCATTTTCGTGGAAAGTGTACCGGACGAAGAGTTGGAACTTCGCGCGAACAGGCGCAGGTTTGGAATGGACCATCCGGAGTGCCCTGACGAAGAATCAGCCCCACACTATCGTCTTAGCACCTGTGAGGCCACTGACCGTCGGTAGAGCCTCAGGACATCTTTCTGCAAACCCGATTTCACGGGTGACATCGTGTGCGGAAATAAGGTGGATTTGTTGACCCCGATGGCCCAGTGCCAAACATCGCGCTCGCGTCCGTCCGAATCCAGTTTTGCTTCCGTGAGCAGCTTCTCGTTCCCTAACCTTCATGGTGGCACTGAAGATACCGGGTCTCCTTTCTGACTCTGGAGGCTCAGAATGATCCCCTCTATCCTGGTGCCCTTCACGACCTATGACCCGCATTGAATCCGAGCAGCGTGAACTCACCTGAGGCTTCAATTGACTAGATTGACCGTCTGCAGGCGAGTTTTGGACCCACCGGCCTCAGGCCTGGAAATTTCACGCTCGAGACCAGATTTTCGTAAACCATATCAACGTTTTTATGTAAAGTGCGCCGATGAACCATTTCGACGAATTCATGACACCATTGCGCCCTCTAGCCTAGTAGCTTGTAGGGGCATGCCGAAGCGGCGGCATAAAGTCATCCCAGAGTCATCCTAGAGTGATCGCCTTGCATCTTTGCGTTGCATCGATGTACTTCACAAGTGAATCACCCTCTTGTAGTGCGGACTTGTTACCAGGATGCCAGATTTTGAAGAAGACACATCAAGTGTGAGGCAGACAAGCATTGATCGATGAGTGATCGAGACGCGTCTGATCAATTCGCACGATCCATACATGGAATATTACGCGCCGAGGGCTGTTGGGAACGCCGCTGTCCCCGCGCATGAACCATTCATTAAGATTGTGCTTCTGTTATGTTCCCACCTCTCTGCTTCTCCGTGCTTCCTTGGATTTTCCGCCGACTCCACTCCAGCTAATTTCAGCTGCCCTTCCTCTCTTTTCCAGACCACTCTCCTTTCCCTCATGGCCACCCTTCTCATCGATGATCAGGATAGCCAGGTGAAGTACCTTTGCCCGACGTTGAACCAGGCAGTTGCAGGTTCATACTACAACAATACATGGTCGACTGTAAGGGCGGAGAGCTCATGCAGCGACGGCTGGTTCCAATACACTTTCCACGGTATATGATGATGCCATCGCCCGCGGAGCTACTACTCATTCCACTTACAGGAACGGGCATCCAGGTCGCTGCGTCCATCCCAAAGCCAAGCACCTATTCTGTCAAAATCGACAATGAAGCATTTGTCTCGCAGTCTGGCGATGGAGCCTACGACTCTCCAGCGCTGCCTGAAGGCGAGCACACCTTAACGTATTCCGTTGGTTCTGGGACGGCACTGCCTGCTTTCGACTACTTGACGGTAACCGCTGGCACTAATACGCCACTGGACGGCAAAACCCTCGTCATTGACGATACCGATGGCTCCATTGCCTACACTGGGAGCTGGACGATCGAGTCCCCTGTGCCTCTAAATTTTGATTATTCGACCTCTCTGCACAAGAATTCAGCACATTGGGCCTCCAGAGTTGGCGATTCGCTCCACTTCCAATTCCGAGGTGAGATGCCTGAGAAGATATCCTCATTTTCCGCCTCATGCTGATAGTTCTTCCAGGCAGCTCAATTTCGGTCCTTGGCATCGCGGCCAACATCTCTGGCGGAGGAAACATCACAGCTACTTACACCCTCGATGGGATCTCGAACACCCGCGATCTTCCAACGGGTACCCTCGACTCGTTGCCCATGGTTCAGCTTTTCCACGCTGACGTTCAACCGGGTGACCATACCCTGATCGTCAACATAACGTCCATTCAAGCGCCCTGTTCTCTGGGGTTTGATCTCATCACTTACAACGCCTCCTTCCCAAATATCTCCTCCATGACTGGGGCGGCTGCTACTGCCACAAGTAGCGCAGACTCAAAGACTCCCAGCTGGGGTCCGAAAGTCGGCATTGCGATTGGAGTGGTTGCAGGTGTATCCTTAGTCCTTTCGATTTTAATCATCTTCTGGCAAAGGAACCGTCTCCGGAAGGACGTCAAAGCTAAGTCTCTTGAAGGTGAATAGCGAAATGATTGGAGTTACTGCATTCCTACTGAGCTTTATTTAGTCACTTTCAACGATTCGAAACAAAAACGAGATTCAAAACCATTTGTCGAGTTCTAAATCGTTCATTGAGACTTTCATGTACTTCATCATGCGTCAACTCTTCCCATCTCTGCAGCGCCTTCGGTCGCTTTTATGGTATCATGTAGCTCTTTGTAGCATCTCAATAGCATTGGCATTGCATGCCCTCTCATTGGCTTTGTTGATCGAGACTCGAAAGGGAGGTCTAAGGCAGCTTATGTAAGTTCCTGTTTAAACCTTTCCTTCATTCAAAGTTGTCCATTGTGACAAACTTTGCGAGCTTCATGTCCTTTCGAGCGCGTTTATTCCATGGTCCTCCCGACCTGAGGACAGAAAACGGGTTTATGACACGCCATAAAGTTCGTTCCAGACCCTCAGCCAACTTCAAACACTCTCATGCAATCCGACGACGCCAAATTTCGATGGAAGCTGGCTCAGGTCCCAGTGATCCATATGCGTACTGCAGGGACTTTGTCCGCAAACACGACTACGAGTCCTTCCTGAACTCCTACTTCTACCCTCGTCACGCGCAAAAAGGCTATTTCGCGATCAAAGCATTCTCAGTGAGTGGTCTACACGCTGAATGGGAACGCAATGTTAGACTCAGGTTCCGCCATACAGGTAGAGCTTGCGACGGTGCAGGACAATGTATCAAACGCAATGATCGGGAAGATGAGAATGCAGTTCTGGAGGGATGCTATTAAGGGGCTGTCTGATGTGCGTACCAAGCGTTGTGCATGGAGGTGTTTGAAGACTTACTAGTCCGATGACCTAGGGCAGACCACCGAAGCACCCAATTGCGCTCGCATTGTTTGAGACTTCGAGGCAACAGAGACTCTCAGCTTACCATCTTAAACGCATTATTGACGCGAGAGTGAGTCTCTGGACTGTCTACGCGTGCGACGTGCTCATTTTTGCCATAGGACGCAGAGCTTTCGACCCCGTCGCACCTTACCGTAGACTCGCTAACGGCACACGCAGAATCAACATCAAGTACCGTCCTTTACCTCTTGCTTTCCCTATTATCGCTCCCGTCTTCGACACTTTCGCATGCTGCTTCCCACCTTGGCGCCGCACAAACTTTCTCTACTCTGCTACGGGCCCTCCCCTACCACGCAAAGCACGGGAGAATGGTCATACCAGCGGAGATTACAGCTAAGCACAGAGTGAGCCAGGAAGACGTTTTTCGACACGGTCCAGATGCGGAAGGGATCGAGGATGCCGTGTTCGAGTTTGCGACGCTGGCGCATGACCACCTAAACACGGCGCGGACGACGCTAACGACGGCGGATGGGGCGAATGGTCGAGTACCTCGGGAGGCCATGAGTGTGTTTCTACCTGGGGTGCGTGTGATATGCGTTGTTACACCGGCACCGCTGAATATTCGGCATTCTGCCTGTTTTTCTAGGTTCCGGTGTCAAACTATCTCAAGAGACTCGAAAAGTCTGGATTCAACGTGTTCGATGCAAGCCTGCAGGCAAAGGATGGATGGCTGCCACTGCAGATGTGGTGGAGCAACTGCAAAGCGCTTTTTTGAATATTTAGACTAATTTACCACATTTGGTAGTCAAGTACCTAAAATAATTCATCTCCGTCCGAATCCGCCTCCTTCACTTTGACCACCATCTCCGCCCCTCCTCCCGCTCCCCGCCCCTTCTTCCCTTCACCCCCCCTTCTCGCTACCGCACTCGGGTTACTCGCCTTCTTCAACCTCGTCACCCGCCACACCTTGCAAGGCCGCACGGCGGCTGTGAGGGTCTTGGCTCTCCATGGAACGCCTATGCGGTGCGTCTACGCGCATTTCGTCTGGCTCCGTAGGCCACTTCTGACACTCAGCGCAGATGAAATTCTCCAACTCATCTTTTGCGAACTGACCGAGCCGGGTCCGTTAACGCAAGTCTCTCAACACTTCCACCGTTTTTCGCAGGATCCGTATGTTAGGGCCCACTACTTTCTCACCCACTATGGCCCTGTCGAGGCCATGTACTACGCCCTCGGGCGAGGGAGGATTCTGACTGAGCGTGTGCTCGACGTACGTCACCTGTGTCCATCTCCACGTTGTGATTTCTCACCTACCCACCCCTTAACCCGTCCGCAGATTCTCCTAACGAGCGGAGCCCACCTGTCCCGCTACCTCGTCCAGATTGCGATCCATCACTACTTCCATACACAAGCCCACTTCATCAAGACGCAATGGTGTCGGATCGTTCCCCTACGTGTTTTTCTTTACTTTTTGAAGGTCGCGGAGGAAACTTATGGCGAAATCCCGCGGGGAAAGGTGCGCCTGTATTCCCAATCCTAACTTATTCGTGTGCTGAAGTTTTTCGAAGGGAGAAGATGATGGCTCGACCTTTGTGGCATTTTTGAAGGAGAATAGATACCCACCACAGATGAAGTCTGTCACTTGGGAGAACGTTCAAGAGCTCTTGGAGAAATACAAGGTGCCCAATTTCCCAGCTATTGCAATATTCTTGTCTCATAAATCCTACCTGGCAGTTCATTCCTTTCTGTCACCGAGTGAGGGTCATATATGCGCTTGATCTGCGCTTAACTAATTATTGTCAGGACCCCATCACACCGCAATTTCCCCTTGCTTTGGCCATCGAACCAAGACTCCTTCCGTACGCGGTTTCCAACGGGTTTACAATGGATTATAAGGTGCCTCCATTTTGCCAATTGTCTTGCTTCTTGTTGACCATTTCCCAGTATCGCGACTTCGTTTTCCGAAAGATGTTTGAACGCCCCTCGGCGTCCAGTGAAACTCGGTCTGAAGACATTGCAGAGAATGTGAGGGAACTTTGTAAACTCGACTCTGCGTATGTTGTCGTTACCACTTGTCAAGTCGCGGCCCTAAAGTTTTTCTTAGAATGTTCGTAAGCCGCACCGTGGCTGCCGAAGTGTGTATGGAGGCAACAGTAAATGTTATTGGGTACAAGGCATTGAAGCAACTGGACAAGTCTGGCCACCTTCGTTTCGAACTATCGTAAGCTTCATGGCATCCCTCAAACAAAACCACTAAAATATCTCTCGCAGAACCCTTATTGAAGATTTGCTGAAAGTAACTCCCCTCTTCTGTCTATTGGGAACTGTATTTTAACTTGACTATATAGATGTTCCTCACAACCCGATCGATATGCAACCTTAGTACCGGAGACACACTCCAACACCTTTTCGAGGATTATCCCTCCACAGATGCTGCAGTCCGCTTAGTCGTCCTGGTTGTCATATTCACCTCCGCCGATAACCCAAACATGCCGACTCTAACAGCCGCCACCATACGTACCAAGTTAGACACACTAGGCCTAATGCCGGTTACTCCCAAGGATGCATATAATATCCTTCTGAACCCGTTTGTGGAGAGATATACCGCTCTAATTAATTTCGCAAAAGAGGAGATTGGTGTCAAGGGAGATGGGAGCAAAGGGATGAGTCAAGTCGATATCAATAAACTCTTTGAAGATGTCGCCGCAAAATGTGTAGAAATTGCTTGCAAGGTGCGTTCTACCCACTTGAACTATGAGTGATATTCTTACTACAACAATCGGCAGGGAAAACTCTTGAAAAAGCTTTATCATGCCCACCCCGCCGTGAAAGATGTGATCAGCGACGTCGTTCTCCAGAAGCACCAGATCAACGTGGAGGATTTACCTTCATGGGAGGAAGATCATGAGGGATGTTATGCGTACGCGGCAAAGTTGTCCAAAGATTTCATGAGGTTTGGGGTTGGAGAAGTGCATACAACGGAGAGTTTGTCGATGGAAATCAAGGAGGTGCATCCGGACACGGAGAAGGGCGATATCTCATTAGAAGAGGACAATACAATGGAGACCGGGCCCGATCATGAAGACGGAGCACCTCAGGATGAAAGCATATCAGAGCTGGTGTGCTTCTTTGCTTCTCCTTCTGCACTCTATCTCAACTCATCCATGATCCAACGTTTAGGGAGAGATCACGCAAGAATCGTTGACGACGATGATACGCCAGGATGAGATGACACCCGTTCGTTCCAGAAGAAGGATATCATACTCTTACGGGCTATCAGACAGCTCTGGCAAACTGAGATACCCTCACGGTTCGTGAATCCAACCTATCTCTGTTCAGTTGTCCTCCTGACGCCTTCGACTAGATCCTGTACACATCGGACGATGGGCAAGGGCTCTGTTTGGATCGAGGAGCAGCGTGACTGCCGTCTTCATGACCCATGCTGTGATCAACGACAACTGCAGCGTATGGATGCTCCTCTTCTCTTGGTTTGACGATGTTACTGAGGCACCTGTTTCTCCTTCAGATGTTGCATCACTACCTGATGTTCGGAGATGGTACCCAAACGAATCTGACGTCGACACAAAGTCATGTTCCAGTTACCTTGAAGCACTTCAAGCTACTAGCGCGTCTTGGCCGAACCCCAGTATGTTCACCTGAACCAATCACTCCCCTCTTACCTCAACGCTCCCGCGTTCTTATAGAATTACTATCTTTGGTATGACATCGAACGCGGAGCCGAATTTTTCGTCGACGAGAACGATTATATCACGAATGATAATCCTTCCAGGACACTATCTTCGCGGCCGAACATCAAGGTCGAGGCACCGGCCAGCACAACTATATCTTCTCTGCCACCGATGCCCAGTTCGCCTTCTTCCAGTACGCGAGGGAAGAAGCGTCCTCGAAGATCAGCCGCCGGCGTGGTTCGTTCATACGCAGACCCTGACTCAGATGATGAAGACATTGCAAACGATTCTCTGCTGGCTAGTGCTCAGGAAGAGAAAAAGAAGCCAGGACAGACGAGCTTGCAGCTGTGGATTCAACATCTCGGTCTGTTGTTGAAGACTGAAACTCGGAAGGTTAGCTCTTGAGAATCATCTGGATTTCCTTCCCAAGCTGATGCCTTCACTTTTCTTCTTATCAGTACAACGAAATGAAGAAACGGCTCGAGAAGAATGCTGAACCCGGTGCACCTAAGGTTCGCATACAGAAGGTAAGTGATTCCTTTCAAGTTTATATAGCCAAATTCTAATGAATAATGCCCTGGCTAGAATGACTTTGTCAAGTCCCTGACAAGCAACCTGCGCAATTTGCGCAAACATGAAGCTGAAAACCGTATCAAATTTCAATATGACGACGTTGCTGAGGACTACTCCAACGACGAAGACGACGACGAATATGTGTCACGACGTACGAAGCGCAAAACAACCCAATGATGAACACTTCCTAGTTATCCGTGTTTTGTTTCCTTTCTCCGCTCGCATTTTCTAATTTGGAACCATGCTTCATCCTCATGGGACAGCACATTGCCTACATTACTTATTCCTCACCTGCATAATATTGCATACAAGTGGCCATGTTCTGCTACCTCACGACCGCATTTTCCGTTTTACTCCACGAAGAACCGTTAAATAATACGCACAAGATAAACGCATACGTGTACTACTATCATGAACTCTGTGCACCTTTACTCTAACCAGCATAATTGATTTGCTTCGAACATCGAAAGCAAATACGGAGAAGACTCAAGGCTCTGTCTAAATGACGTACCTGTACGACGGATGCCTATCGCCCAGCCTCTGCCTCTCCTCCGGTGTGAACAACGAGTCGTCAACCTCCTTCTGTTGAGAGGCAAGTGTATCGCGCCTCTTGTTCTCGCGTCCCATCCATACATAAAGATAGATCGTGACGAGCACGGAGAAGAGGAGATAGCCGATTGCGATGATATGGGGTATACGGAAGTGGTGCGCAGACAGATTGGGACGGTATATGAGTACACTGAGACGCCCCAATAATAAAAATTCAGGCTCCTGCGTATCCAATTGGTCTGAGATGGGCACGCACCCTGCAATTGCTCCGATGTCTCCTATGGTAATTTGCATGGCAACTGCCACTGCGCGCTTCGTTTGTGCAGACACATTCTCTCCAGGCCAACTTGATGAACAATGATTGTCAGGGGAAGGAAGGAAGATGCGTCTTTAAACTGACCTAAGAAGAAGGGCGTTGCCTGTATAGACCCCAGCAGCGGCAAAATGCACTCCGACATACTGCGCTGCAGCTGTAAGCACAATCAAGGTGGTCATAGTAATGTTTAGCACACAAAATCAGGTATGAGGATTTCAGAAACTTACCCGTCTTTGTTGTTAACAAGATGATATACCCTACGCAGCAAGAGTCAAGCTGAATAAACTTAGGTAACGGAACGGTAGACATGACAAACCGAGAATAGCCACAGCAGCCGAGGCGATGATAAAGGGTGCTCTCCGATTGACCTTCGATGACAGCCATACGGTGGCCCAGATCGTGGCAGCCGCGAGACTGTTAGGCGGGACTGTCATCCTATAATTTGAGATTATAGATCAACAGACAAGGAAACGGATGTCGGATTGTCTATTTGACGCACAGTTGAGCTTGCCAGCTTTGGAAACCAAGTCCTGCGATGATGGTTGGCTAGCAGGTAGTGAGTTTCGTCCCCCACAGAAGGTGCAGCAAATGAGACTCACCAAAAACAAACTTAGGGAATACAATACGAAGGCGAAGCCATGGAAGAGGAGTGCATATGCCCAGACAAGGTGGTCAGTCAGAGCTTGACGAACGTAGACCCATTCAAAGCGTTCGATGAGGGCAGCGTCCGAGTCAGCATTAAGCCGTTGGAATAGCCTTTCTTTCTCTGATGGCGATAGCTATATACAGGTTAGCGAAGAACGGAGATTATGGTGCAGTTTTAGAACGTACGAATTTGGCTTTATGGGACCATGTAGGCACAACGAAGTATGCGAACAAGGCAACCGCCACGGTTAATATACCTTCTAGAATGAATATCCTGCCGTGATAATGAGTACGTGTTCACAAAAATGATTTCATATGGCGCACCATTCCCAGCCTCGACGGCCGCCAACTCCGTCCATCTTGCCAATAGCGTACGCTAGAACGCCTGAAATACAGATACAGCGCATTAGACAACATCCGGACTCGAGAATTCAGCCAACCAACCTCCAAAAGCTCCTGCAACAGCAGCACCTCCAAAGAAAATCGCTACTCTCCAGCTTCGTTCATGCCGGCGGTAGTAAACCGAGAAGACGTATATTACACCAGGAAACAAACCCGCTTCAGCAACCCCAAGAACTATAAAATGACCTCAGTTAGAAACAGTGGCTGGAAGGCAGAGATTATATGCGGACGGAATCGAATGCCAAAGAGACCGGCTTTATCGGTAATTAGTCCCTGGCAGACGCTGACAATTCCCCAGAAGAGGGTGAGTGTTGGCAGCCAGACCTGAGGATTAAATCGCTTCAAACTTTGGAATGTTTGTTAAAGAGATGAAGGTATAGAGGAAAAAGAGAGCACACATGATCTAAGAAATTTGTTCAGATGGCAAAGAAGAGAAAAGGACTCGATGGCTCACGTTGGCTGGAACCTCAAAGATGACATAGGCTACGAAGTATAGCGCCAACGCTGTATTGTATTCTGGCGGAGATACACCGAGGTCCTTAATAGACATAAGTCCGTTATTTTGAGGGAAGTTTGTGGTGAGCGTACCTCGGTTAGACCAACGATCCTAGATGGATCCACACCCGTTCAAGAAACCTCTATATGGCCTCAATGATTGCTAAGCTCACTTTGCATTGCCTATGTTCGATCTTCACGACGTGAGGTGCGATGGGTGTGGTGACTAGAACATTAAGATGCTCACCGGTCAAGAAAGCTGAGGAGGTACAGCAGAGTTAAGATTGGGATTAAGCTTGGAGAAACGACGTCAATGTCTAAGCACAAATCAAACAGAAGGGAAAGACTGACCGAAAATCAATCTTCCTCACAAGCTTCTTATCTTCAGGCGTGTTAAAGTCATCTGTGGTCGTAACTGAACCTTTCTCTGACACCTCCTTTGCAGACATGGCGAGAACCGTGTTCTTGACGGGGCGGTAAGTCAGGCGAAAAGAAGCTTTTTCTCCACATTTTAAGCAACTCCAACGATAGAAGCATGCACCAAAAAGCACATTTAGAGGGTTATCGCGGTGTCGCAAACAGTGATTGATATTGCGCCATGTCCTGGAATAAAAGAACTGCGAAGTGAATCAGGTGGAAATTCCATGTTGCAGTCGGAGCCAATCGCGAGTTCAGTAACGCTTCCCTGAGTCCTTTTGGCGATAAGAAGTAGTCGAAATGACTGCATTATCGCGTATTTCGTGTCGTTCGTGGTGACAGAGCTTGTTGAAGGTCTGATCCAAAAATATCTCCGCCCAGTGAAGGCGTGTGAAACTGGTCCGACTTACCTGTGATCAGTGGATGGCGCTGCTCTAAACCGTCAACTGCGGGTATTTTGCGACACCTCGAGTTGAGTCCTCGTCACTTCGGCGTAGGGTAGGGCGTTGACGATTTCACCCTCGGTGCGGGACAATTCGGCCGCGCGTTCGAAATATTTTAGAGCTTCGGTTACTTTTCCTGGTTGGAGGAGCAGTTGAGCCATTGTTGCCATGCATCATGGCTATGTCAAGCCCTTGTGAGACACGCAAAGCAAAGACCGAGCAAGGTAGGAACTCGAAATATTGCCAAAGGTGTGCTTACAAGGCAAACGGTAAGCTCAACGACCTGTTAAATTGCACTTGCTCCTTGCTAATGCTAGTTATCCAGGTAACGGCCTCATTCAAGGACAGATCGAGCACAGGAATCAATCGTGCGAGGTCAAAAGTTCTCTGCGAAGTACTTAGGGGTTGATGGCCCTTAGATCTATAATTAAGTAACCGCTGGAAGCGGGGGGCTCGCTGCGCCATCCTAGTTCGCCAGTTCATCTCATAGGACACTTTTTTCTTAAGTATCCCCTGGGCTGGTGTGGTTACCTTGTTTTTTTTTTCTGAGCCTGAGGAATGTGTTCTGTATATGCGCGTAGAATATAATGTGTGCCCAAGGTTGCCAGAACACCAAAACAAGGTATCCAACGGTGAATGACACTGAGACGGACGGACATAGTAGAGTATTGAGGGAGGCCAGAGATCCAAAAGCAAACGCACCGAACAGATCTCGATCAAATCCCAAACGGCGAGATAATCTCTCCTCTTGTCGAATTATCGCGCGAGTACCGCTGGTTCAGCGAACTTGTTTACCTTGTGTCCAACAAGGTGCCTTGCTGTGTTTCTTTCGCTGAGACCCACTCATTCCACACGAAATACTGCTTCTTGAAGTCGACAGTTTGCAAGCCCGTCTTCTTGCCAAAGTCGTGCACGATCTCGTGCAGCAGCTCATACCAGAAGCCTGTCTGGTCTCCGCTATACCCAACCATGAGATGGGCAATGATGCTACCGCCTAGTTCGAGCAGTTTGTCGTACTCCTCGCATTTGGTGTATATGCCTGAGCTGCTATGGATCTGGTTCCGCGTGCAATGTGCCTTCCAGGCTTCAATACGGGCTTGAACAACCCTGTTGCGATCAAAGTTCATGTCAACGATCAAGTTGGCCTGGCGTTGCAGAAATTTGTAGTTAATGGGGTCGGCTGGGTTCACCAAGTACTCCTTGTCCCTCTCGAGTTCATTATCTATCGCTGTGGTTAGCTAGGTTCTGGCTCACTTTGACAGCACAATGAGGTAATCGTACATAGCTCGACTCCAATGAAGTTCTGGCTTTTGCGGCCCGATGCAACCCTAACCCGTACACCACGAGAGGAATGACCTTTGGCCCAAGAGCCGTAAGCTCCTCAAACTCAGGTACCAAACAGTGATCGGAGGCGCTGCAGAGATGTCTTCGTCAGCTGCACTCCCTTCTTCCTTGATCTCCCTTCTTCCTTGATCCCAGAGAAAGACGCAGAGGCATCTGCGTCGGAGGAGAGAATGTACCTGGATGATAATGGGGACATTGAAGAATTGTTTGGCGTCTCGTTTGGAAACCAGGTCTTCGTCCACGCCGTCCATTTGCTGTCGAAATCCGCCACGAGGCCGGGAAACGCCTTCTTGATGTCGCTATAAAGTCTTTCAGCCGAGTACGCGGCTGCCGGGGAAGGAGGCGGGATCTGTTCATACGGGTTCATCCTCGGGGGTTGTCGGTATATATTGGCCTGAAGCGGAACGCTGCTAGATGCTGCCCGTTTGTGGGGAAGATTGAATCTGACAGGACCCCCGAAAGTCCCTCTGGATGCCTGATCCCTCAAGCCCGATTTCTATCCGGACGAAAATTCCCAAATTTACGCAATTTTTATCCGGAATTCGTCTGAGGCGTCCAAAATTGCCAATTTCTATCCGGATAGGGGATCAGGCCTCCGGACCGCAAAATTTCCGGCTTTTTTGCATTTTTCTTTCATTTTTTGCCTCGCGCCGTCTTTTGGACATTTTTTGAACCCCACACACTCGTTTTCCACTCGCTATAAAACAGAATAATGATGGAGCTATGCAACTAAGAACTATTCGTCTTCTTCCAATTTGATCAACGCCATATCCTTCGTGCTATCCTTGAGCTTAGAGGATATTTCCCAATCGGTGAAACTTGGAGCTCGTTTTCGGTGACCTCTGGAGCCTGGGAAAGAGCGCAGAGAAAGGCGCGCAGAGGAATGAAACTGAAACGCTTGACGTGCAAATCACGTATTGTTGAGTGTCATCTCTATCAGTTATAATGTTTTGAACGAAGTATTATCTGGTCTGTGGTGGAATGGTTGAGGTGCCTGGTTGGTGGTCGAGTTGAGGGGGTTTGTATCCGGCCGGGACCTAATTTTTATCCGAACCTGTCTGTGGCCTTGCGCGGCTGCCTCGATTTTTATCCGGACAATCGAGGGTGGCATTTTCACCAAAAATTTCCAAATTTTATCCGGACAGTGCTGTGGCGAAAACGTCCAAAATCTCAATTTTTATCCGGATCTGACTCAGGGATCTAGCGGTACTTTCGGGGGTCCTAATCTGACTCAGTCAACTAGTCACGCCTTACTGCCGTTTGCATAATTTTGTGAACACTGTTCTGAACACTGAACACCGCGATTTTTTGTAAACCCGTCACGTGGGAGTTCCCACCGCCAAACACAACCGTTCCGAGATGCCGTCCTGGCCAATACGGCGAGGTTCGTTCTCTTCGGCTCTCCCTGGCCCACCTTGAACACAGCAGAACCTTCCATACATACGTTAATTAAAACATTATGCACTATTTAAGGTGCTTGTTCTGTTATTTTTCCCTGATCTTCTACGCTGTCGGCCAGCCTACTGAGTGCTGAGCAATTTACTCAATGTTGACTCATAAACTCTCCCTCGTCGCCAAAAATCATCAAAAACATATATATCATAGATTAAAAACACCCCGGATTTAATTTGGGTCTCATGGGGTGTAATCTCGAGGAATGGCGAGTCGAAGTTGAGAGGAATTGTGGCTCGGGCATCCCGGCAGAGTCTTTGTCTGGCGGTGGGAACCGCCACGTGACGTGACGTGTTGGCAGTATCGCTTTTCCTTACTTACCGGGCCGGCCGTTACCTGAACGGGACCTTGTTGCCGGTTAATACATTTCCTTCCATCAGCCAACGCACGAGCTCGCACAAGTCGAGTTTTGGGTGGGGCATCGTTCTACAACGAAACGACATCACACGCAATGGAGGCTCTTTTCTTCAATGTACCGTATCCCTTTTTCTCCTTGCCTACGCTGAAAGCTCAACTTACAACAAAGCTCCCGAACAGGTTGATAACGGTTTCCTGGAGGGCATTGTAAGAGGCTACAAGGCGGGCATCCTCTCTGCCAACCAATACGGTAACCTCGCACAGTGCGAGACACTCGAGGGTACGTTCAACGGGTATATCGGCCTTCACAAGGAAAGCTGACCTGTTCGAAGATTTCCGAACTCAGTTGACTGCGACGGACTATGGCAACTTCCTGGCTAACGAGCCGTTGCCAATTTCCACATCCACCATTGCCGACAAGGCGACTCAGATCCTCGTCGACCAGTTCAACTACCTTCGGAACAATGCAGTGCAGCCGCTGGCCAAATTCTTGGAGTATATCACGTACGTCTATACTCTGCTTTCCCTCCTCATTGTGTTGACCCTCTTCTTACAACTAGGTATGGCTTCATGATTGACAACATCATCCTCCTGATCACTGGAACGCTGCACGAGCGTGACACGCATGAGCTCCTGGAGCGGTGCCATCCACTGGGTGTGTTTGACACCATGCCCGCCCTCTGCGTCGCCACGAATGTCGAAGAACTCTACCAAAGCGTCTTGGTCGAGACACCACTTGGTGCGCAGCCACTGCTCAGCAAGCGCCTCCAACGTAACTGACCTTTCTTCCCGCACAGCCCCTTACTTCCGCGACTGCCTATCCGCGGCGGACTTGGACGACCTCAACATCGAGATCATCCGAAACACCGTGTACAAATCCTACCTCGAGGACTTCTATAGCTTCTGCACGACGCTCGGGCAGCCCACCGCAGACGTGATGCACCGCATCCTCGCGTTCGAGGCCGACCGCCGCACGGTCAACATCACAATCAACTCGTTCAACACCGAGCTGTCCAAGGAGCAGCGCGCGAAGCTCTTCCCTGCTATCGGCCGTTTGTGGCCCGAGGGCAACAACCAGCTAGCGAGGGCCGACGAAATGGATCAGGTCCGTGCCGCGTGCGAGAGCGTGTCGGAATACCGCTCGTTCTTCACGGACTCGTCGGGTGGGATGGGCGATGACGACTTGGCGGCGGCTTCCCATCTTGAGGACAGGTTCTTCCGCATGGAGGTGCACTTGAATAAGCAGGCGTTCTTGCAGCAATTCCAATATGGAGTGTTTTACGGCTACGTCAAGTTGAAGGAACAGGAGATCAGAAACTTGACTTGGATTGCAGAGTGCATTGCCCAGGACGCGAAAGATAGGATACAGGACTTCATTCCTATCTTCTGAGCGCGTGGTATCTTCTTAAGCAAAACACGTCTTACTGGTTTGCGTAGCTGTGGACTGTCGTTGACAAGGAATTATAATTTATATCATTGCTGTCCTTTTTTCTGCATGGGATGGAGAACGAAACAAACGTGGCATTCGTAATGGGAGATGGTAAGTAAAAATACAGTGGTTCTAATGTGATACAAATTTAGTTAGTGGTGGGTTGGTGCTGAGCTGGGGCTGGATCTAATGTTATACAGAGGTGCGTTATGCATCTTCGTCGTTGTCGTTGAACACAGCCAGTATGTTCTTTCGTTATCTCATCTCCAATCCTTATGCACGTCATGAGGCAGCGCTAGCAACGAACGCATTGAAGTTATACGTTTTCGGGCTTCCCTGGAACGTGAACTCCTTCGGGTTGAGCTCAACAATCACTTGCCCGCCACGCTGGATCGTGCCCCTCATTGTGCCACCAGGAGTGATAGGAATAGCGAGCTTGGTAACGCCTGCAGGGACCTCGAAGCTCTTAGAGGTCGTGTCAGAGGTAGCGAGAGTGACCGTCGAGGGTTCCGTGGTCATTACGACTGCCCAGACGGCGTCTTCGAACTAGAAGGATACGGAAGATTAATCAGGGATTATTAGGGCACAGCAGAGGGGCGCACAAGTTCGAAATTGGAGGGCTGTGGAACGGGGTCGGAGGTTTGTGCCTTGGTGGAGTGAGGGCGGGACCACATGAAGATCTTGTCGGTCTCGATCTTGGGAAACTGGCCGGTCTTGAAGGCGGTGGCGTAGTACTGGGTCAATTCGAGCCATGCTATGTGCAAACAAAATTGCTGTTAGCACTAAGCCACATAGGAAAAGAAGAAAACGTACCAGTATGGTTCATGCCGTCGGTCCACGCCTCACTGTTTGGTTGCGCACCCTTAATCGGACCAATGTAGTGAGACTCGCCGTAGTCATTCCAAGTCAGGACCTGGACGATGTCGTACTGATCTCGGGAGTTGATGATGGATTCCCAACGCTTCGAGTAGAGGTGCTGGTCTGACAGGAAGACGAACTGAGGGTAAAGCAATCAGTGAATAATTCTATAGAAGATAGATGTCTCGACTGACGTTCTTGTTAAACGAATCCGGACCATAATGCGTGAAGAACCACGGTGAGACCGCACCCATATACGCCGGCTTGTCCGCCTCGCCGTCCCTCTTCTGGAGGGTGCTATGCAGCTGTGCCAGCCCGCTCAAGTGCTCCTCGTCCATATCCCTTGTGCCAATGAACTTGGTCAATGCGAGCTGGAGCTTACTGAGAACGCCAGTCATGGCTGCCTCGAGTTTCCGTTCAAGGTCGCCGACGGCTCCAGCAGCGTTGGTGACCACGCCGAGGATAGTCCTGCTGGAGGATTCTTTGTTGGATTGCTGCTCGAGTTGGGTTTGGGCGAAGGGGGTTGTCACTTCGACGGGCCAGCCAGAGTTCCACTATATGCGCCTTATATTATTAAAATCCTGACAGTTGATTTGAAGGCATTGTACGTACGCTGAAGTCACCGTCCATGACGTCCGCAAAGTCCTTAAAAGCAGCAGGATCGATGAAGAACGCAGGAACGAAGTAGATCTTGCCCGCAAGGTCAGGGTGCTTCGTGAACTGCGTCTTCCAGCCCTCTGCAGCGCTGCCTTGGCCAAAGTTACAGTTCTCTCCCGCGAATGTAGAGACGAAGGTCTTGGAGTTATACTGGAGTTGGTTTGGGTGGGAGGCATGGGAATTGACGAGGTTTCGGAGAGTTTGGGCATCGTCAGGTGAGTCACAAGGGAATGAGCTTGTTTGAATTAGACGAAGTATAATATGATCAATGAAGGCCGACATACGACATATCAAGAGACAAGAATAGCTTGAAGTCGAGGCCTGATCGTTTCGCGGCTTCGTAGCTGTGAAATGCATCTCAGCGCCTCATCTTTCGAGTTGAAGGGCGAAGATACTCACGCATCAGCCACACGCGCAGGCTGCCATTCATCGCGACCCATGTTCAATGCAAAACCATCAATTCCCGCAGCATGAGCGAGTGAGATATCTTCGGCCCAATCTTCGAGCGTGTACGGGAAGGTGTTGCCGACCATGTGATGGGCAACGACGTATTTTCTTGAACCATCGTTGTCGGCTGGGGGTTGAGATGGGGTAGGGGCGGAGGTAGAGGTAATAGACGGGGATGCAGAGGAAGAGGAAGGAGCCGAAGTTGTTGAAGGGGAAGATGGTGTCGGAGTTGTTGAGGGGGAATTTGAAGTGGAAGACGTGGTTGAGGTTGGGGCTGGTGGGGCGCCGAGCACAATCTCCATAGTCGTTGGTTCGACACCACCTCTGACGAGAGTCACAGTTGTGGTTGGAGTTCCTCCAGGCGGAACGAGGGTGACGGCTTCCCTCTTCGCGATAAATCGGTGGTGTCTCCTCTCAAGGAGATCACTGGTAGTTGCTGAGCGTCGAAAATTCGATGGTAGCTTGACGCGTCGAAAAGGGATAGCGGCGGCGTTGACGACGGAAAAGAACGTGAAGAAGCAAAAGAGAAGGGCGTCGAGCTGCATATCGAATGTCGTGAAAAAATGAATGTCCAAGTCAAAAAAGAAGGCGTGAACGGCGCAGCCGAGAAGAAAGACGGTGGTAGAAACAGAGAAGCAAAATGTTAGACATATGCGACTTTATATCGAGGGACAATACGCACCTGCTTGACGTAGTACAATGTCGTCGGGAACTGAGCAAAAAGGAACAATGGTGACGGGCAAGGCGGGCCGGCTTGGCGCCTGCCTAATAATAGCACGACGTTGTTTGGCTTCCCACGCTGAGCCAAATATGCCAAGGGGAGCACGACTCGGACTTCGTGCCCGACCTCTCCTCCGTTGAGCACGCTATCAGCCCTGTTGGACATCATCTCCCCAAGCGGCGCACCTCTGTGCCGCTGCACCATCCCACCTTCCCCAAAAAACGCAACCTTGCTTCCCCAGTACCAAGCGCAGTGAATCATGTGGCTGGTATCAGGAAGTGGCTCCCCAACGAGCTGGCCCTAGCACAGAGCAGTGGGAATACAATTGAAGCCGGGGTTCCAGTATAATACATTCACTCACACACCTGTGATAATCTACACACCCCAGTGATAAATACGACGCTCTCTCCCAGACACCGACGACGACCACGGCTTCGACGATGCCTCTGACACTGAATCGCGTCCCGATCCAAGCGGTAACGAGTTTCACGGCCAACCACCTTCGCCAAGTCCTCCGATTCGCGATGCAGACCGTCAACTGCTCGAAGAGAGTCACCCTCCTCCGGATCTACCTTCTCATCCTCACCATGCTCTATGCCTGACCATCGCAGTGGCGTCCTCCGAGACTGCTCAAACCTCAATGGTCGGTAATACCCCGTTCTCTACCAAAGACGGCTCCCGAACGCTAACTTGCACGTTCAGTTTCTCCTTCACGATATCCGAGTCCGAATCATTCTCTGCTCTCCTCGCTGCTGCCTTCGGACCCCAACCAACTCTCCCATCTTGCCAAGGTCCGGCCCCACTCAGATGACACCCACCCTCCTCTGCGCACGTACAGTTCCCCCCAAGGGACGCAGGCAAATTCTCAGCATCTACCAGATCCAGAAGCACGCTTTTATAATTGCTTCCCAGAACATCGACCTTGTCCACCGTCTCTTTGGACATCCATGGTCGCATTATGCTCCATATCATCGTGAATGTCGACGGCGCGTTAACAATTGCCAGTTGGCCCATCCTACATTGTTTCAGGGCGTCAAAATTAAAATCGGATGTGAAGGAAGTAGTGGAAGGAAGACTAACGTTTCGGGGTAATAATCCTGTGAAATCTGGAAAGCCATCCTTGCAAGTGCCTTCATTTGCCAAAATGCGCTCAAACTTTTGATCAATTAATCACCGGAACAACGACCTCATGAAGGGACTCACCCAAATCCCTGCAAATCCACTATCACAAATGTCGTTCCGATGGGTTTCCCAGCAGCGCGGGTTGCGGCAGGAAGGACTTCTCGTGTGAGCTACATTCATGTCTATTAGCTCGTTGTACAAATGAATTGCGTTTCCAACTCACCGACTCCGCATTGACTATCACCGTCTGCCAGTGCTTTTCTGGCGTACATGACTTATACAGCTTCGGCAAGTCCATCCCACCAAAAAAATGAATATTCAAGGGCCGGCCTTCCTGTGCAGAGGTGAATAAGCATGCTGCAGGGAAGAGCGAGGGAACGAACTTTATCGGTCTATTCGCTGGGTTAGTGAGTACACGTTTCCAAAACGTGCGCGGAGAGAGCGCACCTTGTGAAACCACATCGGCCAGCAGTCGAAGACCACCTCACGCTCCGGGTACTGCATACACGTGTTGCAATGAGCAAGAGAGACGCTTCCTAATTAACGGGCGCCTACATCAAACGGGTCTATGCGCTTATACAGTTCATCGAGACCCATGCCCTCGACAGTCTTCCTCCAATGCTGACAGTCCACGAACATCTTCTTCGACTGGGCAAGATCGAACTTGCGTGCTCGCAAGAACCGTCTGGGCGTTGTGAGCGCCTAAGTAATGCAGAGAAAATGATCGCACTCACAGTAGAGTCTCGTCGTCCGTCCCAATGCTGTCTTCATCGTGCAATATGTCCTCATCGTAAAGTTCTTCGCGGAACCTCTTCAGGATTTCGTCATGGCTCCCTGAGTGACCTGTCATGCCACCGCCAATCGACTGTAATAGGAAAGCGTGCTTGGGGAGGGATCGCCGAGTCTAAATATGACTCTGCGTCTGTGCGTTTGGAGCTGGGGAAGCCCTGGAGGTAAAGAAAGCGAAGAAAACCAAGCGTGGGTGAGAACAGAGAGGGACTTGAAGTGGCAAGGCACTTAGATAATGGCGGTGCTGACGTTGTTGTGATCGATTTATGTTCGATGACCACTTCCTCCGTGCGTCAGCGGACATCATCAATGGCGAGTTTGGCTGACAAAGATTCGTTGACTCATGCTACGGTCCTATAACTGGAAGGTCAACCGGTCAAGGCTGGCTGGATGCAAAGTGAATCTTTCCTACAATGTGTGTAGGTTGCGCGTAGGTTGTGCGTGTCGGAGGACTTCGACATGAAGATCGATTCTCACTGGCAGAATGTGGGCTTCTCGGTGATGGGCGGCATCGCTAGGCGAACATTGTGTCCTTGCGGGGGGTGGAAAATACCTATGGCTTTCAAGCAGTCTCTCATTTAACCCAGGTTGTTCGGGGTGAATCTGTCCTGTGGTGGAGAAAATAGCAGGTATAATCCCAAGCCTGTCAGACCATAGATGACGCTAGTAGCCGAGAATTGATGATGCGCCACACACACACCACTTTGGGCAACGATCCCGAGGACTCGATTGGACGATCCTCGTTCATCGGATGACTCTGCTCTGTAGACTCCACATATTATTATCCACGTAATTGATTTGCCAGGCTGCTCCTCCAACCTCCTCCAACCTCCGCCCCAGTCGCTGCTTTCCAGAGAAAGCACCGGGTATCGTAAGAGCTTAATATTAATACCTGACCTCGCTACATTTTTAAAATTCTTTGGCTCAGAGCTACAACGATGACGAGCCGAAGAATGCTCTTGGACAAAAAACGCGGCGCTCCTCGAGGTTCCAGCTGGATATTATGCTTACTTTTGCATTGCTTGAAACACAATTAGGGTTCCACATTGCTCCTGGGTCATGAGATTTTAAAAAAATATGAGTGATCACACGTTGCGTTTTCGACCTCAGGAGGGTCTATTTAATAAAAGAAGCGATCCGAGGAGTGCTTACCGAGCAGCAGGACGCGCACAGAAAGATAAATGGAGAATGCGGCGTGTCGCGCTGCAGACGCGCCTTGCCCAATCGTAGGCATGTGGCTGTGCTTTCGAAGTTCGGTGGGCCTGGCCCTGAATTCTGCCCAACCTCTCAATTGTCTTTACAACCAGCGATCATGGCCAGATCTACTCCTACGAATTCTTCTTCGACACGCCTCTCCGTCGTTGCAGGACGGAACGAGCTCCGTAGGTGATTTTATCTTTAGTACACACCAAAACGCGCAGGGCCGTGCAAGAAACCAGGCGGCAACGCAGAGACGCACCAGACTGAGGAAAGCGTCCTATCATTTGACGCGAACGACCTCACGATGCGGCCATCGATAACATCATCACCCTCGGCCACCCAACCATTGGGGATGTGCCGAATGTTGCCTCGTCCGAAACACCTCGTCTACCAATTCAACGCAGAACCGTAACTGAAGAGAAGAGAGGGAACGGCATGACAAGGAGCTTGGCGTGAAAAGACAAAAAGAATGGCGGAAGATCGCCGGTATCAGGCATCTGCGCATCGGGACGTCACAGCTGTCTCTCCGGAAATGGCATCAAGTTGGTCAAAGCTCCAGTCCGCCGCCCTACTCCAGTCGGCGGATCCTTCTGCACTTCAAGCTTATCGGCCACACTCATCGCCGAACCCGCCCACCCGCGCCTCGCCTTCTCCTCTACGCGCGAACGCCTCGGTGACGAGCGAAAGGGATCTTTTCATTTACTCAGGGGTGTTCGGTATGTCTTTCGCGTCTCCACCATATAAATAGCCGCATGGATGAGCAGGCACCCCAGCCTCACCCCGCCATGGGCAACACTTCCTACTTGTCCGAAGACGTCCCCCTGGACATCATCTACGAGATACTGGGGCACCTACCCGTGTTCGATATCATACGACTTCGCCAGGTATGTTGGCTTATCGTTCCATCACTCTGAAAGGAAACATTCTTCGCCTCAGGTTTCTCGCCGGCTTCGTCAGGCCAGCTATCAGCGAAGCGTATGGGTCAACGCGTACGAAAGAGCCAACCTCCTCCTGCCCCACGCGCCGATCTCGTCTCGGAGCACACACGAACTCGAGGTAGCACTCGTACGCGCGTCAAGAATCGTCTGGAACTGGACCTCGCCCAAGCCCACGATATGCACACGAAGGCGTTTCCCCCGCGAACTCCCAACGTACGACTTTGACGGGAACGTGGTAGACGGAAGATACCTGATGCTGGCCGAGCGCAGCGGGCTTTCATGGTACGACTTGGACGGGGACATGGCGCGTCCAATACTCGTGTACCCTTGCCCTACCATCCTCCCGATGACGGGATATCTGAATCATCAAATCAATGCTAGCCAAGAAGGGCGAGGGTCTCTATGGGTCGCGTTCGTGTGCATGCAGCCAAGTAGAATGTACGAACATTTTTAGCGTTTCGCGGGACTCGGCGCTTATATTCTTCACAGAACCATCCTCAAAGTCGACCTAAATGAATCTGGAGGCACTGCCCGCCTCCATTCCGAAATCCCATCCGTCAGCGTAACTGGCATAAAGATGGGCCACGATTGGCTTCTCCCAATCGGAGAGTTCGTCTCTCCAGATGATCCTATGGATCTATTCCATATTCCATCCCGAACCACCCTACACGTTCCGATGCATGTACGTTTCCTTCAATTCCCTTCTTGTTGTCAACCGTGCCAACCTTACTGACTCTCTAAAATTTTCTAGGAAAAAGTCCGGAGCTTAGGCGATTTGAGCAGTTTGAACCTCGCCTTTACCCCGCAGTACCTCTTCTTTACCTTCTCATCGCGCACGGAAACGTCCATCGACACGTACACCCTCCCAACCATCACCGAGGCCACCCCTTCTTTGCAGGGGAGGCATGTCATCCGGTCTCACACTGGCACCTACCCTCACGCAATGTCGAATATCCAAGTCGTCGAGAGTTGCGGCTCCCACGTCTCGTTCCTGTCGCTTGTCTATGTGTCGCGAACGCCCGTGACCTGGACCTCAAAAATTGGTCTGCACCTCTTCGACGTCTTCCTAGAACCTACGGGCGACATCGTGTTCACCACGCAGGCTTCCCGAACCCTGGACGTTGGGATCGCGACGACGCAGCTCTTCCAAACCGCGCAGCGTGGCCGCTGTCTCGCTGTCAGTCATTCATCTCCTGGGTCTTTTTTATTCGCCTATCACATTGAGCGGCGCGGTGAGGCACAGTATGACATGAGTGTGAAGTCTTTGAAGCTTCCAGACGGCGTGCAGAGCAGGGATGTGCTGTCATTCGATGGCGTCCGGGGTAGACTTTGTTTCACTAGCGGTTGGACCAACATCGAGATTTTAGACTACCACTAGCAATTGTATCTTTATTCCTCTTCGAGAACGTTATGATCAATTTTTGTATTACGTGGTTGCTCATTTTACCCTTCCTAGTAGTACAATATTACCTACCTCACTAAATACCGGCATTCGTTCAGTATCAAGTCCTTCATCCAGTCTTTGTAGAGGACATCGGAGGTTCCTTCACGTCAACCGCAATCTCTTCTACAAGGGTCTCAGAGGTCGAAGAGCTGGTCATGAGAACGGTGAGTTGCTCTTCGGCTTGCGGAGCTTTCGTAGAGAGGATGATGCCGAGATCAGATCTGACCTGAAGGACGACCTTCTTTAAGTCGTCTTCGCCGTTTTTCTCCAAAAGCTTGAGGATGCCTTCTTCCCCGCCCAGCCGGGCTCTGACTTCATCCATGATGAGCTTGACTCCCTTCCAATACCCTCCCATCTCCGCCCAGTCGTGGACAACAGACCCAGAGAAGCTTTCCTTAAGCCTAAGGCGATCGCTTCGCGCCTTGGCAAGTGCCTCAAACTCGTCCTTCTTTCCAAAGAAAGCGAGCGCCACATCGCGCGTCGGAGCACGTCGGTCTTGGCGAGATAGGCGATCAATCTGGTCTTGAGAGGGGTTTTGCCTCATTGATTCAACCCATTCGACGAACTCCGCATACATTTTGCGCTCAGGTTTGACTTTGCTGATACCGGGCCCTTGTGATCTGAATTGACTAGGATCGAAAAACCGCATAGACGCAGCCCACTCGAAGACGTCGCGCTTTGTTTGGAATCCCTCATCGTAGCGTTGCATTGAGAGTTCAAGAAATTCGGTAATCTCGTCGAAACTCTCGCTGAGATCGAATGGTGGATTTGGAGGATCGGGAATCTAAGGGTAATTTTCATTAGGCGTTTATGCTAAACAATCTGGAGGGAGATCAATGGTACCTTGAGTCCTTTGACGCCCAATGCCAATCCCGCATTTCTGCTGATGAGGCCCAGGATCATACCCATATCACCGTATGAATGGAAGAACATGGTGCGGTCCCATTCTTCCTTGTCATAACAAACATGAACATCGACCTTGATTTTGAAATTGTGAACATTCATTAAATCGCCAATGTGTACCAAGCGAGGCGATACTCACCTGGTAATAAATCTCCCCATTCTCAGCGTCTTTGCGGCATTGATGCTCGAGCCCAGCGAATCCAAACTCGGTCCATGCACCTGGCTTGATGGGCACAGCATAGTTCGACGTTCGATTGCCCTCCATCGGGTTCATGTATGTTGCACCAATCGCGTCCCGGACGCGTTCGTGTGGTACAGATGAGTCGGCGAATGGAGCTTTGGGAATGGCAGCAAGGAAGTCGAGGTCACCGTGGTCGAGTTTCTCTGGGGCTTCGGTAGGAACGCCTACCCATTCATAAAATTCTTGGAGTCCGGACAAGAATAAAACCTTGAGCGCATGATAGATTAGTGGTGGGATGCGAGGGAAGGCCGTTGGTTGAAAGACTGAGCCGAATGCACTTCCACCCATCTTGGTTGTAACTTGTACTTAGAGCAAACGTGAGAATGAGCAACAGGAGAGCCTTTTGAGCAAGAGAAGAAGGACCGAGTCAGGTTAATCCTTCAAGAGTCAGATTTGGACAAAGGGCAGTGACAGCTCCGCGCACGGAGAGCAAGCCCAGCAGGTCAAGATAGTCATCCTTGAGCGCCTAGATAGTGATCACAGTGGGAGAAAGCATTGGAAAAACAGGAGCAAGTCGCCATAAATGTCAGCAACTGATATAGTAGCAAAGTTTCTGTGAATTTCCGGTCTAATGGGCTTTCAGGCCCAGGTCGTAGATGGCTCAGACTCGCTCAGTTCAACGTGAGTTGACTCAGTGCCGAGCACGTAAGAACGTAAAGGGTAGGAAGTTCCCACGAGTAATCCTATTGGCGACTTTGCTGCTTTTGACCTCCGCCGTTGACCACCACGTCATCTCTAGCCTGATCTTCGCCGGCATGTCCAAGTACGCACCCCATGGAAGTCGAACGAGCCAACCGAAGGCAACTTCGTCGACGGTTTGCCAGAAATGCCTTGGTCAAGGTGAGCTTTACCAACTGACTCGTCAATGAGGTACTAACACACGTTGGTGATTCCAATAGGCCACTATACCTTCGAGTGCAAAGGTGCTCGTCCATACGTCAGCCGACCATCACGTACCCAGCAACTCGAGAATCCAAAGCTATTTGCCAAACTGAAATCAGACAAACCTTCTGTCGAAGTTCCGGAAGAGTTCAAGAAGCCGTTCGTGTTCAAATGTTCAACATCATTTCGTTTTGCTGATGATAGCCTTCTTGGTGATTAGTGTGGGCATGGCAAACAAGATTCTGGAAGCTAAGGAGAAGGAACGGTCGAAAGAGGGCAAAGGAAAGGGAAAAGAAAAGGGGAAAGAGCCGGCTCGCAAGCGGAGGAAGTAAGTTACGCTCTACTTCCTGCAGTTCGCGCTTAACTTATGGCTGGTCTTAGGTCGCGTTCAACCTCAAGTTCTGGCTCTTCAGACTCAGATTCCTCCGACTCCTCGGGCACTGAATCAGACTCTGACGGCGGTTCAAGTTCTAGCTCCAGTTCGTCCTCAGATTCTGAGTCTGACGCATCAAGGTCGAGGGAACGAGATCGCAAAAGACGCGTTCCGAGACGTCGTAGTCGTTCGAATTCAGATGCTCCTCGCGGAAGGAGGTCATAGTGGAAAGCTTGTTCTTGGCTGTGCCGAAAGGCGTATGTTGTTCTTTCTGGGGCGTCTAGACACCGAATCCATGTTTAATAACTTAGTGCATTCGAGTCCATGGCAGGTAGAGACGGGCAAGAGCGAGGTAATTACGAATTATGAACATACACCTGCAATCGCTGTTGCTTTTGTGTTCATGATTAGGGCAACAATCAATCTGGAGAATTGAGAGTTGAGAAATGGGCTCCACTCATGTTCAAAAAATCGCCGCTCACCCGTACAATCCCAGTACTTCAGCGAAGATCAAAATCAGGACCATGGAAACGAAGACTTTGGACTCGTGCACATAAGCCCGCACGCACTAGAAAGGAATGGGCTGTCTGTGGGGCTGGACCTAACATAGTGCTTACGGAGTCTCCAACGTAACCAATAGCATATCCCGCAGCCATACCCGTGAATCCACAAGCAAGGCCGGCACCGAGATGGATGAACCCAGAGAAGAGCGGATAATCGTGTGGTTTTACTGGGGAAAAGTACGACGTTAGGTTGCTACCACAAAAGAAGAACCATCACTTACGCGACCCAGCAATAAGCACTGACACCACCAGACCGTACACAGCGATGATACCAGACATCACAACGGGAATTAGAGACTGCGACACTGGTCAGAGAAACCACATAACGGCGACTGAGGAGGCACACGCACTTTCATGATAAGTTCTGGTTTAAAGGTTCCCAGCCCTGCAATACCGATGCCTGCCTTGGCCGTTCCAAGGGCAGCGCCGACGGCTGATAACGAATAGGTGAATGCTGGCACTCTCATAGGAGTGGCAACTACGCACTGCTGAATACCATCTAGAGAAGCGTCAGAGGCACATTCAACAGCAAAGGCGCAATAATTAAAACATACCGCCGACGCTACGCCAGCTAGCCCAAAGAATGGGGCGAAAGGTGGACAAAGAGACATGACGGAAGGAGGCAAGGACTTCGAAGTCACGTGTGGTCGTCTTCGGGATGTCATCGTCACAATTCCAGTCAACTCTGCGTCGTCTCAGGTCTGGCATGGAAGCAGCATTACCACCCCGCAGTTCTCTTTCTTGAACTTCCACCTCCGCATACCTTCTCCCTCGGATTCATATAATTTCCGGCAGAATGGTCCTACAGTTGCTTGTCATGGTCGCCCTGCTGGGTGCCTCTTCGTTCGCGGTCGGGATGCTCCCACTATCGTACGCGTTTTCGAGTGAGTGCCATGCCTTTCTTCACACGAAATGACGCAGTACTTATGATACTTTCAGAAAGTCACCTCGAACGTCTCTCCGCACTTGGAACAGGACTCCTTCTCGGAGCGGCGTTGGGTGTGATTATCCCAGAGTGCGACCATATCTAATACATTTGACTGGGGACGCTGATCGCATTACCAGGGGATTGGAAGCTATAGCTGAAGCACATCCTAAAGAACTTCCAATGGGTCTTATTTCTTTATGCCTCGTCGTCGGTTTCGTCGTCATGCTTGTCATCGAGCAGCTGGTATCGCCCAATGGCCGCTCGCACTCATTTGACGACATGCATATACCCGCACAGAAGGCACGGGCTCCAGATAGTGCGTCCCAGATAGAATTCGACGCTGAACTCGGGGATCTTGATCCCGAAGGGCGTGTCTCGGAGACTGCTAGTGGCTCCGATCCAGCGACCATTGTCTCTTCGGACGCAGGCTCGGGCAAAGAGCGCGCTTTTGCTCTCCTTATCGGACTCGTTATTCACGCTGCCGCTGACGGACTTGCCCTCGGTGTCGCAAACGTCGCTAGTGGTGCATCTAGCGCCTTTGTTGTTTTCCTGGCTTTGGTTCTGCACAAAGGTTGGTGATGAACTACATTCACTGTTAGCTTATTGTAATCTGCAATTTAGCACCCACCGCGTTGGCATTCACGACATCACTTTTGTCTACGAATCTCCCTCGACTCAAGTGCAAGATGTACCTCGTCATCTTCAGCTTGTCAACCCCAATCTCGGCCCTTGCTTCCTATTTCATCCTTGCCATCTTCCAAGGTCGCGACGAGTCGTCCAACCTTGCTGGACTCGCTCTTCTGGCCTCGGTAAGTAATCTCCCGACTTACGAAATGTTTCTAGCTCAATGGCCTTTGCAGGGTGGGACATTTTTATATGTTGCCACCGTTCTCCAGCCTGTCTCAAATCATTCGCCAATCCCTGGTGATATGCGTCCTGCATCTCGCGTTCTTTTCATCTCCCTCGGAATGTTTATCCCACTTGTGTTGAGCACAATCTTTGGACACGGTCATTAAGTTGATAGAAACTGCATAGAACATGTATAAATTATTGTTGTGTTGTGAATTGTTTCCCAGGAAAACAGAATTTGCGCAGAATACACTCTCTCCGAAATCTTCCACTCTGGCGTTTGACGTTCAAACGTTCACCGCCGTAAAGGCTCAATTCTATCTGGCTGACCGCCCACCGGCCCGCTTTCCGTGATTACCGAATTAAGAAATTCTTCTGCGGACTCTGACCTCCGTCTCCATTGAACAGTTTTTTGCTCTCTTCACGTCATAATGAGCCTTTCCTCCTTTCTTCTTGGCTCCAAGCCTCCAGTCGACGCAGAGCTCGATGGTTTATTCAAGGCAGCAGTGAGCTTTGCATTCCAAAAGACCAGAACCTAGTCTTATCTTCAACCCAATCTTTCAGCTACCAACAGCGCCTGATGCCCCACCTATCCCAGGCCCCTCTAAGGGTATCTCGAAACAAAAGCGCAAACCAGAAGCTGAGAAAATCGCTCCTGAGAAACCACATAAACGAGCCAAAGGCAGCTCAGAACCTACAATACCTGCATCCAAGTCCAAGAAGGACATACCGAGCCCCGACAAGTCCAAGAAGCAGTCTGTTGTCGAGGAAAGTGCGCAGAAGAAATCCAGGAAGAAGGAAAAAGAAAAAGAGATCAAGCTACCATCCGACGAGGAGGGCAGCGACGACAACTCTGATCTTGAAATTGCATACTTGAACAAGGAGAAAAGGACTAAACCTACCAAAGAGTCGGAACAGGATGTCTCTGACTCGAGCTCTGATGAGAGCGAAGTGGATTCAAATGTTCCTGTTCATGAATCTCAGGCGAAGGGGGCCAGGAGACGCGTCAAGCAGCCCAAGAAGAAAACCGTCCTAGAAGACGAGACTCCAGAACGAAGGGACCAGAGAACTATTTTTGTCGGGAATTTGCCTATCGATGTTGCTTCGAAAAAGGTATGCATAATCTTCAAATGCATACGGTCTATTGACCCTGATTCGCTGCGCAGCCCTTGAAAAAGCAACTCCAGAACCACATCCTATCCTTCGTACCCACCGCCAAAATCGAGTCTGTGCGCTTCCGTTCGATACCCTTCCAAGCACCCACCACAACACTCCCCACATCTGCCGACGAGGGCAACGGCACTAAATCAAAACCAAACACTCAAGCGCCAAAGAAAGAACCGCGAGCTCACGACAAAGAACGCGCAACAAGCTGGCGCAACAAACGCGACGAAAAGGACGAAGAGAACGTCAAAGCAGACGAGAAAAAGTTTCTCAACCCCGCTCAAAAGAAGAAAATCGCTTTTATCAACCAAGAGTTCCATGCGTCCGCCGACAGCGTCAACGCCTATGTTGTCTTTGCACACCCTCGAAGCTCGGAGGGTCGGCCGGCAAACCTGCCCCCGCTCTCACCGGCTATGGATCCGTATGAAGCCGCCTTCCAGGCAGCGAGCAAGTGCGACGGGTCGCTGTTTATGGAACGGATGCTTCGTGCAGATCTGGTTGGGAAGAACAGGGGAAAAGCGGCTCCGAGGAAGGATGACGATGGTGTTGAGGTCCCTGCAGGAATCTTGGAAGCGGACCCACGGTTGTCTGTGTTCGTTGGCAACCTGGACTTTGCTAGCAAGGAAGAGGACTTGAGGGCATTCTTTGAGAGCGTGGTCACTGCTGAACGGGGTGCACCGCCAGAGAAGGACGATGGTACAATGTCAGAGACGAAGAAGTCGTCGTGGGTCACTCGCGTGCGTATCGTTCGCGACAAAGACACACTTCTCGGAAAAGGCTTTGCGTATGTCCAACTTGCGGTATGTTCACTCAATCTCGTACACGAGACCTCTTCAGCTAAATAATTTTGTTTCCTTTCAGGATCGAGAATGCGTGGACGAGCTGTTAGCACTAGAAGAATCGAAACTCAAATTCGCCAAACGAAAGCTACGCGTGCAGCGCTGTAAAACACTTCCGGGATCCAAAACGCTTGTCGCCGGCGGGTCCACGACTACAGGAAAAAGCGGCAAATGGGCTGGAACACCCACACCTATCGTCGTCCCACAGGGTAATCCTGCTCTCGGAGAGAAGCTCGTGGGCCTGCCGAAGGAGGAGCGCAAGAAGCTCAAATCGACAGACGCAGATCGCGTCGCGAGGAGGCTGGCGAAGAAGAAGGCGAGAATGGCTATGGAGAAGTCGATGAAGGGCAAAGAGCCTGGAGGCAAAACGAGGAAACGGGTGCGGTCGTAACTGATGGTCTTGGAGGTGCTTGATACTTGTCCTCTACCTGGAGGCGTACCTTTCATTGAATTAAAAGCACCCCTCGTCCTTCGAGCCTGATGGTTGTTTGTCTGCAAAGGATTTATTCAACTGTATGCTCACGAAAGTTAACCCAACTAAGCAACAATGTCGAAATCATGAGTGGGCAGGGGTATTTCATGGTCGAGAGCCTCGGTGCCCCTTCACGAAAAAATCCATCATGAGATGAATTAAACAAGATCATGTTGACGTGCTTGTATGAAGAGATTGCTTCTAGATTCCAATTGACTAACTCGACCCTCTGGAGCATAAAAATGAGCACCCTAACACCTCGACAGAGAAACCAGAGACACCTGTTGAAAATCGGCTTCGTTCAGCACGGGAAAGGCGATGTCCTCGAGACTACTTGGGTCCCAAAAGGTCCTGTCCCTTATTTTTAAACTTGCCCAATTCATTTCGCCATGGCTCCCAAATGCTGCCATACTTCTTGAGGAGACCCGTCAGTTCTTCCCTCTGCTCCCGCTATACAATTGAATTTCATTAGCATCAGTGCACCACGCGGGGAAGAGATCGAGCCCCGAAAAGGAACTTTTTCCTAAAACTTACGATGTTCCAGGGCTCCGGGCCTCCATATACGTCGGTGAAAAGCTCTCCGAGCTCGCACCGCTTCAGCCCTTCGGCTCGCTTGAAGGCTTTCATCACGTCATCTCTGAGGCGTGCTTTGAGCTCCGTCTCTGCGTCCGCGTTCCACCACCCGCGGGACTCCATGAAGAGGCGGAAACGCGTGATGGGGTTGTCGATCCGTTTCCTGTCCTCGACTTCTGCTCGGGCGCGGTATGCGAAGGAATCATCCGAGGTCGAGTGATGGCCAACTCTGGGAGAAAGAAGGTCAATTAGATATCTGACGTGGAAAATCCGGGGTATTGTCTCTAACGTACCGATATGACATGGCTTCGAGGAGGACTGCACGTCCTTGCTCGAGACATCTTCTCCTTGCTTCCCTTACGGCACTAATAACCGCAAGGATGTCATTCCCATCCACGCGCACTGTGTCAATACCGTAACCAGGACCTCTGCTGGCGATCCCGTCGCCATTGTACTGTTCCGTGCTGGGAGTGCTGATCGCGAACCCGTTATTTCGCGCTATGAATAGTGTAGGGGATGGAATGGCCGAAGCTAGCATAAGTCCGGCATGAAAGTCTGCAGTGGGGATTTGATGAAGACCGAAAATCCGGGGTAACAAGATCCGGAATACATACCGCCCTCAGAAGCAGCGCCTTCGCCGAAATAACAGGCAGCGATCGACCTTGACTTTCGACTAGGCGTTCGTTTGAGAGCATACGCGACTCCTGCTGCCTGAGGTATCTGTGTGGCAAGGGGAGAGGAGATAGTGTGGAAGTGATGTTCCGGTGACCCAAAGTGCTGTAGATTAACTGAGAATTTCGTTGAGTGAGAATGGGAAGATAAAACATACGACGGGCATTTGGCGGCCTTTGCCTGACGTGTCTTCTTGATTTCCAAAGCATTGGGCCATTACTTGATCCAAGGAGAAGCCTCGCCAGAGTAGAACTCCCATTTCACGGTATTGACCTAGCCACTTATATTGAGATTCATTTTGCATTGGGTTGAGAAGTATGGCAGACCTAATACTCTACGGAAGAACAAAGTGTGAATGCGTTGCTTAATTTCTCAAAATCTACTTACTCATCATCGTTTTCCAGAGCAGCGGCAGATCCGATGATAGTTGCTTCCTCTCCATGCTGCGGGACGTGTCAGACGCGTCAGAGATGAGAGGCTGGAGCTTACAGCGGTCATCTATAGAGGGAATCAGCAGGAAGTCGCATAAGAAGGATAAGATCCGTACGTAGAAAGAGATCTTGCCCTGGCGCTGGACGTTGTAGAGAACATTGTCCAACGTTGGCAAGAGTTGCATTTGTTCGTAGAGGCGTCGTGCAAACGGCTCGTCAATCTACCAGCGTGTCAAAAAGTGTTCTCCGTCCTCGGAGAGTCGTTGAGTACCTCTGGGAGGACAGCACCCTCAAGTGGTTGGCCTATGCCATCCAGAAGACGGTACGTGGGGATCTGCTTGTCCTTTCCGGCGACTGAGTTGAAGAAGTCGAGCGTTGTGACTATCGGGGATGACGTTGTGGGCAGCAGCTCTCTCCTGCGCACCACTGCCTGCGAGAAGGCGCGTCTGAGAGTCCTTGATAGCTCTGTCCGGATCATGGTGGGTTGGGGGAGAGAGGTATGATGTCACGTGTGACCATTTATGGAATTGAGATCGCGCGGCGATGGGAGCCGAAAAAGGAGCGAGTCGTTGCTATTCCACAGATTCTGTTCGGCGTTACCAGACGGCCATGTGAAGCGCGGCGGCTCATCTGTGGGATCAGGGGCGTACGCTCAGTCTAGGGGAATCTCGAATTGGATTTGTTTCTTTCCTTCTTTCCTCCACTTCTCTGCCTGGCTAGTCCGGCGCTGCGCTCGAGCTCCAGCAATGCTCCTCCTTGCTGGCCTCTTGTGGCGCGTTCTCGCGTTCGGGACGCTGGTTCTTCCCGCTGCCGCCCTCCGCTTCAACTTCACGGATGTCCAGCAGTGCGACCAAGTCATGATTTCCTTCGCTGGATCGAACCTAAGAAATGATTCTGTTCCGTCTTCCTTGTCCATCCTCCCCGTCAACTCGACCGCCATCCTCGTGCCTCTACCCGACCCAGGGATCATCAACACAGGAGTCGCCCTCACTTTCCTTCCTTTTGCCGCCGGCACCAATTTCGTCGCCTCCCTTGATGATAGCACTGGAGAGAACCTAATCTTCGTCTCTGATCTTATTCGAGTTCTCCCGTCGGAGTCAGGCAATTCATCTTGCTTGCCCAACGCAAATCCCAACCAGCAGAAGCTCTTTGCTCTCACTTCACCTGTCTCTCAATGCGAAAACATCACTGTAACTTACAACACGACCCTTACGACAAAGCCGCCTATCGTGCGCCTTTACAATCCGAAGGGTCGCTCTTTCCGTCTCAACCAGACATCAGATGATCGCGCAAGTGGGACTGCAACTTACCTGATGAACTTCTTTCGCGGCCGAGGGATTATTCTGCTTATGGATGATGGAGATGGCGTCAGGGAAACTACACCCCTCCTCACAGGTACTTCTTGACTTCGCTCTCTGTGGGTCCATCTACTAACCCTAAACTTAGTCGGCGGTGACTCCGCAAGTGATGCTTCCTGTATTCAGAGAAATTTCACCTTTGGCTTCCTACCCAACAATACCGGAGGCTCCGACGCAACACCCGTTGCATCAAAGTATGTCCCCGTGAAGAGTCTCATCGCCAACACTGACAAAATAAATACAGGGCTGTCATCATCGGTGGCGCAACAGGAGGAGGCGCAGTGCTGTTGGTCGGCGTGTGCATGGTAATCTTCATCCTTCGGGATCGTCGGAGACGCCGCACCAAGCAGCTCGACACATCCCAGGAAGAAAAGGGTCTGGAAACAAATGAAAATGACAAGAATGGCGGGGCTCCGGTCATCAACGTCTCTGATACAAGCCAGGGTCAGGACCAGGAAGGACAAAATCGCTCCACCAACCTCGTTGCCAACCCGATCTACACCCGGAATCCCTCCCTCCTCCAGTCCCCACCGCGGTCGATCCAAGAGCGCGGCAGCATGGCCTCCTGGCTCCAAGCCATCCCCGACGACCAGCGATATTCCGCCCCCCTCGCCTCGCCCAGCCCAGACATGAGCTCCGGACCCTCGCGCACTCGGTCCGTCGACAACCTGTCCCTGCAGTCGCTCGACATCGAAGGGATGCTCAACATGGCGACGCTCCAGTCGGAGTCGTACAGCCGGAAGAACTCGGCGGTCGGCTCTGCTACTCCCTCTCCGGTAGTATTAGGACGTTCGCCTCTGGCGTCCATCGCAAGAGACGCCGAGACAGGCGCGGTGGTTGGTCCACCCTCAGCCTACCTGCGAGCGCAGACGAGCCGGAGACACCTGCGTGGCCCGTCCGACGTCCCCGCGGGGCCAGACTCGATGGCTTTTTCTGGGTACTCAGTGAACGTGAACCCGTTCGATGGTGGTCGAAACTCGATGGCGGCGTCCATACTCAACAGCCCCACGACGCAGTATAGCTCCGCCCCCTCGCCCCGCGGAACGCGACCGCCTGTCGGGCTGCCGAAGTCACCACGGGATTCTGTTCGCGACCGGACAATATCCGCCACGAGCTCAGAGTGGTATGGAATTGCGCGTTGACAAGGATCGTGTTTCTTGATTCGAGGGTTGTATGCTATATAGGATTCTTTTTTTGAATGGACAATGACACTGAATGTATCTTTAGCCACATACGTTTTCTTATCTCTTCATCTCCGTTGATCCCCTTCCCCTCTTTCCACCCCACCTCTCGTTTTCTATGAAAATTGCCTCACTGCCGGCCTACCTGCCTACCTGCCTACTTTTCTGACCACTTGCGACCGTGTATGTTCGATACGAATGGGCGACTAATAGGTCGGTATCTCAATTCCTGTGGCTATACCCAATTCACGGTTGTTGTAGAGTAGAGTTCTCCATTAGCTGTCTAATTACAGCCCTTTGCTCTACATATCATCATCCTCTCGCCGCCTCATGACTGTCCAAGTGGATGTGAGCTTGCCTGGTGAAACTTTGGCTCGCACTGGTGAAATTGCCGATCCTTGGGTTTCCTTGGGACGGGTGAATGGTAGAAGTCGAATTGTTGAGATGGAAACGTTTAGACGTCTATCTTCTCCATACCCACACTGCGACGTCCGGGCCTTCTCCTACAGGACGCCGGTCATCTATTCAGACTTCCTTATCTGGAATCTTTGGTCTTATCTTATCTTATCCAGTGGATAAGTGATGCGCCACATTATCGTTGGATGCTCGCTTCAGACATAGTCACGACCACTTTGGAGACTCACCTGGCTTTCCAAGATTATTGTTCTCACCTCGTCGATAATGCTCCGATGAACGAGGACTGAGGAAGCAGGTACCTCGCCCACTGATTAGCTATTTGTTGTGGGCATGTGCTCAACACGTTGGGGTCATAGGCGCCCGAGAAGTTTCAATCGGATTTAAATTGGCCTGAGGCATGAGAGCCCCTCCTTTCTTACCACCTAGTCTCATAAGTGAAAACATACAGCGAAAGCCATGCCTCCTTTCAGTGGCTCTAGTCAGCGTCCATCCTTTCGACCCAAACCTACCTGGTGGCAGAAAAAACCAAAAGAGGAGAAACTACCGGGGGATCGAAACATCATGGAAGGAATTGCAGTTCCGATTATCGATATACCGGAAGATAATCCCAAGGCTCAGAGCGTTGAGATTACGAATTGCACGTACATCGGTTCGTACAACTGGCTTGAGCGTGAGACGCCCACTATTCTCGTTCCAGGTACGTATGTACGAAATAAAAATCATTTTCGCCGCACAAAAATCTCATCTCCACCTGATCCATCAGGATCGCCACCTCAGTGGCTGGACAAGCCGATGCCCTATCACGTACCCGTCGACAAAGGCGTCATTTGCTGCGATCGCAACGGCCTGAACATGCCCAACACGATCCTGCTGCCCCTCGTTGTCGCCGTCAACAAGACCGCAGAGTGCAAGAATTCGCCGCCATTTGACTGGACTTCGGTCGACTTCGTGCTGGATAGGAACGCCCTGAGGAAGCTCATGCGATGGTCGAATGGAACAGCACATGACTTCCGTTTTGACCTCCAACTCGCTGGAAAGAAAACCGTTCTGGTCAATCGGTTCCCGCTGAAGGTCCTTGAAGAGGCCTCAGGTTTCTCGTCTCGGTACAACTTCGAAAAGCAATCGATGCAAAGTCTGCCCGACTGTTCAGAGCATTATCGAATTGTGACCCTGGTGAGTTGTTGCTTAGTATTCCTGTCGGTGAACTTCGTCTAAAGCATCAGCAGGAAATGAACGGATGGCAGATGGTTGTTCGATCTGAAGTGGATGCGTTCGTTCCAAATGAGGGCAATGCGCTTGCGCCAGGGGTTCGGAGCTCCGATCTCGACACGCAGCTCCGGGCCATGTCCCTTTCGTCCTCCAACCAGGAGCCAAACATATTGAAGGTCCAGCAAGGCGGCCGAGATATTCCTGCAAGTACACTTGTCGAGTTGACCACCCGATCCGCACTATCCAGCACCGAAAGGAACGTTCTCAATTGGCGAGACCGTTATTCCCAGCTACTCTTCTCCGAGACAGCTTCTCACTTCCTTGCGTTGCATGAACGAGGCAATTACCAAAGGCTGGAGAAAAGGTCGATCACAGCCCCTGAATTCAAAAATGCAGAGGAGGATGCTCAGAAGGACATACAGAAATTGGTCAAGGTGCTGGAACTTATCAGGAACCTGGTGATTGAAGAAGGGAAGGAGGGTCGCCTCAGTGTGGTTTGCATGGACAAAGTGCTGAGCATCCACAAGAGGCAAGGGCGAGAGAGCTGTCTCCCAGACTCCATGATGGCACTGTTCGAATCCGCGTAAAATACGTCTGAATGGCGCGAAAGACTCGCCTTTTCATTGGAACAACTGCTGACTAACGTCAACGTACAAGATCCACGAGGTATCACAAGGTAGAAAATACATGTACGCATTGAGCAGGAGACTTCATTTACGCCCCTCCTTACCACCTATGAACGACCTCGTCAGCATACCTAGTGTAGAAAAAAAGAGGACTGTATAAAATTCAGGAAGCCATGCATAAGTGTGCATAAGTATGGAATCGGCATTTTTGAACGGCGGTGTCTAGTCGCCTCTTGGAAACACGGACCATACAGGTATCATCTTGGAGGGGAAAGAGAGGAACAAAGACTCACCATCAATGGGTATGACCAGAACGGGAGGAATATTTGGGGGGCTAAGTGGGCATAAGCTGGGTGAATATTCTGATCTACTGTGTTACTCCTGAGTTAAAATCGAACAGATGATGTTCTCAAATTGATTCGGGAGTCTGGAAGCAGGGATCGAGCCTCGAGGGAGTAAGCCGATGTGGAGTGGAGCCCACGATAAAATCATGTCCCACTATAGTGGCATGAGCGAACTGTTTCAGTGATTCCAGTTGATTCACACTCACCACTACATTCACCTACGTTCCCACTGTCCGAGCGTAAAAGGGTGTAAGATGGACGAACGAGAGAGAAAATATCTGGACGGCAGCTGGTCCTTTCCAAGTTTCCAGAAGGCGATACCAAACAGAAGAAAACAGTGGCGCCGTGATGATCGAAGACTCGATCGTGTTGACGAACGACGTCTCCCTCTCCCAGCGTCTCCCTTCCCAGAGCAGGAGTTTTCCTATAAACGAAGACACCGTATCGCTCTCCATGCCCCCATTTTGTGCAACCTCGTCATCCCATTTGTCCTCTTTTTATGCCCTGGAAAGTTGTGAGTCACCCTCATTGATATCCTAAGTAGTAAGTGTTACTAGTTCTCCGTGTCTTCATCATCCAGTTGCGCGCTACAGACGCGATTTCGGCCCAATCGGACGCAGCGTATGGTGGTATCTCGAGGTGTTCGAGATGCCGTTCACTGTTGCACCTTCCATCCCACTTTGTGCGTGAAATAACACTTAAATTAACGCTCTCTCATGGCCCCTCTTCAGCATTTTTTTCTCATGTCAACTGCCATGCTCATCGGCCCTATCAGACTTGTCTTCTTCATATCCTCTTCAGGCCCCGACTGCCTTCCGTTGCTCGTCAGATCTGCCTGGAGAACATCTGGAGCATCTATGAAGCCTAATGTGTCCTATATCGTTGAGGATGTCACCGCGATCGATTTCAAACACGGAAGGGATTTCTGACGCGTTCCACATGGACGGTATCTTCTGTTGCCGAACGACGTCTGTTTCTTCCCTAAAGGAAAGCTCTATCAGGCTCTTTCTCGGTGGAACGCGTCTCCCTCTTTCAAACGGCTGCTAATGCATCTTCATGACGCTTTACCATCATTTATCTACTGCGACGTTACCGCTGCGGTCTCGTGGACGACACCTCTACGATTCGCATTTGGATGGACCCTTGGACAATTGTTGGTCTGGGCTTTTATCAGCGCCATAGGCCGCAGCCTCTCCGTGCGGAACGGCCTGAAAGATGAAAGACAGTGGTGGTCCAGAAAGTTGCAGTTGGTATAACAAAGTTTGACTACAAATCCCCTCGTCTGTAGTGGGATGGGGTCGCTCCATGTGGTACGTGCGTGCCAATAGTGTTTCGCCAAAGTTCCTAATATTTATAATTCAGACTGTTTCCTTACACAATTTTTTCCCTTTGTTGCAGGTCGAATACAGAATGGAATACACAGATCAACATGTGAATTGCATCTATATGAAGCCTCCACGATGCTATTGCGAATGACGGGGCCCTTTGAGATCAGTGCATCCTCAGCGATTTTCAAGGCTACTAGCCTGTGCTGCTCAGCAGGGCAATCTCACTGATATCGTCACTTATGCATTTTCCCTTTCAACTCAGTACATAAACCGGTATTGGTTATACGTTACCCGAAGTGGGACGCTTCTCTCGATCACAAAGCCATGATCACGTCTATTTCTCGATTTGACTATATTTGAGCCAGGCGTTATTGAGATGGAAGCCTTGTCAGCCACCTTAAATTCAACCCTTCCTCCGCTTTCACCCCTACCTCATCCAACGCAACTAGCTGCGCGATGTCAGCCACGCACTCGTCTGACCTTGTAAGTCAAGCATCCCTGTAAACCATAACTCTCAAACTTACAAGGGGTCTATCGAGGCGGTCAAACCCATTCAACGAGTTGATTCTGGCGAGACAGATGAATCACCCTTTGGATCAAATCTAGTAACACCTGAGGACGAAGACCCGTATTCTAGCTTGGGGATACACGAACGCCTGGATGCTGCTAATGCCGCCCTAGGCTACTTCGCCTCGAAGGACGTTCGCCCAGAAATTAACCCGCCCTCCATCGTCGTTCAAGCAAGCGAGACCGAGGAACACGCCATTCAACCGTCGCCCAATACACCACAGGCTCGGCATCTGTTTGTCGAAGAACAAATCCATGTCGTAGAAATACCTGCCGCGGAGAAACAGGACGGTTCGGTAGGCCTTTGGGTCTTTTTTTTTTCAATGAACATGAACCTCAATATAGTCATTCAGGATGCAGTATTCCCGACGTCTGATTCAGAAGAAAGCATGCTTTCATCCGCTTCTGAAAGCATACGTGCGAGGTCGAGGAGAGGAGTAAGTCTATGTTGATGTGACGGACAAAGGAACCCTGATAGATGGACGGCTACAGAGCATTTATACGCTGCCCAATGACCATATATTCGTCGCGGCTCCTCCAAACACCCCCGTTCCCAGTGCAGAAGTATGTGATCAATCTCGACTTCAGATAATTTGTTTACTGGAACTACTTTTAGACACAAGAAGATACTCATGGTGGCATAGACGAACCAGGCACCAGCGGATTGGCAACCTTTTCCACCGTCAACATGGAACGTCTCGTCAGGAACCTCGATATGCACTCCCTTTCTTCGCTCGCCCTCAAGGTCATATTTTTCGTACCTTGGTGCATTGCCGTTGGTGGCTCTCTCGTCCTCGCACCCGATCATGTCGACTGCATCGCCTTCGGTCTGGGATATCTTGAACCTCCACCAACTCCAATCCATCGCTTCTCTCACTGGGCGAACTATGGCCTGCAATATGTCAGCATCTTCCTAGCCCTTGTAGCAATGATCGTCTATTCCTTCCCTTCGAGTGGTCTTGTCCTCTGCGGCGGATTGCTCGCTCAGTTCTCCTGGGAATGGCACGCTTTCTTAGCTGATCGCACAAAGTCTTTGGGGTCTGATGACCGTCAGACCGTGCATCTGCTCGCGACGACCATTTGGCTCAAGGGCGATACACCCCAGATCACGAAACGCGGGGAAGACTACTACTGCTTGGCATGAGGGTTTCTGCAACTTGTCAGATACGAGACAGGTGCAGAAGGTAGGGAGTAGGTTGAAGAGAAGAACGTATTTCGAACTGCCTCCAAACTGGCATCTAATTACCGAGCAGATATTATTTTTCGGGTTGTTCACATGTAGCTAGATCACAACGAGTTTGCAGCTACTTCAGCCGCTCAGAGTCGCTCTGCGCTCAGTATTTGTGCGCTTGTTGTGCCTGACAAACAAATCATGCCCCAATAGACAGAGGGTCCTTCCACTCCTCCAATTACCTAACCACTGCCCACCGTCTGTCTACCCAAGTCTGCGGTGAAACTACTTGAAATGCACCCCGTAATCTCCACTAAGTCTCTGGCTGCATCTTCTCTGACTCGTGCTGCGATGCTTCAAGTTGACTTTCCCGGGCCCTTCGGCAGTGTCCCAATGGCACCGGCATAGCAGGCACTACGCCTTGGTCTGGATGACATATGAAACCACTGTGCATTAACCCATTTTATTGACCGAACTGGAGCCCTGGATTCCGATACATAGCATGCCGCTTTGGCAGGACCTCTTTCGCCGAAGGTGACACTGTTTCTAGTATCATTGGTCTCGAACCTAGGCGCCATCCACTAAGGCTATTCTCTTTTAATCTAATGCTCTCCATCGGGATCGCCGCGGTGATGCCCCGTTGAAGAAGGTGTGTTATCACTCGATTTCCGAATATATGGCCACGCTCACCTTTTTCACCACCGCGCCTTCGATAAGAGGCTCTACGAGTCCCAAATCAAAACTGAATATAAAATTTCATGTGCCACCCTGTGGTAGATAAGATTGGCTTCATAAACTGTGCTTTCACCATAACGGATGTGGCGACGAAGAAACCTACGGGAGGAGGACAGGCTTTCTGACCTCGCTTGAGAGACAAGGCCTCGAACATCACGGCTACTGTTCAGGGTGTATTGTAGGCAGTCTGACGGCATATATGGAAGGTGTCTTTCTGAACCGAGCCAGATCGTCTCGACAACACCAATTCCCGACCTGCCCCCGACCACCTTCGACCCAGTTTCCTTGCTCTGCTCTCGGATTATCTGAAGGCGTACGTCGGCCCTCAGAAGCTTCACTCCACACGTACCCGTGGACTGCGTGACGCAAAGCAGCTCTCCGTCCTTCTATCTGTCAATTAACAACCTGGCCGGGTGATGAAAATCCCAGGACACGGCGACCGAACGAGGAGGGTTTCATATAGGTCACCCACTCCCACTCTTATCCGGACGTTTGTCGGCCACTTTGGAAGGACAACGAGAGAGACGGCCCCCGTCTACAGGTGTCGAGAACCACAGGACAACGCGATGGACGATATTTTGTGTCGCACAAATCGACAGACATCGACCTGTTGCTTTATGGAATGTTGAAACGTGTTCCCTCCCGTCTTTACAAATCAAAGCAATTAGAAGGACTATCGAACACGGACGAGCCTCAGGTGCACGACTCGCCCGACTGATGCAATGCGAGCACCTGGTTCGATGATTGAAGGCAACACCCCTGTGGGATCATCAGCAATGCCGAAATCTTGCTTAATCTCCGGGGCTCTCAAGGGAGTTTTTTTATCTAGATCTCTACCCTAAAAGACGATTTGAACTTTCCTACCCTCATAGCACACGTAAAATCCCCCCGGCAAAGTGAGGCAGCCATTTTAAGTTCGCCTTGAAGATCTAGAGTTCAACCTCGCCGCAAATTTCTGAGTCTAGCAGATGTATCTTCACTGTCAAAGCCAGGGTCTATTAGACCATAGCAGCGCCTTATACTCCCTCCACATAGTCCCCGTGTGAGTTGTGGTTGCGGGAAAACAAGCTACTAGAACGGCTATAACAGTGCCACGAACACCAGAGCCTCGCACTCATCTTTCGACCTGACTGCCGTCTATGTCGTCAACGACGTCGGTGTGCTGATCTAGGAGAGGCGAAGGCCAGCACTCTTGCATCAGAAAGGACAGAAATTTATAGAGGAGAATCAGGGACATGACGGGGCGACCCGACGGAGAAACTGCGGAGGGATGTCCGCTAGCCGTGGAGAATAGCATTATATCAGCTTCTCAACGTTCGGAGATCGCAGTCGCAAAGGCCATTCTACTGACGTTGACCTACGCACGCGTAAATCTCGCAGAAACGTCTCGTGCAGTGATGACCTCGAAGCGTGAGTAGAAGTCGTCGTTCTATTTCCAGAAGTTCTCAAGTAGGTGGAAGTTCAAATGATCTGCCTCCAGAACTGGCCCAAGTTGTGACGAAAACTTGCGTAGTCGCGGAGAGGACGCGTTTATTCTCGTTATCGATCGGTGAAAGGTTAGAACAGATACCTAAGGGGTTTCTCCGGCGTGAGCGAGGAAGTACTGATAGGAGGGAGGGCCAGAATAAATCCCACATAAGTGGAGACGACATGACGCGCATTCCGAAGGCGTGGCTCAATATCCTGGGTCTTTGCTGGCCACTCTTGGCGCGAGAAGGGGAGAAAGCGAGGAAATTAGAGGGTAGATCAACAAGGTGACAACGTTTGGTTCCTGTCATGTTTGTCATGCATTTATTCATGAGGTTACACCCTACAGAGAGCATGATACACAAACAGGAGAAAGTGAACCCAGAAAGATCGCAGCAGTGACCTCCAGACGCCTCCAGCCAAAATATGGGATGGTTGAAGCGGGGACGGTTGACGCCACAAGCAAAACGCAGATCCATTTTGGCCATGGGTCGATGTGCTGGAGACAGCGTCTGACAAGACGAACCGTGTCGAATTGCAAGCAAATTTGGAAAGGCAAACACCCTCGCCGATTCGAACAATACCCCGATGAGAAAATAGAGGAAAATAAACTTCTTACGTAGAGATAAAAAAAACTGTTTGTGCCCTGAAATTTGGCAGAGAAGGGTAGGCAGAGATCGGATCGGTACAGCGTGGCATCATGGTGCGATAGACGGACGTCCAGAAACAAAGCGACGAACCCGGGAATATCGATGCGAACGATGCTGATGATAGATGGCACTGGCAGGGTGTCGGATGCATCATTCGCCTGTATGGCGATACCAAGAGCATATTACATATGAGTGAAATTGGGCTCACTTCACATGATATAGTAGCATACGAGTGCACGGTCGTTCGTCGGGGACGTATGCTTTGCCTGAGCGCAGGCCGACCTGCTGCAGATAAGTAAAAGACCAGAGAAGCTGCCAACTGTCGGGGTAAATTAATTAGCGGGTTTGGTTAAGGGCACACAAGAATCGCGGAAAAGAAGACACGATTTGGCGTATTGGAAAATTCAGCGGGCAAGGGGCATCGAGTTGCAGTACTTTTAGAATGGCGGGCGCGGTTTCCTCAAGCTCCCTAAATCCGCAAGAAGGAAGGAGAATAGACAAGACGCGAAGAGAACGAGTTAGCCAAAGGTGCCTCCTCCAAAAAAGACATCGAAGATTATAGACTCACCTCACACCTTTGGAGCGTTGAACACAAATGCTGCTCAACATGCCGTTACAGAATCCAAGCGAATACAAGGTGCAACAAAGGAAGCTCTGCATGCGGCATTGCAGACAGAACATTTGAAAGATCTGAGGCTCACGAGCCTCAGCAGCTGACACGGACATAGTTCACGTAGTAGCCTCGTTCCAGAGGTGGAACTCGGCTTAGAGATAACGTGCATCCTGTTGATCAAAGCAAGGTTAACACAGTGCCGCTTCGCAATTTTCTTAGGAGAAAGAAAGAGGTCAGAAGGAAGGCAGCGGAAAAAATCCACATGGGGGTTTTGCGCTCTCGGATTCAGAGTCCTTTGGACTACTTTACATCCGCAATACTTCATCCGGAGTAGAACGAAAGAAATGAGCAAATGAGGTGGAATGCTTACCCGACAGGACTGGCATGATCACAAGATGTGAACCGGATAATTGACTGGGAGAAAGAGTCTGGAAGACTCAGGTAATCTGCGTCGTTTCTGAGAATTATTTCACATGAGACTCAACGCGTCGTCCATTTGCACCAAAGCTGACAACATTATAAAAGCCATACAATTGCGGGGTGAAAGGGCCATGGGTGTGGTTGTGAATAAAGTCAAGTTTGAAGAACTTTCCTTCCAACTTCAATTGTGACGAGCAGGGACAACCTGTCACTAGTTCACTAGTCACCAGATTGACGTCATCTCACTCTGCGCAGTTCGTCGTGAAAATCGTCTTTGCTACGCTACCGTTCTACGGATAATTATTGGTGCAAGATAACGTAGTACAAGGAAAAGAATCAAGGAAAAGAAATATGCAAAAAGGTAACCAAGAAAGCAAAAGAAAGGTGTGATAAACGAGTGTAAGTACCGAGGAGGCAAAATCATATTCCTTGTCTGCGAAGCCTGCAATCAGTCGTCAGCCAGAGAAGCTGACAATTGATACAGGACCGAACAGCCATATGAGAATGAAGGAAAGGCAGAATAAAAGGGTATCTTTTCGTGCTATATGGATCACCCCATGACATACTATCGATGCCTATTCGTCTGCCAAGGTTTAAGGGCGTGCAGCAACTGGTCCGTCCAGTGTCAAGACGGAGTGATGGGCCAGCAGACGATAAGGCAAGAGATGTACTCATGAAAAATGCATGAATTGTGGGGTGTGAAAGGGAATAAATATGGGAACACAAAAATGAATGGTCCAAAGTCTGATGAGAAGCCGCCAATGTGGATGCCAGCAAGGGTGAAGTATGAAGGGGGTGAATAGGGGTGGTCTCTGCGGAAGTGGGACGTGCGCGTGTTGAATATATGAGGAGCAATTGTTCTTTCGATACAAACTTATGATGACCAGATAAGAAAGGACGCCGCTGACGAATAGGAAGGAAGAAACCGCGGTCATAGCGTCAGCGATGCCATAGCCATCAAGGCCAAGCTCGTTGCTCCAACGAGAGCGGTCACCAGCTGCGGGCCAAGTCCATCCTGAGCATTCGAAGTCGAACGTCGGGCAATCGTCGTGGTGTTCCGCAGGTTACGAGTAGGAAGCATGTTCGGCGTTGTCGAAACCAGGAATTGTGGTGCCACAGGGACGCCGTCGAACTGGAATAGATGGAGCTTCGGTCCCGCAGTTGGGTCTCGGAATATTCTCCAGCCGATGTAGTACTCCCTGTAAGGGTAGGATTCGATGAAGTTAGAGACAGCAGCGCATGGATCTTGAATTTGTTGGTAGCCATCTTCGAAGGGTGTCATCGTGATGGAGCCATTGGCATTCAGTGTGTATCTGCCATGAACCCAACCTATCACACCGGTAATGCACGTGGGTTCCGATCCTGGTTCAGAAAACGAAATTTCTCAACAAACATGATCGAGGCCAGAAGTCAGTCAGGCGTACCGTTGCCATTAAACCGATATCTCGCTATCTCGTAGAACCCATCGTCAGAGCTAAACAAAACAATGAATAATCATCCCGGTGTTCTTCGGACGGAGAGTACATACAAGGAATAGGAAACCCCTGTCGTTTTGGGGTAAGTAAAGGTCATTTGGGCAGGGTTTGCAAAGCCCTAACACAAGAAGAAAGGGGTTAGTCAGTCTGGCATTTCGAACGAAAAGCCCATGAGGTCCTACCGAGCCTGTAACAACGGCCTTGCTACCCGTACTCCAAGTACCAACAATGGTAGTAACATTGTGCTCCAGATCGTATCTAATGGGGCCGTTGGCATCCAGCTGGGCTGAAACCGTCGGGGCCAACGATGCAAGCACCATGGCGAAAAGAGTCGTGAAAATCATGACGTTTTGAGAGCTTGAGGGCTTATTCCTCGTTGTGTAGGAGTCCGGAGGTATGCAAGACTTGCAGAGAACGTCGAAAGAGGGTCGGAGGAGTGGAGGGTCGGGGGGACAAGGTGAGTGGATGGTGGTGACGAGAGAACCAGTGGAGCGTGCGTTTGGTCCTGTTTGGCCCTTCGGCGTTGTTCCTCTGAGCGACTCGCCACTGAGAACGAGGCTGCCAAGATGTCCCTTGCGCGCTTCAAGCGTCTGTTGGCGATTTAAAAGAATGTGGGTAGTGGTTATAGGCAGAATGAAGTAGCTCCTTAGATAAAGTCTATGTCAAGACTTGTGCAGCGTCAGCCCATCAAGGGCATCCCTGACACTCCCTGACAACGGCTTACATCAGCGTGTCGCAACACTGGTAAGGTAACGGAGTGCAGACCTCGCGTGACAGGCGTGACAAACACCAATTTTTGAAGAAAAGTCTTAATGGCGGCCGCAAATGCAAGAAAATAAAAAATCGAGCCGCGCAGGGTTTTAGAAAATTGGAGGACTGAAAACCCTGCGCGAACGGATTTTTTGTTTTGGACGTTTCGAGAGCGCCATTAAGCTTACAAGCATCAAAAGTGGTCAATTTCACTGTCATCTCCCCTTCTTTGCCATCTGACGCCCCCCACGCTCGTGGCCTTATCTTGAAATTATTTCTTAATGTGATGTCAGGGTAATTTGACCGAATTGAAGGCAAAAATGGCAAATCTACTGCCCAGATACATACAGGATGGGCTGCTCGAAGACGCCAGTTCTCTGACACTCATCAAGCCCCGAGGTCTCCAACAGAGTGTAGGTCATGGGACATGTGCAAGAATTGACTAAACCTTCTTTGAATGCATTTGGGCTCTCGTCCGCAGCAAAGCGATGGCTTCATGCTCGAAGCGTGGGCTCGGGTGAGGATGTGGTCGAGGCATGAGAACCATGAAGGACCCCCACCGAAGGTAAATGTTCTTGTGATAAAATAGCCACAATTTTTTTCATAAAACTTCAGGTGCTCGACGAGACATCGGGTGTAGGTTTCTCGACTTTATTTAAGTCGTGTATGCACCCTAGTGAACAACATTGAACACACCAATTGCTTTAGGGGCCTGTCACGGAAATGTAACGCCACGTGATGTATGAAGCCCGTGCATAAGCCCTACCTTACCGGTAAACTCTGAAACTTTTCTGCCAGTATGGAACTTGGACAAGCAGAGAAAATTGAGATGGCAATCCAGAAGTATGGAATACAAATTTGCGGGCAAGGGCCCCCATCGTACATGACCGAGTGAGATGTGCAAAACCCGCTGGTGCGAGCCGACTTGAGCCAAGGCATGAATAACTCGAGTCTATAATGAACGAGTGCTACTATGCGTAAAACAAACAGAGAAAGCATGTGCGAATCAAGAGGTCAAGCAGGCAATGTTGGTGCCTACAAGGCGCACAGAAAGAAAAATCGTTCGCATGCTTCAAGTTGTCTGATTCTGCGAAGCTGCGAACAAAGACAAAAGAAGCGGCGGACGAGATACGAGAAGACGCGGACGTGGACCAATCAATCCTTCTTTAACTCCCTCCTGATCACAAAGACTCTCTCGCCATCGTTAGTGGCTGTCAATTCCTGGACGCCTCGGACAGTTTGGAGACCTTGAAGAGCAGTGCTGCCTTTCGACAAGACAATATAAATCTCTAGACCATCTCCGACCTGCCAATAAAACAACCACGTGAGCGTTTACTCTTGCAGGGATACAGGGGCACGACAAGGAAATATGTAGAGTAAGGGAAGTTACATGGCTGGAAGGAGGTTCTTGTCGGTGGCGAAGGCGAATAACGAAGCGAGGAGGGAAGAGGTTAAGAATTGGGTAATCCACGGACCTCGATGTGTCGTTCTGTCGCACTCGTAAACGAATCGATCACGAGGGGCAGGACAGTTGAAAGCGGGAGATGTTTGGGGAACGCTGTTCCTGGTGCGGGTGTTTGGTTCTTGAAGTAGATCTAGAAGAGGCAAGGAGTTATATCAGCCTCCAAAGAAGGGTAAAAAGGAGTAAGTTGTTGGATAAATTGGTCATGGAGGTGCGGGTCGAAATCGGTGAAGGATCGGATGCAGCCTGATTGAGATTAGACACGAGACGTGCGGTTCGCGCGTCTTTGTCTGGTTCGGTAGATTCAGAGTGAATTGCACTGACCTGGTTGTCTAGGAAGGGTTGGACAAGCGATTGCGCCGCACCGGCAGCGCGACACGCTTCGCGCTCGTATGACCCAACAGGGTCGAAAGAGTAGACGGCGCCAGTACCTAAAAGGACAGATAAGGACGGTAAGTGTTGTTATTGAACAGGAATCATGAATATGACCGGCTCGGTATGGCATATTTTTGGCCCCATTATATGCCACGGTGGAGGTGTGGGTCGGATGGAAGGGTGCACATACCATCTTCTTCGATGCCGCCCAGGATGTTGTAGACGTAGAAAGGGAAGAAACGACGAGCGTAGAGCATCGTTTGGATGAGGCGTGCGATAGCACGAATTGGCATGTCCTTTGCATGGGCATGTCGGTACCACTGAGGCAGAGACCATCAACACTTGTCCCGAAGACCTCGATGAGTTAGATACGGGTATACACACCTCGAGACGCTGCCTCACTTTCTTTACGAACATGTTTCCATCTGCAGCAAATCCATTCACGGCCAAAACGGCCTTATCCGTCCTGCATGTCGCGATTACGAATGCACGATGAGTGGTCTGGGGTGAGCGATGGGAATGATCCCAACGGCGGAACTTACAGTCTGAAGACCTTTGGAGCATATCGAGTCTGTATGCTGTACCCTTCGCTTTGTCTGGTGTCACCAGCAATAACGCTGAAGTCGGCACCTGCGATCGCCAAGATTGTCCCGCCGTTCTCTGTGTAGGGGTTGAAGGACTGTTGGACTGGCTGTGAGGTGGAAACCATAGCGGGCATGCTCTTTGGGGCGACAAGAAGAAGTGAGCAGGGGAGTGGGAAGAAAGCGTCCGAAAAGTGGCAAGAAGAGCGTATATAACGTCTGAGGAGGAAGATGGGAGTCGAGAAAGGCCGCGTAATAGACACCTAAAGTCGCGTTCCTTCCGTGGGAAACCGATCGAACTCGCCACTGCCCGATTAGTCGCTTCCATATCTGGCATGACAAATCGCGATCTCCTTCTCTTCCTCGTTACTCCGAGCTTTTGCCCGTTTCGGCGTCGAATCTCTTCAAACCGAGCCCCCAGCTGTCAGTTGCACCGCACATCCTCAATTCAGTGGCGACCCGTCCATGCTGTGCGCCGCTGTCAGACAAGATGCAGCGGTATGTAGGCCTTTTGAGAGCCTTTCACTGAACATTTTACCACTCAACAACCTTCTCCGACTACTCGCCGACGCGAACCAGCTACCCACGTCCTTCCACGCGAAATTTATTTGAGTCCTCGCTCTAGTGCTCCAAAGGGACTCCATCTTGCTCTACGAGTCCCAGAGCTGCCACGAAGGCGTGCACGCACGAATAACCACTGGAAACCGTGGTATCTCTTTATAGGCGACTACTTCATGTTGTTTGCTTGTTATCTCGAGCTCCTGCCTTCCTTTACCCGAGCTGCTAGCCGAATCAAGGTTCAGGTCAACTCCCTGCGTTGTTGAACAGCTCGACTCCATTCTTCCGGACGCCGGTGCGGTCAATGGGCCTGGTTACATCTAATCCCGGATGTCCAGCCTATACACTGGAAAATAAATTCCGCCAGATGTCTGCACAGATTTGGAAAGAAAGGTAACAGCGATTCTTCTCGTTGACGCCATCTTTGGCATCTCGCACCGTGATAATGGACTGTTTTCTCCGACTTGAGCCTTCTTTCCTGACGGGTACTGGACAAGCTCACTCTCTCGTGGGCGCACCACTCCTCGTGTTCCTCCTTATCTCTCGTCTATTGCACCCTCGTCCGTGCTAACGAGCTTTTGCTCCATCCTTGGGCCTCGGAGTACCACGAGTCTTGGCACGTCCTGCTGTCTATAGAATCACGTTTGTTTTCGGAAGAAACATCGGTTGGTAGAGCTTCTTTGACTCCCGAAACCCCGTCATGAGCCAATATGTGCAGCACATCTGACACCGCCCTGGTCAGTTATTCATCCTCTCACGTTCTGCCGCTTGTTGGCCATGGCTAGAAATACAGCACGGTGACTCTCACGGGTTAGAGGCATCATCGAATTGGAGAGTCCCTCCATGATGGATTCTGATACCCTGTTCTGGCCTCGGCATCCAGCAGACATCTAACTAAAGGCCTTTGCCGTCTGACCTCTGACCTCTGAGTATTTCACTCGTTATTCGCCAATCCTCCTGTTCCCTAAAGACTTGGGCATAAGGTCTCCAAAAATTATTTCTTTCGTCTGTCCACACCCCTCAATCGCAGCGGAGAAATGTATAGAAAAGAAGTCAAGTCCTGGTCCATAAATTGACCAGTACCCAAAACCTGGGCCTGCGGCGAGCATCTTCTCTTCCCTCGTCTTCTCACCGTCGTGACCCTCTATGGTCTTAGCATTCGCCGCGGAGATGATCTTTACGTTTATGTTTCCGTTTCCATCTAATCGAGGCCGAAAGAAGTGGAGGTCCGTCATGCTATTCCGAGCGTTGTCTCGATGCGCACCTTTCGCGGACTCAGTTAACCTAGCTATTTTTTGCCTTGCCGACGCCGTTGGCATACATCGGCCAAGGCTGCTCGAAGGCTATTCTTCGTCTAGCCGCATCCTAATCTTGGGCATGGTCTTGGGCCAGAGATGACCTCTAATCGCAATTAGGCAACCAAAGTTGCCATACTTCTCTGGTTACAGACTCGACTCTGGTCTGGGTCTGGGTCGGGCTTCCTGGTTAGTATGGTACTTATCTGCTTCTGGGCGTCTACTTTTGACTTTGATCTTTTGACGACAATCACCGAGATAGTTCCTCACCGCAGAAACGAGCCCCGGTTTTAGCTCTATCCGTCCAGATTATCTTGACTTGCTCGATTTCTGCTCCTTTACGTACCTGGTTTTCTGGCTTGCCCGTATGTGTATGTAGTCTCAGGCATAAGTATCTTCTTCTTGAGTAATACTCTGCTTGTTCAAACAGTTGGACCCGCTTCTCTCGACATCTGACGTCCTGTCCTTCCCACCTGGTGGTTCGTTCCTTTCCACTGGCCACTCTTTCGAGATCTGCATCCGCTTTGACGGCAGAGGTCGCCGCGATTCTTCTGACGAAATCCCGGTGACTGTTCCTATTCGCTTACGCGCACGTACCGTTCTGGGTGCCCTCTCAGAGCCTCTCAGTCGACCGCATCAGAGCAAGCGCCAACATCATGTGAAATTTCGCCGAGGAAACTCCTGCCGATCCTACGCAGGCTCACAAGCTGACTGCCAGAATCTTCCTGCCCTGTGCTGATAGAAAGTCGATGCATTGGTTCCCTCCTTCGGGGGTGATTCATAACCCTCGTCGAGCATCACGGTACTCGACCTCGACTTCCTGTTCGAACTTTCTAGCAGATGGCTTGGAAGAGTCGAATCATTTCCCGTCGGTTGTCACCGAGGGAAGGGTGCTTCCTGGCTATCACCTTCGATGAGAACCAGGGAATGGGTGCTTTACCAAGACGCCGCGATAGAGCAGCTTCCATGTTCATCCAGATGATTGTCGACTACACATTGAGTTGGAAAGATGCTTGAGCACCCCTTGCGGTCTCGCTTCCAGGACTATGATATCCCCTTTGCGTCAGTGTGATCCTATTTCGCTGGAGTCCCCCACGAGGCTAAACAAGCCCAGTGGGGTGTTCAAAACATCCTTGACTTCTCAGGATCACAACTGGGTGCTTTGCCGCACCCTCGTACTGGAAAGGGTTGATAAGCTTCTTAGAAGGAAAGTTATGCTACAAATATTCTAACCCAAGCGCTAGCTTTGCCGGCTGCTTTCAAAATTATCACCTTGGCGATTGCTGACGGCTCCCAACTCCACATCCGTGCTGAATTCTTCAGGTTTTCCCGTTCATTACTCAGCGGCTTCGTTGGACTGGATAACACTGCTCCTCAATTTTCCTGGATGGGTTCATGAGCTTAAAAATAAGCTTGTGTCTCCTTCGCGCAGCATTGTCTGCCGGACGATCGGAACATTCTGAGATTCAGTATCCAATTTAAATATCCTCAGGCTACACTGAAGAAGTGAACTTTGCCCGCCCCTCAGTTGCGTCAACCTCGTTCACAGATCGGGAGCAAATGTTCTGTTGGCCAGGAAGAATCATAGAAAATCCCGCCACGGTATGACAGTTCATAAATCGCGAAGCATATGTGTATCATCCGAGTTTAATTCTCTATCTAATCTTGTGGCTAATTGGAGGCATAGTGTCCTCAAACGTAAACGAACCGCTGCGCGATGGCACTTAGGCCCCGGACTCCCCCCAGTGGGACACATGATACTGCGGCCTGCCCACCTGTTGAATTTCAGGAGAGTTTTCTGTGCTGGGGCACGATCGGCTGTAGTAAGAGCCTCTCATGGTCCAACCTGGCCTCGGCTATTCGAGGTGCGATTCAGTGGATCAGTAGCAATAAGCTTCCCCGGATCTCTCTTACTAATTTTAGCGGTCTCCTAAGAGGTGCTGCTGATTTTAACGAAGGATCCCCAACCTTTCCCAAGAATCAAACGCGACCGAAGCACATTGACGTTTGTTCCTGCAGAGCAAGAGCATCTCGCAGCCGCCTCAATGACCCTGAGCGCGATCAAAGTTGACTTCTTTCGGCGCGATCAAATCGGGTTATGTGCGCCACACAATGAAGCAGAAGCAAATGCGAAACCTAGACGGCCCGGGTAACCGCCACGACTAACCAAAATCCCGCCACAGTTCCTTTGCACAACAATGTTCCATATCTTTTGCCCCGGATCCGTTACAGTCTTCCCAAGCTCAACTCGCCCATAGGCATGACCGCTTCCGAGGCACACAGGAGAGACGAGCCGGACCCTGACGTCGGTGGCAATGCCAGGACATCGGGACATTTAGCGACGGCATTGTAGACCGGTCCTGGTTCGTTTGATGCGCGCTGGTTTACTCTGATACTTATGCGTCATAGTGTCTGCGAAGCACGACTATTGAATGACTGAATGGGGTGTCAAACGACACGAAACGTGGTCCGGCGTTCGTTCCGGCGCTCCATACGCTCATGCTGCGACACTACTCCACAATTCGCCCATGACAAAAAGAAAGTCGGCTTCCATCTCCTACATGCACGGATTATTTCTTTCGTGTCCAGTGGGTGCACCACCACCATTATATTCAGCGAACCCCAGGGATGGCTATAGTAAGCTCGAGTGGCCTTCTGGGATCCGACGGCTGACGATATGATATGATACCCTGAGACTGGCACCCTCTTATGAAAGTCGTGTTAACTTTTCGGCACCCTCTTACTCGAATCGGGGACCGTACAAGCTTTTAAAATGTGGCATCATATTATCAACCGCACGGCTGGAATTATATGAAGCAATTCCCCGATGTTTACAAAAGGGGCTGGATGAACATTTCCACCCTTTTTCTTATCTCTCTGCGAGGAGCTCGGACGTTCCTCTAGCAGCGCCGAGAATCTGAGTGCGTCAACATAATGGCAAGCTGGAATGAGAGTTTATCCCTGCCTTGAGAAGTGCCATGATGGAGTATTCAGCGGGACGCATGTAGCATGCGGAGCACCCTAATTTTCCGGGATGCCTCCTCGGTTTTGCGAGATCGGTAAATCTGCTCGAGGCGTCTTATTTTCTTTGGAATTCTAGTCCTAGCCGAGAGCCTGTTCTCTTTTTGAAAGAGGCGTGGTGTTCTTCGATCCCTCGTGTGTGAGCTGTGTCTGAGGGATCTGATCCGTCTCTATGTATCCTAATCAGCAAGCTTGCGCGGCCTGCTCGTGTTTCACCGAGGTCATGGTGAGGTATCCACACCTTCAAGTTGCTGGCCAACGACCGATGCGGGCATGTCCTATTTTGCCTGCATCTTCCATGACACCTAATTGTGAATTTCTTCCAAACGGCGTAGTTCAGCTAAGATGATGGATCCTGAGACCTGATATATGATGCCTGACAAACTAGTAAGACTCGGAAGTAACCTATAAGCATCAACCGCTACCGAATGGTACCCACCATATCATCTCCTAGGTATGTCCTACTGTCTCCTTCCAAGTGTCTGCCTTTACTCGTGAGACACGCGGAGGCTGTGGATGTTCTTCCATAAACAGCGGGTTCGAACGGTCTGCTCCGTGGATAAAGGAGTAAGCCCAGGGCAAAGATAGAAATTTCGCGAGATTATGCCGGTCTGACAGAGGGAGCATATAAGCTAGGCCTTGACCCAAGTGTTAGTTAATGTTTAACACCTAGATCGTTTGCCGCCTTTCTTGAACTGATTGATTCCTTGGCCTTTTCCCCGATGGACAAGCATTGTTCGAGGTCGGTAATCTGGCTACATAAGTGCATAAGGTTTCAAGATAACGAGAACTTGTCAATTACATCCCCTAATGAGCGCTGGGACGTAATGACAATAACCTAGCCCTGATAACAAAGGTTTGAGATGCACAACGATAGGGAGTTTTATGAGAAGTAGACGGCGATCATCTCAAATTGATTGACAGGGAATTCCCAAGCTCGATCGTCGTAAAGTTCTTCAGGATAGAGCGGCAGTCGGCTTTCATTTACACACAGTGCGCGAATACGCACTAGGACTCATACACCGGGCAAGTCAGTTCACTTGAGCATATAATTGCTTTTCTACTGCCCTGTCCATTGTTCCTCAATTCCAGATGTCAATACCCCAATGAGGATCGACAGCCCTAAATGGCTCGTGGCTGGTTGCTGCCTTTTCCAGCCTTTCGAAGGCGTCCGAGGACAGAGGAGCGACTGACGGCAGGAGAACAAATTTGAGAGACGTGATAGAATCGAAGCAACGATATCGATAAATCACTCACCATGGAAATTCTCTTCGACACGAACGGGGTGGACACTCTTGGGGAGAACAACAGTCTGTAAACTTGATTAGCATGCCCAGCGGCAATGTTGACTTGTGATGTTGCATACCCCGCGTTGGATATGCCAAGATATATAGACTTGAGCTGGGGTCAATCCTGTTTCTTTTGCAATCACCAGCACCTGCGTATTGACAATGAGCCCAATTCCAATAACCTGGGGCCGAAGAATCGCACCTCAGGGATTTCAAGGCTTTCCTTCACCTTTTCGGCACTTCCTAAAGGAGAATAGGCCTCAAGAAGCAGCCCATTCTCTTTCGACCACTAGACACAATGTATCATTTATACTCTCGCATTCCTGAACTGAGAGTGTACCTTTACCAACTCTGGTTGCGGGTTCCAGTAGCTTAGTTCGACTTGATTGACAGCAGGTTGGATTTTCAATGGGTTGGAGGTTAAATTCTGGATGCGTCGAATGTTAAAGCTAAAAGAGGGCATTCCGGCGGCAATCAGCACACGGGCGACGGCAGAGTCGAGTAGCTGTCTAACTTGCTAATCCCAATGTTTCTCACTTTCCCTTTCTCTACCATTTGCTCAAGTTTTTGCCAGGTTGGATACGGGTTTTCTGTGAGATCGAAGTCAACTGTATTTCCACCTTTCTTGAACGCGACAGGCCTTCAAATAGACGCAGCAAGTCTCAAATTTAGAGGCACGGGGATAAGATAGAGCTCTCACCAATGGATGAGATACAAGTCAAGGTAATCCGTTCCGAGCCTTGCCAGGGACTCGTCGAGTGCTGGTTCAACATCTTCCGGGGCGTGAAAAGTGTTCCATAGTTTTGAGGTGAGCCAGATGTCTTTGCGAGGAACAGAACTCGCTCTAATGGCCTCTCCAACCTCGCGTTCGTTCTGTGCAATGGTTAGGGTGCTTAGCATGGGGACGATGCAGACGCACACCATAGATCCAGGCATCATCTACATGCCTATAACCAACTTTGAGCGCAGCCTGTGTAGTAATTGACGATAAGCCCCAGTGGCACAGCGCGGAATTAGCAGACCAATCAACTTGCCTTGACTGCCTCTCCGACCTCACCAGGCGCAGCACGCCAAACACCTGGGAACAGCTTGTTCCAAAAAATCTCAAGGTATTCGAACCCATTTCAACGCACCTAGGGCAATCGCTGGTATTTTGTCACCAGAGGGCAGGGTAAAATATGTAGGAAGTTTGGCAGAGGTCGCATTCTGATGCACCCCGTGTTTGCCGATACGGTGTTTACCGTGACAAGACCTTATAAACCCTCCCGAAAGGAAAGATTTGGCCACAAAGAAAGTCATGTAAAGGGCGGCCAGGAGAGAGAGGAACCCAAAGCGTAGAGCTCGTCGCCTTCGCTTGTTTTCAGTTTTGATTGGGTCCTCAACATCAGCCTGCACATCCAACGGTCCTTCGGAGGAGTAGCCGGGTGAGGAGTGGAGCTTTGGCTCTTCATAAGTGCTATTTGGGCCGCTTTCATAAGTTACAAGCTGGTGGTATCTGATAGGCATGGTTGTTGGAGAAGGGAGAGGTTCAATCTGCTCAACTTTCTTGTCCTAGTATGGCGTCATCAGAGCAACCGGTCCGAGACTAGACTAACTAGGAGCCCTCGGTGTCCTCGCGGTCAACGGTGTCGAAGTCTTGCTCTCACCCACATCACGTCTTTCATAGACATTTCCTTAGAAGCCTCCGCCACCAATAATATCTCAACACTGTATCCAGCTTATTCACGAACAATTGATATCCCAAGAACCCGGGATGCCTCACACTTTAGTCTATTCAACCTTAACAAGCTGTGTTTTGACTCTCACCCGCCCGGACCTTGACGTGGGACATTAGGTTCGCACCCGTGTAGTCCGTTTTTATCCCGAGGTGAGTTTGTTTGTCAAACCCCAGATTCCAGACCTTGCTTTAACGAAGTCCCAGGATTCGATGGATCAAATTGGTGCTGATGTTGGTGCCACTTCCCTCGAAACCCTTCCTTCAATCGTCTGCCGGAGTTCTTGGTCAACAAGTATGTCTCCTCTCGCGTCGCGCGTTATGTTCTGACAATACCGACAAACTTACTTCACAGGCATTATCTTGAAAATCCGTCAACACATGTTCATCGCAAATTTAACCCGTCGTTTCCCTAGGCTCATTATCTCTTTCGACGATCACGCGATGAACCGTCACTTTCTCTCCCGCCGTTCGATGGCTGCCGCAACGCACGAACAATCCATTCTCATGACGCATTCTCAATCCGACCATCGCGAACTATTGCTTTTAAAAGAGAGGTTTGGGCTAGGAAGACTTCAGGTAGCTTCACTGCTCTCGTGTCGAAAACACGCGCTTCACCCTCACCTTGTTTCTTGCATTTCTTGCCATCACATCAGCGGTACCGTCTCTCCGTTCTCCTCACACCATACACGAGAAACGTGCCGCTGAGCCCCTTGGCTGGGCTCAGGTCCATCGCCTTGAAGCAGACAAAGTTCTCCCTTTGCGTATTGGCCTTAGCCAGTAGAATCTCTATCGCGCGGAGGAGATGCTGATGGTTGTGTTCCATCCAGAGTGCCTAAATATTACACCGCGGATGAAATTATTGACACATTCCCTCCCAGTGCGGAGACGATATCTACAGTGACGAAATGTCTTGCAGTGTCCGGTTTCAAGCCCCGACGTTTGCGACTTTCCACCAACAAAAGCTGGATTGCCGTCGATGTTACGACAGCAGAGGTTGAGCGACTTCTTGAAACTGAGTATTATGTATATGAGCATCCTTCTGGGGAGCAACAATTTGGTGAGTGCGGTTCGATTATGGTTTTGTGCACCTGCCAATGTCGTCTGCAGGATGCCATAACTACTCCGTTCCAGCCCACGTTCATGAACACATAGACCTCATTAGGCCCACCGTCCAGTTCAATCACCTGCCGTCGCCTCTTGCTCTCTGAAAACAGGGCGGTGGCCTGGGCATGCACTCTGCGTACACTGGACCAAAGAAATCCTCCAAAGCTGTCACTATCATCCCATCTTTGAAGAATTGTGATCAGATGATCACACTCGACTGTTTGCGTGCTCTTTACTCTGTGGACTATACACCTGTTTCGACAGCAAAGAAATATGCATGGCATAGGTATGTAGTTTCAACACTGCTCTCTCTCTCTCTCTAAGTCCTCTGTGATTGCCGCTCTAGTCGAGTTCACTCCTCAAGCATTTTTAGGGCCAGATCTCGATATTTCCTACCGTTAAACGCTTAAGGCATGCATTTGGATTTATCAATGCAATTTACCAGGAACTTTTCCCCGAGCCAAGAATGTCCTCATTGATGGTTATACGCCACTTACATTGACAGTCTGGTTTCTTTCTCACAACATCCCTAGCTGTTGTACAAACTACGCGACAAAGTTTCAATTTCAATGGCGAAAGCGACCTTGATCTCGAATACGCCATGGGCCTGACCAACCCTCAGCCTATCGAGCCAGCGAGGGTGGCAAGCCAAGTGAGGTCGAAGAAAACGATCACGTATCTGCTGTTGTTATAGACAGCTACGCACAGGAAGAAGAGGAGCGTCGTCGCCCAGACGGTGATGACGTAGAGTACAAGACAAGCGAGTTCTAACTGGACGCAATTGGGGACGCGAGTGCCTACCAGACAAAGATTAACTCTGAAAGCGCTCAGGCTGTCGAGAAGACTCACTGAGGAATATGATTTTGACAGTACCGTGCGCAAGTCAATCCTGAGTTCATTGTCAGAAACGGATTCCCGCCTGCAGAATATACATTCGCTGACCTGGAGACGAAATACACCAATGTCGGCCATCGGATATGCTCTTCAAAGAGGAGGCGGAAGTCGTTTTTTAGATGATAGAGAACGTCCCAGATGATCATCTGCAATCATAGTGAGGGGGCATCAGTGAGAAAACCTACGGTTAAAGAGGCGACAATGAGATATACGGCGATGTTGGCTTGAAGAGCAAGTTCGGGGGGCGAGAATACCATCGGAGTCAAAGGATTGGACTGTTCGATTTGCGCCCCATTTGTTAAAGTACAGGCAGCCATTGCACGTAGTCGAACATATTTATTTTCTTTATTTATAATTATGGTAAAATATATTATTATGTTAAAAAAACATCCTAAAGAAAAGATACAAGGTCCTCAGGATGAAATTGAGCAGCAGAGCAACAAGGACGTGCGCCTGGCCGGAGATAACTGGTAGGGAACTACGGCACGGACTTGATAGGTCATGGCACCAGACCTATTGCACTGATTAACTTCGAAATCGATAGTAGTGAACAGGGGTAAAGAGCGTACCAGCACCCTGTATGCACCCCTCAGCTATCGAACTGCTCTTCGACTTCGACTTCTCCACTTTCTTCACACCGAACCCGACGAGCCGTTGTGCAACAGTTCTCGTTGTATGTGGCGTTTGCACTGACAGGATGCGAGCTATGAGGCACGGAGAGACGATGACATCCACCAGTGGACGTGGCACTTCGTGGACGAAAGAGACTCGGACATGTTCAAGTTTATCAAAGTTGGCTGACCAATGTCGGCCAGCAAATCCGATCATTTTGCGCCACAGTGATCCGGCGCTGACTTCTGGCAGTTAGAGCAGTCCGGATTCTGTGGGATGGCTCGCTCAATGTCGCCTTGGGGCCCCTTCGACATCTGAGTTGTTAAGGTCAAGTCGACTTAATATGCTCATCTGAGGGCCATTCAAGTTCAAAGTTCCTCCACAATAGACCCAAGGGAGCCATTGCGACAGAGTATGTAGAGTACATAGTCCCTCACATCGCTACGCTATGGCTCAGGGTTTGATTGCGAGGTTGTCGAGGTATATCCCACGTGGGTCGACAACCAGTCCGCACGCGAGTCCGATGATCGATCAGTGAACTCGATCATGAGCGTTTGAACTTGGTCATTGTCAGTCAACATCTTCGTTGGTTGGACTCCATTGAACGTAAGCTGAAGTTGGGCGAAGGCCCGAAAAGAGCTTCGTAGAAATCAAAAAGAATATTCTACCCATTAAGCGTTCGACGGCGATGAATCCCACAGAGACTTAAGTTGCGAAATTAATGAAAAGTCCACCTCGAAACCACGCGTTCAGGCCCGAATCTTCCTGATGGCGCGGCCATTGCCAGCGCGAATGCCCCTCTGAGTGCCCTCGACGAAGATACCAGAGAACTTGAGGGCTTCCAGAGTTCCTTCTTGGATACCGAAGGCAACCACGTTGTTCTGGTCCTCGGGGCTGTCTGCCGGGTTGACAAGAGGGAGCTTATTCGCATTGGTATTTGTCAGTTGAACTAGCAGTCTAGCACGATGGCACAGCAAAATGTCGTACCTTGAGCAAACCGAAGTGGAACTCGCCCTGCAGGCCAGGAGCTGCGCTCTCGTTCGGCTCCACGCCAGTCACAGGCTGGAGCTCTGCACAATCGATAGAATAAAGCACCGCGAGCGTCCTGTTATCCCAGTCGACTTGAACGGCAAAGTTGTGCCAGTTTCCATTCGTCAGCTCGGATTCGAAAAGAGTTTGTCCCGCATGATTGCGAACTCGGAAGTTCCTCGCGTTCGCAGCGGGAAGATCGCCCGTTGGGTTCGTGAAGGGGGAGCCTGAAGCTGCAGTTGAGGAAGTGCGCCAAGGGCCACAATTTCCGGACACGCACCAAGTTGCAAGTCGAAGATGTGAGTGCCATCGTTGGGCTCGATGAACACGGGCTGGTATTCGTGGGTATCGTTCAGGGGTCGGGTTTCGTCAGTCTTAACAGAAAAGTGGAAGACCGTCGTTCCAACTTGTGTGATGTTCAAAAGATTGGCAGGACTTCCTCCTTGCTGGGCGATAATATCTGTACGCCTGAAGCCATTTTGCGCGAACCCGCCTGGGGTGAAAATCGAGCTGTTATCGATGGAAGCAGCAAGGACCTGTTCTGTCTGCAAATTCCCGGCGGTGTTCCATAAAGGGGTCGGGAGTTCTGTGGTGCCCAACAATTGCGTATACTGAATAATTTCAGTAAATGATTACCAACGCCCTCAACGTCAGAGACTCACTTGAGAAGCATTGTTTGAACCTTTGACGACGCTTTGAAAGTAACAAAACTTCAGAACGAAATAATGTTTTAAAAATGAAAAGGAAGCTCACGTTAGGAAAGGCTCCTTTGACGCATCAAGGTCGGCTGCACTGAAGTTCAAAGGTGCACGACCATCGTAAAGAATAGGTCCGCGAACAGACGCACGCGTGGGCGCGCTCAACACGCCCATAACAGAAGAGAGAGTGAAAAGGAGTGAAATAGCAACCATTGTGAGCAGAACGAAAAGAAAAGAATGAACGCAGGGGAAAAGAAGACAAGAACGAGATAACGAACTTCATACAGTCCGGGTCCTTAAATACCTTGCGCCGACACGAGAAGATCATCGGGTACAGAAGCTGTGTCAGCGCCTTGGGATTCATATCGAAGAAGCTCGTCGATCGTATCCAAGTGAACATTGAGTTCCTGGCAATATGAGCCCACAAGTTTCAACTTCTCGTCATCACGATGATATTGGACGAAAAGGTCCGCGACCTCGAACAGGGGTCTCGGACCATACATACTGCTGTTTACGAAACAAATTTTGACGCTGGTCGTAACAAATCGTCAACCACTAGAAGAGGTTAAATATCTATGCGAACTCACCCAAAAAATCTAATCCACAAGTAATAGAGAGTCCAATACAGAGAAGCCGGTTGCTACGCCCCCTTCGTTGCTCTCCTTTCCTTTAGTTCGGACGAGCCACCCAACCTCTCGTTCTACGACTTGTTTGTCGGGTCCGCCGAACAATGCCCAACCGAAGATGCCCAGCTCACTGACCACCTCAGCTTTCACCGGCGTCCGACTTTCCAGGTCAGTGGTGCCTGCTCGGATGAGGTAGTTCCCAAAGTTTTCTGGCGGGTGAATCAATTCCATCGCTATCCACGCCGATCGCTCTTGTGGTGGTAGAATATCCAGAAACGGTGGGATGTCTTCCTTGTAAATGTTATTTCCTCCTCCTTCGCGTTGCGGTTTGAGGACCAAAGACGAGGCTGCTTCTCGAGCCTTACGCACTCCATACTCTTCACGACCAGCTTTCATGGCATCGTGATCTGGATTCTGCAGGTCCTCCCCAACGTCCAAACCCCACATGCCCATGAAGCTCTTCCGCACATTATTAATCTCCTCCGCAGGCAGAGTATCCCTCCCGTATTTTTCTTCGTTAGCAAGGAAATATTCGAGTACACCCGGCTGAGTCAAAACTTCTTGCACTTTCTTTCCGCCTGCGAGCTGAAGAGCAACTGTTGGACACTTGATCGCTTTGGATCGCTCTAGGTGAAAGCGAGTGGCATAATGAGACGCGGTCGGGTATTCATGTGGCATGTAACCGGAACGGTAGTAAACAGTTGAAATTTCTATGACACCCGAAGGTTGCAAATCTGGAGAGCAGGAAATGCGGAGAACAGATGTTACAGGGTCCACGGATGCAGATAGAGCCAATTCGTCGAAAGTTTGACGTATAATTCGGATTGAATACCTGCATGGGATGTAAGAGATATTATTGAAGGGAGGATATGCGCTCACTTTTCCAGAAGCTCATATTCCAATGGCCTTTGGTCGAAAACATTGCGCTCTCCTGGCTGAACGACAAAAAGTATCTGGGAACTTAAACAATGAAGTTAGCTGGTAGTCCCTAAGTCGAGAGTTTACATACTCATCTACGCTGTATGCCTCGTGGGCTTGCGCAAGACCACTTGCCAACCCCGCAATTGTGTCGTTGGAGGGAAAGTTATCGAGTTTAAAATACGGAGAGGCGTCATAGTATCGAGTGGCCGCGAGGAGATACCTGAACCACAGTTCAACATGGTATTCAGACAATAGTCATTTCTAACGGACCGATGCAGTTCAGCAGTCCTTTGAGACAAAGAACCAAAGGAGACCGATATCGTGTTGAACTCGACTTGCTTGATGGATAACGAGTCCTTGAGGGCGTAATGTAGGAGATAATCTGAACGGAACAGCCCGAGATGGAGAGGCTTGGATTCCAAATGAGCCTCCTTCAAGAAGGTCGCATGAAGTAGCGTACTTGAGCAAGCCCGGCATCCCTCAGCTGCTTCCATCCTTTCCAGAGCTGTCCAATGAAGTCATCAACTTTCCCGACTCCTTCATCCGCGCCCATGACTCGATCAAGAAATTCTTCATCCATGGCGATTCTAGCATAGAGAAGATTGTACGTCCGTTGTATTTTTCGGGCATATTCGAATAGACGACGGGGAACAGGAGAGGGAAACAATGAAATAGGCGCATGGATTGCCGCAGTTGGAACGGTTGGTTGGTGCTTAGCGGGTGGGAGATAAAGAACTCCATGAGATAGCGCATAAGTCGTTGCATACAATGTGATGGCATCAAGCTGGGCTTTCGAAAGAGCTGGTGGCCACGTAGAGAAGTCGAACGTTGCAGTCGTGTCAGCCATCGCGGGTCCCTGGAGAGTGACACTGATAGGGAAAGAAGGAGCGGTCAGTGAGGATGACGAGTTGATTACAGAAGTCGACCGATTGCGACATCGTTGACGTTGAAGGACGATAGAGTCTGACACAAAAACTCGTGGTCTTCAGGTGACGATTCAAGGGTGACTAAATACTACTTTACACTCAACGAGTGGTACGTCATAAATCTTTCAACAAATGCTGTAATCTATCAAACGATGGCTGTCCGTGATTGCTGATAAAATCTAATCGAGTGGCTTTCCTGTCGTGCTCTAAGGTTTCAACACAGGACGGGGCGAGCAAAATCTTTCCTGAGGTGTTTTGACGATACTGCACCACAGACCTCACCAAATCATGGCTTCCTTTCTCGGTCAGTACCTTCAGCAATGTAATTGCTCGATTTTGTTCTGAAGAGGGGGATTCCCGCAAGTCAGGCCAAATATTCGAGGCTATGTGATGCAATGCGACCAGCCACAAGAATTCATGAGCGTTGTTTTTGAGTAGAGAGCTGAGGTAAGCGGCAATTATTTGGCTGTCGGTTTCAATCGGGTACAGGTACTCTCTGATATCCGCAGAAAGCACTTCTTTGGCAGGTGTACGAATGGTCCTGATGATGTGATTAAAATCGGTCCAGAGGTGTTTCCTGTAATCTTGTGCGTAACGCATGGAAATCGGGGGTAGGAGGAGTTTGGCAAACAAGGGGTGTGAAAAGGATATTGCATCATAGAGAGCAACTAGGTCGGTGTAGAACTGGAAGAACGGAACTGAAGGACCGAGATACCTTGCTGCGACCGTTTCCAAATTATCTTGTGCGGTGGGAACTGACAGACGATCAGAGCCAAACGTGTATGAATCGAGGAGGACTTTCATCAAGTCTTCTACGACTGTGTCGCGGAATACTTCTTCCGAAGAATCATTTTGAGGTTGCCCGTGCTCCAGCATCATGACTTTCATGCACCCGAAGATGGCATCGTCTTGTGAAAGAACGAAAGGAGTGAGAGAGAAGTTCAACAATGTCTCTTGAACAACCTTTGCTAGGAACAAGGACGCTCGACTGATCTCGGTCTCTGAAGAATTCCATGACGGAGGTAGAGACTTGAAAACGGCGGAGTCGCCAGAGAGTAAGAGATGGTCTAGAGGTGCTAGTGCCCAATCACGGGAGAGTGGAAGACCCAGTTCTGGACGACCTTGGGAAGTGGGCAACCTCTGGGTGGTCGCAGATCTGATAGACTGAGGCGTTGGGTTGAGTGGCCCAATGTGGATCTCGCCGTTTGGCCGTATTGTGTTAATCAGGAAAGGTTCCAAAACCGACATGCCTCCTTGTTCCCAGATTTTGGGAGAAATCGCGATATTTCGAGCCCCTGGCAAGCTGGGACCAATCAGTTTGGCGGCTGTTCGAATTGTCGAGGCCGCGGTATCCTCGTCCCCAGGCCCTAGTCGTAAGAGGATGGAAAATGCCTGTGCCATCCAGAGGCTCTCAGAAACACCGGGTAGATGTCGAGAGAAGCGAAGATAGTAGGCTAGGAACTCGGAAATTTGGCGGTGAGACAGCCGGGCAAGGGTTGAATTTGAGGTAGTTGATGACCAAAGGGGGTGTATAAGCAAACGAGAGGCCAATTCCGACAGGCGAGAGAACGGAAGGGTGAATGGCGGGGAAGATGGCGCACCCTCGAGGTCGGAAGGAAGACAGGCTAACCACAGGCGGAGAATGGAGGCCAGGATGCTACTGTAACCAGCCAAGACGTCGAGTTCGGCCAAGTCTTCATTCTTATAACGAGTCAGACCTCTCTGTAATGTATCTAGTACTGCTGATAGGATTTGAGATGCTGTTCCCCCTTCGAAGCAGGGCTTGACAATGTTGACTAAGTCCGATTTCTCCTGTTCTCCTGCCTTGATGGCATTGACCTTGGAACCCTCCAACCACGCTGCTTGAGCTCTCCAAGAGGCAGCCCATGTCGCCCATCCCTTTTCTTCCGTGCTGAGATTATTTTGCAGTTCCCAAATACCCGAGTTCCAACCCCAGCTAACTATCTGGCTCCATCGGATGTCATGGGCAGGCGTCGTTCGATGTGGATCGATTGCACAGATTGTCCAGGTCTGGATAAGATTTGCCCATGCCGTTTGGAGAGGATACAAGTTGCAATCTTTCGAGATGATATATTGCTCTAGATGGGCAAGTTGTGTCACCGCGTCGCCGGCGAGGTGGCAGTAAAGACCATAGGATGCCAGGGTGGTATACAACCGTAATGTGGAGGTCAAGAGGTTATTCGTAAGTGCAAACGAATACGGCGATGAGTGGGGTGGAAAGGAAAGGAAGCGAAGTAAGGAGTCGGCGAATTTCTCTATCTCGAGGGCATTGGACCGCGAAGATGATGCCAGAGTGTCAAAGAGATGTAATGCAAGGGGATTGGGTAATGGGGATGAATCTTGGGGTGGTAGCGGGGTGAGCAAGAGTGTCTGAAGAACGTTGGAAAGCAGCTTCGCCGTTGAAACAATATGCGCCGCGACGATATTGTTATGTTGAGCAAGTCGGTGCAGTATCGAGAGCAACTGGTCTGCGGACTCAGGCAAGGTGTCGCGTTGACTCAAGACTCTGGCTACTTGAGGAAGGAAATAATCCAAGGGGAGGGTGTTGATGGCCATATCGGAAGGCGATTGCAACTCCAATCCCTCGATAATCGCAAACTTGGGATTCCAGCCCACGACGCACTCCCAGACAACTTCAATAGCACGCGCCCCCACGCCGCCTCTCTCCGAAAAGGCCTCCACCCCAACCGCCAGGATGCGTTTCCTTAATTCCTCTTCCCTGCCAAGCACTTCATTCATACCACCCACTTTGGCCTTGCCAGCTCTTGCGATTCGGCGTGCTATCCGCGCAAGAACCCCTAGCATTGTTGTTCGTTGTGACGGAACTGTTGAGCGACAAAGAAGTATAACGTCGTCGAGAGTATATCCAGCATGAGATCCTTCAGCATGGTGGTGCAATCCAAGATGCGTAGGGAGCTTCAATGAGACGGAAGGTGGAATAGGATCGCCGTGGAGATCGAACCTCAAGGATGATGAGCTTGATTCACCATCCGTGTCTGAAGGCTTTGCTTCCATCCAGACCAAATTCGGATCATCCTTCGGTGCGTCGGGAAAGAAACGCTGGCGGATGTATTCTGCGGTACCTTCTTCTGGTTCGTTGTGTTCAATGCAACCGTCCGGCTTCTGGTCAGTCATCAATCGAGGTTCTGGTTCTGGTTCATGATTCTGCGCTACCATCTTGCCCTTCCACTGTCCCAGAGATGTCACAGATTCATCTGAAGAGGGGTCTGGCGGAGGCAAGGCAAGAACCCTCCGTTTAGGGGACGGAGGCGCTGATTCGTAAACATACACATCGTCTGGCTCAAGCTCTGAAAAACGTAACCGTCGATCTGCACGGCTGGACGGACGAGTATTAGTGGGAGAGACCAGCGCCGAAGGAGGAGGGGATCTAGCTGTTGAGAAATTTACTTTCTGAGACTTATTTCACCGATGAAAAGACGTCGCTCACGTCGTTCTAGTGGTTTCCGTTCTTCTGATGTTATTGGAACCCCATCTGCGAATCACGGATAAGACCTCTACTGTCCCCTGAGATAAGATACATTCGGACTCACCTTCCTGTGAATCGGGGGGTGGCCCCGACGACTCTCCAGTTGACTGTCGTTCGCGTGCCAATCGTGCACGCCTGAGTACATTCCCGATGTTGTTCCCAAATCTCTTCAGGATCTGTCGCCGCTCTTCCTCCCTCTCCTCAATGTCCATGCTCGCCACGCGGTCTTCATTTTCTTTGCTCATTTGCTCCCGCCAATTGGTGGTTACCGTTGGTGGTATAGGTCGACTCGATGGCAGGACGATAGGAACATCTTTCGCGCGAGACATAGCAGGCTTTTGCTGCTCTTCTCTATTTCGAGCAAAGGCGCTCTTCGATCGATGCTGGACGGTTGGGAACCCTGTCTTGGGAGTAGAGGTGGTAGGTCTTTTCGGAGGGAGTGGGGAGGCAGACTTCCTCTCGATTACAGATCCGACTATCGACAGATTTGATGTCATGTTGGGGGATCTTGCCAGAATTCTGGGACGGACAAGAGTGTTGAGAACCAGAAACAAGAGGGACTAAGTCTAGGCATGATAAAATGTTCTTGATCGTGAACAAGCGCCAGTAGCGCCACAGAAGGTTCTGGTCGTCTTACATAATAAAGCTTACATTTTTTCGAATTCTTAGTCGAAGGCCGGTTGGAGGATGCAATTTTCTGATAAGAATTTGATTCCAAATGAAAATTATAATGGCTCTATCAATCTAAGTCTATGATGGTCTATGTAAAGGGCATGTGAGTATGCTGTTAAAAGGGGTCCATGGAAATTGGTTTGAGAAAAGGTAAAAGTTGAGGAAATGTAAGAAATGTAACAGAGAAACGATGGATTCATCACACTACATGTTTCTCCCGATCAGACTCGGAGCTCTCGAAACTTCGTTTGCCCTCGAAGTAGGTGGCAGCATCCTTCACAACGTCTTCGGGGTTCGAACTGAAAATGGACCCTTTCACGAAGGCCACAACAGTTAAGATGAATAAGATGGCCCAAGTGGTGAACATCACGATGCACATGATGACGTGGATGATGTGGAATCCATGGATATGGAAGATGTCGCCGAGCAGTCGGAGAGTAACAATCCAGCCAACTAGAAGTATGCATTAGTGTTGAGACCCCGAGCTGAACCGCCGGGAGAACATGACGCACCATTAGGAAATGTCAAGGCCCAACAACCCAGAATCTCATCCAACCGCTTGTGAACCTTGAACCAATACGGAAGGGCACCAAAGAAGAAGAAGAATACAGCCAATCCAAAGAGGAGGAGAGCTCCCATGACGCTGGCTGCATACCATACTTCGCCGGCGATTTCAGACAAGAGATTATAGTGTGGCAATCTAACGACAAAGCAATTAGGGAGGATCATGGACATTTCCGCTGAAGACTCACATTTGCCGTGATTTTTCGCCGAGGTTGATCAAGACAAGTGCTGTAAATCCCGGTGGTCCACAAGCGACGAAGGCCCCGTTAGCTTGATGGCCTTGCATAAACCCAGTCTAACGCGTATGCTCAATCTGCCGCCTTGGGGTGCGAGCAAAGAGGGCGCACCATTATAAGACGGATAATATAGATGCAGATATAGAAAAAGGTCATGAAAAATCCGAGCCCTCAACAACGTGACTATGATTAGTTGTATAAAAAAGAGTATCAAAACAATTCACCTTGGAAAAAGTAGCCAGTGAGGAGAACGCCAAGGCACCTGCTATCGTCGATATCCATGACCTTCAAGACAGAAAATGCGACGACGCCGACCAGCATCTAGAGGAGTCATTAAACCGCCCCTATCAGGCGCGAATGTTCCGGACATACCATGGGAAACACCTTCACACAAAAACTTGCCCATCAGAACGGCCAAATGAGCACACAATTCAGACGTACCAAGAATGCATAGGCAGGCGAAAAGTGTGCGATATCGTGAGGCTCGTTGAACCATATCATTAGCATCGCAAAGCAAGCAAGAACTGCTAATGCGACGTAAACCCTTAGGAGTGTTAGCATTAATTTGCATTCAATAAGGGCAATAAAAATTTACCAGAACAGCGCGTATATGGCTTCTGGGCTGACATGGCCTGACGGAACAGCGTAGTTGACTGTCCCGATGATGATTGTCGCGAGTGATAAGACAAACAACGGCACAAAAATGCCAGTATGCGGCCCTTTCAATAATCGAAAGGCCTTCTTCGGATAGACTTCCAGATCAAGGAGGTTAGGCATTCGATAGAAGAACCAAGAGAAGGACGTACGGATGGCTTGTAGAAGAAGAGATGACGTGTTAATCAAGAAGAGTGCTATGTTCAAAAAGTAGAAGACAGTTTCTACTTGATGAAGGAACCCCGCACGGTGCTTCAGACTGGACAATGTGACATAGACCGCGCCAGTGCCCATGCCGACAGGGAACTGAAAACGATGTGAAATGAAGACCAGTGCGCAAAGGAGGGGAAACTCACTGCTTGCCATGACCAGCCGTGTATGCGTCGAGCAAACGACGTAACGCGTGGCGTGTTCTTCTGCTGAGCCGGGGACTCCGTAAGAGTTTGTGTAGGCGAGGTCATGGGTATTCCATGGAGGGACATGATATAGGTAAAGAGCGTGTGGATGGAAAACCGAGGAAGAGCTTGTAGGTAGGATGCAGTGGAATAGTATACAAGAGAGCCTGAAAAGCGCTCTGCGCTGAAAACGTCCGTGGAAAGCTGCAAGCGTCGGGCCAACTCTATATATGGAGGGTATGGCATACTGTGATCGGAGGGCTTCGATCCTCGCGTAAGTACTGTGGATTTGGCTGTACCGAACACGGACAGGGCTGGAAGCCAGGAGGAGCGAGAATTTGCATCTTCTTGCAAGCGACTCCGCCGAGGCTAATCGTCTCCAACTGGTCGCAGCGAGCAGTTTTTTTTCGTTACATACATTCTTGGAAGGAGAGCGAACAGCAAACGAGAGTGCTGCAGAGAATAAGACAGTAAAGTGCGCAAGAAAGCGTCCCGAAATGGTTCTCCTAAGAGCGGCCTCCCATGATCCAAACAAGCCAAATAATGATCCACTCAGTCGATAGGCGAGCCGCTGCGATTGAATTACGAGGGGACTAGTGTCGACCGACCCTGGACTTAAGCTCCACGACGCAATTGACCAGCGCTCATGGATAGCGATGGTTTGGCGATGGAGCCGTTTAGTCTGCCTTCGGTTCTTGGCGGTTCATCAAATCGCGGAATCTTCTAGCCGGTGCTTCAAGTGACACTCCCTGGCGGCAAAATACACTGGAAACACATAATTTCATCGAGTCAGTGTTCAGGTAGAAAATAGGTCAAGGAAGCAGACATACCCGATACAAAGGGGATAGAGTATTGTTGGATACAACAGATATTCGAATGTTCAACTTTCAAGTCAGACCGTTAATCTGACATAAGGGGTTCTTGAACCGGCGACCGTATTGAAGCCAACTTGAACATGGTAGAAATGTGATAATTATTGGATCGCAGTGCTTGCCAATTGTTACTGAACACTTCGTGTCGCACGTACTGATGCCTTTACAACGCCGGGTCAGGAGTTTCGCTTAATTTCGCTTTCATTTCGTCGAAAACTTGCTTCAACTCCTCTTTATCCATCACCTTGGTAGGCCAACCGATGCCCAGTCCTTCTTCTGTAGAAGGCTTGGGGATGACGTGAAAGTGGACATGAGGCACTTCCTGCAGAGACGTTAGGAGGTGTTGCGCAGCAATTAGATACAAGGCTACCTGGTGCGCAATTCGGCCATTGTTCTGCAAGATGTTGTAATCCGGGGTCCCTTGGGATATCGCTATCTTCTTGGCGATCGGTAGGATATCTGCGAGATATTCATCGGGCAGTTCGTGCATCTTTTCAGCATGGTCTTGTGAACAGTAAGAACAGATGTCGACAGCAGCGCTGCGCAACATACATTTTGGGATCACGAGAGCATGCCCTCTGGCGAGAGGTCCAATGTCAAGAAAGGCGAAACTACGGCGGGAGGAGAGTGGTAAGAATTAAGAGGAGCACATGCCGAAGTACGAACGAGGTCTCCGTTTCTGCCAGTCTGAAGCTGGGGATTTCGCCTACACGCTTGAATGAGGCTATGAAGCTGATTCAGGTTGAGGCGACGCACCCTTCACGATTTTACAGAACAAGCAGGTGGCGAGAGACCTGAAGAAACGCTGTCACATACACCGAGAAAAAGAGATTTGCGGTATACTTGGCGGCCATAGTGCTTTCGCGAGACTGACAGAGGATTGGAAGTCGGTCAGAGACAAGCGGAACCAACCGATCGACCTGCAGGTCGGCAATTGAACCATCGGCCCGAGATACGAATAGGGGCTTCGCTATCAACAAGCCTGAGGCCTGGGCCTGAGGAGTTAAAGTCAAGCCAGCTTTACCCTATCATCCGAAAGCCCCTCCTACCAACCCGTTCTTTCTATATCACCAGCCATGTCCTTAGCTGATACAACCAATACTAGTACAAGCTTCCAAAATGTCCCTATCATGTTCGCAGCATCGTGTTCATCACGACGACAGGCAGCTCACAGCGCTACACAGAGACCTCAAGAATATTCGAAGCCCGGATGTAGAGGAAAGGAAGAAGCTCGCTGATGGAATACGAGATGCCTGCGTGAACGTTGGATTCTTCTACGGTTCGTCCTTATCAGAGCTTGTCTTTGAAGAATTACGATCCGACTCATCCGTTGTTGCCCAGTGAAGAACCATGGAGTACCAGAGGCATTCACTGACGGTGCCTTGCAAATGGCGAAGGATTTCTTTGACCTTCCAACCGAGAAAAAGATGGAGGTGACGGCCTCTTTCGTCTCGTCGTCATGAAGCACGTTCATATCGGCCTCTCTTCCTCATGCAGATCCTGAACCGGAAAACACCCAACTTCAAGGGATATTCTCCTTTGCGTAGCGGAAATAACGACCCGGCCGGAGATGGGGATCTGCAAGAAGGCTTTGAGTTTGGCTGGGAGGAACCCAGCCCCGTAGGAACCACAACTCAAGGAAACGCCGACGGAGTCATGGCGGGGGCCAACATTTGGCCTGCAGACATTCCCGAATTCCGCGAGACGGTACTCAAATATTAGTGAGTTGACTTGGAAATTTACAGTTATTGTGCTATCCTCAAATGCGCTCGACAGTTATGCTGCCGTTGACTTGGGCAAGGCACTGTTTCCCATCTTTGCTCTCGCCTTGAACCTGCCAGAAGTCTTTTTCGAAGACAAGGTGCGTTTGCATTCGGCAGATGAAGTTGTCCTATATTTTCCTTGCCTTATACTTTTGCTCGGTCCAGACCCGACATTCAGCAGCTTTGATGAAGTTACTACACTATCCTCCACAGACAGGCCCTATCGATGGGCGAGTCATAGGAATTGGTGCACATACCGAGTAGGCGTATTGTGTTCCGTTGAGGAATGACAGATACTTACCCCTTCTCTGTGTAGTTGGGAGGTTTGCTGTAATTTCCCAATACTTCAAGGTACACGATGCGATTGACGTTCATTAGTGTTTCACCATTCTCTGGCAAGAACCCAAAATCCAAGCACTGCAAGTCCTCAACTCGGAAAAGCAGTGGATTGATGCACCGCCAATTCCTGGTACCCTCGTAATCAAGTTAGTAACATGACATAAAGCCGCGATATGATCTACTTACTAGCCTTTCTTCAAGCCTCGGTGATCAATTCGCACGTTGGACAAGTGCGTTATGTGTCATGAGACCCTCTATTTACAGCTGAGTTTATGTGTTTAGATGACATCTTCAAGTCGACTGTGCATCGGGCAATCAACCGGAGTGGTGTGCGGCGCTACTCAATCCCCCTGTTCTTCGGGACAGACTACGCTGTTAAACTAGAGGTGCGCCATGTGGATGTGGTCTTCATTCCTATCGTCTGACTGTCGATCACGCTTTGCACAGCCTATACCCAGCTGTATTTCTCCTGATACTCCTCCGAAGTACGAGGTCGTCACGGCCGGAGAATATATCAAAAGCCGCCTTCAAGCCACATACAATCATTAGCCTGAGGGACCACATGGGAACGCCCCCTGATCAATGTACAAGAAGTGGGTTAGATTGGACAAAAACAGGTTCATCGAACCGTATACATCTGTACAACGGTTTCACTCGGGTTTGCTGATTCGTCTTCCTGCACAGAGTAGTGAATCTCGACATCCAGCTCTCTCGAATTTGTTTCGCTTTTCCTGCATCGAAAGCTTCCAACCACGATCGACTCTGTGTCAGTGAATGTATGAGGGAATCGATCGGCGTTGTTACAAGAATGTAGCGCACCTTCTGAGATCATGAATGGTTCGCGCAGCATGAATATAGTTTGTTTCCAGTGGGTGGGCTGGCTACGCGGCCCCGTGCTGAAGCTGGTGGTCTTCTCTTTCTCTCGTCCCATGCTTTGTCGCCGTTGGTGTGCTGGTTTACCTCCAACTGGCCAGAGTTCAGCCAGAGTCACCTCCCCATCCTTAATGCATTTTACTTCAGTAGACGGAGGAACTGGCAACCCGCTGGCGGTGAAGAACACATCAAAATACAGCACGAAGGAGTGAACTTTTGTTCGCCGCTCGACAGTCGACGCCAAATTAAAGGACGCAGAAAAGTCCAATTCTCTTACTGTGATATCAGACAGAATCAGGTCCTAGGCGAGGAAAATAGTCAGCAACGTCAGCGACTTGAAAAGGGCTCAATTACCTTGACTGCGTAGGGTTTACTTAACAAAGCTTCGGGGCCAACGACATCGACGATGGCCTCATTGTATAGTTCGTGCGCCATTGCGGATAGATCGAATCCTGATCGGAGGTGTTAGTTCTAACAAAGTACAGAAGTACGGAAGCTTGACTTTACCGTATATATCTTCCCAAAATCCGATGCGGTCTTTGTAAATCTCACTTCCATCACAAAGCCCCAGCATCATTTTGCATTGACTAGGAGCCATGACTCCACCAGGCCGCAAGAATCTATCTCGTGCGACCAAGACGGAGTCCAGCATGGACTCATACAGGAGGGCGTAACCCATCCATTCTGAGATGATAATGTCCACCTTATCGATACCTTCTGGAAGAGAGATGTTCTCTATCTTGCCCCGAACGACTGTAATTACGTTCTCGAAACCGTTGATCTTCACAATCTCCTCTGCTTTCTCAGCAATATTGCTTGCATCCACAGCTATCACACGCTTCGCGCCAGCTCGAGCAGCGAACAAGGATAGAATGCCTGTGCCGCAGCCAACATCCAGAACGATGGCATCTCGGAAGAGAGCCGGATTGGTCAAGATAAAGTGGGCGTACGTCGATGTGCGCACTTTGTCTTGAATCATGACTGCGTGAATATCTATTTTGTCATGAGGGTTGGGACATCGGTCCGTTTATCGCCAGGCACGAACCGTTTGCTCCATAACTTTCGAAATAATGTGTATCATCATCTCGCGCAGCGGCCGCTTCTTGAGTCGAGTCGAGAGTTTCGAGATCCTTAGCGACATTTAACTTCTTGGCTATGAGAGCTCTGTATTCGGCAAGGCTTTGGCGAGCAGTCGAAAGTTTCTTCTCAAGCGCCTTTATCTTGTGGACAGGATCAGCATCGTTGGAGTCTTCTTCAGAATCTGACCAATCGGCAGAATATGATTCTGAAAATGTCCCGTGAAATGAGAAAAAAATAATCGAAATGCAGGTATGAAACTGACGAATGAGTGGGTCGTTTTCTATGGCAGGGACGAGATACTCGTCCGAGGCAAACCAAGGTTCGGAGCCTCGAAGATTGAGTGCATCCGCCGAGCTGATTTTCTGAGTGATGATTAAGACTGAAGAAGAGCGACGTAGAAAATGACCAACATTGTTCCTGATGTAGTTGATCAGGCGCACGCGTCCATGGAAATCCAAGGCTAGAAACACGTTCGAACCTCTGAGATCATCGCGGAAGAAGTGGTGGAATCACACTCACATAGCTTCGTACATATTTCGTCCAACCTGAAGTTATGTGTTTTCTTGTCATACTCCAGTGCATCCTCTACCGATGGTAGAACCATGTCGTCAAACAGGGACTTGCATTCCTGTCGTCCATTTGAATCAGATACCCAGTCATCCCATGCCTGGTCGTTGTCGCTTGTTTCTGGATCGCTTTCTGGATCGCCTATTGGCCCTGTAAATTTGGGTGGTGCTGGGAGACGAACGCTCATGGTGGACGGAGGTAGAGAAGACGGCAGAGACGTTTCAAGGTTTGCAAATTCCTGTTATCCGAATTTGGAAAGTGTGATCGGATAAGGGCTGTTGTGTTGTTGTGTATCGAGTTATGTAACCCCTCAAAGGAAACGTGCCTTGTGCCCCGCTTAGTTGACCTCAGGGACTCCACCCTCTTTGACCTTACCCTCTTGCCGAAGACCACATGGTTTCCTGGTTTCCATCTCTGCTACGCATCTGCATGACTCACCGGTGGAGAGGGATCCGTTCATTTAGGATTCGGGACGCCCACCTAGGCTCAAGTCGAGTCATTCTGCCAGCTGTCAAATTTTCAAACCCCATTGTCGCAAACATAGGCGAGGACGACGCCTTCAACATCGGACGTTCTAGAAACGAAAGCGAGAGTCCATTCATACTGGATTGCGGCTGCGCGTGCCTCTTCTTTCCCTGAGGCCCTCTTTTCTTGAAATGACTCGTCTATAGGACTCGTTCTCTCACTTCTTGTCCATGTGCGATGTCTGTGCATGATCCTTGAACGACCGCAAGACATTTGCGAACCACAGGCGCCGTTCTATGCTCTATGTTTATCCGTGTACAGAACTGGTAATCAATGTCCAGTTCAAATCTATTTTATATCGCTACCCCAAGTGGAGTATAAAAGGCGACAAAACATGTTTTACGTCCCAAAACCGTCCTTCACGTCCTTCATCTACCAAGATCATGACGAGCCAGTCTAACCCGTCCGTTACAACCTTTCAATCGACGACAACCGCTAATTCGACAACGCCGTTTGGGGTGTCCCCGCACCCGCAGAAAGACTACGCTGCAGCTTTTGGCACCCTGCAGTCACGATACGGGACCAGTGGCGTCGTCCCGTCGCCCAAGAAAGATCCGTCTAAGAAATTACCGCAACCTGCCCAGTCGTCGACGGAGCCAGCGTCCGGAACGTCTTCACACACATTCGTCCCTTCTTCCCCCAAGTTCACAACTTCAGAGACGTCCTCCACTGACGACGTCTCGAACCCGAAGAAGCCCAAAGGATCGAAATCTTTCTTAAAGGCAATGTTCAAAGGTTCTTACCTTCTCGTTCTCGCTACTCGTCATGACAGTCATTCTCTGCGTTCAGGAAAGGCCAAGGAGACGTGAGACGATGGGGCTTGCTGTTCATTTCAATGACCCATAAACCATTTATCTTCATCTTCTCCGAGATTTTCCTTTCCGTTCCTCCTTTCTTGCCCTTACCTAGGTTGGTGCCTTCTCTTCTCTATTCTGGTTCGGAATGATTTCTTCCTTTGGGCGTGTGTACATGGACTCTGGGGCAATGTCGTGACTGCACTTGTAGATATACTACTCTACTATGTATGCATTATTCTGTTCCATATACACCATTCTCGGTTCTTTTGTTGCCATCTTCTCCGCGAAATTTATAGGTCGCTCTCGAAAATACAGATAGTACCAGGATACTGCCAAGCCGGCTCCAAGCACGGAACAAGATCAAATTTGGAATTCCTGTGGCGCACAGCATCTGCCATTGGCCGTATCACCCGACTACTTAGTGCTGATTTGTAGTAGCCTCCTTCAGAGAGCCAGGGCTGCTCGGAGACCCTGTGAAAGCCTCGAGACATTTGCCCTCTACGATACAGCTTATCCACTGACTTCGAGTCCTTTCATGACGCTTGGCACAACCTTACCACGGTAGCCATACCGCAGCATTTAGTTCGCGATCCCGACGCACATGATTTACACGAGGTGCAGAGGTACATACATTGAAAATGTGTGGGGAGAAATTATGCGGGTAGATTAATTGGGTTTGGTCGGCCGAGGTGTCAAGATGTTTAGAAAGATTAAGCGCCCCGCGCAGTCACTGCGACTGAGGGTGACGTCAAGCGCAGTAGAGATTATCCTCCTCAATTGCAAGCTTTCTACCAGGGTTGTCAGTCATTTGTGGTGCCGATGAATTGTACAACCTGCGCATGCACGAAAAGGTGGCAACTTTGTTCTACATACTGAGAATACAATCGAATAGCCGACACCCTCGCATGATCGGATCTGGGCAACTACCTCTTGGCGGGACGGCCCCGCTTTTGGTAGGCACTGGGCAGTGGGCAAAGACAAACGGAGTCACCTTGTAAGGGTTTAGGGCACCCAGAACAAAGGACGCCTGTTTGTCAGGAGGAAGGGTATAAAGATAGGAATTCTGGAGCCAGAAAAAAATAGAGGTTTCGTCCTTCACAAGCCAAACACCTCATCACCACAACCACAAAGACTCAACCATTGCAACGATGACCAATTCATCCTCATTGACGTCCAGTTCAACGACGTCCCTCTCGTCCACCGACTCTTCGTCGACGCTAGTGTCGAAGACGAAGAAGTCTGGCGTCAAGGGGCTCCTCAAGGCGGTTCTCTCCAAAAACACGTCTTGTAAGTGCTGATTAGCCGATTGAATAAAACAACAGTAAGCTGAGACTATTTATTATACCTTTAACATATAGCACAGTTGGCCAGTTCGTCGAACGGCTCTGACAGTAGCCAGGGTACTCGCAGCGCCTCCGACGCGTCCAAGAAGAAACCCAATGGCTTCGGCAGTGATTCACAGTTCGCCAGGACCGCCTCAAAGAACGGGTGGCCCGCGACAACGGCTGCACGGCCGTCCTTGGGGGGATAGTAAGGCGACAGGTCTCTTGCGGTCTTTTTTGTGAATTCAGTGAATTTCCAGTAGTTTACATGAAATCTTCCTCCAGCTCCCGACCGGTTTTTCTGGGAACGTCTTCGCCTTCTTCCACGTTGAATAATGAATCGTACGATCGGGCTGCCTTCTCTGCTTCCCTTTGCTTTGCCAGTTCTGCATCTTGTTTTTTCTAAAGTTTTTATCTGTCAGGAATCAGTACTGTCGGATGAAAGACGTCCGTGACCTTCTCGGCGGCAGCGACTCGCTTGATAGCGTTCTCTTTCTTGATTCTATCGACCCTCTCTTGTTCATGGTCAACAACTCGCTCGACCTTAGTTTTATTGAGGCGGTTGACGATTGCATTCTCTCGTTTCACGACGTGCACTGCAGTAACTTATGTCACTATGTTTAACAGAAGAGAGGTTTGTTCAAACCTCGTTTGACCTGAGCCAGAATAAGAACAGTGGTCTCAGGATATAGAGAGGAGGCCATTTACCTTCTTATCATTATGAAATGAGACTTGTCCAACCGCCATATCACCAGTTTTCTTGTGCAGTCCTTCCATATGAGGCCTGACAGATAAATCAACTGGAGGGGAATAATACCTTCAAGTTGTCCGCAGGGGTATAGATTATCGTTAGATTATCCTTCTTGTTTCCTATGTAGTTCCTCAGGGCCAGACGCTGACATATTGAAGGAAGCAAACTCATACCTTCGATGGAATTGGCCTTAACAAGTTGAGCACAATCCGTCAAGAAAGCTTGGGGTATGCTTTCCCATGACATGCCCTCGGTCATCCGCAGGTATACATGGGCCGAGGACAGTTTGTCAACATGGAACCAGACATCTTCTGGCCATGCATATCTAATAAGTTCTTCGTCTAGAAGGCGCGTAACCTTGAGTCGCGGCCGGTTGAGCGCGGTGGGTAACTCGTCCTACTTTCCACCTTGTCTCGACCCATGTAGATGATCACCGGGGGATCAAGGACTAAAGTGAAAGGTTTAAACGCGCATCTAGATCGAGGGAGAGATGCTATACTCGCCCGTTGAAGTGAAGAAAAGAACCATATCGCAACTACTTAGCAGATGAGGATGGCTGTTAGGATACAGCCTCGGTCGCAGTAGCGACAGGAAAGGACTCGTGGGAAATTATGTCGAAGGGTCCACCTTACCTAATGGCAGAGGGCGTCAACTTCATCCAGACGATAACCTCACAAATTGAAGAGTCCAATCTCTTCCCGAGCGTGCACTCAAGGTACCCCGTGATGTCTCTGTATCTTTGTCTGTATGCTTAACCCTTTCAGACTTCAACAAGCCTCCTGATTCGAAGCGAAAATGCAAACCAATCGTATGGGACTTGGTCTGCGTCCTCCTTTGCCGTCTTACGGCCAAGGCCCCTCAATGTCGACTCTCGCACAGCAGCAGCAACAACAACAGCAAATTCAAAACATGCACCTTCAGAAACAGACAACGCTATTTGTGGGCTCGATCTCTGGAGGCATCACTGACGTATTCTTGAACCAACTTTTATCTGTGCGTACAGTTGTGTTATGGGTGAAAATATCTCACTAACGTTCGCTGCAGGCATGTGGCACTGTTAACTCCTTCAAACGGCTGATAACTCCTGCCAACAAACCGCAAGGTTTTGGTTTTGCTGAGTTCGAAGAGCCCACAGCGGCCCTTCGGGCGTTGAGTCTCTTGAATGGGATCGAGCTACCAGCGTTAGAAGACGGATGCGCCAATAAGAAGCTACTTGTGCGTGCTACCCGCTGCTATAATTTGCATTTCAACCCTATGTCGATTTTTGCAGGTGAAAGCGGATGAAAAGACAAAGCTCTTCTTGGATAGCTTCAGCGCTCATCAAATGTCGACCGATGTATGTATCGCGCCATTCATTCCGTCTATAGGAATAACGAAATTTCTAGGCCGAAGATGCCAAAAGGCAGGAAGCAAAAGCCAAGATCGATGAGCTTGTTGCCGACATTAATCGAGTATCCCAGGACGCCGCAAACAATGGCCTCATTGACAAGGAGAAATACATTATACCCCCACACCTCCACGACCTTCAGGAAGCTGACCTACCAGAGACACAAAGAGGGTTGGTTATCTCCGAAATTGCGCAATTCCGTGAGCGAGCTGCAAAGCGGGAACGAGAAAAGATGCGTGATGTACGTGAGAGTATACCCGCGATTGCTGGGACTCCTGGTGGCCCGAAAGCCAGGGAATGGGGAAAGCCTCAAAGCCGACAAGACACCGCTTCAACGTCGTCGAAATCTCTGGGATTTGGACAAGGCGCTCAGGGATATAGCAAACCGGTCGGCTTTGTCAAGGCAGAAGACGCAAATGCTGGGAAAGATCCTTTGAGAGAAGGGGAGCAACCAACAAAAACAGACGAGGAGCTGGAAGCGGAGAGGAAAGAGCAAAGACGACAAGAGGAAGAACTTTCATTCAAAGACGTATGTCCCCCTCTCTGCTCTCCGTCCTTCACATTCTCTGTTAATGTATATGTCGTGATCAGCGTGAACGTCGATACGAGCCCCGAGAACGAACACGGATAAATGCGTTGGAACGAGCCATTGCTCGGGAACGGTCTCAGCGAGAGGCCGAAGAACGCGACCGAGTTGAGATCAAAGTTCGCCTGGATGTCTGGGACGACGACGAAAGTGATGAGCTATTTTATGTTGATCGGTGGGTATTTCACATGCTCCTTTCGTGTATACATGTCTGACCTAAACTTAAGTGCACGTTGGCGCCATCTTCGTCAACGGCGGCTCGAGGCGGAAGAGGCTGCTGACGAAAAGTCACGTCGATTCGAAGAGCAAGAGGCTGAAAATCTTCGCCGTGAATCAGAGGACTTCCTGGCCAGACAAATGGACGAAATGCAGGCACTGGCAGAGGAACAGCGAAAAGCTGGACTGCTCTTAGATGATGGGGCGCCTGTTCGGCTAAATGTTTCCATTGCGACCCAAAGTTCAAAAGAGAAGGAACCGACGGGCAAAGAGAAGGCCACGGTGTTTGCTCATGACGAAGAAGAAGAAGATGCAGCCAAGAAACGAAGAGCACCTCTTGTCAAACTCGACTTCAGCGTGGCCGAGAGTGGGGAACAGACGAGAGAACGTCTGGAAAGAATTCGACAATCTGTTCCTCATGACAAAGAGAGTCTATTTAAGGGGAAGGTCCGGTGGGACGGTCTGAACGATGTGAGTTACAGCTTCCTTCTCGGATGTATACTTATTTGCTGATTCACGATCTAGTTGACGATTGACCGAAAACTTGAGCCTCTTGTTAAGCGACTAATGGTCAAGTACCTCGGAGAAATGGAGGAAGAGGATCTCATCATGTTTGTGGTCGAACATCTCAAAGATCATAAGGGTCCGCAAAAGCTCATTGAAGGCCTCGAACCTGTCCGTAGTCTTCTGCTTCATATCTCGGTGTCAATAACTCACTATTCTCGCTGAACCAACAGGTTTTAGAAGAAGAAGCAGTCGAACTCGTTGTCAGCGTTTGGCGACAAATCATTTTCGAAAGTATGGCATACAACGAAGGGCTCCTGACGGAAAAGGTGCTTGTTGACTAAGGCTTTTGAAGGGTTGTATCGTCTGGGATTGACGCAGGTGCGTTCTGTGGCATTGGGACCATTTGATGCGCTTGAGAGTAGTATATTTCCATTCCGTTTGCTTGTCGAGCTGAGAAGGATATTTTATTGGGGACGTTACGTGAGTTCAACCTTTTGATCTACCTCACGAGATGTACATAATGATATCGCCTCATTGTTTCCCTCACATACCTCGTCATGACAAGGATCTGGACTGTCAACTAGACGGGTATGCAGGTGGAACCAAGACTTCGATGAATGCTCACTCCACTCAATAAGTAGGTATGAGTTTTATCCCTTCGATATCTACCAGTGTCTGGAGTATGGGGTGGTCCGTTCCTTCGAATCGTAGCTATTTATGGTCGTGAAGAAGTCATTGCATGTATCCCTGGGCGTTAAGTAATTACCGCTCGGTGTGAATGCATTGCACCCTACAAGCGGTCTTGACTGTGGGTATTCTTGTCCCTCGAGTTGCGACCTCCGGTTCTAAGCCAGAGGGGCGGCGTGCTCTCCAAGACTCCCATGACTGTAAGTAATACACTGAATCACTGAATCAAGCTATCGTCTTGCTATTGCTCGTACAATGCTCGAACACTCAGTTTCATGTACACCCTTGGGTGTCGGCCTCTAGCTTAATTTCAGTTAGACGCTCTCCTTAGAGGGTATGCAAGACGTCAGGAATCCAAGTGCGCCTGCTCGGGCATGTGGCAGCTTTCGATGCTGTCATCGCACAGTTGAGGTTCCGTCGAGATCAGGTGGCCAGTCTGCTTCTTTTCTTGCGCTCCATCCCCGCTGCCGAACTCTGATGGATTTGATGCATCCCCATGTCATCTTAACATGTATGCTGTGTGGATTCTAGGTTTATAAAGTGGGGTACAGTTCTGCTGCGACCTGGCCTCCCTCGCTCTTTGTCGTGGTCTGAGGCTGTCTCGAGCCAAGCCTCCCTTTTCACGCCTTTTCACGCCCTCACTGTTCTCGTGCAACGCAGTTCAGCATGTTGAGCCCCGCCGCCGCTCTCGCTCTTCTCTTGCAGGGAGTCGCGGCATTACCCCAGACCGCGACCTCTCCTTCGCCGACCAGTACCAGCACGGCACCACCGACTGCCAGCGTGGTTACAGCTGTTCCTAGCGCAACTGCACCGTTGGATTCCACTCTGCCGTCTCAAGTTGCGTTGCCCCCGAAGCAGGCATGGTGCCCTTCGGACATTTTTTGTGCAGGTGCAGTGAGTACCCAACCAAGAACGTATTGTCAATTGAAGCACGTCTAACACTTCCTACAGCTGTTGCAAACAGTTAACATCGCTCATCTGTACCCGGATGACAAGACCTTTGTTGATAAAGTGTGTTGAATTTCCTTCGGACGATGTCTTCCTAAGAATCACCGCGTTGTTCGGCCTGTAGCCGACGAGCAAGAGCCCGCAAGATGTTCTGGCGGATTTCCAAAATATATCATCAGGAACGACCTATGGACAAGTTGTTAATTTCGTCGAAACGGACTTTACAGGCGAAGGCTTAGAATTGCAGGCCCTCGCGTTGCCTCAGTTCAACCCTTCTCCTCCCTTCCTCAACAACGTCACGGCCGACCTACCAAAAGCATTTGCTCAAACTGTGCACGGGTTCTGGACGCAGTTGATTCGAGGCACAAATCAGTCCACTCTTTGCGGCTCGAGTGGCAGATGTGAAAGTTCCCTGATCCCTCTTAATCACACATTCGTCGTTCCTGGTCAGTTTTGTATGTCTTTACTTTGTTGTCTGTGACACTCACAATATGTAAGGTGGGCGTTTCCGAGAACAATACTATTGGGACAGTTTCTGGATCGTGGAAGGCCTCATTGAATCTCAATTACTCGATATTGTCAACGACACACTGCAAAACTTCATGGACGAACTTGACCAGTTTGGTTTCATTCCGAATGGCGGACGCATCTACTGTGAATACTTTCTCCTTTTACATGCTTACGCAGCTGCTAACTTTTCGCCTCTAGATCTGAACAGGTCCCAGCCGCCACTGTTCATTCAGGTATACAGTTACTCAATGCCCAATGCATCCCTTTCTGACCACGGAGACTTCAGATGCTTTCTCGCTATGTGGAAGCCAGTGGCGATAGGAGCATCTTAACTCGTGCCCTTCCGCTCGCAGAGGTGAGATTTTGAGCCGTCGCAGAGCCCATTGAGGCTCAATCATTTTCACTTTCACCAGAAAGAACTGCAGTGGTGGAGTGACAACCGATCCGTTGAAGTAAGAAGCCCCTTCACCAACACCACACGCAAGGTGTATCGCTATTCTGTAACGAACAGTGCTCCTCGACCAGAATCTTACTTGACAGGTTTATATATTCTTCCTAATTTCATGACGACGTCTCTGACATTGCTCCAGATTATGAAACGGCGAACGACTCTCCTCAGCTGAATGAGACTGAACGATCAGCTCTGTATGCCGAACTTGCCAGTGGTGCTGAAACTGGTTGGGATTACACCATGCGCTGGTTCTCTGCTGGAAACGAGAACGCTGGTTTGAGAAGCCTCAATGTCCGCAACACCATTGCCGTGGATCTGAACAGTATACTATGTAGGTGTCTTAAGAATGCTCGCCTCCCTTCTGTCCGACTGAACCTCAAGTTTAGACAGGAATCACATTCTCTTGGCCCAGCTTTACGACACCTCGAACACAACGGCTGTGAACCGCCACATCTCAGCAGCGGGCGCTCTCAGGACAGCAATCCTCGACCTTTTCTGGGACTCGCAAAAAGTAAAGCAATTGTGGCTCTGACTCGGTCTGAAATTAATCATGAACTTCCAGATCGCCTTCTACGACTTCGTTCTTGATACGAATAGTAGGAGCAACGTCTTCAGCGCGGCAGCATTTTACCCGTTCTGGAGCGGCATCGTACCTCCTCAAGTTGCACAAGATGAGGCCACGGCCTTCCAAGCTTTCTCGTCGGTCAACATGGTTCTCAATCGCTACAACGGTACCTTCCCTTCGACCTTCGTGGACACTGGCCTGCAATGGTACGAGTACGGTGGTCGTTGCTTGGGCTCTACACTCACATTCGTGTTATAGGGATGCTCCCAACACTTGGCCACCTCACCAATACATTATCTTGGCGGCCCTCCAAAATTTGCCTGCGAACGTATCGGGCAGTGCGACTCCCGTGCCAGGTTCTGACCAATCGACCTTCAATTTGATTCCTAGTGGGCAACTTGGTCTCTCAGAAACAGATCTCCCAGATCAGCCCGTCCATGGCGGAACCACCATCGTCAATGCGACGAAATCTGGGCCAGAGGCAGATGTCAACAGGGTCAACGGAACGGTGCTGAACGGCGGAAGTCCGGTCGATGGAGAAGGGTGGTCAAAAGCATTGCAGCGTGAGCTGGCCAACCGATATTTCGCAAGTGCCCTCTGTAGCTGGTGAGTCGTTGTCCCGGTCCTCCGTATAATTTACTCATAGGTATCGCATAAAGGCACGCCACGGGCGGGTCTATCGAAGGCATTCTTCCAAGGCTGCCAGATGATCAGCTTAACGTCACTCAAAGCGTCGACAATAATGGGAATGTAAGCAATAGAGACAAGCGCCTATCAATCAGACCCTTACGAGACGAATTTCAGATGTTTGAGAAGTTCTCCAATTTGGACATTGATTCCGCTGGACGGGGTGGCGAGTATACAGTTCAGGTAAGTTGGATTGATCATCGCAAACCATAGATGTTGATGACGTTGTTCCTTCCCCGCGTTGTTCCTTCCCCGCATTCCCCGCATTCCCCACACTCGATCAGGCTGGTTTCGGCTGGACAAACGGCGTGGTCCTCTGGGTTGCGAGCAACTACGGCTCTGTTCTCGATGCACCACAGTGCCCGGACCTCTTGGATACTCCAATCGCCACCACTGGCGGCAACGGCAGTGGAACCTCGGACACCCGAGCCATGTTTGTGATGAACAAATTTGTTATCTCCTCAATCGTGGGTGCAGTCCTTGTATTTTCACTTTTCTAGGCGAGAAGGGAAACACGGCTGCCGTCCTGTCCGACGTCATAGAACAAAGTCATTTGTCCCGTATACGTAGTACCATGTCCCATGATCTGCTATCGATGATTAACTTTCCAAGAGCTGCCTTCTAATGGTACGAGCGCGGGGAAATATTCTCGTCTTAACATTCACATGGAAAAGAGAGAGGAAGAAATACCTTCGGCTGCGGACACGAGTTAGAATTCGAAACGATGACATTGGTAGGAGGGTTGTTGGCGGGACGCATTTGGCCTTGTTGCTGTCGGAGCAAACTGCCTCAAATGGACTTTTACAATCGCGTGATGCTGTCGTCTGAACTCTGTCCACATCGTCCTCCCTGCCCGCTGAGCAATTGTGCTTACCTTCGTCCTCCTTCGCTATCCATCTAACTCCAATCTTCAGCCATCAAAACACATGGAATGGTTCCTCTCATACCAGAACTTAGAGGAGACACTTGATGCTTGTGATACTTCTAGCTGGCACTTCAAACCGCCCTTTGCGAGGGTCATTCTTTGCTACAGGCAGAAGTCTGAGGCCCGAGGGATTCTCGCTTGAATGGGCAAATTACCCCGCAAATTGTTGGCGGATCACCCATGACCGAAGAACGTTGGACCGACGTGGGGTTAAATGAGAACGCGTCCTTCAGCTGGGGCTGGCTTCCGAGCACACGGTCTTCTGCGGAGCTATCGGACGTGTATTCCTTTTTTTCTTGTTTAGGTGATCGTACTTGCTCCGAAACCCAATCTCCAGCTCGCTTCGTCAAGGGGGATGGATCGGTTAACACGCGATACCACATCGTCCTGGTTCTTGGCTCCCATGCAGCTTGAACTGTGCGGTGCCTCCGCAATTTTTCTTTCTGGGCTTGACCTGGAGGAGAATCTGGCGTTTCGCATGATGTCCTAACTCGTGATGCGCTCAACCGCTAGACGATAATATCTGAATGCGTCCCATGGCAGGTATAAATACGCGTCTTTGAATGTAGGACTTTCTTGGGCGCGTTGCTGAGACCTCCCGTTCACCATGATCTCTCCGGTGCTGTTCACGATCGCCTTGCACGCCTTCTCCGCCCTTGCTGCTCCTCTCGCAGGGCCCTCAGTCACGATCGATGGGGCGACATTCCAAGGAACAGTTTCTGGCACGACAGAGAAGTTCCTAGGCGTCCCTTTTGCCCAACCTCCGTATGTTCCACTTTCCCCACCTTGCAGACATGTCTCGCTGACTGACATGCCAGTGTTGGAAATCTTCGCTACCGTTTGCCTCAGCCCATCACCTATACCGCGGGGAGCTTTGATGCCACAGAATACGGTCCCTCCTGCGGCCAGCAAGTCATCAGACTGCCCGTGGACGGTATAGTTGGGGACATTGCCAACGCTGTCGTAGAAACAGTCTTCGGAAAAATCTTTCCTGACGACGAAGATTGTACGCCCATCTTATTTCTTTCCCTTCCCAGCCTACAATGTATTCCTTCCGATTTCTAGGCTTGACGGTGAATATTGTGAGGCCCAAGGGCACGCTACCGACCGCGAAGCTCCCTGTCGTTGTCTGGATCTTCGGTGGTGCGTCTACCTGACTTACCGTTCACGGAGAATACTGAAAACGTGTTTCTTTAAGGTGGCTTTGAACTTGGAGCCACTTCGATGTATGATGGCGGAGTCATTGTTGACCGATCCCTGGAGCTCTCGCAGCCTGTTGTATATGTCAGCATGAACTACAGGTTGACAGGTACTTCTGTTCGACAATTTTGCCATCTCAGAATCTCATCGAACCACCTCAGGATTTGGGTTCCTTGCAAGTAAGGAGGTCAAGGATGCCGGAGTGGGCAACCTCGGACTTCATGATCGTATGTCACTTTTTAACATTTCTTTTCCCCTATCGCTGACAACTATGTCCCTAGAGCGCCAGGCGTTGAGATGGGTGAACAAATACATCAGCCAATTTGGCGGAGACCCTAGCAAAGTCACGATGTACGTCATTCATTTTACCCTGTCCTTTTCAACGTCCATTGAATTGCCCACCCTAGTTGGGGCGAATCTGCCGGTGCTATCTCCGTGTCCCTTCAAATGCTTGCCAACGGCGGAAACACCGAGGGGTTGTTCCGAGCTGCCTTTATGCAATCCGGCGCTCCTGTTCCAGTCGGAGATATCACCCACGGTCAGCAATACTACGACGCCCTTGTCCAGGAAACTGGATGTGCTCGTTCCGCTGACACCCTCCAATGCTTGAGGACTGTTCCATACGCCACTTTGAAGGAGGCTATCAACAATTCTCCCGGCATTTTCGACTACCAGGTACGGAAATTTTCCTTACATCTAGGTTGTCCCTTATCTGAATTTGCATCCAGTCTTTGAGACTTGCTTGGCTGCCGCGTGCTGATGGGGTGTTCCTAGTTGATCATCCCCAACGGCTTGTGCAGCAAGGCAAGGTCGCAAAAATCCCTTACATCACTGGCAACTGTGACGACGAAGGCACCCTGTTCTCACTGTCGACTCTGAACATCACGTAAGCTTGTCCAGCCAGAAGATTTACACCGTTAAAATTTTCGTTAAACAGGACTACCACGCAATTCAAGAACTACATCAAGGATACGTTCCTCCCTGGCATAACCGACGCTCAGGTCAACAAAATTGCCGAGTTGTATCCCGCCGATATCACCAAGGGATCTCCTTTCGACACCAGCATTCTCAACGCTGTGACACCTCAGTTCAAACGTTTGGCCGCCTTCTTCGGAGATGGTGTTTTCCAGGCTCCTCGTCGATGGCTTCTCGACCATACGGCAGGAAACCAAGACGTGTGGGCATATGGTAAGTTTCATCTTGAGTATTGCTGAAGAGTTTCTGAGCCACCGTACAGTCAGCAAACGTTTCAAGATCCTCCCAGTTCTGGGATCTTTGCACGCACACGACATCCTCAACTCTTATGCCCGAGGCGACATGGGCGATCACCTTATCCGCTTCGCCAACAACCTCAACCCTAATGGCCCCTCCGGCTACCAGTGGCCCAAGTACACCCTTGCCACCCGCCAACTTGCCACTTACCGCGATGGTCTCATCAAAATATCGACCTCAACTGACGACTATAGGAAGGAGGCCATGGAGTACATCAACGCGGCCATCCTTGAAAACCCTGTCTAATCGCCGGTACCCACGATCCTACGATTTACGATTGAGACGCCGATTGATACGAATTGAAATGTATTTATGTACTTGTAGTCATGTACGCACAAAATGTACTCATTGCAAATTGCGGAGATTCCGGATTCCTGTGGGAACTATTCCCAGCCAATTAGGAATTCATCACCTCATATGGACTATTTCGACAATCGCCCTTAAGTGAATTTCATTTCGAACCTCCACCTACTTACCGAGGTTAGTGTCGACATCGCTCGAAGCTCGAGGATCTTGAGTGGCCAAGCTTCAAGGCTCAGGCGATGTCATCCTCTATTCTCTACCGCTGAGCCGAATGACGAACCAAGGCGAAGCCATGACTTTGGCTCCGCCACGGATCTTCGTAGCTGTTCGCAGATTGCCTCAGATTGCAGCCCAGCTAAACAGCAATCAAGTTTCACGAGTATGTTTCTTTTACTTCTTGAGCCTCTCTCACGCCAATTCATCTCCTCCAGCCTAAATGAACACCATATGACAGGCTCTCCACATCATGGATTCTTCGCTGTGCGGCGGCCGATGATTTCTAAGCTTGGAATCAGCCAGAGGCTAATGCCTCAGACTCGCCTGAGAACCACTGAAGGTCTCAACATTTCGTTTCTTGACTGCGCCGAGGCCCAAAACCTCAAGACGCTCTGTCTACGAGCTTCATCATCAGCTGACGGCATAGACCAAATTCAACCTTCGAATGTTTTTTATGGAAGCGCGCGGTAGTTATACTGCTGTCGCAGTAGCATGCTAACGCCGGACGTCTGTAAGTTATGGAAACCTCTGACATTATGCGCGAATCGAACACTTCTTCCGCATGTTACTAGGCGGGGCTGCGATCCGGCCTCCTCGAGGCTGTGAGCTTTAAAGCTTGGGCGTGTTCTCCCCTAGGACCTCCCGAACACCATAATGCTCTCCCGGTTCCTTATCGCCCTTGCCTTTCAAGCAGCCTTCTTCACAACTGCAGCTCCTGCTGGAGCACCTATTATCTCGCTGGACGGAGGGACATTCACGGGAGTGGCTGTAGGCTCGACCGAGAGATTCCTCGGAATACCTTTTGCCAAACCTCCGTAAGGCGCCTTTCGAAATGGGCGTAATGTTTCTGAACATATTTTTCGCAGTGTTGGCAATTTGCGTTACCGATTACCACAAGCCAATGCACCATATCAAGGCTCTTATGATGCGACCAGTTTCGGCCCATCTTGTCCGCAGAAAAGCACAGGCATACCTGTCCTCATTGGCCTAACTTCCCAGGCTGCCGAAGTTGTCGATTCTGTTTACAAGAAGATTTCCCCTGATGCCGAGGATTGTAAGAATTCCTTATTCGAGGTTGCCTAACAGGTCTACACGTGAGATGGCAGGCCTAACATTGAACGTCATAAAACCTGCAAGCACAACACCCACGTCGAAGCTCCCTGTTTTGATTGTAAGCACCTGCCTTTTCTTTTGTGGCCGAGCGTGACTCGTACTGTACAGTGGATTTTCGGTGGTCAGTACATCAAGGAATAATGAAGATGAAGTCTGTTCTAAGTCACTCCGATCTCAAGGTGGCTTCGACTCGGGTAGTCCAACAATGTGGGTAGTTCCACGACGTGAATTTCAGCCACTGACCACATCATCAGTTACGATGGAACCACTATTGTGGCACGATCCATCACACTAGGTACCCCAGTCATCTACGTTAGCATGAACTATCGGTACGTATTTCCAATCCTAGGCAGGTCGCACCATGTTGATCCAGGGATATGCAGGCTCGCAGGTACCCTTAAGCTGCCTCCATGATCCTGGAACGCGAATTTACTTTCTCTCCAAGGGTTCGGATTTTTGCCCGGAAAGGAAGTCAAGGCTGCAGGTGTCGGCAATCTTGGGTTGCAAGACCGTCAGTTTGGATATCATTTACTTCACTAAGTAGATCTGACTGCATTTCAGAACGACAGGCCTTCCGATGGGTCCAGAAGTACATTACTCAGTTCGGCGGAGACCCGACAAAAGTCACTATGTGCGTGATGCTCCCATTCTTATGAATCTTCAACAAACTATAGTATTCTTGATGCAGCTGGGGCGAATCTGCAGGCGCTATCTCGGTTTCTCTGCACATGGTTGCGAATGGTGGTAATACTGAAGGCCTGTTTCGTGCTGCCTTTATGCAATCCGGAGCTCCAATCCCTGTTGGTGATATCGCGAACGGCCAAGAAAGTTACGACACCCTGGTCAGTGACACTGGTTGCTCTGATGCATCTGATACACTGGCCTGTCTTCGTACCGTACCATACGGGGCTCTCAAGGCCGCCATTGACAAGTCTCCTAGATTATTTGACTACCAGGTTAGTTACAACCGCTCCTCACAGATCTTTCGACCTTAACACCTGCGATATAGCCTTTGCGCCTTTCGTGGCTCCCTCGCACAGATGGGGTTTTCCTCACAGACAATCCTCAAAGGCTAGTCCAGCAAGGCAAGGTTGCTAAGATACCTTACGTCACTGGTGAATCCATTTTCATGTACTCAACCTTCTAATTAATGTTGAATATGCAGGCAATTGTGATGACGAGGGCACCCTCTTCTCGTTGTCGTCGCTGAATGTCACGTACGGCGCTGCCTTGCTGTTCTTGATCAGAAAAATTCTCATGGATATCCGAACAGGACAGAATCCCAGTTGAAATCCTATGCCAAGACTATCTTCCTCCCAGGGGCGACCAACGAAGAAATTGAGCAGCTTGCCACTCTCTACCCGGGAGACATAACCGAAGGGTCTCCTTTTGATACTGGTGTTCTCAATGCAATCACCCCTCAAATCAAGCGCATCGCGGCGTTTCAAGGAGACGGTATTTTTCAAGCTCCTCGAAGATGGATGTTACAGAACACCCTCCCCTCCAACCCTAATGTTTGGGTCTTCTGTGAGTCAAGTTTTTTTTTTTGATGGCCTGTCAGTCGATGACCGGTTTGCTGTAGTGAGCAAACGTATGAAGTTTTTACCAGTCTTGGGATCAGTAAGCCTTCGTGTTGCTATTTTCACTTCACAGGAATTCATGCCTCTCATTATAGGTCCATGCATCTGACATACCTAATGTGTATGGTGGGGGAGAGTTGACAAATTATCTGATTCATTTCGCCTCCAGCCTCGACCCAAACGGAAAATCAGGCTTCCAATGGCCGAAGTACACTCTGGGATCTCGACAATTATTGACGTTCTTAGATGGGTTCATTCCTTTGACAATAACCAGTGACACTTACCGAGAAGCTTCCATGAACTATCTCACAAACATCACTCTCACGTATCCCGTCTGAGTGAGGTAGTGGCAGCATATCATCGTTGGCGGAACATTATTTGTGCTGTGAAATACAGTCTAGGTGGCGCATATTATGTGTGACCAAGTATGTAAAGAGATTAGAATCCAGGAGATAAAAACTCAATCAAGCGGTTCTCCATCAAAGTCGTCTAGTCGAGAACGATCGTCTACGACGATGGGAGGTAGCGGGCTAGACCCATCGTGGGCAAAGAAATCGTCCAGAGTAAGAGGACGTATGTCAAAGCCCTGCCAAAAACGGTAAATTTTTGGAAAGCAAAAGATGACGAACTATCAACTTACCTCCAGTTGCCCCTTCATCAACAAGTCATGGTTGTCTGACGTACTCCGCATGAACTCTCGGACTGGTACCATAGCGGCATTCCGACATAGTTCCCTTAAGTCAGAGCCCGAGAGGCCGTCTGTATGAGACGCGAGATTCGAGATAGAAAAGTCAGGCGAGAGTTTGGTCCCCTTCAACATCTGTTTACAAACATACACTTGAACTTCAGCCATCCCGAAAGAAACGAACCATGAAATTACCAGGGTGAGAATTTTCGTTCTTTGTTCGAGATCAGGTAATCCGATGCCGAAACGTTTTGGCATTCGACGCAAGATAGCTGAGTCGATATCATTCGGGCGGTTGGTTGCACCAAGGACAAGGATTCTATCGGTGCCTGAGGTCAAGCCATCCCATAGTCTAACGAAACCGACGTTTAGCGACGTAAAAAAGGCTGCACCAGCACATACGTCATAAATTCCGCCTTCATCATGCCCGTCACTTCATGATCACCCTTTGTCCGCTCCCTCAGGAAAGAGTCGATTTCATCAATGAAAATGATAGCAGGTTGTGCTTTGCGAGCGAGGCTGAATAGACCCGCCACGAGCTTATTCGACTCTCCATACCACTTGTTGGTCAAAACGGAGGCAGCGATGTTGATAAACGTGGCACCAGACTCCTTCGCGAGTGCTTTCGCCAGCATCGTTTTCCCACATCCCGGTGGTCCGAAAAGAAGGACGCCTTTTGGCGCTCCAATAAGAGACGAAGACGAGGTGAAGAGGTTGGGATATAGAAGAGGATATATCACGGATTCTCGGAGCGAAGAGATAATGGGATCAAGACCGCCAATGTCTTCATGTGCCTTTCATCAACAAACGGAATTGGAAAAATGGTTTCCGAACGGACCTTTGAATGTCACTGGAATATCATCAGGGTGGATGACTTCGTTTGCGACTTTGCCTTTTGACACCGGAAATAACTCTAGACCTGGTTTGCAACACGGAAAACACGGAAACGTACGTTCGTATTCATCGAGCTTCAGCTCGGAATGCCCTAGTCGCTTCAAAGCCTCCATTTGCTTCGCCTTGACCGCGCTGTCTTTCTTATCCGGTGCCATGGCATCGATTACCCACTGGAGAGGTGTCATTCATAGGTCACGGCAATGGGTTCGAAAAATGGTTTCCTCACTCGCATGGTATAATATAAAGCTGCCTTGCAGGTATGTTCAGTAATAATGACCATGAATACAAACATGAAATGCCCACTTGAGACGCAAGAAAGAGAGCGACTGCAGAAAACTGTGAGTTCGGAGGACAGCCGGATGGTTGCCCATTGCTCACCTTCTAAGGCTGCTCGTTTTGCTCCTTGGGATACCATCTTCCTTTGATACTGTGCGATATGGGTCTAAAAGAAGGCACCTGTAGCCGTCCAGTCCGTCTTGGACATAGGCCGAGCTGGTAGATTAGTGAGTTGTGTTCCCGATCCCAAGGAGTCGACCGTCGGGACACGGCTTGAAGCCGAAAACGTCACTTACATATCACGTGTATGCAAACCCTGGTGGCATTCGTAGTAATTGGGAGGTGTGTTATACAGATGTAACTACGAATGATGAAGTACAACTAGTACTACGGCGATGGGGGTATGGCTGTGGATAAAATAGGCTACAGATACAATTCTATGGTCTAGTCATGATCTAACTCTACATGTCTTGATTATAATATCGTTAACCTCGTCAGAAAGCTTGCAGCTGGATTCGGATAATCGTGGGTGTGGGTGGGTATCGGAAGCGGCATGGACAAGGTGGCGCTGTGGTCTTTCCTGGTTCCGTAATCAAGGCAAGCAGAAGCCTGAGTCATGATTCAGAGGGATAGTGGATAGGCTGGGTGTCGGGTCGGAAAGAGGGTTGCTCTGGAGGGTAGAGGGATGAGGAACTTGACGAGGGATAGCCACTGCAGGAGAACACGGAGACTGAGAAGAGAAAGGGGAAAAGATAAAGGAGGGTTCCGAAGTCGAGTCAGGGTGCAGGTTCAGTTGTATCTGCAGCTAAAACCGGTGAACCGAGAGAAAGTGATATAGAAGAGGGGAGTGCACTGAAAAAAAGAAAGCGGGGACCATGAAAAGACTGGGAATGGGGAAACGTGGGAGAAAAGAGAGAAACCGGACATAGATCAAAGGCAGTTCGTACTTCGGAACGGAGAACGCGAAATAGGAAGTCGTAGAGAGGGTTCTGATATGATGGAGTGTGTCATTGCGCTGGTATCCAAAAGCTTTGGGTCCTCCAGAATAGAAGACTTAAATTGTTCTTGGGGCTGGCCCAGCAATGGGAGATCTTATCTTGAATCGAATGAGAGCCCGAGGTGGGCGATCAATTTCTTGAAGACCAATCTCCTCGTACGTTGGACGAGAAGGTGCAACGAAGCGCAATGACATGGCCGGAAATCGACGGAAGAGGACCCAGACACGACGAGCGTTACTGAATGGGCCAACGGCAGCTGCCTGCTGAGCGATGTTAGGTACCACTGGTGTTAGAGTGGCAGGAGATGATCGTCGGTTCGTGAGCAGGCTCATGCACTCCTGGTAGAAGAGAAAAGCCAAAAAAGCGACAACGAAAATGACTACGCCGTGAAAGTCAGTATACCCGTAGGCAATCGCAGAACGAAGGCATCGTACATACCAAAAGCAACGACGATTGTCTTAATAACCCAAGGAGCCATCGGTGTGTCTTGTTTGTGGTCTGGTTGCTCTTGAGCAGCAGGCAGAGGTGTCGCAATCGGAAGCGCTTTGGAGAGACGGAACACAGTGGAGAAGAGAACAGAGATCAGAAGGCGGGACATAGCCAGGAAGTGAAAAGGTTGCGAGAGGTATCTGTGACGGAGGTCAGCGGTGGTCGCAGTGTATTAGGAGGCAACGCACAGAACAAATAAACGAAGTAGCGATCCAGGTCGCGGGTAAGATCAGCAAACGAAAGACGGTAAAGGGAATGGAACTAAAGCGTTCAGATGGTCTGCCCTTAAATAAGGCGCTTACAGAATCGTCACAGATAACGATAGATCTCAAGAATGAGTTCCGGGTCCGCCAATATAGCCTTGATACGGCACCGTGGGTGTGAAACGGGGAAGACTCACCGATGTAAAAAGAACTGGGCCGTGGCAGGCTACAAAGGGGAGATTTATCAGCGGTCAAGACCCAAGGGAGGGCAAGACCCAAGAGAGGGCAAGACGCGAGCTCTTGAAGGACGGAACCGTATCCGAACAGGGTTGTTGCCGACCGCAATGGGCTGATGGAGGCCGCTGAAGGGCAGTGCGAGGCGCTGCATGTATAGGTTATTCCCGGAACGTAGGGGAGTTCCCATGGATGTCAAGCTGGAGATATCTTGGTGGCTTGTACGGGAGGGAACACGTTGAAAACGCGAGGCAGATATCAAACCTGGTACGACGTCTAGTCCGAGCGGTAGAGAATGGTTCTGTATGATGAGCGACGTTTTTATGATCTTGAATGAATATTGAATGGCGATCATCCCTCGGATCTCGACGGGCTCAAAGAATGGCTTGGATGTCCACTCAAACCACTGCTCACCACATTCAGCTGACAACTGGCCGAAAGGTCGCACAGGAACGCAAGAAAACAGGGTCGCAAACATGACGAGCTGGTCCGCCGCAGTGAAGCAGTGGAGATCCAATGAAAATCGCGAGATCTGGTTGAAGAAACCCTAGTGGCGGCTCGTTTGGGAGGTGTGAAGTAGGCGCCGGTCAACCCTAACCTTAGGAAATGTATTGTGACCCTTCTGTGACATTGAGTCGTTGACCACGTCCGCCGAACAACGACATAACCTAGTGTTGGGCGACTTCAACTGCTTCCTATGGTCATCGTGGCCCTCATTCAGCCCCTGCTTCTCTTGCCAACGATCTGGCTTGTTATTCATATCTATAGTCTGCGTCTCTGCTCAAACAATCGTGAGCAGCGAAAGCGTCTTTTGGCTCGCCTTGGGCATGCAGAAGGGGAGGGAAAACGTGTGGTGGGCTTTTTCCATCCATATTGGTGAGCATCTGGCACAGTTACTCCAACACCGCACACTGATTCTACCAGAAAGGTTGAAGTAATGCTGGAGGAGGAGGCGAACGAGTTTTATGGACAGCCATTGCAGCAATGCAGCGGACAGACTCCAACGTCATCAATGTTATATACAGTGGCGACCTAGATGCTTCAAAAGAACAAATAATTGCGAAAGTCAAGGTCAAACCTGCCTTTTTTAGCTACCCACCCGCCACAGCTCACAAATATGCCCCCAATAGTCGAGATTCGATATCACACTCGATCCAACTTTGCTGGATTTTGTCTTCCTGGAATCACGCCACCTTGTTGAAGATTCAGCGTGGCCCAGATTCACTCTCTTAGGCCAAAGCCTGGGGTCCATGTATCTGGCTTGGGAAGCTATGAGGAAGCTGATTCCAGACTTGTACATTGGTTCGACACGTCCTCTCTATGCGTGTACCGCCTTCTGACATCCTATGAACCCAGACACTATGGGATATGCCTTCACTTTTCATGTCGTGTCGCTCTTGGCCCGCGTTCCTGTCGGCGCGTATGTTCACTACCCAACCATTAGTACAGACATGCTTGCTCGTGTCAGGTCGCGAAAGGAGTGGCATACGAATACTGGAACAATATCGTCCTCTCCCATTTTAAGCAGCGGCAAGCTTTTGTGAGTTTCTTCTTGTGCTGGTGCGTCCTTCCAGAGCTTGATCACTTCTCAGCTATTATCGTTTGTTCATGTTCTACTATGCGCTGTCGTTGAGAAAGGCATCTTTCCTAATGGTCAATTCCTCTTGGACCAAGAACCATGTGGACTCCATTCTGCAACACTCTGATCCCCTTCTCGATGCTGTGCATCTTCTCCCGCCGCTAGTCCTTCTTAAGTTGTTAACGTCCCGAAATGCCCCCTTACGTACTAGAATTGTATACCCTCCTTGCGACACACGTGAAATGGCGAAATTTCCACTGACGCCTCGGAAACGAATTATTTTGAGTGTCGCTCAGTTTCGGTGAGTTCTATTCTCCAAATTGGCCTTTCTTTCTAAATTCGTCTCCAGCCCAGAAAAAGACCATAGAACTCAATTGCATGCTTTCCAGCGCCTCCTGCATGATCATCCAGAGTACGCGCAGCAAGGGGATCGGCACGTTCAGTTGGTCTTGGTGGGTGGAAGTCGAAATGAAGGGGACTCAAGACGAGTAGAGGATTTGCGACAGCTCGCAAGGACACTCTGCATCGATGTACGTGTGCAACTTTTCTCGGTTTTCCCGACTGAGACTTGATTCATCCGGCAGGAACATGTTGAGTTTGTTGTGAACGCATCGTACCCATCTGTACTTGAATGGCTATCCCAAGCAAGCATTGGCCTGAGCACTATGGTGGATGAACATTTCGGCATCAATATCGTTGAGTTCATGGCGAGTACATTATCGTGCTGTGTAGGATCCACTTTCTAAATACTTTTTGACAGGCCGCTGGTGCTATTCCTGTGGCACACGCGTCAGGCGGCCCTCTCAAAGACATCATCGTACCATTTAATGGAGAGTGTACAGGTATGCCATTCGCCGCACTTTTCCATCAGAAATCAATATATATCCACTCGTGTACAGGCTTTCATGCTCTCACAGTCCAGGAATTTGCCTCAGCGATTAACACCGTGTTGACGCTTTCCCCAGAAGAAGAAACCCCTATGCGGTGGAGAGCTCGGGCATGGGCAGTGCAGCGGTTCTCAGAGGAGGAGTTTGAAAGAGGGTGGAATCAAAGTGGATGGCGAACACATCTGGCGCCACTGTGACCAGCGTGTCATCTGAAGATCTGCTCTCATCGTTGCTGAAATACTTTTTGATTGAGCTCTACATACAGCAACATTGTAACATCATCTTACTTGGTGTTCAATCTGGATGCTGGTTGGAAGTATCCCCGCAATGGCGATGTTATGCAAGCGGCGTAAGAGGTTTGTTGTGACGTCTGTCAGCGAGAATGTCGAAGGGGGCATAGAGGTGACATTCTCGACTGAACCTATTGTTTTAAATTTCCAACTCGCAGAGATGTGCTCGACAGGTGTGGCTGGCATACACCTTAGTGCACCAATCGGAAAGACTGAGTCTGGTGCCGGGCTGTATATTCGTCAAGGGGGATAAGAAAGCTATCTAGGGCAAGTTCTTGATAGAACACCAGTGGGAAACCCGCTCAACTCGCAGTGTTTCATGCACAGCTCGAAGACGTGTCCCCTCCAAACGACGTCCCGAAGGCGGCGGGTTTCTATAGGCGAGACTACTAGAATGCCGTTTCAGACCTTGGTAAGACTTCCACGCTAAAATCGCGGACGAAGGAAGGTCATGCAGACGCAGTAAGATGGATCTAGCGCAATGAAGAAATTCCTCGCGGCCAGTCCAATCCACGGTACTTGGGCCCAGAACGGCGGTATAAATTTTGATTCATACTTATTTCCTGATGACATCCCCGGTAGCAAGAGTTACCGATGGGCGCTTCTCGGTAGCTATACAGTAAATCAAGCATACTTATGATTGACATGTCTCCTGCCGTAGCCTGTTAAGCTGTCGAGACTGAGTCATGTGTTGCGGGCATTCTATGCAATCCTTGCAATGACTTCTTGGCCCTTTCCTTGAATCTCGGCCACGCTGGTGTAGCCCGCCAAGCCAAGGGTATTGTCCAGGTCGGCAAGGGTGTGCTTGATAACCTGTTCGACACCTGCTTGGCCACCAACAATCGAACCGTACAGCCAGGGACGGCCCACTAGAAAGATACGGGAGTCAATTCGCGTATTCCAGCGAAATCTAAGGGGTAGAGCTTACAAAGGACAGCTTGAGCACCAAGGGCCAGGGCTTTGAAGATGTCGCTTCCAGTGCGGATGCCCGAATCAAATAGGATGGTCAATTTACCAGCTTCCTGTGCTTCCTTGACTTTAATAGACCTCATGATCAATTCGAGTGCCAGGAGCGATGGAATGGCACCGTCAACTTGGCGACCACCTGAACAGGAACGGTTTGATTTTGTGTAGTAGACGACAATATCGATTGCACCATACCATGGTTTGAAACGATGATCCCGTCAACACCATGTTCCAATGCCTTTTCGGCATCCTGAGACAACGAGAAGGTTAGAGCAAGCTACGTTCAAAGAAAGCAACAAGAAAGGCGTACATGGGCGCTCTGGATGCCCTTCAGGATAAGTGGTCCCTCCCAGTTATCTCTAAGGAATTTCAGATCGTTCCAGTCACGGTACAAGCCAGAGTTAGCTTCTTTCAACCATTCCATCCCAAAGAAGAGACCCTCTTTTGCTTTGGGATCGCCAGCAACGACGCCCTGGTCGAATTTGGCGGCATCGTATGGGAATTCCGGATGTTCTGTCACGGGCTGTTTGCCATAGCGTGCCATGAAAATTGGGTCGGATTTGCCGATCTGAACACCGACTCCATGGCCAAAGGGGATGTAGGCAGTCTCAAGGTCGTGCGGTCGCCACCCAAGCGACATCGTGTCCAAAGTAACGACGAGAGCCTTGTAGTTGTTTTCTTTCGCCCGCTTCAGCAAAGATAGGGTCACTTCATTGGTACGTGGCCTAATGCGAGCGGTTGGTATTTCAGATTAAGAAGATATGCTTGAACTCGTACCAATACAGTTGGAACCACCGATGGCCATCACCATTAGCTTCTGCGATCTCCTCTATCGTTCGGCTGGCAGCAGTACTCAAAATGTAAGGAACACCCAAAGCCTTTGCTGCTCTTGCTGGGCTGAATTCTGCGTCTGGATGGAAAATAGCCTGAACCCCTATCGGTGCAATAAGGAGGGGTGAAAGGTGTGTGACGCCGAAGATAGTCGTCTGGATGGGTGTGGATTAGATATCGCTCGTAGATGATAACAATTTTAGGAACTCACCTCCAACGATCTCCGAGTCGCGTTCACGAGCATTCGCGGGATGATTCCCCATTTCGCGAACTGGGCGACGTTGGCACGGTAGGTGGAGTTCGATCCCGCACTCCCGCCAGCATACATGAAGGCCCCTATCCATACGGAATGTGCGTCCTGATCGAGAACATGAATGCAACATGAACGTCATGCTCACCTCCATAGTCCTTCAGCTTCTCCCTCGCCTTGGCTTCGATTTCCTCAAACACTACCGTTCCAAGGGGCTGAGGACCCCTGCGGCTGCGGTAGATGTCTAGCATGTATGCACTCCATGGATTGCCTCCGACAACAGTACTTTGCGACATCGTTCAACTTGCAACGCAGGAGGGGATTCAAGAACAACAGGTCGCGTTGGTCGGATGAAATCGCAGTTACTGAGCAGTCCTGGGATTGCGGTCGGTCATATGCTATTGCCGGGAAACTTCTGTTAGCTGGTCATGAGATGAGAAAGTTGTCATTTGACAATTCTTGGGCTTACAAATTTGTATCATGGGGGGTAAATCTACGTCTTGCGGAAGTCCTGCCTCTCGTTTTCCTCAACACCGACTTATCGAAAGCAAGGGAAAGCGCCTTTTTCGAAGCGAAAAAAGGCTCGAGGTGTACGATTGACCGTCGGGTCTATGTAATACTCACAAGTACAGCGTGAACGAGGGCGACCTCTGCGCATGACATGCGGAATGAGGAAAGATTGGGACGTGGTTAATAGGGTTTCCAACGCACGGAGGGCCTCTTTCAGAGGTTGGCAGATCCGTCGATCACTTCTAATTTCCACAAACAGGCCGCGTCGATCTTGTCGAGCTTTGAAAATTTCTCAACGGCGCCGGACTGGCCCATTGTGATCATGGCCACGAAACGGAATGCCCTCGCGGTAACTTAGGGCTCTTGAAGGATTGCGATAGGTAGATACACGCCGCACCAGCGGGGGTTAAATGTTGAATGATGAGGAAATGCATCATGGCGGGGACTTCACCTGGAATGGTGCAAGTGTCATACCGGGGTCCCGAGAACTTTCATTTCGCCACCTACCAAATGGAGTACCGATGCATCTATATCCAGTACCGACGGCTCTGCATATGGTGATGCATTTTTAGCCTCCAGTGCTTCAATCAAGCATCCAGGTCCAGACAACTCTTTCCGCCCCTGCTCGATGGACGGCCTTGTTCTTTCCTCCACTCCCACAGTGGGACCATATCAACCATCCCAGCCATGCAGGTCGTCTCCTTCCGTACCCTGGCCGGCGTGGGCGTCATTTTTCTCGTAGGGGTGTCGCTCTGCTTCATCGTATTGCCGGAGGCATTTCGAGTCTTCCAGCTTTCACTGCAGAAGAGTGCGATAATGAAAGACCAGGATGTTTCAGACATTATTACGCCTCTGGATGAGCCTCAACCACTCAACAAGACTGCATCTTCGTGTTCCCCCAAATCAGAGGAACAGGCCATTCTCCAAGAATGGGATTCGTCGCACTTTCTGCAAGGTCCTCCAACGAAGCAATTCAGAGGTACGTACTACCTTCCCTTTCCTGTTGCAGAGATGCTAAAGCAATCCAGAGAATCTTCGTGATGATACTTTTTACATCACAGCTTGGTCAAATTCAGGATTCAGTTCGTGATACTCACTCATTGCACGACAACGTTTAACTCTTATTCCCCAGCAAACCAATTCATGGGCTATGTGAGTAACTCCCCTGCTATTGTTCCATTTCTGAGCCTCATGAGAAACTATATAGGTCAACATGATCTACTTGGGGATGATTTCAGACCGTGTTCCTATAATTCCACCGTTCGGCCCACATCACATCTGTAAAAACTTTCATTCCAGTGTCCTGTCTATATGACTCAAACGCCTGTACTCAGCATATGATTCTGGATCCCTTCGGTTCAGCCACGTATTCAACCTCACACGAGCCAGGCGAGCTCTCAAACGCCCACTCCTTGAATGGCACGAACTCAAAGAAGAGGATTCCCCTACCTCGCTCTCAGAACCATTACCAGAGGATCGAGAACCCCTCGGCTGCTGGTCAGCCCGACACGAGGGTAATCCCACCCCCATTCGCGTTAAGTCGGTCATAGATCACCTCAAACTCGACACTTCATACACCCGCGTACCGTCCAACACGCGCCATTTTCCAGACGAGAAGACCACCGACTTCCTGGTCTTCAACCAACTCGTGCCCTATGTATTCCCGAGGCACCCTTGGCGCCCACCCTCTTCCTTCCCCCTGATGGAAGCGTCGCCACTAGGCCAACGCCTACCTCCAGACGAGCAGCTGTCTTGCTTCGACTTTCTATACTACGTCACATCGAGTAGGGAGTTGTTCGAATGGCAGTACTCGTGGTCGCCTGCATGGCGGTTAGTTGCGACCCACTTACGGTTTACGGACGAGTTAGTGGATCAAGCACAGAGTTATCTTCGACGAGCGTTTCAGGTGACAGATGGGACACCACCTGTGAGTAGCGTCGCCACAGTCGAGTATTAGTGAGATACTCATGATTTACACAGTTTATTGCGGTACATATGCGACGCGGTGACTTCGGGCAGCAGTGTCGGGATGGTAGGACATCGAAGGAGTGTTTCGTTCCGCTTGAGAATTATCGAAAAGCAGTGGAGTCCATGCAACAGGAGTTGCGAGAAAAGAAGGGAATGGATGTGAAGGATGTCGTCCTTATGTCAGGTAAGCAGCCATGCATTTTCTTGCTTACCTTGCCTCACAATTCATCGCAATAGATGAGCAAGACGGAAAATTCTGGGATGAAACCAAAAAGCTTGGCTGGGCGCGTCTCGACCACCATAAAGAACAGACAGTGGAGAAGTACGGAGAATGGTATCCGCTGCTTCTGGACAATATTGCACAGAGCCTGGCTGCGGGTTTCGTGGGGACAGGTGACTCGACGTATAGTCTTCTTAGCGCACGGCGGGTGGAAGACTGGAATGACGGACCGACGTTCATGGTACAAAGGTTCTTGGGTGCCCGTTCGTTATATTATGAAGATGATGGGGAGCCATAGGACTTCAAATAGAGCAATTCAGGACCTCTCGTATCTTGGAGGCGTTGATAGACTTCGTCAAGGCCACCCTAGTACGGTTGACGGCTGGGCTCAGGTCTATGTCAGACGATGATCACTTCAGGTTTGCTCAGGTTTTGCCCGTTAGGTGTGTATCCCTCCTACTTTTTAGTCAATATATAGGTTGTACAGAAGATCTTAAGAACATATAAGTATAAAATCCACCGTGAACAGGCCAGGAAGAGACAAACCAGACCTGAGCTCACTCGATGGAGAGGGCTGTTTTACATAAGAGAAGGAGTGGTATCAGGGGTACATGGCACCGCGTCCTATATGTTGCGAGAGCGTGACACTAATTAATGTGTAATGGATTTTAAAAGAAGTTTGAGACGATCTGGGATGATGCTCAAGCTGCGCACACCAGTTTCAGCAGTCTTGGTCAGACCGTACGTAGGCATTTGATATCTACAAAACCTCAACATTCAACGCTCAGCCTCTAGATGGCTATCATACAAGTCAGGTCAATGGGTAGTACTTAATTTCATTGAATTCCCGGACATATTGGCGGGCAGATCCACCTAGCGAGAGAGACTTGCGAACCTCTACCATATGTGCATGATGGGAAGATGGTGAGGCCTTGAGCTAGAGGACCTGGACAGCTAAATAAGCGCTCGAAACACTGAGATTTACAGCTGATCGCAACTGCTGTTCGATACACCCCAGACCTCTGCCAGTGGGATGATTCCTGTGAGCAGTATGTTGTCAGCTTTCCCTACATCGTTTTCTAAAATTTCAAGTTCTTTAGAAGGTTGCAGGACAACGTGAACGAGGCCTTCGGTCTCCGACCATTATGGATTGCAAACGCCCAATTTAGCAGAGTAAAATATTACCCAGAACGTAAGGCGGAAAAAGGGCCTTTATTGAATCTTTACAAAGAGAGAACAAAGGGACATATGCACGATCATATATTTTCCATGAACAACTCATGTTATGAGGGCTAAATGAGGGCGGATATTAGCCGCCGTGACAAGCGCCGTCACGAACTCACACCTGAGGACCCCGGAGAAGGCCCATCATGCGTCGCCCTATTGAAATATAGACCTGAGCCCAGCCGTCAACCGTACCCTAGGCACATCTTTACGTTCCATGCTGGAACGTGAGACGACCAGAGCAGGATTGTGTATCTAGTCTGGTCGTGGTTCTCGATCGTGGTTGGTACACACGTGCCTGGCGAAATGTGCCAAAAATGGCACCGCTGCACAGGATGCGTTGAACTATCGTCTCGCCAAATGCTACGTGTCCAGACGTGGCCTCCCTCCTAATCACCGAGCTATTTATCGCGTGTAGGCGTAAACTGGCTTATTGACGTACAAAGCTACCCTTGGTACTGCGGTCTCATCCGCCATGCTTTCACTACTTCCGTCGGCGCTGCTTGCTTTGCTCTTTGCGTCACCCGCTTTGTCAGGACCGACCTCCAAGTATGACCCCTTCAGAGCACTCGCGTTGCAAACACCCAAACCAGCAGGGAATCCGATATGCTGTCTGAAGCCACAGACCCCCTTGGAACCGGTTGATGATGACATTTTACTGTCGTTCGAGGAATGGAAGTTGAAGCAACACGCGACTGCAGCAGAGGTGGTGGCCCAGAAGCCCAAGCAGAAAAACACGACACGACAATCGTCCGCTGGAGATACCGGTGCAGCAGGAGGTGTTAACGACAGTGCCAACATTTTGTCCACACCAATCGACGATTCCGCCCCGCCGAACACGCCCCAAGAACTCCCCGTTTCTCCTCAACTCCGAATCCCTACTACAGATCGCTTCAATTACGCCAGTCTAGACTGTTCAGCACGTGTGCACACGGCTCATCGCTCCGCCAAATCCCCGTTGTCGATTCTCTCAGCAAAACGAGATCGATATATGCTCAGCCCATGCAACAAATCGAAGGAGAAACAATTCGTTGTCGTCGAGTTATGCGATGACATACGCATTGATACTATTCAACTGGCCAACTTTGAGTTCTTCAGCGGAGTGTTCAAAGAATTCACCGTCAGCGTTGCCAAGACGTCCCCAGATCCCGACGCCTGGACCTTCGTTGGATCATATCGCGCAAAAAACGTTCGTGGTGTTCAAACGTTTCGTACCCCAGACTCCCTGCATGGTTTCTACCGCTACATGCGTATCGATTTTCTATCCCACTACGGCAGCGAATACTATTGCCCAGTGTCTCTCCTCCGTGTTTATGGCCTAACCCACCTGGAAGAATGGAAATTGGACGTATGGCAAGAGGAGAGTCGAGCGAAGCAAATCGAGCTGAGTGGCAGACAAGTCATTTTGCCAGTCGAGACTACTGATGAAGCCACCACTGTCCCGACGTCAGCTCCTTTCACTCATATCGACCCCAGCAATCCTTCGTCTACCCCCAGTATCGACCTCTCATCAGGCCTTTCCTCCCTGACTGATTCTGGTGTTCCACATTCAACTCACCTCCCCGACTCCGCGTCCCCGTCAGATCATGAGTCTTCTCCAATGGTGACTGCGAGCCAGGCCTCTTCCGGCGTTTCTTCCATGACCTCAACACCCTTATCTTCGACTGCAACTTTGCAAACAACAAGTGTCCGCCATAGTATTCACGATGGCACCCTTCATTCAAGTCGTACATTTGGATCACCCACAACCAAGCCCTCCATGACGACATCCTCACCGCATCCACCACCAAACAACCCAGAACTGACAGTCTCCTCCGAATTGGCTGGCCACGCCCCACCTGGGCATACCATGGCAATAAATCACACCTCACAGACTTCCCTCGCAGGAGTGTCCAACCATCCGTCTCCCAGCACCCCAACAGTTATCGTCTCCTCTCCCTCTGTTACAGTCATTCCAGTAGCTCCAATGCACCAGACACACGGCGGTGAATCCATCTATCGAACTATCATCAACCGCGTCGCTGCGGTCGAAAACAACCAGACGCTCTACATGCGCTATATTGAGCAACAGAACAATGCTATTCGCGACGTGATAAAGAGGCTGGGTGAAGATGTCGGACGGCTGGAGGGCATGGTTAGTGGACTTTCTCCTGCGTAATTTCCCTCTGACCTCTTGTCTCTAGGGTCGTGCACGATCTCTGGCATATCAGCGTGCTCTGAGCGATTGGGAGAAGCAGCGCTACCAGCTTCAAATGGATTACGGTGACCTTGTAAATCGCATTGAGTATCTTTCTGAAGAGGTGACGATACATTTATGTGTGCTGCGTTTTCACTCTTACAGGCCCTTGCAGATCGTCATGGAAAAGCGGTTAGGGGTGGCGCAGCTGTGTCTCCTTCTCGCTGTCCTCGTCTTCTTGGGTCTTACCCGTGGATCAAGGCCTGACAATTTCCAGAGCCATGGTTCTGTCAAAGTCAACAGCTCTATGCGAGAGTGGGGTAGAAGGCATTTTACGCTAAGTAACGATTGGACAAATCGTTTCAAGAGCAAGGCTCCAAGTGAAAGCAAGAGGAGCAAGAGGAGCAGCAGCGCAAGTCGTACTCGAACCCCGACAGTTTCTCGACTAAAACCATCAACAGCTAAGTCAATTCCACCGTCCCTGTCACTCGATCTTGCAGGCAAGGGTTTTTCTTTCTCCTTCTTGCTTCCTCTTTTTAATTCGTGGGTCATAGATGATGACAAGGTCGTGTTTCCTTCTTCGAGCCGTCTGCGACCCAAGGAGCATCTTGAGACGATATTGCTGAACACAGCCCCTGTTTCAAACGAACGGGGGCATTCTCGCTCTCGCACCATCTCCAATCCTCGGTCTCGAGCTCCGTCCTTGCGTTCCACTCCAGCAACAAGGCGAACGCAGTATGCCATTCCTCATCGCCCGATAACACCGACTCGTTCTGCCTTCAGACCTACTCCCTTACAACGGTCGAACTCTCAAGGAGGTGTCCCGGCCATGCCACAAAGTACGTCCTGGGGAGCTGCCGTCCATGCGCCGAAGAGTGCAAAGAAGTGGGCTAGGAGCGCGCACCTGCACGAGGTGAAGGTCATACCCGCACTGAGCAGAAGGTCGGGAGGCCTGGATATACGCTCAACGAACCACGATAGAAAGGACCGCACACCGAGAAGGTCCGAGTTTGAACAAGAAAATGTCGACATCTTTTCATCTCCTCCGGGAATGCCTCGTTTTCGGACAAGGATAACGACGCTCTCGCAGAAAGCTTGCTTTTCAAACCGGAAGTAAGCATCGACGACGGAGATCCTTGGGTCGATACGGATAGCGTCGATGGGTCTGAAATAGATGCAGGCCCAGTCATCGAAATGCCGCCCAAGGTCGTCAACTGGATGGTTGCTGTCTCATGACTGTTTTTCCTCTTCGCTCCATCTTCCCTTGTCATTACATTCATGTTACTATCATCGTCATCATCTCATTGGCTTCGTTGCATGCATTCATTTTAATACGCAATTATATCATCGGTCTGGCCTGTCTTTTCAATTTGTCCATTTTCTCATGTTGACTGTGCTAGTGGGTTGGTATAGCCAAGAATCCAGCACGACGCGTTCCGATAGGCTCTGGAGCCTGCAGAGCAATAACAAAGCTTACTTACCATCTAGACTCGGGATCTCCACTGACAAGCTCTTGCAACGGCCTGGCAGTGGCTCCAACAACTTGAACAAGCCGTGTCCTATTTTGTAAAGAAACGCCGTCCTATTGGACTTGTCGCCGTGAACTTCTTTTTGGTTTGAAGGCGAGGCAGGTATGTAAGAAGCCGCGGCGGGTCCGCGCGGGTGGATAACATGACCGAGCCCCCGACGAGCTTACCAGCTTTCTACCCCCGACGATGCTTGTCATCCTGCCACTGGCACTCTAGGAGATGAAGTATGCATGTGGTCAGGTAGTAATTTGAGGGGCTTATCGGAGCCCAGGTGGGGATGATGGCAGCTTGTTGATCTTCTTCTCGAACGATCATGTCGCTTCCCTTCCTGTACTCTGCTATACGTATTCAGCCATTTCCATTCTCTTTGCCCACCCGACCCTGTCGAGAAAGCATGGTTGGGGGTGAGACCATCGAGCTGGAGCATCGTGCCCACACCGATGTGACAGGAATCCTTCTGAATGTGATCATGAACGTTCTACACGAACTGCTTCTTCTGCAAGAGACCCCGAACACGATCTACTTGGACACATGCACGCCCCGGCCGTTTCACATCTATATATATAAATGACTACTAACTTCGCTACTTCTCAACCCCGTGAGCCCAACTCAGGCTCGAGATACGATTCTCCATAGGTCTGCACACGCCATGCACGTCTCCACGATCCTTGCGTTTTTGCTATGCATTAGCCCTACGATCGCACTTTGGCCTCTGCCCCGACAAATCTCGAGTGGGACCACTGCCCTTCGACTATCATCTTCCTTCAGTATCAACCTCTCCGGTGTACACAACCCTCCAAAGGACCTGAGGGATGCAGTAACGCGTACCCAAGGCTATCTACGCAATGATGGCCTCCAAGCTCTTGTTGTTGACCGCGGCGCGTCTTCCGCTGGAGCCATCAAGGCCGCGAAATCCCTCAGGTCACTTACCGTGAAGCTGACCTCGTCTGGGTCTGTCAAGAGTATATCTCAAGAGGCCGTGGCTCCACTGGAGTCTCGCGTAGAAGGCTACACTCTGATTGTTCCGGCAGATGGATCAAGTGCGGTCTTACAAGCCAACTCAACCTTGGGCCTTTTCAGAGGATTGACCACCTTCAGTCAATTGTGGTACGAGCTCAATGGTGATATCTATACCTTGGAAGCTCCCTTCAACATCGTGGATTCTCCTGTATATGTATGTTACTCTTTCCTCATCCACGACGATTGCACTGACTTCTGTAGCCTTACCGTGGATTCATGTTGGATACCGCAAGGAACTAGTGAGTTTTCTATTTGCAACACCCTCTGGAGAAGTTTCTGATGTGTTTCGGGTCAGTTTCCCTGTGTCGGACATCAAGCGCACTCTGGATGCTATGAGCTGGGTCAAGGTAACTCTTCCAAATTCTTAATACGACGACATTGGGTAACATTTTTGGTAGATCAATACCCTTCATTGGCATGTCGTGGATAGCCAGTCTTTCCCTCTAATCGTCCCTGGATTCGAAGTGTTGTCCACTAAAGGCGCCTACAATGCTCGTTCTGTGTATACTGCCTCCGACGTTAAAGACATTGTGGCCTATGCCGCTGCAGTAAGTGCCTTCTGATTGGTGCTAATGGTTAATCATATTCGTATATCTGTTCTGCAGCGTGGCATCGACATCATTGCTGAGATCGATACTCCTGGCCACACAGCAGTCATCGAGAAAGCTTTCCCAGAACACATTGCCTGCCCGGAGGCTTCTCCTTGGACACAGTTTGCAAATGGTATGGTTCCGAACCTATCAGTGTCGTTCGCCTTCTGGAACTATCCACAGAGCCACCTGCTGGCCAACTTCGCCTTGCCAGCCCGTCCACCGTCAACTTCACTGCTTCGCTCTTGACGTCAGCCGCAAAGCTCTTTCAATCAAAGTATTTCGGAACAGGTGGCGACGAGATTAACTCGAACTGTTACCAGAAAGACGAGCCAACACAGACGGAACTTGGTAGGTCTCTTTGGCTTCTCTCCTTGGACGGTATGCTTAGCTCAATATAGCGAACCAAGGCATTACTCTGAACGAAGCCCTCGACAAATTCACTCAGGCGTCACATGGCGCTCTTAAGAATATCGGGAAGACTGCCGTTGTTTGGGAAGGTAAAACTTGCGTCATCTCGTTGTTCTACTCAGACAATTCTAATTCATATACAGAAATGCTTCTTGCTCATCCAGTCAACCTTGCCAATGATACATTGATCATGTACGTCTTCCTTTCAGAGCAATTTGAACCATTCTTCGAACATCACTGATGATCTTGTTCAGGGTTTGGATTTCTGCTGACAATGTTGCCTCTGTTGCCCAGAAGGGTTTCAGGATTGTCCATGCTGCAAACGAGTACTTTTACCTGGATTGTGGAGGCGGGGGATGGGTCGGACAGAACGTCCTCGGAAACAGCTGGTGCGACCCTTTCAAGACGTGGCAAAAGGTCGTGTTTGACTAGACATTGAGAACATCTTTTACTTACTAACTTTGTGACAATAGGCCTACTCTTTCAACCCTCTGGCCGGTTTGACGGAAGATCAGTATCACCTCGTCCTCGGCGGTGGGTTAACGACAGATCCTTGTCTTTGTGTCAAATTCTTACGTTGTCTCTAAATCAGGTCAGCATCTCTTGTGGACTGAGCAGTCGAGTCCCTCCAATCTGGACAATGTCGTTTGGCCTCGTGCAGCCTCCTCTGCAGAAGTCTTTTGGTCTGGAGCAGGTGGAAACGTTGGAACTGCTCTTCCGCGCCTTCATGACGTGGCGTATCGCTTCAAGCAACGCGGCGTCAATCCAATTGCGCTGCAACCCGAGTGGTGTGCCCTACGGCCAGGAGCATGCGACCTTAACGCGTAAAATGTTGTACATAAATCTAGGCGGCATTCCTTTATCTTGGACAATGGAAACGGAGCTCTGATGGCTATTCGTTTTACGTTCCTTTATATCTACTCACAAACTAATTTACTTGCATGAGGCGGCATAATCTGACTTCGAAGAGGCCTTCATCGAGCCAGTGAAATCCAACCAAGAAGAGCGGTCATCCTTGTTCTTAAGGGCGTTTAGGATGTTGATACCATCTGGAGAGCGGGGATGAGAAACGAAACGCAACAGGAGATATGGTTCTTACACTTATAGTGCTTGGCACCGTTACGATCATTGACGGGTGCTCGCTGTTAAAAGCATCACAAGCTGAACAAGCAAGACGGAGTGAAGGATGCTGTTGCCTACCTTGTCCTTGTAGTTGAAGCATATGAAACCACTAGCGATCAGGCGGACTCTGCCTTGACCATTGACGTTGCAAGATCGTGATTTCATCTGGAAATCAAAGACGTCAATCCCCCAGATAGCATGAGGTGTATAAAGGAGCGCATACTGTTCCACTGCAGAATTTGCCAGCTGGTGCATTCATCGACATCTCCTGCGTGGCTTGCTTGTTTACGGTGGTAGTAAATCTATGTGGACGACATCAGAGAAGAAAGTAATTGCCAGGCAGAAGAGTTGTACCCTGAGGAAATGGTGTTCGTGAAGGTTGCAGTCGTCGTTGAGGAGCCTCCAGCTTTGCCCAGTTCGGGAAGGGAAAGTTCTGCAGAGAAAGTGACGGCCTGGGCTAGTGCGCTTGATTCTGCAGAGACAGGTTGAAACTACTGTACAAGTGAAGGGAGAAGACCACGTACTGCTGACACTCCAGGTTCCAGAGTTCGAATATCCCTGTTGGAACGTCAATTTGACCGATCCTGACGTGCCAACCATTTTCCCTGCGATCGTCGCATTGTCATCTATACAGGTGGGTGTTCCTGAAGAGAGATTCAGCCGCCAATGGAGGAGAGCAATGGACAACGACTCACCCGTCATCTTCACTTGAACGACTTCGCTATCTATGCAGACAGTCGCAGGGGCGTTCGGATACTGCGCATCTTGTTAGCTAGGTGATGGGGTTAGAGAGAAAACAGAACCGACATCTTTTGGGTTCGTTTCGAGATTATACCCTCCTGTACCATACTTGTCTTTCGCATATTGCTCGATCTTTCCCCAACCAGGAACTGCATAGTCAAGTCAGACTTGACATAACGGAATACAAGTAAATAGCATTACGAACGTTTCATAGCTTCGTCTACGCTCAGAGCAGTGCACGACGAGCCCGCTCGCGCTTGGAGGCTTTCATATTCGACTTCTCTTGCGAACGTCTCTGGGTCGAATCGTCCATAGAGTGAACCATCTTGACGATAGACATGATACACATCCGAGCGTGGATCGTGGAGAACATGATGAATGTCTGAGACTGCTCCAGCAGTTTGGTTATAGGGCAGTGCAGACGCGAACTGCAGTCCGAGTAGGAATGCCGACAGCTGAAAGAATACGTCAAGACAGAAATTGGTCCATGGAGAATGTGAAACGCTCACAGTAGCAGCGAGCATGGTATTCGTTCGTTGAGAATTGATTGGGATATACGAAGCCTGTCGTAATCGATAGTTGCAGACGACCAAGGTGCGTCAAGGGAGAGTCCAGCTCTTGGGTTTGCCCGATATTTTGTTTTTCATTTTATTGCGATTTCGAGAGTCGCTGTTTCCGAATTGAGGCGTCGGTCGAAGTCTCGGGAGGTGTGTAGTTGCTATGAAACGATGACGGTGTCTTCATCAGAACCGCTTTTCAACACACATATGGGACGAAGTTGAAGTTTGTGTGGATTAGCAAAATTGCGTGGAGACGGTAGTATAAATGCGACATCGTCTCGGTTCGATAATCTATTATCAAAATGGCGAATGAGGTGTTGACAGAAAATGTCGGCAAAAATCGACATGATGAGAACACACGTGGGCGACGACAGGACGTCTCGAGAGTCCGAGTTGAGACCGTTGACTCGGCGACTCATCAGCCCTCATCAAGCCTGCTGGCGGTGTAGGGCGTAACCATGAGTCTTCATTTGGCATTGGGTAAAGAATTCGATGACGAGCGGATCGACGACGAGCTTGTTGCCTCTCAGGAGTCAGAAGAGCCCAGTGACCACATGTCATAAGGATGGGAGCTTTGAAGCCGACAGATCGCCCGAGTCTTGAAAAGTACGGGATGTGCTGCAACGTCGGGGGTGGTTGTTGACGGAAAGTGTCAAGAAAGTGTGCAACAACAAGGACCGTGACAACGCGTGACAATCGCAACCAGAAGCGCCGGCGAGCCATCATTATAACGGCCCACCATGGACAAAAATAGGGCTTACCATGTAAATACCACCCCCTGCAATGAATATGTCACCCGAAAGTCCCAGATCGTCGGCGTTCATTGACAATCGTCAACTTTCGTCAATGTTTGTCAACAATCTCCAACTTTTGTTGACGTTCTTTGACTTTTGTCAGAGATTTCCACTGAAATATCCCGATCTTCAACATTTGGCACAGATCAATACGGTAGGTTTCTTCAACTTTCTGTTACCATTTTCACTGTGAGCCTCTCATTCTTTCTTTGACATCCGGCCAGAATCTTCAAGAATCTTTATATTTTTCTTCAGGAATGTGTCGGACCAGGACTTTGCGAGGGGCTTGGCACACTCAACTCATGTGCCGGGCCTATGCCGGCTGCTCTGCTTGCATGCTGACTAACAGTCGGGCCGTGGGGACCCACCAATCTTAGTCAGCGGGGAAGAAATACCTCGCTGACTAAGATTGGCAGGGTCCCATGGCTCGCTGACTAAGTTGTTGCTCCCGCCCTTCTCATTACTGTTGTGGACAGCAAGCTCGCTGTTCACACCATTTCCGGTCCATTTCCCTCCATTTTTTTTGCTAGTATCAATGTATGTAATTATTAATGAAGTTATGTAACATATATACTGTTGTAAACCCCCATAAGCTGTATAAAATGCGAAAACAATAATATGAATAACAGTCCCTCATCCACACCCAGCCCTAGGCATATTCCCCAGCCCAGGAAGCATCTGGAGTATTTAATATAGACACATGTATGAGTGGGAAGGCCACCATCCAGGTTATGGGAGTGGCAGGATATACAGTATCATGGTGATTAATGTACCTCTCCTCCTACCCCTCTTCCACACACCAATAATGCAACTATTACTATGGTTAGTAGCTCAATTTAATGGTACTACAATAGGGCATTTTTAGGGCCCTCTATTCGAGCCATTTGTGGTTTGAAGGGAGAGGGTATGACCCATGACCCTCAACAGTAGATATTTTATTAAAGAACCATACATGCATTTATGGCCAATTTGACTCAGTAGATACTTAATAGTATTATGCTTTAGTATATATATGTATTTAAATATGGAGCGCCGCACATGTGGGCAAAGATATGAGGAGGGGGAGGAGGAGCACATACCTCATCAGTCACCATGTCCTCCTGTCACGAATAGCGCATATCGCACACTCTAGGTAGACTCTACGGGTGTGTAATATGTATACCTTGATATTTTAGTAGTCACGGTTAGAGAATAGATGCTTGGGTGAGATGGTATTAAAGCAAGGAGGATATCTGCATAAAAAGCATGAAAATCGTCCACTGTCACATAAATACATCAAGTAAAAATAATATATATACCTAGGCATATACTCATACATTCTATGAGCCAGCTGAAAAAGAGTTTACGAAATTAGAGCAAGATTGAGGTGAGATATGGATGAGACAGTGAATTTTGAAGGGCAGAAACTCGGTCACTACATGTGACTGTAAACTATCTACCCTTCTTTGGGAGTTCCTTTGCCATATCTCACCTCAATCTTGCTCTAATTTCGTAAACTCTTTTTCAGCTGGCTCATAGAATGTATGAGTATATGCCTAGGTATATATATTATTTTTACTTGATGTATTTATGTGACAGTGGACGATTTTCATGCTTTTTATGCAGATATCCTCCTTGCTTTAATACCATCTCACCCAAGCATCTATTCTCTAACCGTGACTACTAAAATATCAAGGTATACATATTACACACCCGTAGAGTCTACCTAGAGTGTGCGATATGCGCTATTCGTGACAGGAGGACATGGTGACTGATGAGGTATGTGCTCCTCCTCCCCCTCCTCATATCTTTGCCCACATGTGCGGCGCTCCATATTTAAATACATATATATACTAAAGCATAATACTATTAAGTATCTACTGAGTCAAATTGGCCATAAATGCATGTATGGTTCTTTAATAAAATATCTACTGTTGAGGGTCATGGGTCATACCCTCTCCCTTCAAACCACAAATGGCTCGAATAGAGGGCCCTAAAAATGCCCTATTGTAGTACCATTAAATTGAGCTACTAACCATAGTAATAGTTGCATTATTGGTGTGTGGAAGAGGGGTAGGAGGAGAGGTACATTAATCACCATGATACTGTATATCCTGCCACTCCCATAACCTGGATGGTGGCCTTCCCACTCATACATGTGTCTATATTAAATACTCCAGATGCTTCCTGGGCTGGGGAATATGCCTAGGGCTGGGTGTGGATGAGGGACTGTTATTCATATTATTGTTTTCGCATTTTATACAGCTTATGGGGGTTTACAACAGTATATATGTTACATAACTTCATTAATAATTACATACATTGATACTAGCAAAAAAAATGGAGGGAAATGGACCGGAAATGGTGTGAACAGCGAGCTTGCTGTCCACAACAGTAATGAGAAGGGCGGGAGCAACAACTTAGTCAGCGAGCCATGGGACCCTGCCAATCTTAGTCAGCGAGGTATTTCTTCCCCGCTGACTAAGATTGGTGGGTCCCCACGGCCCGACTGTTAGTCAGCATGCAAGCAGAGCAGCCGGCGTAGGCCCAGCATATGAAACCCACACATGGTGTGGCATCATGGAGGCAGTTCGGGGTCTCAGAGATTCTTGAAGAAACTGGAAGAATAGGCCAGGCCATGTCAAGACAAATTCTCATTTGTTTTGGCCTCTGTCAACGGATCAGTGACAAACGGTGACATTCTGCGGGGTGTCATTCTTTGATTATTGTTAACATCCTGCCAAAAAAGGTAACTTTCTGTGCCGATCGTCAAAGAACATCAACATTCTTTGACGATCATGACCGTTCCTTGGCTATCGTGACCATTGCCTGACTTTCTTCCGCGTTCTGCCACAATCGTCACTGAAATTCATTTACATTGTATTTTTGTCCAGCACAGACCACCATACATCATAGCCGTTTAGCGCCCAGACAATCGCCTCACGAATTCACTTCTGGGTACAAATCTGTACAAATACATGCCGAACAGCAGTCACAAAACGGTAGGAACTCCTTTACTAGTCTGAGTATCAGGCTTATTTCTACTGTAGCATTTTAATCACATTAATGTATGTAAGTACCGGGCAAGAATCTTCGAGAAGAGGTCGGAGATTGTACTGAGATTGTGCACAGGTTTCGGCCATGCCGACGACGACTTCTTTATGGAATGGCCGAATGATCTGCCCGAGATTCGAGAATCAGACAAATGATTGTCGGTGACTAAATGGGAAATTCTACTGGATAGAAATGGTTGGCGTCTCACACTGCTTATCCTCCAGTGGTTGGCCCTTGCATGCATGTATCCACCGACCTCCACCGATGGTCGTATGTCCCAGGGAATTCTCATAAGAACGGAGGTATGTGCGTCAGATTCTTGAGCGATGCAACAGCAAGGAAACCCGTCAGGATGATTTGTGGGTGGGAGTAGCCGGCGATGAGATCTGAGAGGTCGCCCACTACGTGATACTGATGGCACCTAGACGAAGCCCGTCCTACAAGACATGTGTATAGATTTTGCGGCAATGGTCCTTCGTCCAGAGAGAAGCCTTTCATCGGGAAATGTCTATCTAATAATCCAACACATATCGGTAAATTTGGATGTTGAACGTGAATCTTCTATTTGCGTCCAACCGTTCAACTTGTAACTCGTAGCGGTCCGCACTTCGACGAGCGTAAACAGCCTAGTCTTTGACTTGGTCGATGTATGGTTCGACTTAATACTCGAGCAGGGCACTCACGCAATGGACTTTTGCTCATAATGATCAGAAGACAATACTCATCCACCTAGATTTACCCAGAGAAAAAATATGGGGCCCGTACAACAGGCGAATTCCAAAATTCAAATAAGCAAAAACATCAACGAGAGACTGCGAAGAAAAAGGGCAAAGGAACTGTCAAGGAAATGCCGAGATGAGATTTAAAGACCGTTCGAAGGGATTCTTTCAAAGGAGCAGGTCATCACCGCTTGAAGATGACGGAGCACCATTGCCGAAGTTCCCAAACAAGGGCTGAGCCGCGCCGACGGGAGGCTTCTTCTGCCCTCCCCAGAGTCCAGCCATCGCCTTTTCCTTCTCCAGATCCTTGATGGACTTGCCGGCACCCGGGGCGGAGGCCGCCTTGTTAACGGCCGAGCTACCAAGAGACATAGACCAAAGGTCATCAAAGTTGCCTTTCGCAGGGGTGGGGGCAGGCTTTGCGGGGGCAGAGGCAACAGTCATAGGAATGGGCCGCATTGCGCCAGGTGCACCCCCAACAAAACTATGCTGCTGACCTTGAGGGATCATAGGAGCACCAAAGCTAGGTTGCGAGAGCGAAGGGTTTTGACGGTGTCCGTGTACTCCCATACCATGCGCGGGAGGTTGTTGTGGTTGAACAAAGGCTGGGTTGACAGAAGGTTGCATCGATGTTGAGTTCAGCATTTCCATAAGATTTGGCTTCTTAATGGCGTTTTGGGCAGGAGCGGGAGCTGTTTGGATGGGAGGAGCAGCCGATACAGGGGCGACCTGGAAGTCCGCAAAATCGTCATCTAATAGCAGATGGCAGCAGGTGAGCATTGATGATTAATCCGGAGAATGAAAGTTTTCATACCATCGAGACTGACTGTTGAATTGGACACTACAGGAAGTGCTTTGTTAGCGCCGAGGGCCACCGATGGAACAGGTGCAGGCGCAGGTGCCTTGAAAGCGTCATCATCGAACCCGCCTAGGAGGTCTTCAACCGGTGCCGGGGGCGGGGGAGGGGGAGGGGCGATAGCCTTCCTCACGGGAGCGCGGACAGAGCTGCTCCGCACAGGTGTTGATGAATGAGAGATCTCATCGTCGCCAGCGTTGTACTCTTCATAAGGACGTCGACTGTCACTGAACGAGGAACTCCCCCCTCCACGGCCGCTGCTGCCACCGCCTGAATAATGGTCTTTTCGAGTGTTAGCAACAGAAGAGGCGGTGGAACAAATCCGTACCATTGCTGTAGTTGCCATAAGATGAAGATCCACCTCCAAGGCTATCGCTGCCAAATCCGCCATAACGCCCTCCACTCGTCTCAAAAGACATGCCCCCAGAAAATCCATCATTGCCAACACCGACGTATTTATTCTTGTTCACTTTAGCTTTCCGTCGCTCCGCGCGTATTTTCTCGACGTCTGATAGAAGCTCGACAAGTTCTCGAGCACGGTTGCGAACTACATGAAGGTTAATCTCGCGAACGAGACAAACATCGTTCAGAAAATCGCACCATTTATTCCTTCATCTTTGCCCTTATCGTCAATGTAATGGAAGTTTCTAAGCATCTTCAAGGTAGAGATATGTGAACGAGCATCGTCAACAACGCGCTCGGATCCGTGCTTGATAAGATATTCCAAGAGTTGCAGTGCCTGCGTTGTCATGTGAGAAACATTTACGGAAGGAAAGGGAGAGGAGACCTTGTATATTTGGCGCCATTGGCGTGCCTCCTTCTCCATGAATCGGGAATAAATGCTGGGCATGATTTCATTGAAGTATTGGCTGTAATAATGAGTGAGTAATTAAATGTCAATGGAGTGAAGGAACCCGACTTACAAATGGAATGTCCTACAGCACAGAGCTCGGGTTCAGAAACGCTAGAGAACGCGTAATGGTAATTAAGCATACCCTTGGGCGATCTCTTGCATCAGAGTAGAACTTGCACCCCTTGGCCAGAGTAAGCTTCAGCGGGCTTTCTTGAGGCACGGCACATACCATGGATCGTCATTCGTTGCTTCTCTAACTTTGGCCTCCATCTCGCTGACGTTCAGCACGACATTCTTAGCCTGGACCGGTCCATGTCAGCACCGACGTTTTACGCTGCGACAGAGCGCACGGACCTGGTTGTACATGCTTTTGATGTCATATAATGTGATATTTTGGAGGGTATTGGTCAAAGATTCTATTTTGTCCATGGTGGGCAATGGTTTTGGAGAGGAGGACTGGGCCAAGTTGGTTGGGATGGAGGAGATGAAGGCTCGGAACAGAGGGTCACGGTGGCCTCTCCGTTTCGGCGCGTCACGATGACTATGTGACCACGCCCAAAGACTCGGTCCGACGTTGGTCCGATTCTTCTGGCACCAATTAATCACTAGATAGAGAAAGACAGAAAGACAAGTCGACAAGTCTTGCATTCGGGCAGGAAATTGAATTCTTGAGTGCATGTTTACCAGGAAAACGTCATTATGATTTAGAGCGCGAAGTTCACACTCAGACACGTGCTTTCACGAGTACTCATTCCCGCTGCTACTACTAGCCTATAGGCAGCGACGACTTACTTGGACCTTGAGAATCGCTATACTTGCCCACGCTTGCGTTGCTTCTTGACTATCGGCATACATCTGGCTATCCACTATCCAGCAAGCATTGAAGAAAGACAATCGGGTAATGCGTCCTTATTCTCGACGGTGACATATCGTCCAGAAGGGGAGATGCCCAACCTATTTTCGGGTCGCAAGAAAGAGAAGTATAGCCAACGTTTGGGGGAAGACGTCAACACTGCTTTGAGCAAGGCCAGCAGCTACCGCATCGTGGAGCAAAGAATCCATCCAGACCAAAATTCGCTGGCGGAGGAGCTATCGGCTTCGCAAGGGCACGTATTACACATATATGATCCCAACACCATGACGGCGGGGAAGCATGCTCCTCGAGCAGCCGCTCCACCCAGCGCATCGGATTTTGTAGGGCTGGAACCGAGCTCAAGAAGGCGCTTTCCAAGATCAGAAGAATTCGGCGAGCACAACAAGGAGCCTCGTCAGGGCCTCTTCTGGTCCAGCAGCCAGCACCTGTATGCTTCTTGTTCAGGCAAGGAAGTATATGCTGTACAAAGGAACCATCCAGAGGTACACGCAAGGGACACCCTATTCCCCCTGGCCCTTCCCGTGCACATCGAGCCGGTTTTCCAAGAACCCCCAGGTCAAGAGATGCAACCAAGGTCTATCTCGAGACGTGCAACATTCGGAAGGAGACCAGATAACTTGATTTCTGAAATGACGACAAACACGCGCAGCTCTTCGAGATCAGCCAGCCAATCCAGCCTGGGTCAGGCCGGGAGTATAATAACCTATTGCTCACAAGCCACTGCAGATAACGAACCTGAAACCCCAGGCTCTCATACTCATTCCTTTTACAGCTCCATGCCATATCTGCGCGAAACACCACCCAATCCAGCTGAAGCACCGTTACCATCTCCGCATACCTTTGGCATGCCCACACCACCTCAAGTAGAGCAAATCATGGGACATCGAGAGGCGAGTTCGTACTTCAGTTTCAGGGAGGTTCCACCTCCTTTACCTCCTCTTGATCACCCTGCTTTCCGAGAATCGACGAATGTCCTGGGGTTCTCTTCGACCCTCTCGCAGCACAGCAAGTTCGCAAGACACTCCCATTCACTCCCATCCCTCGCCCGTGCAAGAGGACACATAAGAGGCGGCGGAATTCAAAGAGGCACAGCTACAAGACCAAGATCAAAATCTATCGCTGACACAAGCAAGCCAGTCAGAAAAGATACTCCAGCAGCAGTCGATGCAAAGCAAAGGTCTCATTCGCGATCACAAAGTCAGAGCAGCGTGGGCAGCAGCCGAAGGTCCAGCGCAGATTACAGTGCAAAACAGGCTTCTTCACTCGCTGGCGGATGTTGGGAGGTCGACGTTTCCAAGGCGATGATAAGGCTGGCTTTGGTGCAAGGAGAAGTACAAGGAGGTGGTGGAAGTCGAACTTTCGCGCGAGGCACAAATACTACTTCCTTATCCGGAAAGGCACGCGGGGACAACGTGGGTACCCTTGCACTTTTGCTGTCAATCGCCACCTCACGTCCACTATCTTTCCTTTCACTTTCTTTGTTCTCGTTCTTTTTTATCAGCAGTTAGGAGCGAGGCTGGGTCTGGGATCACCGTTTTTCTTACAAGGTACGCAGAAATGCATGGAACTTCTTTCGTGACATAATCACAAAATTGTATTGACCTTCGCAACATCCACAGATACCCTCGCGCATAAGTTATCGGGTAGACACCTAAGCAATCGCGCAAAACCTAGTCCTATATTCGGCTCCAGTAACACCGGGAAGACCGCCACCAGGAGCTCGCGAGACGACATTGTCATGTCCCATGGAGAGTCCGATACGATGACACCTGCCGCAGGCTCCAGGACTATAGCACGGTCCAAAGAAATGCTTGGGAGTGATACCCCTTCTCCACAAGCCACCAGACCGCGACGCGGAGGAAGGACGAACAGCACACCATCTCCTGTGCGCACGTCTTCTCAGGCACCCAAAAAACTTGATACCGTGCCCGCCGTCGGGTCCAATCAAGGCTCCTCCTCGCTCCTCGCTCCTCCAACCCTGGCTCTCATCGGTCCTACCCCAGAGGCGTCTCCCGTGTCCCCGACACGGCGCTCTCATCACAAGTCGTCGCCAACCGTACCTACCCGATCCGCCCTCCGCCCTCCAAGCACGCCACCTGTCGTAGAAAAATCGTTATCGAGCGGATCTTCGAAGAGAAAGGCAGAAGAAGCGGGAGTTGGTGGCGACAAGACCCCACCGAAAGAGGGAAAAGAGCACAAGACCACCTTCGCGCCTGACCCACGAAGTGAGTGATGATTTTCTTTTACATCACTGTAATACCCCTTACATCTACTTTCTAACCTTTTTCTCTCCCGTAGTTCATCGAGCTTCTGGCACCTCCTCTCTGGGACATGCTCCATCATCCTACCATCGAAGCAAGCGTGTGCGACTGTCAAATGGCTCGGACGGCAGTCCTCCCAATGCCAAAAATACTGGATCATGGTCGAGCAAAGGCAGCCACGGAGTAATGTCTGGATCGTCTCATACACCAGGCCCTCCTGTTGCGCCGTCAGCAAGCTATGCCGCGCAGAGCCAGCAACAGGAATCACTTAGAGCGTCTTCCAGACGAAGTCTTTCACAGGCATCCATCCCCCTATCTGCCTTGGTATCACCCCACGCCCCGTCTATCTCGCATTCTGGCGCCTTTCACATGCGTGACCCACGCAAGCCTCCGCCAATACGGAGCACACCCTGGTCGCTATCGTTCCCTTCTTACGTGCAGGAAGGCGAATCCAGGTGGGCGTTCGCTGGGTGGGTGGAAAGAGGTGGCAGTCCGTTGCACGCTTGGATCTTTTTTATTGGGTTCATTATATTCCCGCTATGGTGGGTCGCTGCACTGTTTATTCCTATTCCAAGAACTAGAAGGCTCGGTGGCACGGATGCGGAGAAAGGAGTTGTTCTGGACGACCCACAGGTGGAACATGGTGCGCATGGTTCGTATTTCTTGAAAATTTTGTTGGTTAATGTGTTTTCTCACTAGACGCACACTCGTGGCGAACACGATGTCGTGTCATGGCGGGTGTCTCCTTCATCACATATATCCCATTCATCGTTCTCGTTGCTGTCTTTGTATCATGAACTGCCCGCTTTCCTCTCTATTGCGGCACGTACCGAAACGACTCCAGATATCCGCTCTCAATTCCGACATTTCTACATCTTTTCAGCATTCCAGCTCGCTGCTTTGATAACCCAATTCTTCATCATCACGACTCATTCTTCGTTCTCGAACTCCAAATATACCCCACCACACCATCCCTGTCTGTAAAAAAAAGCTTTCAACGTCTCCGGTTTATCCAAACAAACCGACAACTTGCATTACCTCTCTTCCATTTCATCAAGTCGCTCAATAGCCATTCTCTCAATGGACTCAATGGACTACACTGTCATTACGCTGCACATATCGAATCCCACCCACGTCATTCTCTTTAGTATACGTACTCTACTTATCTCCCTCCTTACAGTAATATCGTCTCGATCCTAGTGCGCCTCTATGTACACTGTTGGACCGCGATACCCCCGCCTCCATTGTACCTCTCTTACACCTGTAAATTGTGTATTATGGGCTAGACAATAATCATGTGGCCTTGTAAGTTCGCAACATTGGACGATCGTGAAGATTCAAAAGCTTGCTAGACCTAGGCCAGTCCACAGTCGCGCCCCCATCTCGAGACTTGTGTGTGTGGTCGTTCTTGAGTTTTGGGACCGTTTGTATGCTGGGTTCTCAAATTAAATGTCCCATTGTGAGGTCTTTTCAATCTTCTTCCATTTCGAGGTCGCCTTCGACGCCTGCGCCGCCTCCAGTATCATCGAAATACTCTTCGTCGTATATAGCGTCGGCATCCTCGTCCCAATGCGAGTTTTCCTCTACCAATATAGCACCAGTTGACTCAACAGTCATCACGTCAGCACCGCTTTGTGTTGGACCGAGAACATTCGTTTTCACATTGGACGCTGAAGCTGACGCTGTGAGAGAGGCGTCTACATAGCCCACAATTTCGTCTAGCTTGTCGCCAAGTCTATCCTCCAACTCTTCTACGATCTGTGCGTTGATTAGAGAGATACGAAGCACACGAGGACGTGACGCACAACATAGAGTTCCACAGGCGTCGTAGGCGCAAGATTGACGATCTGAAGCTTTTCTGCCTTTGTAAGGCCATAGGGCGCAAGGTCTTTGACGAGTTTTGTGATGCCTTCTTCTGTTTGTTTTCCAGCTGGAAGGTAGTTAGCTGAGAGATATCCAATAGCCTGATGGAAGCACTCGTCGGCATTTTATCTTAACAAACATTAGACTGCGCGCGCACCTCGACCTCGATAGTCCGTAGATTCTCGCTGGCCTCTAGATGTGATGTTGTGGATAGGATATGGGGCCCGCCTGTAGCAGCCGCAGCTTCTTCCTCTTTCTTGACTCGAAGGGCAGTTTTTGTGCGCAAAAGATGGTCAGATTCAAGCTCACGGAGCAAAGTCAGAACCTCATAGTTAGAGAGGAGAGCTGCACGAGGGTTGACAACCTGAGATAAAAGGGTTAGAAGGGCCGAATATTGAAGAACGAGAACAGACCTCCATCCCGTTAACTGTGTGGTCAAGCTGAGTGTTGTGATCATGAGCCGGCTAGATCATATTGACGGCCCGCTTCCGATTGGTAGGTGCCACTCCGGAGCGGAAGAGGTAGACTCGTGACCAGCCGGAGAATGACGATCGAGAGAGGAGGAGAATCATCGATTCTCCGACTGGTACAGCTGAGTTTAAAATGGGGGGGTAGCGACTATGATCGGACACCCGTCAGGAATCGTTCGAAAGAGCTACCATGTATGGTATGATACCAATTGAAGTAATCGGCCTTCCAGAATATTTCGCTCAAATTGTTTGAGAGAGCGGTCGACGCGCCTCGAGAAACCATTCGCTGACCATTTTATGCGAATGCTTATGCCATCGCTGTAGGGGTGGACCGGAGTCAAATAATTGACCTTCAAACACTTGAACCAGCTCATACATGGGAAGGTTGATGCAGTTCCTATAATGCAGTCAATATTCCGATTCCGCAGAACGAGCCAATTATCCCCCTTGTGAGATGCTGTTTAAGTTTGCAATGATGCGGCAATTCTATCGACTAAGGGCCTAGGAATGAGGACTTTTTCTGGGATACACAATGCTAGGATTTTCAGAGAATGCGATGAACCAGGAGTTGAACAGCCTCTTGGCAAGGCAGGCGAGCGCTAATAAGCGCGGTAGGATGGTTGATAGATATCTGGAGGCTAGTGTAGGTAAACTCAGGCGTCTCGTAGAGTATTCATAAGTAGTGCTTATGAGACGTTGACTGTGGAATAGCCAGTAAATAACATTGAATGACGTGAAGTCGGGGCGCTCACCTCTGTACATAAATAACGGACAGAGGCGGCAGGTCGACTAGGGAAAGGGTTTACACGAAAACCTGACATATGGACTTGAGCACATACCGCCGCGTTCAGGCTAGGCGCCCATGCGCATCACCTGCCAAGTAATTTATTCCGTCAACAATGAAGACTGGGCCCCGAAAGCCAAACATCACAAATGCGAGCGCTTTTTCAATGGTGCTTAAGTTTATTCACGAAGTCTTTCCAGTCACTGCGAGTGTTTCACTGCCCCTCGCAACGGCCTTGACTTGTTTAAGGGTAGGGAATAATCAATTCTGCCTCCTAGATTTCTATGTTCTTACCCTCTCAAAATTGGCAATAAATTCACCCTATGTACTCGGAGAGCATACATGGTTGTTGAATATTCAGCTCCTAATTTCTGAAGATACTTTACATTCATTCTCATATGCTACTTGATCTTAAAGAGTCTTTAAATAAATATTCCAGTGGATTGAGAGGCAGTTAGACGAACAAACGCGAAGCTAGCAAATGTTTAGGGGACACGGCGCGTCGTGCACGTGCCGAAGAATTGCCTGATTAATCCACCAAGATTTCAGATGTTCGCGCTTTGGGTATCCTGCCTTAGATGGTCATTCTTTCGAAGGGTCTTTCGATCATAGTCGCTACCCCCCCATTTAAAACTCAGCCGTACAGGTCCCTCTATCGAGGTCCTGCAACGCTGTGACGACACCTCATAGAGGGAACTGTCACAGGTCTACGGAAGAGGATCAGTACGGCCTTTTCTCTCGGGGCCGTACCCATGACCTCAATCCCAATCCACCAGCTTCGATACCTGGCGACTCTGACAGTCGATCCGTACGAAGCCGTACGACCGCCCAGGACAGCCCTCAGTGAGGATGATCGACACGGTTACTATGATCTTCAGGCGACATGTATGGATAATCCAGACGGGTGTACATCGCGCCGAAAGAAGACCGCATGCATAACCTTCTTTCCTTTTGCCCAGCGCTCCACCGTCAGAGGGACCAGACTTAGACGCTCCGTGGGTTCTTATTTCTCCGGATTTACGTTACACCCTAGTCAATCCTTTGGGTATATCCAGACATCTGCGAGTCAAACGCAAGATGCAAGTCCAGCGAGCGCGATGCATCTCTCGGCACGCACACCAACGCTCGAGACGGGCGTCGAGAACCAAGCCGACAAGGAACAGCTGCGGCTCTGGGTGCCGAGGCTATCTTAGGGGCCCCCGATGCGAGACTATGGTGGCATAGGAGTGTGCATAGTGACCGAGATTGATGGGGTTATTCAATCCCCTGGCAGCACCTCGCTGACTTTGTGTATTCATGACGCTTTATTTCTCCACGTCTGTTCCTTCTTCTCATTGTGTCCTCACACCCTTTTCACGACGACTCTGAAGCGGGATCGTTCCCGCCCCGGTCACCTGCGGTTCGACTCTCTGCCCAATGTCGTTTCACACACCGCCGCCGGGTGTACCCCATAGCTCCGTCGGGGTTCTGCTTATTGGATTAGACATCTCACTAGTGTGCGTTGCCTTATGTGTCGTTCATCCAGGATCAAGGCTTGACAGGACACGGCTCTTCACCTTGCAGGGGTTATGGTGCCGCTTGCCTCCAGGCCATCTACTACTTCAGACGCTTCCGCTCCGATATGCTACTTATCAAACTCGGGGCAAGTGCTCCCTCTATCCTCTTAAATGCTTAGCTTGACAATATGGCTACAGGTCATATTCGTCTGGTGGGGTTTCCCTGACCGATATAACAACAGAGCTGATGGGATACCAGGGTGCTGGAGACTGTCAACACCATTTTTACTGCCCACACTGTCGCCCACTATTTGATCCTGAATGGCGGAAAGGCCGATGTCCTGTCCCAACCTCAGCCATGGTTAGTTCATATCCTTTCGATATCGATACTGCCATAGATCAATCTGAGAGTTGGAAACAGGACCCTGCCTGTAAGGGGACCTCTCTGAAGCCTTAAAGTTCGTATTGACTTAACACATTGGTGACAATCAGGTGCAATCCAGCTTCAATGTACGAATGCCATTCACCAGTATCTCCATGCTACTCAAAATCCACTCCGTTGTCTAGGCCATACTCTCCTGCTTGATGCATGCGTGAGTGATCCTCCTGCGTTACTTCCCCACAGCCCAGTATCTGACCTTCCTGGTTAGTCTATTAGGATGGCGCATATGGATTCGTACGTGCCTGTTAATACCCAGCCTTACACCTGTTCATTCCGAGAGCAGTTAGCGAGATGAACAAATATCCGATAATCTTTATTGTGGGTTAATTCTCGACATCTCCACACGTTGCGCATCACACCTCTTTGGCAGGTATTACTATCCCTGGGCCAGCTCGGTACGAGCATTGTTCAAATGTCGAATAATGCTTACCTGACCGTCTTTTCTTGTAGTGTGTGGTTTTTGTGGGTCTTGCCTCCCATATCTGCCTCCTGATTTAACCTCGACCGTCGTCAGCCGTTTCGATCCAGGGGTGAGTTCTTAGTGCTCAGTGACACGTTCGGGGTCGTCATTCAAATCTCCTTAGGCTTGGTGGTTTCAGAACCTCATCTGCAATCGAATACGGCAGGGTAAGCAGCATATGTTTACGACTTTCTTTTGGATAGTTGTTGATTCTCCTATGAATTGCCAGATAAGCGTTCTCGCCGCTTTTGGAATGACCGCCGCTGGCGATATGGCAGTGGCCCTTTGCCTTTGCTATTATCTTCATATCCGGAAGACCAGCAACTTAGCGTCAGTCCATGAACTGTTGGAGTTCCCAGAATCTGACTGTTACCCCTCCGTAGTTCCACTAGCTTGTTGAACAAGATCATCATTCTGACAATTCATAATGGCCTTCTGAGCAGGCAAGTGTGATTTTTTTGGGTCATAATATCCTCTGCGATACTCACCCTACTGTTAGCTCGATAGCGCTCTTCGGTTTCATCACAATTTTGTCCATCCCAATGACCTGGGCAGCTATGGCTTCGTGCTTCATTTTAGGAAAAGGTATTCCTCAAAAAATTTCTCTTCTTCTATTGAACTTACGACGCCTATGTTTCAAGCGTATTTCAATACGTTGCTCTCAACGTGAGTAGTGACTGTCGTTCTCGTTTTCTCTCATGACATTCGTCGCACAGGCTAAACGCACGCAAGGCTTTGCGAGCCCAACTAGAAGGCAGGGAAGCTGGGGTAGGCACAAATACTATCCGCAGACAATTGGACGAAGCGGCATTTCGTGAAGGTTGGCTCTCTCTCTCTCTCTCTACCAGTAACTACATTCACTATCGTCCAGAAAACAGATTCGAATTACCGGGTAATAAAGAGAGTAGATTTCTTAAATAAACGCTTTACCTTCACCCTGAGCCTGATTTATGAGGATTGCTTTGCTATAAGATTTTGAGTTGCAAGGTTTGGATCAAGAACGTTAGCAGAGCGAGTCTCACTGAGGATGGTTGCGGAGAGATGGTCGATTACGTAAACATTCGGGCAAACAAAGCGTCAAACAAAGGCACCTCGCGATCCCAGACCAGTCCAATTAACTGTGAATAACCACAGTCTATACTTTGCCATCTACAACCCAGGTACGTCGTCAAATACTCTCCTGAATCCTTCGACCCATTCTAAATCATATTTAAGATATTTTCCACCCTTTTTGGCGCCTTCAAAACCATGAATCGTCCAGGTGTGTAGAACGCTTCAATCGGGCGACTTGCTTCAAGGTCCTTCGTCAATGATTATCTCGAGCTGAACTTTTGCAGGACAACCCCAGCAGAGACCGCCGAATCTCACTGCAAACCCAGCTCTTGCTAGCCAGTTTCGCCCCTCGTATCCGACGTATGGCATGCCACAACGCAGCGTTCTTCCAGGAGCTGGCGGTTTTGTTCCAAACCTTCAACCGAACAACCATCGAACGGCCACGCAGCAGCCCCAGGTTCAGTCATTAACACCGCAACCGACACCAGGCTTTAATCAACCTCGAGGACAGAGCGGCTACGCCTTCAGTGGGACATTAGGACAACACCCGCCATCAAGCTTACTCCAACAGCCACTACCGTCTCAACAGCAGCAGCAATCGCAGCAGAATGGCGCGCAGAATACCATTTCCTCACTGCTTGCACAGTCATCGGCCTTGGGCGGAACGCCCTCAGTATCGACAACAAGTGAAGTCGGATTGGACCCTAACGACTTTCCAGCACTAGGCTCAGCGCCAACAAATTCGAACTCTGCCAGCAACAGCAATGGCACAGGCACAGGCGCTGCGACGAGTTACGCGAGCCAGGCAGGGACAGGAGTGATGTTGGGCGGCACAGGTGGGCCAGGGGGCGGCATTGCGAACTCGGGAACAACGACACAAACACGCGATTTCACGCCAGACGACTTTCCTGCTCTCGGGGGACAGTCACAATCAACACAACAGAGTCGAGAAGTGCTGCAAAATCAAAGTTCAACGCAAGACAATCTCTCGCATCCCCCTGGACTCAACGGGTTCCAACCGTCAGAACAACAGCAAATACGGCAAAATATGCTTGGTAGTCATACAGCTGGCCTATCTCAAGGAGGCTCAACGTTGTTGGGTCTAGGGTCCAATCAGTCAAGAAACATACATCCTGGTTTTCAAGGGCAGGCCGAGACTGAGAAACAGCAACAGCAAAGGGTGAGTATCACTCCCTATTTTGCCAGCACTTCGCCAAGGATCGCTGGGAAATGCGCATTTCTTCTTCGTTCTCTGGAAAGGATGATGCTAATACTTCGTGCGTGTAGAACAACTACTCTTTGAAGTTGAACCAAGCGTCGCTCGCTGTGTGGAATTCCTCCGGTGCCAATACGAACACCCAGTCGCAGCAATCAGGAAACGTTACTGGGGTGAGTTCTGGTCCATCTCTTTGATAAATGCTCCCTGATTGATGTACTACCTCAGCCAAATGGTAAATTCCCCGATATGTCCTTCTGAACACCTCTAAGCGCTTCAATTCCAGGCACATTTTCACAAAGCCAACCGACGCAAGGGTCAACTCCGGTGACAGGCCCGACTGCTCCACCGAGTGGGCCACCACCTTTTTCATCCAACGGACTGAATCCGACAGACACACATTCAAGTACCAGCATACCTAATCCAAATGGAAGTTTAAATCCTATACCAGCGGCGAACAACACGGCCAATTCAACGTCGTTGCAGACAACCTCAACGTCACACCTGCAACATCCACAAACGCCAGCGCAGCAAGTGCTCATCAGTGCAGCAGACCGTTGGGGTCTTTTGTCCTTAATTGCGATGATGAGGAATGCGGACACAGATCCAGACCATGGTTTGAGTAGTATTGGGACCGACCTGGGTACAATGGGATTGGACATGAGCTATCCAGGGTGAGATACATTATCAGTTTGCCATAACGGGACCTTTTAACAGAGGTGAATAGAAACCTTTACTCCACTTTCATTACACCATGGGCAGACCAATCAGCAGCGCGAACAGTTGAACCAGATTTTCATCTTCCAGCATGTTACCTCAGCGTGCAGGCTCCACCACCTGGTCCCCAAAAGGCAGCCATGTTCAGCGATGAGACGCTATTCTTCATGTTCTATTCGAGTCCTAGGGATGCCCTCCAGGAAGTGGCAGCTCAAGAACTGTAGGTTTTCATTTCTTGTTTCACTTTGCAGCGTCTCGTCTTCGGCGGATCGTGCGCTTCCATTCTCATTCATCATGGTATTCGGACTCAGGCTCATTCCCTGTGCTCTTTCTAGCTGGAATCGCAACTGGCGGTACCATAAAGAACTCCGCTTGTGGATCACCAAGGAGAGTGGTACGTCGCCGTCACAGAAGGTCCAAGGAGGTGGTGGTGAACAGGGCCAGTACACTTTCTGGGATCCGGAAAACTGGGTGAAGGAAAGGAAAGAAATGACGGTGCTCTACGCTGATCTCGAGGAGAAGTCTGTGCCGGCATTCATGAACGGGCCAAACCTCGTCCTGCAGCCTGTAAGCCAATCGCAGACAAGCTCCCAGCAAGGTCCAATGGGTGGGCAACCTCAATTACCGTCAAGGGCATCCTTCCAAATGGGCATGGCCGGCTTGTAGAGCGTCTCTCTCCTGCTATGCACGTACCGTTTTTTTTATTCCTTCTGCGTCCGTGAACTGTGTACTACTGTACTTAACCGTCGCTTGTTTGGCGTTCATACCGCCTCCTATCGCGAGTTTTGCTTTTTCGTTGCCCGATCCCTAACTCCTCCATACTGTGATTTTTGCCAGGTGGCGTGTAGAACTAATGAATTGCATCTCGAGGCATCGATTGCTCGATTCCTTGCGACATGAAACCTGGGCGTTGTTCCAGGCGTTGCACTCTGTCGAAGTATCTACTCCGCGCATAATCGCTGAGTCTCCGAGCCGTTGGATTCTCTCGCTGATGATCGGACCCATCCACGTCTCAGACAACACCGCGGTGCCTCGAACTACCTCGACACGATGCCTTTGCTAAGAACAATGCCTTGCTGTCCCTATAAATGCGAGCTCCTACCTCAGCGTCATGGACAAGTTCGACTTCCAAGTCCTTCTACTCCCGAGCGTCAGCGGCCACTGAAATTGAATCCCGTTTATCCTCACAACTATGACTGACCCGCTCTCCCAACTCCCGCGCTTTTCACGCGCAGGCCATGCCGGCCATTGCAAACGTTGCCTTGTTGGTTCGTATCGGCCGTATCCTGTCAAACGTACTTTTTGACTTTGGGGTTTCCCAGGACTCCCATCTTCTCAGACCGACATCGATGGCTCAAGGTGATCAACAACGGCCAAAGACTTTGAAGCTTTACGTCTTACAATTGGTCCTTCGTAACCTAGATTGGCGCTCGCATTCTATTGTATAGGATCTCTAGATCTGCTGGGAGTTCTTGAAGACAGCGTACCTGTGACGGATCGTGAGTTATGGAGGGCGTGGCTCTGGGAACAGCAGGCTGGTTTGTGCATCCTTCTGCGAACTTGACATTGTGTTCCTCAGACGAATTTCTAGCGGGCAAACATGGCACCGGCTTCAGACCCAGCTCATTCATGACGGCACAGGTTCCTTCTGAGCAATCACAGCTGGTAAAGGCCTTCACACGGCACGGTCCTATGCCTCTAACTCAGTGATAGGCAGCCCAGTACATGGATCACGACGCCCCTCATATCATTATGACCTATACCGCGTTGTTATCCCTGGCAATCCTCCGTGACGATTTCTCGAAGTTAGATCGTCCAGGAATAACTATTTTCCTGCGGTCTTGCCAGAGGGAGGACGGAAGGTCTGTAGCTTTTTTGGTTGAGTGAAATATCCTCACGTTAGTACTTCAAGTTTCTCCACCGTGCCAGGTAGCCATGAATTCGACCTTCGAACCGTCTATTGTGCGTTCGCGATCAGCAGCATGCTGAACGATTGGTCCGGAATCGACGTTCCTCGTGCTCTTGCATTCATCGCGACATGCAGGGTAGGTCTCTTCCATTAAACGTCGAGACAGTATGGTTGTTTGACGCATGGCTTTCAGACTTATGAAGGCGGCTACGGTCAATCTCCTTTTTGTGAAGCTCAAGGTTTGTTCATTGTTCATTTCCTTGGAGTCCGGCTGACAGATGACTAGGAGGGACAACGTATATCGCTGTTGCGTCTCTATATCTGGCGGCGTCTGCCACGGGTTCTGTCGAGCCATGCCTCACTCCTGATGAGCGTCAGCTGACCATAAGGTGGCTACTTCGCAATCAAGACAAGTCCGGAGGGTTTTACGGCAGAACAGGAAAGGATGCAGACGCTTGCTACTGTTTCTGGTGCGGCGCCGCTTTGAAAGTAAGCTTTCTATCTTTTTTTGCTCAGCACATCGAGCTTACCGTCAGCCAGATACTCGGCGCTGCTGATCTCGTCAACTCAAATGCTCTTGCCGCTTTTTTGGGCGCTTGTCAGTTCAAGTATGGAGGCATTGGGAAGGCGCCTGGTGAAAATCCAGGTGACCACTTCCCCGTTATAAATTGCTGCAGTAGATTCATCGCGAGCCTCTGGATTACAGATCCATACCACACCTACCTCTCTATTGCGGCATTGTCGATGTATCCCCCTGGGCTCAGCGATTCCCATCCAAATTTTCAATCATGGAGGTTCGCTTCTCTCGATCCCCTGCTCAATGCCCGCGAAGAGACGGTGCAATGGATCAGAGAACATGTCCCAGTTCCAGGGGTCAACTGTAAGTCTCGCGCGCCCAGGTTTTTATCATTTTTAACAAGGCTCCAGGAGCAGGCTGATGGGGAGGTCGTTATACTCCGATTCGGTTCTGACGTCCACCCATAAAGGCTTCGATGGCTGCTTCGGATCGGAGGATTGCTACGTGCTCCTATAATTATTCGTCTCTTTCTGGGATAAGTAATGGCTCTCTAACGAAGCGAAGAAATATACGTCCATTGCGCGAAGTCAGGATACGCGTGATACATACTTGAGAAAGGCTTGGGCCTGAAAACACGACACGACCAGGCCGCATTCAGGCCTCCTACCGTCGGCGAAAATTATCGTTCAATTGAAGATCCTGCTGATCGCCTGAAAGGCTTCATCCCCTCCAGCATCTCGAGACAGCTTTTGAAACGGATGTAGCGAAATGGCGACGCATCGATTTGTTCCCACTGGTAGGCACGTCCATGCAGAGCCACTGCTCTGGCCCTAGGCTCGTAGCTTGAGGTTCCGCTGTTCCTTGCAAGTTTTTATCGAATTCCAATCCTTGTGCCGTGGAGGACACGGAAACTGTGTCGAAAGATGCCACTGGTGAAATCTGCAGTGTAGAAAAATTCTCCAAGACAGTTCGCTCGAGGCGAGAATTCAGTGGCGAGAACGCGAGTGCGGAAAGCTAGCAGGGACTCATCTTCTTATACCTATCGAGCATGCCCGCAAATGTTCAATTTACTTGACGCCTGTGGAAGATGTAAACTCTGCTGGTTTAGGACAGCATTGTCCGATAGTTTACAACATACCCAGTAGTCTGAACAAATGCAATTATACAGAGACTGGCGTGAGTGACCACTCAATGACCTGTTATTACGGAGTGGCCGCTATGCTCGCTATGAGATATGCCGACAACAATGCGTTAAACGTAGGAGTGTGCTCCGCCGATAGGGGATGGACGCCACGGCAACATTCCAAACTTGTTTCGACCCAAGCATGCCGTACGACAGAAAATGTCATAGGACATTCATGTTGCTGTGGATATATAAGCTGGCAGCATACCTTGAATATGCAGCTTTTCTTCCTCGTTACGCCAGCTCCCTGGTAGCTCTGCGATGGATTCAGATCTCCTTCTTTCACTGACACCGGGACAAGATTGAGCGTGGGAACGTGGGCACCACGGCGAGTGGCTGCCGCTTATGAGTCCTGGCGACCCACGCCTCGGTCTGTCATCCCTCTCGTCTTATACCTTCCCATTATACTATGGATTATGACCGCAAGTCGACAGTATCCTCATTCTATGGAGGGAGGAAGTCTTCTATCGATGCCCTGAATCAAGACTCGGCTCAACCTGGAGCTGCTCACAGAGGACGAGACGATGGCTCCTCGTTCTTCTCACCAGAAAGGCCTTCTATGGATCCCCTCAATAGCCAACGCGGAGCATCTGCCGGATATAATAGAGGGTCTTTCTTTCATCCAGGGAGGGAAGAACCCTTAAAGGGTGGCCGAGACGAAGAAAAGGATGTAGGTGGTGAAACAGAAGCTTGGGACGTTTACGCGGACTTCAACAATGCCGGTCCACGGTATAGTTCTGCTTATGGACTTGGACAGACTCAGTCTGGGTGCGTCTTTGAATGTATTACGTTGTTGTTCTCTAACATTGCGATGCAGCTACACTCAGCTTCCTCCCACTCCCAGTCTGCCGAAGGATGAATCACTGGACCAAGAAGGGAAGGTCGAAATGATCACAGTGCCCGCTATGGGACCGGAATGGGCAAAGGATGAAATGCGCCAGATGACCAAGGCCGGAAAGCGTGAGCGGAAGCAGGAATCAAGGAAAGAGTTTTGGAAGTCATGGTCTCGAGGAGAGCGTGGCTTGTGTGGACGATACTTCACCCGCAAAGTCCTTGTTTTCTTCCTCTTCGGTCTATGCGCTGTGTATGTGATTCTACTATATGCCATCTTGCTTGATCCTCATATTTTATCAGGATCGGTATCATCCTGGCGTTCACGATTCCACGTGTCCCTGCTTTCGCCTTCAACGCCGGCACACCACTTGTCGCGGCTACTGGCGATTGGTCCACAGCAGTTCCTACTATCTTTTCCCGTGCCCCCGCGAATTTCTCCTTCCCCGCATTCGCTTCTCTTCAAGCTGACACCAACGCCAATTACATTCCTGTCAGATTCAAGCACATGAAGGCAAGCGTCTACGACCTGGATACAAATCGATTGGTCGGGATCGGTGACATTGGTGCCTTCACTCTACCTGCGAAAGAATTCCCAAAACTCCAGCTTCCTCTGAATTTCACCTACATCATCTCGAATGATAGCGACACAACCTGTAAGTGATTCTTTTATCATCTTTACTCGATATATCTGAATGGCATATAGGGAACAATTGGTACAACGCCTGCAAGAACAAGGGGTTATATGCAGACGGCAAACGAACTCGTGAGATGACTTAGACTCGCTTGCCGTTGCAATACTAACGTCGGTTCTAACTTCAGCCGTGAAGTTCCGACTTGTTCTCGACATGAGTATCCTGGGACTTCCTTCGAGCCATTCAACATCTGCCCAAATCTCCGACGCCGATTGCCCAATCGAACTCCCCATGAACTCCGTTTGATCTCATTTCATCTCCTGTCCCGACTTCCTCTCGCCTGCACCACTCGCATCTCTAATATGGACATTCACGAACTATTCAGGACTTTCTTTAATGCTATCTGCTGTCTCCCCGCCACGCTCGTTTTCTCAAGTATATATCTGGATACTTTCTGCATTGACTTGCGTGCTCTGGTTAGCTTTCTCAATCTTGGATCGTTTTCCTCTGAAGTGTATTCCTTCGTCGACCAAGTCTATATCAAAACGCAATACACCCTATTGTCCAGCCTCCTCGTAGCCCGTCAGCCGCCTAGCCTTATTCGCAATGCCTCTCGATGAGTTTTATATATATAGGAATTGACGTTGCATGTCCCACAGGTCAACATCCATGCAGTATCAGGCGCCATCGTCAGCCAGAACAACCACCGGCTCCAGCGTCAGACGACGATCCAGTGGGGCTCAGCCTTACAGCAGCGATCGTTCTAGCTCAGTCACAGACGGCAGTGGCTGTGACGACTCGTATCCCAACCCGCAACTCCAACTAATTGCCCCGCCGCCTCCCCCAACCCGGCGTTTCTCTCGCTCGCAACCCCTTCCTCCCGCTTTGAGCGAACGCACTGGTGAGGTTGTTGAGTATTCGAGAAGGTCAGAGGGTAAGTTGTTGCCAGTATAAATTTCTCCAAGCTTAACTGATTCATTTCTGTCAGACTCGGCCAGCTATCATGTCTATTCAAGTGTTTCTGGTTTTGGTGAGAGCGACGACGATGAAGACAGAGATGAAGACGACCAAACTCCTCGCTTCCCCGAAGTCCATTCACCAGACATAACTCCTGGGCACACCGAGAGCCTCCTCGCATCCCCTCGAATGGGACCATCCTCAGACAAGATCTTCTTCGCAAACCGAACCATCCACACCATCGACTCGGGTGATCTCGGTTGCAAATCTCCTGGAGTGACGAGTACGACGATGTCAGTCGACTCCAGCCACGACGCCTCTGTTGCTTCTTTCACGACGAGCTGCCGGTTCACTCAGAAATGGCCGGTCCCGGTATCCCTCAAGTACTTCGATGCGCAGCCCGGGTATAAGGTTGTGTATGGGGAGAACGACCAAGCTGTTCCGAGTCTTGAAGAAGGTCAAGGGATGAACGGCAGCCACCTCGCCAAGTGGACGCCTTTCAAGTTTTTCCTGTTCATCTCAGCCATGACCGTATTTTCGTATGGTTGTTGCATTCTAATACTGGCGGTTTCGACATGGCTGAACAGTGAGTTACTCTCGTGTCCACATATGCTTTCTGCTCACCGGAACTTTGAGCAGCATGGGACGGGGCGGACGTCGTGGTCGTTGCGGATTACGACATCCTCATTGTTATCACCTTGTCAGCATCCATCCTCCTCGTGACGGCGCTCATCGGTATCACGGGCATACTCCTGAACTCTCGTCCCCTTCTCGCGGTATATACCTTTCTCCTTTGGCCCGCTATGGCTTCGATCGTCACCGTGGGCTACATGAGCTACAAGCGGGCAACCTTCTCCCTGGACCGCAAATTAAATCTGTCGTGGAGCAGATTCTACACGAATGCAGGGAAGCAAATCATCCAGGACTCTCTTCATTGCTGCGGCTTCTACAGTTCTATGCACGAAGCCGCCCCGACCAAGCGATGCTATCTGCGTACGCCTCTACCTGGCTGCAAGGCTGGCCTATTCAATTTTCAGCACGAAAGTCTGCAGAGGGTTTGGAAAACCGCATTTTCATTAGCGGGTCTTCACCTAGTCAACATGGTCGTCGCTTTGCTTTGCGCCAATCACGTCACTACCTCGTTCGGAAAGGGACTTACCCCAAGGCAGTACCGTCTCAGCCCTGAAGATGTCAAAGCTGATGCGGAGAAGATTATCAATGGGGTAAACATGCAATACAACTTTCCTACCCTGAAAGGACAAACCGGACAGTGCGCTCATTAAGTTGGCGGAGGGAATTCTTCTCGTTCAAGTAACTATTCATGTGGCGCAGGTCATGACAATCGAATATCTTCATGACGTAGGGGACGGGATGAAACTGCCATCGAGAAATCAATAAGCGACAATTCGAACATCTTTCCCCTTCTCCATACCGAACCTTTGTCGTCGAGCAGCCAAACGAACCAGGAAAATAATAACGGATCGAAAGAGAGCGTAATAAATACGGGACGTAAAGCAATATTTGAGCGACGGGTTTGACCATGCGTTCAGAATCGATGTGGCCTACTACCGCATAAAGTACACGGGCTGCGGCGAAACAGGAAATATGGCTTGTACTGGACCTTCGGCGCGGAGCAAATAAGAAACAGATTTTCTGCAGTTGAACGCTGAAGGGTATCGGACAGCATACCGTATTTCTCGCCAGAATTGCCTTTTTCATTGTACGGAGTGAGCTCAATCTCGTAGATGGCGTAGCTTCTATCCCTCGAAAATAGATCAGAAGGAAGGGTGTTGCAGGTCCTAGCCATCTGTCTTCGCCTACGCCGTAGCATGCATTGTAGCATTGCCAGACAAAAAACTAAGATGCAGAGCAGAAAAACAGCCCCTGCCGCAAATGTGAACTATATCAGAATGTGGGCGCATGAAGAAGACTGACCTGCGAAAACGACGTCTAAAACAGTGTCGCGGACGTTGCTGGAAGTGTCTCGTTGATAGAATGTGATTGACATGGCACAGTGTAGGATAGAGAGAGATCATGAAACTCCGGGGAATGTAAGCACGTTGGGGCCATATAAATGCGACGGCCTCCATGTCATATCAAGCCAGATATCTGGATGGCGAACAAGTCGGAAAGTACTCGGAAGAACAAGCGCCTACGAAGCAGCGGAATCATTCCGGCCTTGGCAAGAGGTGTTGTAAATACCAGTCTGGCTATGCTAGCGCCGAGTTTGGAGAAGCAACAACTCAAATGGGTTAGCTAGAGCCAGAATACTCCTCCATCGCCCTTTGGAATTGCTGGTTCCTGAATATAGAAGAAGTCGAAGACGGCGAGAATGCAGGGAACTGAAGGATGTGCTGCTCTATCACCCACATTCAGAAGCGATGTGCATCGTTGCAGTGCAGATAAGCCATTGAATTCATACCAGTAGCATTGCCACGAAGGTGTCAAATGCGGCGTACTCGGAGGAGTTGCCAACTATTATCTCGATTTCATGATCGAAAGATAGAACATCTGGATCCGTAATAAGGCCCTTTGCGGCGGCACCAAGAGCTCGAGGCTGATTCATAAGTAGTGGTCTATGCATACTCGATAAGAGAACGAATAGCTGTACGTCACTACAAGAAAGTCCTATATGTTCATTGTTCACCCTGTGTAGACAAAGTATTGAAACAGTGTCCGGGGTCTTACGTATTAGGCGCCCAGCGCCAAGTCTCCGTCACATCGGCTAAGTACGCCGAGGAGGTGTCCGCTATACCTCGGGGTGCTACATAGCATTCATCGCGATTAACGCATCGGCACACCTTTTCTTCTGATGTACAGCACCTCGCACAGCAACTTACTTGAGTACCTCCCTTTTTTTGCGGCGTTGCTAGAACGAATACACCGTGCGAGGGGGCGACATCCACGGGAATGACTCTCAGCATGATTTATCATTTTGGAGTGGATGTGATCCTTGTTTCTGGGCCAACTTGAATCAATACATGACTGCAGTTTTATGAAATTAGGGCCCCCGTGGACAATGCATGATCCATGTACGAATCGCGTGTTTTCAGCGTCTATACATGCTGCCCCGAGGTGTGATGACTACGCCATGATAACACTGGAAGATTCGTCTTTGTATCTCCTCTAATCTACCTCATCGCCTGAGTAGCATAGTTTCGGCGCTAGACGTTACACATGTTGCTTTTAAGATCTGCGTCGAACGTGATCAAAATTCGGTCGTACTCATGCGAAACAATGGGGCTATTTAAGCACAATTGAAGGGTGACATGGTCGGCTAAATTTCGACGTAAACATGGGGTACATTCGTTGACAGCAGATGATAGATCATTGGAAAGCATTATGAAAACATCGAGAAAACATATACAAGTTAATATTGTTCAAGGCATAGGAGTCTCCGGCAAGCCATATATCTTGAACTTGGCGTTAGGATGTATGAAGAGGAAGGGTTCCTTCTAGGTTCGAGTTGTATGACTGAAGGGAATAACACGCTGAATGGGAGACAGCAGATGGCTACCTTCCATGGTGCTGTCACCAACACGGTCTACCTGCATTTCTAACCCAGGCATAACAACAGAGGAGGTTGGACGGGTTCCCCCATCCACCTGGTTCTCCTAACACCGGATCGCTGGTTTAGCAAGCCGAAGGCTCCTTAGGTCAACGGGAACTGCGTACCGGAACATATATGACAATAGATCCTTCAGGCTGCGTCTCTATACGTGTCTTAAGAGCCTCACCCTGACGTATTACAGTCAGGATTGATTCATGGAACAGGAGAAGGAGTTGAAAACGGACATTGATGGAGCCTCATGGAGTATATGATGTGTAGCTTGGAGGGGGTACAGGAGTCGAATATGATGGTGCACCTTCCGACTGTACGCCATTGTTGAGGTGGGGCAATGCAACGGGGAGAACTGTGCGCTGTCGACGAGCCGTTCGATCATGGATGTGCTCCTTCACATAGTCCTTCACAAAGGAAAGGAGAACGAGGAATAACATAAGACACGCGCCTATAGGTTGAGACAAGAGGCAGAGAAATCAGGGTCAACGACCAGGGCGAAGAGGACAAAAAAAGCTTACATCCCACCAAGATGAGGAGAAAAGCTAGCAACCAAGGGACCATCTTATCACACAAATGACTCCGAGTCAATGCAAACAGGCCGAAAATTATCGAGTCGAGAGCAAGACGGCTCAGGAATTCGAAAGGGTAGGATGGACTTGATGCCATTCCTTTATCATGGAACGCTCTGAGGATACATCGAGCTGTCCTCGTACAGCCTCACAGCATTGAGAGATGCGGTGAAACTGTGCATGGCTAAATTAGACAACTTTATGTTTGCCGGGGAATACCGGAGACCCCAAACGTCGTGCCAATAGGGTCTTTTCGTTACATATGCACCCATGGATCCAGAATTTCAAGGGAAAGAAGCGCTGGTGACTCCTGCTCTCGACGTCTCGACTCGGGATATTTGGGTCCGGGAGGCGATAAGATGGATTCAAACGAGAATCGAAGTCCGACCCTGGAAGGCTGAATAGCTGGCTCCTCTTGCTGTGTAGTGACAGAGACTTCCCCGTGGACAGGCTTAAAGCTTGAAGTATGTATTAGAGAGTTTGTGCAACAGCCACAGAGCCACCCCGTGGCTGATTTTCGTTGTGCATGACCGTGTAGCCACAGGTTCGCAGAGGTAGCTCTACCGAAAGCTTTCCTCAATAGTCTCCCATTTTAACGAAAATATATTATGGACATTGAAGCTCGGTATTGGCAAAGAAAACTCAGACCCTGCCAGCACAAAGGAGGGAAAACTGACGTCTCACCCCGGAGCCACGGGTGGCTCGGCCCGAGGAAAAAAGTTCGTCTCTTTGAACCATGCTCCCCTGCACATTTCTTTGGATACTGTCAAGTCCCCTTTCAGGAGTCCAACATGTGTTGCTAGCATAGTACATATGTCTATAGAAATTCACTGGCTACCGAAGGAAGGAGCAGCACAATGAAATTCAGCCACGGTGTGGCGCTGTGGCTGATGCACAAACTCTCTATTTGGGTTCTGCCAACTTCAACGATCAGTCTGTGTGGTTTTGGATAACTCGTCACATGCTCTTTCTGATTGAGTACGGCGGCCCGGTCCGTCATCTGCCAAATACGAACGCCTGCACTTGCATCCTTTCCATCTTTTAGGTTCTCCGCAAAGCTCGCCGAAGGGTCGAAAATGTTGGAAGTACGCCTCTGAACGTGTATTTCCTGCTGTTGGATTGTAAGATCCCAACTTCCGACTGTAAATATACTTGACAATATTGGGATTCACCAAAACACGACAGCTGCCAAATAACTGCGACGTCATCACTGGTATTGGTCCTTGCTCGAATATAAAATGCCAACAGAGAGCCAACCTCGCATGAACTTCCAAATCCCCCTCGTTTTTCCGAGGATATCTGGTTTGCATGAACGCGAGGAAACCGACACCAATGGTTCCATACTCGAGGCGAGTTTGGCAAGGGCGCATCCTACCGTCTTGGAATGCATTTCGTGGACAACATCAAAAGATGCGACTGAGGAGAGAGGCCAGGAGATTGTTCTCGGGTGTCAAGATGGGTCCCTGTATGTTCTACATTGCCCGCCAGCCCCGCCACCGAGTGCCATTGAGCCATCGGGCGAGATACTCGACGCCCCCAAGCTGAGATCAGCAAAGCGCCTTTCGAAATCCTCTCGAAATAACTCCCGTTCTGCATCTCCGACTGCTCCGTCACTCGCCCTCTCGCCCACTTTCAATGTTACCGCTAAACCCCGCGTTGTGTCAGGAATAAATACGGAGCAGGTTGAAGCACCGAAGAACTATGTTGACTTCGACGACGAGCCAGACAAGCTAAAGGGGATTCTGAAAGGGAAGAATCCACGAGAACGGCCAAATGCTTCTGACAGCGGCTCCGAGAAAGCGCCAAAGTCGACAGCATCATCCATCATCGAGCCTGTACCCTCGTCCAAACGCAAGAACCCGGTGCCGAGGTCGCTTCTGTCTGCAACCAACTCACGCGCTCCCACTCCTCCTTCGTTCTCATCGCCTGTCTCCCCTAAGGAAGTTTCCTTTCGTACTCCTTTGGAAACGCCTCAGGAATGGCAGCTTCGTTGCCACATCGTACCATTGTTGTCTGGTTACGGGCGTGCTGTGAAATCGATTCAAGCACTACATGGCAGCGCTTTGTTTGCTGTCCTCCAGGAGGCTGGGTATGTCCACAGTTATACTATTTACCAGGGTCACTATAAAAGCTAAGGGGAGTCTTTCCAAGAAATGTGTCAATATTCTCGTCTGAAGATGGAGCCTGTAAGGCCTCTGTTCATGTTGATGATGGGTCCGTGTCAACTGGTTTCAGAGAACAGTCACGTTCTCGTGACATCTGGACATGGTGCCAGTTAACTGTATCTTACATCGAAGAGGTATGTGTACTATTTCTTGGAATTAGTCTGTATGCTCACTCTTACTAGTCCACGATACTTGTAGCTCTGGCTTCCAACAACAACGATGCGAACATTCTTGCAGCTGAACACGAGGACGGGGCGTCCGAGACCTCAAAATGTGTATTATTCGAATTCAAGAGCACACCATTGGATGTGCAACTTGAGCGCTTAGGTCAATGGGAGTTTGACGGGCCAGCTATCGGAGATGGGATCCACATCGAAGACGATGGTGAGTTTCCCTCAATCGCACCTTTCAAAGCGTTGTTCCGAGATACAACATAGGTACCCTCACTTTCTTCTCGACTAGCCACCATGGCCATTTCGTCACACGAGAGTTCAAGGTCAACACACCTGCACAACAGTCCAGTATTTCAGTGAAGAATGACGGAAGCCACCATGGCCCACACTTGTCGACTTTACCAATCCCAAACCCCTTTAAGGGTATGATGTCGCGTTCTGCGGAGCATTTGGTTGGAAGTCCCAGCGATAGCCATGTTTCCGCTCCTGCAGAGTCTCGCGTTACCCTGTCCGACCCTCATGACGTCGGTGTTTTGATTGCAGACACTTCCCTGTGCGGAATGACGACTCATGCCGCGGAAGATGGAAAACTGACTGGCATAGCTTGGAACCATCATAGTATGACCGTGAGTTGGACCATGTTGATCTGAGAGCAAATGCTGATTTCTTCCAACGCAGGTATTTGAGTATGCTCGCCATTCTCTGAAGACTCTCTTCCACTATCCGGCTGTCGGTGTTCAAGGTGCTACGTGGTTGGGTGAAACGGTGTTTTCTCTTTCGTTTGAGGTAGTTCAACTCAGCGGTCACATTGAAACCGACTAATTCTTTAGGAACGAGTGGAATTGTATCAGACGAAATATGTAAATGCCAATAACGAAGAAGTCGAGATTAACAATCATCCTGATGTAGTAGCTACACACGTTCAGTAAGTTTCCGTTCCCCCCTCCCCTTCCCCCCCTAACGTGTGCTTATGTTTTTTCTTTCTCAAAGACCGCAACTCATCAAGACAATTGAGACTGGACCACATGACAGTATGAAGTGCATGCCACATTCGGTCATCGTTTCGAAAGCTTCAGAGCATAACTACGGGCAGCGCATACTATTCTACCCTCTTCTCGAAGACAAACCTCTCCAGAGCTCTCGCACCCTCTGGCAAACCTCGGACAGTCAGGCAGACAATTCCAGGATCACACTCACCTCTATGCTACCGATGGAACTGGAGGTGATTATTCAGGGATATTGTAAGATGTCTCTTCGCTCTGCCATGGCTTTTTATCAACGTTGTGATTTCCAGCGGATGGACGTCTGAGGCAATTTTCACTTAGCCAGATGGCCCGTGAAGAGCCAGCTTCCGCCTTTACACATTCTTCAAACAAAACATCTGCGTCAGCTATAAACGGCTATTTAGTCGGACTTCATGTGGTGCAAAACCCGCGAACGAAAGAAAAATACATTGTAGGCGGTGCGGACGATGGGTCTGTCGTCGTTTGGTCGTTGAGGTATGCCATGTTCTTTCGCGGAAGTTTGTTGCGTTACAGCGCTGACATTTAATGCTAGCACGTTTGAAGCCTTGGCCCGTTGGACGATTTTTACGACCCCTCTCGCCAAAGTTCTGCAATTCGAAGAGGAGAGAACCGGGCCTCTCCGTGGCTGTATCCTGTGTGTCGCGCAGGACGGTACCATTGCCGTTATTGTCGTCGATGGCTTGCACTTGTAGGTCTGCTTTCTACAATTTCCGCAGTTTTTACTGATCAGACAACAGCTTGTATCTTATCCCTGGTTCTACAGCTCGACTGGATCGAATATGTCTTGGTGGGCACGAGCTGTTACTTGTTTATGACGACCATCGAGCACGACTATGGGATGCGCAAACGAAGGAACTTTGGCGGTCTATGGGCCAGGATAAAGCAGAGGAATTGTTGGCGCAAGGTGGCTGGTCTGAGCTGTGAGTGTAATCCATCAATGTTGCACATGAGGGTGCTCATGTATTCAAGGTCCTTAAATCAACATGCCTGCTTGCCCAAGACGCTTTGGAATGTCGTGGCCGACTCCCTCGATGGACAGGATGCTGGTATGTTTGTGATGGATGCTTGAAGTTCCATTCTCAGTTCAGACTGCTCTTTATCAGCTGCCACCCTTTCGCTTAAACTCGAACGGTTTTTGGTCGATGCCATCGCCGTAACCAAGACCATCAGCACGAACAGAGATGAAGTCCGCGAGATCCTTTCGACGCTTTCCAGGTTAAAACTTATACTCTCGTGTCTCCTGACTCCTGGATTAAGTGCAGATGTTGATGGTCTTTGTTATGGGAAGCTTGGGGCCCATCATTCTTCTACTCTTGTCGGCCTGACGAGGTATGATGAAACATTGTTCATTTCACTGTTTGCGCCTGAATTCACACACGCACGACAGTTTCAATACCACTACTCTTTACGAAGCGTCTATTTCTCCGGATCTTTGGTGTTTGTCGGGGGATGTGACCGCAGCACGTGCTTTGGCGATCATTGCAGTGCTGCGTGCGATGAGTCTGTTTGAAGGTATGGATCCGTCTACTGATCAATGACTCCACCTCTGATGGACAATGCCGTAGACCTGACGGAAGCTGCTAATACTGTCATCTCTTTCTACAGCACGTCTCTCGGTATTTGTATTGGTCCCAAGTTCAAAGCACCTAGTCTCCAATTTTTGGGCCGCCTTTGGTTCGAATCATCCCGTAAGGATATCAAAGAAAGGGTTAAATTGCAAACAAAGTGACTGACTCTTCAATCTATGCAGAGGAGCTTCGTCAATCCATCCGGATACTCATTGATGCGACTATCATCAATCTTACTGATGCAGATGCCATCGAACTGACCGAAAAATGGCAACATTACGGTACGCAGTTATTCATACCTTGGAAAGCGTGGTCAACTTACTTTATGCAAACTAGTCCCTTCGCTCCAGCCCGATGCCGAGAAGGAGACCATCAATGCTGCTTTGGCTTTGCTGGTTTGTGGTTCCGTGGCAGCTGGGAAATACAGTTTGTTATCTGTGAAGTGAGCAGTTTCCCCGTCTCCTATTCTTGACTCTAACCCTTTTATACCAGCGCCTTGATGGATATATCTAAATCAATTACTTTCTATCTTCATGACGAGAATTCGATCTACCGCACCTTAGCTATCGACCTATGTTCTCGAGGGTTCCACGTTTGGCAACATTATGTCGACTCCATGGAAATTCTTCGAAATCTCTTTCATCTGGCCACAAGCACACGGAAGGAATCCATCTCTATTCAAAACGTAGCTCCACAAGCACGGCTTGCGGTTCTTTCTATCGCAACGAACAATATGCCTCTGTTGATGGGCACAATCTGCCTCGACATTTTGACGCCACCAACTATGGAACACAGACGGTCTGTTTTGCAAATTCTGGCCTTCTTGATCAGGAAGGTAAGCGCAGAGACAACCTCTCTACTGATTCATTCTCAAGCTTGATCCTCTCCTTTAGCGTCCCCAGGTCCTGCAACCAAACCTCCCACGATTAATGGAGGCTGTCGTGAAGTCTCTAGATCCGAACTCCACGTCAAATAGGGAGTTGGTGCTGGATACTGCAACAGAGATAATTGGTTTTGTTGTCAAGAAGTAGGTGCTTACCAGTGCTGTATTGCTCCCTTACTGACATCAGTGTGCCGTAGTTTCCCATCTGTTGATTTCCACATGTCGAGCCAGAGATTGGCGGTCGGGACGAATGAAGGTGCCGTTGTTATGTACGACCTGAAGACGGCCATCCGACTTTATGTTCTTGAGGGCCACAAGAAGCCAATTACCGCCTCGAGCTTCTCTCCTGACGGACGGAGACTTGTGACAGTCTGCCTGAAGGAGTCTCTCGTGCTTGTCTGGAAAGTTGGTTCAAGCTTTGCCAGCTTCTTCAATCCCGGTGCACCACCTCGACAAGGACATGGCGGGTCAGAACCCTTCAAGACTCTCAATTTCAACATCGGGTCTGATGGTAAGCACATATAGGGATTTCATGGCAAATTAGTAGTGACTGGTATGGCATAGCGAACATGACAACAGCGGAGACATTGGAGTTGGTTCGCGTGGAATGGATAGCCGATCGAAGTGTCAGAGTCAAGATACGCCAGAATGTTTTGGCATTCAGCACTTAGTTCTCCGATACGGCCGTTCGCTTGGAGCCTATATTTCATGCGCATGTGCGCCATTGGAGGAGGAAGGAACATAGGGTGTGTATATATATTGTATTTTCATATCTGTAGAAATCAATCCAAATCTAGAAATTGCATGCCCCGTTACGGAGAGCACACCAGTGTGGCTGGAGAGCGATGGCCCTGATACCTCTTTGAACCATCCGGTATCGTAGGTCATGAAGGCGAGGAAGTGCTGATGTTGAACTCGGCCTGCTACCGTCAGGAAGAGTAGCGCCTGTCCAGAAGACTTCTGCAGATGCAGCTGCACGAGGCCAAACAATGCTGTCGAGATTTTCTGGCGAAGATTGTTCGGCCCACAGAAGTTGCTGTCCTGAAACGAGATAACCAAGCATGCATTAGTCAACAGGGGAATTGATACATTCATCGCCATGGAACGTACCGCCAAGAACAAATGGAACCTCAGCAGCAATCAAGTTGGCCAGAGGATTGAAGGAGTAGGCCTGCCAACATCATCAACATTTATTTCACACGTCGCTCGAATCCCAAAATACGAACCTTCTGCCAGGTCTTGAAAGGGTCGCACCAGCTGTTCCTGAAATTACGGAGAGAAATCAGACTATGCACCCCCAGAAATACGGACGAATACAAACCCGATGGCACCTCCAATCCACTCTCCTGCGCCACAATCCTGAAAAGGAGCTAAGTGAGTGACAGACAACGATCTAACCGAGAATCGAATTTACGAGGTAGAAGTAGTCTGATGGGGCGTGAACAAGTCGAAGTCCCTTTGCAGCCACCGCAGCCGCATTTCGCGACGATATCCAGACCCTACGATCGCGAAATAGTCGATCTGTTTGGTGGCAGCAGGTTTCCAAATGGAGGGACATACATAACGATAGTTGAGTTTGATAGGGTTACCTGGTGCTCAAACGCCATCTCTAGAGGCGAAGAGTGAACTCGTGAGGAATTGTTCGCTGAGAAGAGCTATCGACTAACCCTCCCATCCAACTGGCGTCTTGTCGATCGCCCTCAGTGCACCGTGCGTCGTCTGCGTGAACGCATCGAGTGCTTGTTCGAGAGTCTTCCCGCTCGACTTCAAGTCCGCCTGTGTCTGTGCATCTTGCGAGTAGCAGTTTACGTTGAGTTCATCGCCGCCTGTGCTAAACATCTTTGAAGGAAGTGTCTTTGCAATGGATGAAGTGAGATTGGCGGTAAACTGCGTGGTCGAAGAGGCGAGCCTGAGCTGGCCTGCTGGAGGTTCGTTGGCGAAGGTTTGCCATGGTGTGGCTTGAGGGCAGGCGATGTGTTCGGGATGAGATGTAGAGATTATGGCTGTGCCCTGGCGTATCGATTTCCTAAACGAATTGTTTTAGCACAGGCAGGCTGACCGAAAAGTTTTTGAAACAGCGTGCCATGAGGACGTCAATGCCTCTCTAGAAAAAAAACATTAAGAAAGGCTGGCATCCGAGAAAGCAAACCCAACATACAGCGCCAGCATAGTTGACAATATCTTGGATATCAGAGTCGGAGTATATTTCCTGTGCTGAATATGCACCTTTCTGAGCCAGCTGTGGGAATCCAGGTATACTCAATGGGAAGCTTTGCGAGTCAACGGCATGCCAATGGAACTGGCTCATCTGGACGTCAAACCTTCTAGATGAGACATCTGTTAAGATATAAATAATTCCGACAGACCTTAACCATGCTCATCGCGTCCAGGGTACGCTTGATATCGGCGACAGGAAAGCTGCGCGAAGGCATTGGACTAAACGAAGGCTTTCTGAAAGGAAGGTTTACTTACAAATTTCTTGCCGTATCAAGCATGAATCCTCGATAAGGCTAACCAGCTTCCATCAGGAATCACCACTGTCTTATGCAAACGTAGACTCCTACATATGCAGGCGAATCATTGACAATCGTAACCGGAGCTTGGTATGTATACGTTACGCCGGTTGAATCGTCGTACCACAGTTGCTCGAACGTCGTCAGGCCTCGAAACAATCCCAAAGTCGAATTTGCTACAACGGTCGCAACACCGCCATTGGGGACGCTCAGGGAATATTCTTCACTTCTAGTAGTTATCTCCTTCGTTGCTTCTTGCATTATTGACTGTACGGGACCGGCAGTCGTAGCCAAAGAAAGCGATAAGCTTGTGAGTGAAGGTGCATTCGGCAATCTCTGACTGTCACTTTCTCCTCGACCGACGACAAGCCGCTGGAGTTTATCAGACCGCAATCGTGCAATGGTGCGTGATACCGCATCCAGTAGGTCCTGCGGAGGACGCGGCATGGCGTATTGAATCTGAAAATCGGGAGATAATTTGACGAGGTTGTCGCCAGCTTGAAGGGAGCGAGGAATGGGCCATAGTGCGAATATAGGTCGAGCAGCGACTATGAGGAATATGAAGGAACCTTTCATCTCGCATGCATGCAGTAGAGGGTGAGGCGAGGTGAGGTCGCTGCTTCTGCCTTTTTATACGCCGTCCACAATCTTCGTCCACGTCAAGGAACCCACGCATCGAAATTCATGCTCCCGAAATAGTGCAGCATGCGATCTTTTCACGACTTCTGAAAGGATCCCAAAACGTTGACTGCATGCGAATGAGTGAAGAAGCGGAAGGGTTCGCATCGTCATGAGTAGAACATACCTGTCCTACCCAGGAATAAGATATCTGGACGAAGCAAAATGGCGGCTCACTCGACGAGGGTAAGAGATGACAACGGTCGCGTTGGTGTATGTCTGTAGATACGTGGGCCAGAAAAGTACTCAAAAGAGTTCTTGCTTTTGGCCTTCAGGACAGGATCTCAGAGCTTGAAGATATCGTCATGCGAAGAGCTAAGGATGTATCAACATTCATTCCCGCATTCTTCTAGATCATCTCCGGAGGAGAGAAGGATAGAAACAAGGGGTCCAACCACAGGACCGGGAAGATTAGTAGGACAGTTATTTGCGTAAGATTGCTGGCGTCAGGCGTCCGACTAGTAGTCCTCGTCTGCGTCGGGCATCTTGAACAAACCCGGCATTTGCAACCAATTCTGACATAAACCGACGAAGGTCGAATTCGATCAATCGCGACGAAGGAAAAGAGAAAATAACATGATGATTTTGAGGCTCTTGTACGAGACTGAGAGGGTTGCGGGAAGAGGAGTTTGGGACATGCTGGGACATGTTTAATCCTGAGAGGATTTCCGATCTACTCGGAGATACCACGTCGGAGGGCCTAGACTCCGGCGCGGTCCGGGCCGTCTCTTTGGTTGAACACCTAGTGAAGCTTCGAGCAGGAGATAGCAGCGAGGACCTCAATACAGCAGATAAATTGCAAGCCTGAGGGCAATTAGACCACAAAAAATAATATGGGTTTTCAGACTATAAAATACTCCTCTCAAGTTTGAATTGGCACGAACACTTTCAAGTTTAATCATTGTCCTGTCCCACTGCTGGATATTGTTTCCTCTCATCGATGCAGATAAAATGGGCCATTGTACATAGATATTTGACTATTCCCATGCGGAATGGGGGAGAGCACCTGCGCCACCCTAAATTGCACGTGTTCTGAAAGAATGTCCGATTCCTGACTCGCGAGACGAATTGGTACAACTAGGGATTAGCCAGTTGGTGGAATAGGGTGAAAGGCGGCCTCACTAGACAACTCAGCTGAGTATCAGAACACCTAGACTGCGCATGCGAGCCTGTACGGATTCCGAAGCAGTATAAAATGAAATCATCCTGACTCGCGGCCCGCACCTTTCGCATCTGTGCCATATCGATCCCGATTTCCAATCCCTCGTCGGCGAGTCAAGGTAAGTATTCCTGACTTCGAACAGCGCCCATCCCTTTATCACTCCTTGAAGCCCTCTCAGCAGCCTCGAGGCTCTGCCGGCGAACATCGGCTTCAGTCCATGGCATCTCTACACATTGTTGGTGCTGCGCCTCGCTGCGCCTACTGACGTGTTTAACAACGTACAAGTCAGCTTGAGCGAAAATCATCTTCCCCGATGGACCCGAATGCCCGAGCTCGGGTTCACAGCTGAGTATCTTTCGATATCGATATAAATTCGACTTTCGTCGCCCAGGGAATGACTATAGGACACACCATCGAGGGAATGTTTGAAACCGACCGCCTGCGCCTTCGTGGAACCAGCGTGCTCGACGGTGCCTCCATCCTGAGGCTATACAACGACCCCCTCGTCACGCCATGGATAACCGTCGGCTTCCGCACCGCGCGGCACGAGAGCGAGACCGGAGAGCTCATCAAGCAGACCGAAAACGCGCTCATGGGGTGCATTATCGAGGAGAAGGAAACTGGAGCCTTCGTCGGCCTGACGGGGTTCATGCCCTTGCGCGCTGGGGAGACACGCAACCGCACAGTGACGGTGTACATTGGGCTGATGCCCGAGTTCTGGGGCAAGGGGTATGCCTACGAGGCGATGGCGTATGTGGTCGGGTATGCCTTTTGGGACATGGGCATGCATAGGGTGGGGTTGTCGGTTTTCGAGGGAAATGAGAGGGCGGTGGCGCTTTACCGAAAACTGTAGGCCACTCCTTTTGAAGTCCTCCGTTCTGCGCGTCACTCATTGCCCACCCTGTAGGGGGTTCGTCGAGGAAGGACGTGATCGCAAGGCGATATGGATGCAAGGCGGGTGGCGGGACCTCATCCGGATGGGGATCATCGAGGACGAATGGCGGGAGTGGATAAAGAAGAATCCCGTACCGCAGTCGTCGCCTTGGAGTACAATTGCGTCTTCGTAGTTCTTGTACCTCACGAAGTCCGACGGCAGCTGTAGAACGAGAGTGCGGACGATCGGTCGGGTGATCGACGGTCTAGACCGACGCTTGGCGATCGTGCGCCACACTCCTTCAGGCCCTTTTCATTGCCAATTGGGGCTGAGGCGGATATTCGGGCTCAGTATCCCTCTCAGTCGCCAGAGCACACCTTTCAAAAGGAGCACCCACCACAAGGAGTCCTACAATCCCATTACCACTACGACGTGTGAACGCAGCCAACACACCCTCACCCAACCGCAGGGAGAATGCCGCATGGGGGTTCGGAAGCCGGCAGGGTGCGAAAAAACCTTTTTGCCGGAGTATTTATATTAATGACAGTCCGATAATGAAAAGAAGTTACTCTACCTACTCACATAAGCAGCCACCACCCAAAAACATAGCACGCATGCGTGCCCGTCCGTTCATAGGCCCTTCGACCCAAGTCTATTATTGCCTCATTCCCACTTTGATCTCTTTGCGTTTGTGGCACAGCACGATGCAGATGGTCTGAGCTTCTAAGCTTCTGAACTTCTTCATTTACGCCGTATGCCATTGCGTTCCCTGGAGAAATAAGCAAGGGGAGCACTAGACTTGGCCATGTTGTGTGCTTGGACTGAGTCGTGTCTGGCTCGGGCCCCTTCTCAGGAGAAAGATGATCGATCGTCTCCTCATGCCTTGACTTATCAAACATAGGCAACCTACTTCTGGGTGAAGGGTTGACAGCAAAAGGTAAGCACCCTCAAGGAGGAAGACTGAAATGCGCCTTGCCCCGGAATTGGGGCCATAGTGTTCTGGAGATAATTGCTGAAGGAGAGTGTCGAGGGGATAGATCGACTGACGGGCAAGTTCAAATGCGGTACAGTCGTCATCTCGACTCTTACTCTCGAGGCCATATAAATAAGCGATCTCCATATACTAGTGTATATTATTCTTAGTCGTCATCACGGAGAATCATGCCCTCTGCCTGAGGACTTGGATGAACATGGGGATGCCAAGCGTCCGATGACCTCTAGCAGAATCATAATTCCACCGCCGCTGACCTTGAGGTATCTATACCTTCCAGCACTCATTGATCATCCCCCCACCTCTCAGCCCCCAGCCCATTGGAATTCGGACGCCAGTTCCCCGGTCCCAGGACGCACCCCCGCCGGGAAACAAGCACTGAACAGAGTTCAAAACCTTGTTCAAGGATCTGCGTGGCTCTACATCCTCCTCCCACTCCACGCTTACTCTATAGCTGTCGACCTCGCGATCGTATGTGGGCTCGAGGAGGGTGCGTCCGGAAATTAAACACAGTAGGAAAGTCATGGAATCATATGCGTAATTTTAAGTGAGAAATAAGCAATGTGATGAAGCTGGGAGTGATAATTATATAACCTCGAGGCGCTGGAAATCCGAGTGCCGAAGCCGGTGTGACTTCAAATATCCAAGATATTAAATAATGGAACCCTAGCACCCACTTTGTCCCCGCAAATTTTGAATGAGGGGCTTGGCTGACCGTCACTAAACATGACGATGACGATCCGCATTGTCCCATTTATCAAAACAAAAGGACAGCCATATTTATTCCTGCAGGGGGTTACAATATCTGAATGTCGTCACCACGACCACAATTAAGTACTCGCCACCGGCCGAATGTTTTCCTAAAATTACTTCACGACGGTCAAGCACTAGAGGTTACGATAACTTTTCCCTAGTATCTACTTGCATCAAATAAATCGCACATCATATGGCGCTCGAGAATCAAGTCGTTAGTTGGAGATCTAGGCGCTGATAGATAGCAGAGATAGATATGCGGTGATAAACCTGCTTGCGACGTCCATGGAGGCGCACTCGCGTCGACCGTGACAGTCTGAACCCCTCCCCTAGTCATGATCATGGTCATGCGAGCAAAGTGTGGGAGCTGTATACCCCATTCAAGTTGGCCGCAGGCCGCAGGACGAGAATAGAGCGCGACTCGGAGGAAAGATAGTAGGTGATCGACCGACCGCGGTCGGCGTTCACCACAAGGAGAATTTTGGGCCTGAATAGCTGGATAGCCGGTCAGGGCGTCGAGGACCATGGGGTAAAGCGGGTGAAAGAGTCCTAACCAACCAATACTTACCCCATACTTTCTAGAAAGAACGTGCTTCCTCGACTAGAAGCCAAACCAACAACCCCCCATCCCCATCCCCATCCACGAGCCCGATACCACTACCGTGACCACTACGACACGCTCCAAAGCCGCTCTGGCAGCGCTGCTATCACTCGATCGAGCCGAAGGGGAATTTGAACAAAGGACGATAAAGTCATAGACGTGAGGTATATATATAGCCCAGCACTTACCTGAAGGCTTGGCGCGTTAAGCTTAAGGGTATAAGGGTATGACTTGAAGGGCATATAATTACGGACGCGCTGTCTCCGTCGTGCGCGTGGCCCTCCGAGTTTTAAATCCCCTCTTGGTGGCGGCACGACACCGGATACATTCTAGACGGTTTGGAGAAAGACGAAGGAGGTGAGGGCGGAGAAATACCAAATAGAGGGGAGCACAAGACCTACCAGGTCTTCCAAGAATTCCAAAACTCCTGTCAGCGTTGCAGTTGGAGCTCGCGTCGGAGGCGTAGAATTCGAAGCCTGCAAAAATCTATTTTCAGAGTTACTTATCGCCAGCTAGCCCTTTAAGCAAAGGCTTCTTGCGTTCGTACCTACCTGATAACCAACCTTCGACCCCCTCTAAGCCTCCAAGTTCCAAGTCCCAAGCCCGAATTCCAACAACTACTCACGGACGCTGCCTAACAACACCGCCTCCAGGGCCCACTGTCCATCCATCCATCCGTCAATATCTATCAGCCCTCCGTCGGCTTCAAAATGACGGTCGGCGCTCGGTGATCAACGCGCTTGTCAGCGCTTCAACTCCGAGAGCGTCCAGCCACAAACCCATGCATCCCTATAGAGTACTTAGCCCCGCGGGATAAATGGCATTCCCTCGCTCGGGGATCATCACGATGGCACGACGAAGACGAATTGGGTCCTGAACTTGGTGAGTGGTTTATGTCGAGGGTGGGTCAGTTCCCAATGGTCGTTACGCATGCTAGAGGAGGTTTGGGTGCCTGGGATATCGGAGCATGAGTAGGGTAAGTAGAATGTTCATTCATATCACCCTGCAGGGCGAGTAGAAGAACAACAAGAGCTCACTTTCATGCATATCATCCATCGCACAAGGATGATAAGAATGATACTTTTCAAGTATTTTGCTTCAACTCTGTCCTCCGTCTCCCTGGAAGGCCGCCAGGACGAGCACACGCACGCACACGCCTGCCCGGGATGGCGACCGGAAGCGAATAGGGAGGGAGGGAAGATGAAACATACCGACCGACATGGAAACGCCGACATGAAAATTTGACATCTCTGGTTTTCGCCCTGTACATATCATTGAACCAATTTTTTGAACTAGGAGAGTCGACTTGTCGTTGAGAGATCGAGCGACGAAAGGGTTTGTTCAGAGGATGGGTCTGCCCTTCAAGACGACGTCGACGATCTTCAGGCAGGAGGTCCGCAAGCATTTGGTGTTCTCATTTCCTCGATTTTCTGTTCGCTTGAAACCCACAAGATCTATCAAACGAACGGAGGATAAACCTAGGATAGACACCCTCGAGCTAACCGCCGTCGGCTCGCTAATGGCGGGGTCAGTCCCAGTAACCATGTCGCGAATCCATATGTTGGAGGATCCGTCATGGAGCCACCTAAACGCGCCTTCCCTGCACGCCGTCGGCGCCCAACGTCAAGTTTCAACGCGTCTAGATAAGTGCTTACTACTCGTGGCGATCATCCTAGAAGACGACTCCCCATCGTCATACTTGGCATATCCGAAAACCGCCATAGGGTAGTCTCGTCTAGAAATACAGACCTATCGCCATCGTATCCTTCACTTAGGAAGACCCATTTCCCACTTTCCCAAAAGCCACCGGTTGAACTGGCAGCGCACTCGGTCGCCCATTTTGCTTATACGTTCACGAGGTTGATGAGGTTGAAGGGTATTGGCTGGTCGAAGGCAAAACAAATGATATGATGATGCGTTCTGAATAGACTGGCAACAGATGCGGATGACCCAATGACAGCCGGCTTAAGTGGGGTGCGGGGGTAGGCGCTCGTGACCGGTCGGCCGGGGACGGCAGAGGACGGGCGGAGGATGGAGGGGGCGGAGGAGGAGGTCGCTGGACAGCGGAGGGAGGGCGGCTCGGAGATGCGCTAGCTAAACGGTAGCACTGGTAAATGCGGCTTGAAACACTAAGATGCACCTGTCGTGCGCAGTAGGATGGTAACGTACGTGTTTAATTTGAGAGTAAGGTGCACCGTGTTTAGTTCAAGTTGGATTAGTGGGTGACTGGCTTCTGGAGTATGTATGTGGATCGACCGGCGGAGGAGGGCCCTGCAGAAGCGAGAGCGGATCTGTCGTGAACATTGAAGAAGCCGGGGGATTTAGTCGTATGTTCTGAGTTCTACGATGACGAAATGGTCAGAGAGAAGCCAGGGCCCGTGGATTGGGGTACCGGGCCCGTCATTCGAAGACGAGAAGTTCAGAGCTCGAGCGAACTGAGACTTGGACATATGACGGACGGACGGTGGGTTGAAAGTTGAGAGAAGCTTCTTCTCCTGCAAAGGGAGTTGGGAATTGCCGATAAGTATGCTGGAGGGCAGAGGGCGTTGATTTAATTTAGGGGCAGGAGGGGCGCAATGGGATAACGTGCTTCTGTGGGGACGTCGGACGGGCCTCAGGTCACGGTGAGGACTGGAGCGCATGGGACGCGTTCTGGATGCGGTGATCGCGAAAGGGGGGCGCAGGCGCGAATTTGCAAAGGAGAGGAACGATGACCAGGTTGGTCCTCGGAAAGGGTGGTGACGAGAGAGAAGAGTGATTGAAGGCTTCATTCAAGCGCATGTCATGCCACTGCTTCTGGGCTGCCTGATATATTGGGCAATCAGCGTACAGGATAGCAGGAGCAGGAGCAGCCCGGTTTTCTAGGATGGCGGCGAGCGGCACACCCAATGGGCTCGGAGGACGCGACGGAGGGGGCAAAGCAGTGAGATGGATCGGGCCGGCGATGGTGCGCGGCCGGGGAGGGCAATTCGGCTCGGTGTCAGTGACGGGATGAAGTGTCCATCGTTGGATTGCCTCATTTTCTCCATCGACAGCCATGGACGTTCCCGTTTGCTTATTATCATCCCCAGCTATCCATCACGCCGCCCTTTTGGCTCTCCCTCCCCCATGGCCTCCCGCCACAACCAAAAGTTCGCCCACACCCAGCCAAGGACTTACCGCCTCAGCATAAAGGGCATCCTCTCCCTCCCTGTAAGCCGTCCTGCACACTCACATCCGCGCGTCCCTCACGGAAATTTCAGTTTCGCCTATGTAATCCTCCCCCAGCTGTAGCAAAGGTCAGGTCATGCGGTGGTCCGTCTCTTTTCCCGTCGTCCCAGTCCTTCCTCTTCTCACCCATCCCAAAAGTCACCCCGCTCTTCAAACTTCGCCTCGAGGATGTGTTGGATAGGAAGCATCTCCCCCCGCTCGGTGCGTGTCTCCCTTCTTCTCCCACCCAACCCGCGTCTCACGACCACAAAAAGGCCTCAAGGACTTCGAGGTAAGCTCCCCGCACCCGCAAACCCAAACATCCCCAGCCGCTGATCCCATCCAAAAGGAATGGCTCCTCTTCGTCGAGATGAGCCCAGAAAATCTGTAACTCATTAATCTTCCAAACCCTATCCGACTCTCCCGCTAACACCGTCCTTCCAAACAGCTACTTTACCCTCTGGCTCCGCGAGTACAAGCAGCGCTACAACCAATGGAAGGCACAGACCGCGTTCCAGTCAAAGGGCATCCCCACAGGCTACCCGCTCAACTGGTCCGCGCAGTACTCCTCCCAGCTCGCCATGTTCTACGCCCGCGCCAAGCAGACATTCTTCACCCCCGCCTCAGAGTACGAGCTCAACCTCTCCTCCAGCCTCCTCGCGCCCTTCCACAAGGCCAACATGCCCCCGCACCCCGACCCAGCCCTCTTCGCCGAGGTGGAGAGCGAGACGTATAGGATGCTCGACGAGAGCCTACGGAGGTTCGTCACCGCGCAGTTCAACAACGTAGGGAACAAACGCGTCTTGTGCGGAATCATCGCGGGCATCGTGTTTTGTCTGCTCGGCGCCGTCCCGCCCTTAGCCGCGAATTTCGCCCTGGGCGCCAACCGCTGGGCGCGCCTCGCTGCCCTCCCAGGTCTGTGGCTCGGCCTGACGATCCTGGTGTCGTCACTCAATGGAATCTGCCTCGGGGTATACATATTCGGCGACCTGCGCCAGCTGCGCAAGTTCGAGCTCGCGCGACCGACCATATCCAAACCGCAGCCCCTCCCTTCCTTCCGCCGCCGCGGCTCGAACGCACCAGCACCCGCCCGCCCGCTCTCAATCACCAACTCGATTTTGCCCATCCAGCACCCGCGGAAACAGTCCCTGGCCGTCACGAACCCAGGAGCGGCGGATTTCTCGACGCACGGCCTCCACCGCATGCCGTCCATCTCGTCCTGCCTCACCCAGGAGAGCGCCGCAGACACGCAGTCCACCGCCAGCTCGTCCTCGTCGGACGACAACATCCAGATCTCGCCGGCGTACTACGACGCGGACGACGTCGACGCGAGCGAGGTCATTTACTACTCCGACGCGGGGCACGGCGGCGACGATGCGGACTCGGTGTACCGCTTCCCCCTGGAACGCGCGCAGCGCAAAGCCTCCCAAGCGGAAGGCGTAGAATCACCGGGAAGGGTGCTAGGAGTGGACGTGGAAGTGCACGACGCAGCGCTCATCGCCCCGCTGCGGATCGAGGAGCTGGAAGAGCTGGGGTACGCAGCGACGGCGACGTTCATACACCCGTTTGCGTATCTGGACGACGGGGAGGAGGCGGAGGTGGACGCGGACGCGGACGAGCGGCTGGAAGAGGCGGTGGTGGTCAGCGGGGCGCGGCGGGCGAGGCGCGTGCAGGCGCGGCAGCTGCAGCCGGTGTTCCCGTTCGACTTTGACGCGCTGCCGAGTCGGGCGGCGTTTGCTAATGTGAATGTGAGGGCGCAGACGCATCGGTACCATGATCGACGCGCGGGGCTTAGCGGCCCTGGTAGTGCGACGTCGCTCGCCCTCCAGCTCGCGCTGCCTTCGCCTCCGCCAACTGCACTTGCACCCTTTTCTTCCCATTCTCCCTCTCCCTTCTCCCCCGCCCACTCTCTCTTTCCCTCTCCCTACTCACCCTGCTCACCCACCTCACCCTCCCGACCACCGCGCATCCTCCCACCACCCTTGACCATCCCCTCCTTCTCCTCACCCATCCCCGCCTCCTCTTCTCCCTTTCCCATCCCCTTCGCCAACAAAAGACGAAAGCCCAACCCGCCCCCCGCACGCGCCGGCCCGACGAGCTTCCTCGAGCGCCTCCAGGAACGGTGCAACATCGCGATGTGGCGCTTCCAGGCGGGGTATCTCGAGCCGGAGAGCCCGTATCAAGGGGCGGGGGCGGGGGCGGGGGCAGGGATGAAGCCGCACCCCAGCAGCCCGTATTGGAGCGCGCACCCCAACGCGAGCTACTCCAACTCCAACGCGTCGGACAGGTTTGGGAGGCACGCTTCTAGGGATGTAGAAAAGGACGGCGGCGCCCCCTCCCGATCCACCTCCAGCACAGGCGACTCGACCCACTCGCGGGAGCAAAGGGAACGCAAGGCGAAGCGCCGCTTCCGGATGATGAACGCCGTGCCCGCGTTCGCGGTGCCGCTGACGCGCGTGCTGAGCCCCGTCGTCGTGCGCGGGCAGTGGGAGATCGTCGTCCGGTCGGCGGTGCTTGGTTTCTTGTTTGCGTGGGCGGTGGTTGGGAGCTTGTTGGCGGTGCCGGTGCCTGTGAGGAGGTGAGGTGAGAGGAGGATGCTTTGCTTTGTGATCATATGCTCTTCAACCTGTGTTTTATTTATATTACGCTCTTTGCTTTTTTTTTTCTTTCTGCCGCTTTCGCTTTCAGCAAGATATCTATCTTACATCTGAATCCGAGTCGTAGAACGTTCGGGCCTTCCGTTCGTTACACCACCACTGCCAACTTCAGCGCTTTGCTCTTCGCGTTTCCAGTTCTCTGCTCTCCTTGCCTCTTTCTTTCTGTCCTTTCTTATTCCTTCTTGCTGCTTTTCACCCCATGCACTCAGATCTTTGCTTGATATCCTCAAAGCCTCCTTCATACCAGTGTACAATCTACTTTACGCAAAGAGCTGCTTACTTATTATCGTCGCTGTACTCTATGTACTCTACCTCTCTACCTTACCTCGATCTTTCCTTTCTCTCTTCCTATGCATCTGTCACCTCCTCGCCACTCTCCGTCGCATCTGCACAACACACCCTCTCTCGCCGTTTGTCTCTTGCGTATGCATCTATCACGCCGTAGTGCTCCATGCCGAGTCGTCACGTACCACACTCTTACCTCCTCGTTTACGTTGCTTGTTCGCCCACGCACCTCCGCAAACCTGTCATTTCTTGTTGCTGTTGGATCCTCGCCCGGTCTGTCGTACTCTACGATCTCCTGCATCCTGCATATATTATTACATGACTTCCTGCCTGTCTCGTATCTACGTAGAGGTCTGTTGGTAGTAGCAAATAGCAAAAATGAAAGAAACATTGCATGTCCGTATCGTCGCAACACCGACATCGATTGAGTTGTCGTCCGGGGGTTGGACTGGAAGCACTATAGACTTTGGAGGAATTTCGAACATTCGACGAAGAGGAAGAGAAGATCTGGGGATGTTACGGCGCCTATCTCATAAGAACTTGAATTCCCCAACACTTCTTCTCATGAACGCTTCCCATTCCCCGACATCTGCACCTCATGTCGCGTCGACTTGTCACAACCCAAAAAATCAAAAAGGAGACTTCAAAGGCAAAACCCAGCTGGACAGACAGGCTGCGCACTGCGACGCGTGCTATTTAATAATGGTTTCGTTCTCGAAAATCTCTGGGGAACATGGAACGCGAAAAAATGAAGTTTCGGACCGGGTATTTCATTTCCATCGTTCATAAAGCCAGTACATGAGGTGAATAACCGGCCTCGAGGGGGGAAGGGGACGACGTCCATGACGTTCGAACGGGCCTGATAGAACTGTAACATGACGCGGTCGAGAGCCATACTTGAAGAACAATAATAAGAAGGAAAGGAAAGGGCTACCGTAAACCGTACCTGCAATATCTGTGCGTCTTGAGGTGCGATAGAAACGCTGATCCAGAATGTCGGGTTCAGAGTCGAGGACGCGATCCACCTCGTACTGAACCTCTTCGCGACGAGCCTGCCGCCCTTAGTCGTCTGCCTGTCGAGCGGCGGATTGGGCACCGCGCTCTGCAGCGATTTGCGTTCGCTACAAACTCGGCTGAGTCAACGTCCCCCTGTTGTCCTGATGACTTGGACTAGTAGCACTTCGAAGTCATTTCGAACATTCTGCAACGATGAAGACCTGGAGTTGTTACGGCGCTTATTTCATAAGAATTTCCCCAATATTTCTTATGAACTCTTCCCAATTCCCCGACATCTGCACCTCATGATGTTGCGTCGACGCTTATCACAACCCAAAAGTCAGAAAAGGAGACCTCAAAGGCAAAACGTAGACAGGCTGCAGCGCGTGTTAGTAATGGTTTTGTTCTCGAGAATCTTTGGAGAATACGGAACGTGAAAATGAAAATTCGGACCGGGTATTTTATTCCCGTTGTTCATAAAACCAGCACATAGGGTGGATATCGAGCCTCGATGGCAGGACGGTGTGCACGTCGTTAGAACGAGCCTGACAGAATTACAGCATGGTACGGTCGAGACCCGTGACTAGCATCGCGACTTGGAAGAATAATGATAGGAAGAAAAGGAAATGGGAAAGCGTAGAAGGAAAGAGTAACCGTAAAACCGTACCTGCACTGTCTGTGCGTCTCGAGGCGCGACAGGACTGCTGATCCAGAGTCTCATGAGGGTCGAATGTCAGGACAGGGCGCGATCCACCTCGTACTGGACCTCTCCGCGACGAGTCTGCCGCTCTTGATCGTCTTCCTGTCGAACGGTGGGTTGAGCACTGCGCTCTGCAGCGATTTGCGTTCGCGGAGGATGACAAAGTCGGCTGGGTCCCCTACACGCGGGACAAGGTCTGCAGGAATTTCTGATGACCCTTCCGTCTGTGGACTGGCCATGGAAGTTGACGTTGGGGGCCCAATCGCACGCTTAGAGGTCAGGGTCACGGATCGCTGATAAGGAATTTAGCACTGGAAAGATTCAAAGAAATCGAGATGAGGGCAGATCAGGAAAGAATTCGATATTGGGTAAAGAGAATTCGACACGACTCCACGAGGCTGCTGCTGCCACAGGCAAGCCGGTACGGAGGGTTATCGGATGTACATGTACCCCTTGGAAATGACAGACAGCGTGTCTGGCCGCAGTGTCATGCTCAGGACAAAGACCAAGGACCACAAAAAAGACTTGAAGATAAGCAAACGAGGGGGTATGGATAGACAGGATGACGAAAATGAGAACCGAAGCGACAAGAACGACGTACCACAAGGCTTCGAATATCTTCCAAGGTCGCCGCCTGGAAGATTGCCACCCCAAACGTACACAACGAGAGAGGATCCAGCGAGCCCTGCGGGGTAAAAGCATTTTCGACGTTGTTCACGGACATGGCGACCTCAATACCGTATTCCTTCGCAAGATAGGGAACACGGAGCGTTCCGCGTGGCGCGCCTAATGGTCCATTGAAAAAGTCCTTTCCTTGCATGTAAATATCCGACTGTGGAAGGCCCACGAAGGTGACAGGCAATCCATGAATGGCCTCTGCTAGCTCGCGCCACTGTTCTGCAGAGAAGAGCTGAAGCCGAGTCGCATGCCCAACTGTGATGCGCGGGCAAGAACGTTTGCCGAAACTTGGGTTTGGACCGAAATTTTCAGAGCTGCCGTTATTGTCGTCGGAATCGGGCTTGCCAGTTTCGTACCGCCTCTTCACTTCGGAAATGACTTCATAAATGAGAGGCTCGGAGTTCGCGTGGAGGTTGTAGTCGAGGTGGAAGTCAATCCGATCTACGCGTCGGTCATCCGCGATGTCGAAGACGAGTTTGATGTTCGCCTTTGCCTGTTCGTGGCTTGGTTCGACGTACGGGGCCGACCCGATAACGCTTACGCTGTGGCGCGTGGCGGCGTCTTTGAGAAGAATGAAATTTTCTCCAGGCTGTTCGTCATCTACTGAATCGAAGAGCGGCTCTTGGGCGAATACTGCAACAGAGACTCCATTTTGAAAAGCGACCATTAAAGAAAGTAATTGACGTACTCGCAATTTGAACGTCACAAAGGCCAAGGTAATCCTTCTTCAGCCTTTGGGCTACCTCTAGACACGTAAATCCAACCGAATTGTCAACTTCAACGTGCGCTCGCATGGACGTTACACCATGCTCGACGCTTTCTCTAATTATTCGTGCTCCTCGGCTGTAGAGGTCATCTGGCTGCTTGGAAAAGCCCGCCTTAGCGACTTTCGTCACCCGCATGGCTTCCTTAAAATCACTAGCAGCGGGTATGCGTTGGTTGATCACATCGTGGATAGGATATTGGTGAGCTTGAGGCTACACACCCTTTGACCAGGTCGCCACATCGATCTAGAATAAAGCATTTGTCGAGGTGGATATGTGAATGACAGAACCTTGAATTAATATATTTTATTCGCCTGGTTATGGCAACGTCAAAGGTGTGTATTACTCACAAGGGGAGCAGGAGGCCTCCATTGCCATCGATGATAGAACGGCCTTCTAATTTCTCTGATTTAGACGATTCTGCGGATCGAGTATCATCGAGGTGAAAGGGCGATACTCGCGAGACCCGGCCATCGTGGCACTTGACTGTCCATGTCCCCGTCGCCAGGTCCTTATTGTCGAAAGGTAGGTGGACGTTGGCCACCACGATGTCTCCGCCAGGCTGAAGAGGGTCCATTTGGTGGCTAGGGATTTAATCTCGCTCGAGGCCTTACTCTTGGGTACTGAAAGTATGCGGTTGTCCAGACGCACAACGCTCCTCCCGCGACTGAATGCGTGAGACCTTGTTAAGGATAACCTTCCTCTCCGAGTCTCTTGGTGACTTAGATTGAACGATCATGAAGATCTGCGGTCAGGAAAAAAAGTTTGTTCGACTGACATGAGTAAGTAGAAAAAAGAGCTTACTTGGTTCCATTCTCAGAGGGTACAGTTCCACGTAAGAGCCTTCAAGTCGGTTGACATGATAAGAGGCTGAGAACAAGGCACAAGTTGTTGGCAGCCAGCCGGAAACCCGGGCCGCATATGCCAAGGTGATGATGACCTTCCTTTCTTGAGGTGTTGACTTTCTTGCAGAAACACCACGGTCCATCACCACTCCTCGTCGATATTTACAACCAGCATTCTACACCATCGAAAAAAGAAGACTGAAAATCTTTCTTTTCTACCAAACCTCCGACTTACTCTTTTGGGGATGCATTTTCTAGACCAAAAAAAACACGAGGTCTGTGGCAGGCTGCAACGGTCCTACCTTGTCTTCGCCCCAAAGGACCTTAACGAGCCTACAATTCAACAAATTCGACAATAACCTTATTTTTCTACTTGTATCTTACGCTAACCTCGACCTGCGCTGTGTCTGCGCTGTGTGGTTGCCTGCAGGTTGCCTCCTTGCCACGCTGTCCAAGATGCTTTTTTCCCGTCCAACATACTTGGCGCCGCCTTTGTGGTTTCTCCATTATTCCACATAAAACGTGCGGCCCCGCAGGTGTCACCGGAGGTCAGTCCCATCTGTGTCACTTTACATTTTCATGCGTGCGGTGCCATAATAACAGTCTCCATAGGGTGAGCATGCTTCGCGGGAGTGGCAAACGTGTGTTCAGCAACAATCTCCATCTCTTCGCGGGAAGACTGAGAGAAACAAACTCACCTCACGGTCAAGTCATGTATGCGATCTACTAGGAACGCCTGAAGACCTTATTTTGTTCACCGGCGTCTCCGAACGATTGGGAAAGGAACTTTCATTTTACAACTTACCAGACCCAAGCCAGTATGTAATTAAAGCTACTGTTCATATACGTCTTCCATCAACCTTGTTTAAAACAGAATAATGGGAGGCTATCAAATAATCCAATCATATGCCTACAAGGTTACTCATCTCAGTGGCTCATGGCATTGCCAGACGACAGCAAATGAAATATTGCACCCTCCGCACCGTTATCCGATTTGTTGGCGTTGCTTGCCAGGTGTCATTAGGCAGCACCCCATCCTACACAGAGAGACAGACGCTTGTCTGCTCTACTCCTCCAATCCCTGGAGCAAGGCCAGGGCCACGTTCGGGGGTGGCTCTAGAAGAACCTGAGGAAAATGGGCACAGTCAGCTCCTCCATCCTCGGGTCGTGCTGCAGATGCCCAACTTTGACTAGAAAGTGCCGTAAGGCCTTGCCTACCATTGGTTAACCCTTCAGCACTCGATCGCCGTCAACTCAAGGTTTTTAAACCGCCTCCGAATTTTATCACTTTATCACTTACCAAGAAACGACATTCATCTCGCCTCATCCCGGATTCACGCCGGGCGCAAGAACACAATAACTTTTGGCAAGAGACGACCGAACATGCGCATTCCAGAACCACTCTCCATGTTCGCCGTGCTCTCCGGATGCCGCATGCTCCTCGTTTATTGCTTTCTTGCCAACACGAGCGATTAGGCCCGTGTACTGGCATCGACGGTTGTACGGTGCTACCGGTGACCGTCATCTTCGATAATTGCATGCTGCGAGACCATTCCGCAGCGATCGCGTCATGGCCAATCGCATCCTCTTCTGGGTTATCTCGACTCCTAAGAAGGAGAGCAGGTATTCCCACCTTGTATTCGATTATGTGCTCGAATTTCATCTTCTGACAACGTGTTTTCCTGATAGATCATCAACGCCGGGAGTTCTATCGCTTCCGGGGTATGCAATAGCACTCAATGAACAAAAAAGAGGAAAACATACACAGGGTCGTATCCAGTCGTACCTTCTTGTCCTTCCTTTGTGCTTCGCGGCGACACGAGGGAGGAAAAGAAGTATTATTCTTCCGCTCGGGCCTGCGGTACAGATAATGCCTGCCGTCATGTGTCCACAAATCAAGCTTCCTCACGGGCAGAACCGTAGAGGGACCGCGGCGAGCGCTGATGCAGTGAGAAAACTTGCGTTAATGATTCAACACGTCGGTTCTTCATTACCCTCACGGAACTATTTCACCCATACGCCAACACCTACTAGGCCCGCACGTCAAAACATGTTACACGCTTCATCTCGCGTTGTATTGTTCTTCGTGCTTGATATGTCAGCGCTCCACCGCGGTGCCTTCGGAAGTGAAGGAGCATAGGAGCGCCAGTGAGAAGATTTCTCCCGTTCTTTTGATCTCCAGAAAGTCCTAGAGCGAGAGAAGAAGGACCCGCTAGCAACTTCGGGCATTCAAAGCATTATCAGACAGACGGCGTTCTCAGAGACGGACAAACAGGGTATGCGTGGTCATGGTAAGTGTGCCCCGCTCCAGTCAAGACGAAGCTGATGACGGGTATCTCGCATTTATTCTTGTCAGTTGATTCCACCGTGCGTTTTGTATGGGAAAGGCAGCGATTAGACCGCGATGCGGACTATCTACGGCGACATGCCCTGCCCAGGCTTACCCCGCAAAAGCAATTTGTCTCCGAGTCGCCATTTTTGAACCCCTGGAAGGATTCTCGACTGTTGCTGCACCTGCTTCATCGCTACTAGGCGCTATACATAGTAGGCGGTCTTGTCAACAAACCGCTTGTGGCGATCGAGCAGAAGTCATCCTAACGAGGCAAGACTGCTCTAAACGGCCTTTGCACGGAGCACGCTGCATCACTTCCATGTCCATGCCAGTCTTTCTCCAAGCAACAGCACGCATGGGAATGACATGCAGATGTTGGGGACTTGAGGTGGGCTATCACTATCAGCCGCTCGCTTTGATGAGCTACTAGAGCCTGGCCATCGAACTTATCTTGCGTCGGACTCGGACCATCGGATTTATGCAGGGTACTAGCACAGCAAGGTAATTTAACCGCGTGCGCGTGTTGTGCTGAGCAAGGGTGCAGAAACGTCCGAGAGAGGCATAACTACTTAAAAGGATCACACTGAAATACAAGGAGACTGCGCCAGCCACGAAGATAATGATGGGCGCCCGCACGGCATGTGGCGACGCACGATCGTGTTCGTACGTATCGGGGCTCCTATAGTCTTAGAGCTCGTGCACTGATATGATATGCATTGTGTGCAGTATATGGCCCGTGGCCCGCGGTGGCGTCCACGAGTATGCCGCTTCGTCGCCGTTTCATAGCACCAGAGCGTAGCACGCACTCAAAAAGAATGATCATGATCAATGATATTGATGACTGGCGAATGCATTTAGATGGGCGTGGCATGGAGTGAGTAAGTAAGGAGCTAATTGCGAGGTATGTATGTAGGAGTACGGAGTAGTACAACAGCTTGTAACAGATGACGAGATGCGAGATGAATGAGAAGATTGGAATTGAGAGATGAGAGATACATAAATTAAAAAAGGAAACACCAAGGAGGAGAAAGAGAGCCCAAGGAAAAAAGGAAGAAGAGAGGAATAGAAACAGAAGGCGAAGAGAAGGTCCATATGTGAAATAAGTAACTAGCGTTGGGTTATAGTTGTACAGTACTTGTACTTGTTCGTAATACAGTAACAGGCGGCACGCCGACAACGTGTCCAGACCGATTGCCTCGCCAATCGCATCGTTCGTGTGTCGGTCGGCTAACCTCAGACGAGGGAAAGGGAAGAGACGAGGTGGGAGGAATGGGAGGAAAAGATGAGAAATTTGGTCCGGAGGGTATCGAATTGGGGTTCAGGAACCTAACCTGAAAATCCTAGTGTAGATTCACGAGACGTCGATTGTAATAAAACTTGTACCATATGCGCTAGTAGAGTGGAAGCCGTCTGGGGAGGAGGCCCGCGGAGGAGGGGTTGAACCTGAATGAATGAAAAATGAAACGTCGAGGGGTTGGCGGTGGGTCGACTCGGTCCATTATTGCGTTTTGCATTTGAGTTTTACAAATTTCTTGCACTGCCTGTCCCGGATCCCGAAGCGAGAGTGTGAAAGGGAGAAGATGAGATTGAATGGAGCTTTGTGGTTTTGCTGTATGACGTCTGTATGCGCACGTCGTATGGGGCGAAGCGGCGCGACGCGTGCGCGACGTGCGTTTGCCTCGTGGCGCGTGCACGCGGCTCCGTGGGGCGTGGGGGCGTAAAGCGTGGCGAGCGATTGGAGGGCCAATTGGGACTATGGTCCGATGATGCTGGATGCATGTCATAGAGATGCACGCACGAGTAACAGCATCAGCCCCAGAAGCGCTGCGACTTCAGTCGGCAGTATAGTACTTGCGGGCCTATTATTGCGTATTGCGTACTGCGTAGTCGCGTGCGGCGGCGCGTGGGGAGGTCGATGTAGGGTGTGCACAAGGTGTGCACAGGCGTGGTGCCAAAAGTTGAATGCGGGGAACAGTTGGAACTTGGAACGTCTGGAATGAATTAAACGAAAGAAATTCAACAGAATTGTTACCAAAGGGACCAAAAAAAGAAACCACATAGAGAGAAAGAATCAAGAAAAAAAGTCAAGGAAGAAAATCCAGCTGGGACGCGACGAGTGGCCATTTCGAGCTTTGAGTTTTCCCTACGAACGCATCGAGAAGAACCCCTCCGCCTCGTACATCGGCAAGTAAGTATTCAAATGAATCAACGCGAGCCGCGCGATCTTCTCCGCGAGAACACGCAGCTCGTCCACGATCGGCTCCATGCCAGGTGCGGGCGCACTAGCGGTCGGTGTCGTCGGTATCGTCGCGGCGCCACCTCGCGGGCCCAAAACGGCCGCTGCTGCCGTCGAAGTCGCCAAATTCGAACCTGAACTGGCACCCATGCTCGCGTTCGCGGTCGTCAAGTCCACCGTCAGGCTCGCATTCGGACCGTGGGCAGCCACCGCGTCGCGTCCTGGGTACGCGAAAGCCACGACGCCCTCAAAGACAGCCTCGCGGACGCGGTTGTGCAGGAGCGTGCTAAGTGTCGACCCGGACTGCATGTTCGTGTCTGCCCACCGCTGTGCGACCCCTAGCGTGCGCGGGTCAGGGTGCTGTTCCGTGTCGCGGTTGCGGAGCTCCGACGCGCGCCTCGCGATTTGCACCACGAGATCCTGCTTGTGACCTCTCCGCTGCTCAAGCTCTTTCCGGTCGTCATCGTCATCGTCGGGTGAAGCCGACGCAACCATACAAGATCCCAATCTTGCTGGGCCGATATCTCGAATCTCCTGCTTGAGGAGCATAACGTCCTTGATCGGTGTTTCCCACTCTGCTAGCTGACGGAAGAATAGCATGAGCATGTACATGGTCGTCGTATCAACGGCCTCGGAGCTGAGGTGCGCCAGACGGGACTTGTCCAGATAGAGTGTCTCCGGTCGAGAGGAGAATGGCGATGGGGTCGTGGGAGGAGAGATCGGTGACGTCGGAGGAGACGAAGACGGGCTGCTTGTGGGCGAGGAAGGCGGCGAAAAGGCTGAAGCATCAAAAATCAAGTCGGTGATTCCTTTGAGGGTGGCAAGGTATATCTGCTGATTTTTCGTCAAAGACTGATAATCAAGCAGAGATGGATACGAAGGATGTGGAACGGGCTTCTTGCGCGCCAGGAGCGAATCGTGCGCACAATGTAACCATTCTCGGGTGTTGTGCAGCGACGAATTAGCCCCAAACCGCAATTTGAAGGCCTTTACTTCGAACACGCCCGTGTTGCGTAGAAGCCATGGCCGGAGTTGCGTAAGTTGGTGGTTGGCGATGTCCTGTACTCAAAATAAGTCCGGTTCGTGATGAAGATGAATGAATGCCGGAACGTACCAATTTCATCAACTCGAGCAGCTCTAGGCATGTACGGAAGGCCTTGAAGGCTTCGATGCCGGACTGTTGTGCGAACTGAACCAACTCCTCGACGGCACGGTCGCGCATAGGAGCACAATGATGTTTTAATGTCTGCCCGATATGGGTGAATAGGCCTGATGGGTCGAAAACCTTGTGCTTTATCTCTTGATAAATGAGAGCAGGGTCAAAGATTTCACGGAGGTGGGCCGCATGTGCGGAATGCTCTTGGGCCTGTTCTTTGACCGCGTTTGGGTTGGTGTAGACGGCCGTGTTTGAAAGCGGTTGGATGACGAACAGCATGACCTCGAGGAACTCGGTGAGGAGGGCGGGGATGCGCGAAGGCAGTCGGAGGGTATAAACGGCGCTCGAGAGGGGGGTGATGATAGGAATGGTGGGGGTTTCGGGATGGCGGGTGCATATACAGACTGTCTTGTGGCTCTTGCCGTAGATGTCGAGGGTGACACATGTGCAGCCGAACTTGACCTCCTCCCACAGAGCGTTCCAGTACTTCTCGGACATTTCGCGCTTCCGCCGTGGTCTGAATTGGAGGCCCGGGTCGAACAAGAGATCATGGCCTAGGAGGATGCATATCAGACAAAAGTAAAATGGAGAGGGCTGGATAATAAACAGGAGGCGGGGGGCACGCACGTAGCACGGGGTTGCGGAGAATAATGTCCAAATCGAGCTCTCTGAGCGTCTGGCGGTTGATTAGGGGCTGCATGGGCGGGATGTGTGGCGAGGAAAAGTCGATGGGCGATTCTGTGAGGGTGGTGATTCTGGGGGTAGTGGGGGACTGGGAGGGAGTGGCCGGGGATGGTCGTTCGCGGAGGAGAGAGCCTGAGGAGGGTCCCGGGTCTGCGGTGCTGACGATGCCGATGTCTTCGATGTCGCTGCCGGTGCGGACGGCGGGGAGGGGGTGAGGCGACATTTTTGTGGGGGACCTGCGGTGGTGGTGGTAGCGCTTTTCATGTGCGCGCAGGGTTGTGTCGAGGGTGTCGACGCGGAGGCGCTTCGCTGCTGCCGGGGGCGGGCGAGACGGCTGGGGCGTCAGGGGAGATGATACCTGGGGCGACGTGGGGGACGACCAGTCTGTGTCGGTGGCTATCCATGGGGGGCGAGGGACCTGGGGGCTGTTGTCGTCGCCGGCCTTGCGCTTTCTGTGGTTGAGGGGGCACTGGTGAGCGAGGTCGTCCATGGGCGGAAAAAGAGAGGGCGATGGTGATGTTGTGTGTGGTTATATGTAGGGCCTGGCGAGGAACACATGGTGAATTCCCAAGAATGGACCAAGACAAGGCGTGTGGCCAGAGGCAAGGAGGCGACCCCGAGATTATCCCAATCGGGCAGACGGGGCCAATCCATCCAATCTCCGCCACTCCTCGGCATGCTCGCTCCCGAATCCCACGTTGCACTTGAACCGTTCAAATTAACTAAACTATCAGACACAACCGTCACTTTCCTCCCATCTATCATATCTGGATCAAGTTCTCCCCTTCCGGCGCCCCACCATCCTGTCCCTCGGCTCCGGTCGCGGCCCTCTTCGTCCCCTTCCGTCCGTAGAACTCTGCGATAATCTTCGGGTTGATACGATTCAGTTGTTCCTTCGGGAAGATGCGCAACAGCGACCACGCAAGGTCCAGCGACTCGAAGATCGTCCGCGATTCATACGCGCCTGTAACAAATAAATTCCCATTCATCATCAAAAATGAACACACAGCACCTTGTCCAACAAATTGGTGCTCAAACTTGTCCAGGAACTCCAGTGCAAGCTTGTCTTCAGGCGAAAGTGCCTCCTCTCCAACAACTGCCTTCATCGCCGCTGCGTCACGTCCGATCGCATATTTAGCATACTAGCCACACCATTCATCAGAACAAGTAACAACAACCTAGCAGCCCGCACGCACCAGCTGGTTCGACACATCACCATGGTCTTTCCGCGTCAGCTTCTCCCCGATGGCGCTCTTCATGAGTCGCGACAATGACGGGAGTACGTTGATCGGCGGGTAAATCTGCCTATTGTGCAGCTGTCTGTCAACAAAGATTTGGCCCTCGGTAATGTATCCCGTCAAATCCGGTATGGGATGCGTGATATCTAGGTAAAGAAAAGGAAAAAAGAAATGGTCAGCCATGAAATGAAATGACCTTTTCATCTACGCTCGTAACTTGCCGTCGTTTGGCATCGTCAGAATCGGTATCTGGGTAATAGACCCATTCCTGCCTTCGACACGTCCTGCACGTTCATAGATCGTGGACAAATCCGTGTACATGTAACCCGGATATCCACGTCGTCCGGGCACCTCCTCACGCGCTGCAGAAACCTACCACCCCCCAATCCGTTCTCAGCGGCGCTCCTAATGCTATAAACAAGCACATAAACAGAACACACCTCACGCAGTGCATCCGCATACGAGGACATGTCCGTCAGGATCACCAACACATGCTTCTCCAGCTGGTATGCGTAGTACTCCGCAGTAGTCAGTGCAAGACGCGGCGTGATGATACGTTCAATCGTGGGGTCGTTTGCCAGGTTCAGGAACAGCGTAACACGGTCCAGACTCCCGTTCGACTCGAAATCCTCCTTGAAGAACCGCGCAGTCTCCATGTTCACACCCATAGCAGCGAACACGACCGAGAAGTTATCTTCGTGGCCGTCGTGCACGTCCTTGGTGGGCCGCTTGACCAGGCCTGCCTGACGCACGATTTGCGCAGCGATCTAACACCCCGCAAAATCAAAATGAGCACAACGCCCTTCCAGCGAGTTGGTTTACCCGTTCGAAAGCACTTACCTCATTGTGCGGCAACCCAGCCGCAGAGAAAATGGGGATCTTCTGTCCACGGGCGATAGAGTTCATCGTGTCGATGGTGGAGATGCCCGTCTGGATCATCTCCTCAGGGTAAATGCGCGAGTAGGGGTTAATCGGAGAACCTATTTCACCCAAATGGCATCGCAACCACACGTCAGGAAAACGAATACAGGGAGGATCGCGAACCACCGGAAGCACCACGAGAAACACCAGAAACAGAAACAGAATATTAACGAGCCCGAGTATGAGAACTCAAGAACTCTGGGATGGAGGGAAAATGGATAGATGAGCAGTGTGAGATGAGATGCGTACCATTAATATCGAGATAGTCCTCTGCGAAGACCTTCGGGCCGTTGTCGATGGGGTTTCCCGAGCCGTTGAAGATGCGCCCGAGCATGTCCTCCGCGACGGGCAGCTTCATGCTGCTCCCCGTGAACTCGACGTGCGTCGCCTTCACGTCCACGCCCGAGGTGCCCTCGAACACCTGCACGATCGCCTTCTTGCCCTGTACCTCGAGCACCTGCCCCCCGCGCTTCGACCCGTCCGGCAGCGTCAGCTGCACGATCTCGTTATACGAGGGGAACTTTTTTGTTTACAGCAGACAGCAGATGATAGCCAATCCAGGATGAGACGGAGACGGAGAAGAAAGACTCTCGTAAGGCAATGACAGCATGCATTAACGGCGTTCTATACACACCTTGACGTTGTCCAGAACCACCAACGGGCTGGTTGCCATACGGGTGGGGGTGAGCACAGCGAGCCCCTTACTCATAGATTTCACCTCTCACCCATTGATGGCTGATACTGTTCGATAATCTGGACAGCCCATAAGCTGGCCATTTCCCTTTATGACATGGACCGTACACGTACCGAGATGGGGCTTTATCCTGTACTCCTTCGTCACAGCAGCAGCGTTAATATTCGCCAGTTCCCTGTCGCTAAGCCTGGCGCTCGTCATTTCGTGCACAGATCCGGTGGTGTGCTATGAGTGTTCTGTGAATCGGGCGTGTAGAGCGGCCTCAGACGCTCGTATTTCGGTCGATGAAAGTGATTATTGGAGTTTGGGCACACACTGTCTCCGTCGTTGTGCAAGATGGGTTGAAGAAGCTGGAAACGGTGAGCACTGTCGCATTGCCCAAATCGGTGCACCCATAAGCGTTCACACGCCTCCCCATAAGGAAGGGCCGGCCCAGGTTCGCAGATGCCATCACGCAGCACTCAGTCTTGCAGAACATTTCTCATTGAGTACATGAAGTTGTTACATTTCGCAATATATTCCGCCTTTCCAATGTCACAAAACACAATAAACTCATCCCCCTGAGGTGAACATTTGGATGACCTCATTTGCCGCCTGCTGAACTGCACCAGCTTCGCCCGTCGACCTTGGCTTCCTCGTTAATATCCTTTACGACATACGGGCCATCGGGAAGATATCGCTTACCACTCCGTTTCCAAAAGGACATCCTCAATCGCCTCAGTTTCGAACCCCAGATCAGCGCTCTGGAGAAAGACGTAAAGATATTCCGCAGTGTCCGACCGAACCTACGGCACATGAAAGTCAGGAAAGACAATGCAGGGGCTTGACATCGCGAAAGAAAGACAAAAGATAAGATACGCGAACGCACCCTCGGAAAGGCATGTGTCAAAAATCTGTTCAGCAGCGCTGCTTTGTCGCTCCTGATATGCTCAAAGGAGAGAAGGTTGACCACGCTAGACCGGTGCAACGCGCCGATTAACTGTCAGGATGCATTTCGATCACGAGAACCACGGAAGAAACAACACACATCTTCATCGACTCGTGGATCCTCTGCACGCTCTTGATCTTGCCGATGTTCTGCGTAGTCATATGCAGCAGCGTCTTCAGGCTGGGTATACAAAGGCCCATAATGAGATCGTCGAAAAAAATGAACAGCTGGGCTAGAAGAGGGCCCACCTCTGCATGCCGTTCGCCTCGTTTGGCAGCTGGCGAAGTGCATCTGCCTCTAGCAGCAGGGTAAACGTCTGGAAGACAGGTACGACAACCGCATTGGCGATCATATTAGACTTCGCATGATTGATCAAGTCTGTCACTAGTTCCAGCAGGCAGTACCCGGCCGGTGGGGTTTGTGAGAGTGGCAAACCCTGAGCAAACTTGACAAAACTATGTGCCACCGGTCGTTGCTGAGGTAGAATTAACAAAATACATCCGATCGGACCACTGGGAGAAGATAAACCTTACAGTGCTGTCGGTCTTACTGCCTATACTGAGCACTACTCCGACCAGGACGTGCTTGCGGTACTCTGGCACCTCGAGGAGGCGCATGGCGCGCGGAAATAGCCAGCTGCCTTCATTCCATCCAACGGCCTCCTCTGTTGGGCTAGTAGAAATTTTTCAGAAGAACGCCGATTACAGTGGAATGTGAATGACTTGCTTTTGGAATAGCTCAATGAGTAAAGAAAGACCTGGCAGACGCCACCGATCTGCCCCGTCGACCCGGGGAGGGGCGTTATTGAGAAGCCTCATCAAGCATATTCCTGCTTCCTGCCGGACGTTGTCAAGTCTCTCAACGCCTTGCTTGAGCAATCCAGCCACAGCGGCAGTATATTTGTCCCCAGGAAAGTAATCTGCGAAGTCCGGAATCGATCCGGCCATGCGGAACATGAGTTCGGAGATGGCTGTGAGTCCTTGTATGCATGCGATTCTGACCCAAGAGCCGACGTCGCCGCGTTCATCTATGGTATAGTCATCCAATCCACCTAGTAATGCGTCGAAGAGTGCGCTGAACACGTCCTTTGACACACCTTCTAGACGATGAGACGACTGCTGGCTCCATTTAGGATGAACAGAGGCTTACACAACGTCAGACGGGGCGAGACCAGTGCTAGGATGCGAGGCATCGCTTGGAAGCAGCTACGCCTCGTTTCAACATCTGCTTTCGACTATGTGGGTTGATGGCACATGAGCCTCCACGATGCACGCAGGAGAATCACTGACTCACGGAAGGCTTTACACTATCGAGCAGATAATTAAGCGCTTTCGGCAGAATAGTGGGGTGCTTGTCGTAATTGATTACGCTTAAAAATCGTGCAAGGCTTTGCTGTATAATAGAAGGGCCACGCTTCATCTCTACGATCAGTGTGGAGGAAGGGACAAACGCTGTCAGAAATGACAAAAGAACACATAGCAAAAACAAGACTTATCTAGAGATATCAGAGCTATAATCGGTTAGATTACTGATAGCGGACATTGCATCAGCTGCTGCCTCCTGGACAGAGGGATGACGGTGCTTGAGTCCGATCTCGACGACTGTTTTCCATGTAGGGACAGATGAATCTGGACCTAGTTTTATTTCTGTCACAGTTATAGAAGCTGCGATGAGACGACATGCAGCCGAGGCAATAAGTTCATTGCGGGTTGTCGTGAAGGTCTTCTCGGGAACAAGGTTCAAGTGTTTGAAGACCTGTACGTTAGGAGGAGAGTTTGAGAACCGGAGGTGTGGCTTGGTTGGTCAACGTACTCCTCGCAAAAGATCTTCCAATTCCGAAGAGTCTTCAATGCTCTCTTTGTATGCTATTGCAACTTCACAAAGTGCAGCAAGACCGCCATGCACATCTGTCGAGTCTAGGGACTCTAATAGGCGAACCTATTGGCTGTGAGAAGGTCATCTAGTTCGTGAATGAAACTAGGCATACGGATTTGTCGATGGCCAAGGGGATAAGGGTGTGCAGATCCTGAGAACATATTAAACGCAAGGACTGAGATCCTAGTTCCCTCATTCCAAGGTCCCAGTGACGAAGTACAACATCCAAGACGTGATCGAAGAGAAAACGTCGATATTCTGCATGTCTGGACGTAAACTATGTCAGCGTTGAAGTTCATCCTTTTGGAGTTGCGTACTTACACGGCAACTTGGGGTGCAGCGACTAAAAAGGCATGTTTCCTAATACTGACGGCATAGAAGTCCGTCTTCCCTAAAACGTCGATGCCATGAGGAAATAGACTCTAGAGAACATGTAAAATTTTTAGCGATGTGAGCCCTGAATTAGGGTAATAAAAACGCACTGTCCGCCCAACATGTTCTTGGAATGCTGCACTTGCTGCACGCCGGATGTGCACTTCCCGATCAAAAAGGGCGACTGCTGTGAGGCGTTGGGCCAAATTTGTGGCGTGTGGTACCAAAGACGATTGGTCCTGCGTCCTCGCGAGCGCCCAAAGCACATATGCGGCTGCATCGCGAACGTTCGACCCTATAGAATGGGCACCTTTACGGAGATCAAAGTACAAGGCCTGCAGGAATACGCCTGAATGAAAATTCATTCATGTGACAGGTAGGCGACCCACCTTCGATAACCAGCCGATTAATTGAGGAAGATATTGGGGTTCCACTAGGTTGCGACGGGCCATTTCAGCGCATGCTAGACATGCGCCATGCCATATGCCCTCGGCAATGGCGGGGAGGTCGTAGAGAGTTGCAGCCGCAATCGAATGAATTTCAAATAAGCCCAAAAGTGTTTCTAGGACTTGGTTGCAAAAGTCGGTAGGTAGTCGCTCAGCAATGCGGGCAATACCCTTGGCTGCTGACCAACGAACAATTGTGTCCTTTGCAACGCACGTCAAGCAACGTCTCAGAAAGATGCGAGGAACACACCTTGTCTTGCAGATCACCAAAAAGCTGCTCTAGAATGCCTTCTACATCCTCTGGAACCTCTATCTCCTCTAACTCGATTTCGTCGGACACGATACCGCCATCCAGCGCTCGTGCTGTCGATCATGAGTTATCATGCCTGGAGGAGAAAGCAAAGGACAAACCTCCATTCCTCCGCCGGAGACTTGAACGTCCAGGTAACAATCGTAGACCAACCCGTGCTATCAGCTTGGTTTTGTACTTTCTAACAAGGGTGTTGGTGGGAAGGGTCGAGGACGCTTGGATTATATTTGATATCGACCCTAGATTGACCAGTTCGGCCTGCACCTGTTCTGCAGATCCTGACTTGGCAACTTCGCAAAGTACTTGCAAAACTCCAATCGTCTGGTTGCAAGGGATATCAGGGACGTGAGATTGACTGCAAGATCGAGGTACAAACAGTGAAGATGTCGTCGGTGCCTTGGAGGAAACCCTGCGTCCATTCGACGAATTCACGAAAACCTGATCCGGTGTCCTTCCTATCTTCTTGAGTATTATACTACGGGGAGAAAGACTGCACACACCTCATGTACAGACGTGACAGCAACAACGCGGCACCCTCTCGCTCGAGACCTGCTTTCCCAAGATTATTTTTTGCGAAAGATTGCAGTATGCTTCCTGTGTGTCCAATCTTATCGGGCTCATCGAACTGAGCAAGATCGAAGGGTATGATGCAGATAATGTACAGCCAAAGGAGCAGGGTGTAACGTAGAGCCCAGGCATAGCTGAGATGGATGAGACCGTCTGGGATCTGAATGTAGTCGACAACAATCGACAAATCGGCGATTTCGTGAGGGAAGAATCTGACTAGAGCCTGTCAAACAAAGCTATTAGAGGTGGCGATTCGGACTGACTTATCGTCTTAACTCCTCGAAACTTGACGTAGTAGTAGAGCAAAGTTGCGACGTGATCGACGCGTGTATATGATCCTTTCTTCGTTGGATTATCTATGGCTGTATTTGCAAAGCCTTTGAGGCGTTCGACTACAGGTGTCACAAGCTGTTCTAGGTAGGGGTCAAGAAGATATGATTGCTCTTGGTATTCAGCCAGCTGCGATGGATGAGAAAGACTAGCGGGACAACGGAGAGAATTTGCGGCTTACTACGGCAGAGAACCTTTGCAAATTAAAAGATTCCTTCATTTGTTCATCCTCAGTTGGTTCTTGGAGTAGATCCAGTGCAAGAAGCGACTCTTGGATCTCCTTCAGCTCCCCGAGACGTTCGAAGGCTGCGAAATGTTTGCCCTCCTCGACTCCTTCAGCCATGGCCACGATGAATCGAAGAGCTAGGGATGTCGACGCGTCGGAACAACTGGTGGATCGTTGGAAACGAGTAGAAACAAGTCAGGCTCGAAAACACAAGACCCTATTCGCGTCCGAGTTGTTTGGAGTAGACACGAACAACTAACAAGTCTTCTGTGCGGCCCGGAATTTGCACAGCCTGTCGGAAATTTCCGAAATGCCTTACAAGGCATTATTAGCGACGGCAGACATTTGCCTTACAACGCATTACAAGAGTTAGTTAGGCCAATAAAAATTTCATCCTGCCGCTCTGGAAGTGGTATAAACAGGTGAAGTACATCTGACACATACCTCTGGTACTGTTTTTTCCCTAATATTCCTCACAGTCGCGGAAAAATGAAGGATTTTGTTGAACACCCCTATCTCGAACTGCCTTGTAAGGTGCCGAAACGGCTTTTCGGCTTCTTGTGATGCCTTGGTAAGGCGTCTTCCTTGTAAGGCAATTTGGAAATTTCCGACACCATGTACCGTACATCTTCAACTTCTCCATCCTTCAAGCTTCAACATTCAACGTTCCAACTTCAACCGGTAGCCATCTCCCTTTTGGCCTACATTCCCTCCGAAGGGAACCATTGACTCGCCTCAAATTCATCTTTGCATTACCTACGGACCATGGAGATCATCAAGGCAGGGGTGAAGAGGAAACGATACGAACCTCCGCTGGAAGTGCGTATACAAAATCCTCCCCGGCACCTTCAACCGACGCTTTTTACTAGGAACTTAGCGTTCGAATAGCGGGAAAGATTGTAAGAAGTAACATATGGTTCTTTTGCTATTTTTTCTAAACGCCTCGTTTGGCAGCACCATGAAAAGAAGGAGGTGTACAGAGCATCGAAAAGAGCTAAAGTCTTCGAGACTCAGAAAGTGGTCAAGAGACTGAAGGACTTACGGTATGAATGCAAATTCTGCAACTTGTCTTTTCCCATTCTAATTTATAGTGTAGGAAGAAGAACGAGGACTCTAAAGGGATTGAGGCTCTCGAAGGAGAATTGGATTCTCTCAAGGTCTCCTGCTATCGTGCCTCTCCTCCATTCCCTAGCTTATCTCTACGGTGCAGGGAATTGATCATGACGCAGTCGGAAATTCCGCTTTCCGATCCAAAGTGCGCAAGGACCCTACTCTTCGGGACAACGACCACATTAAAGCAGCCATCGCGAAAAAACTAGAGAATTACCTCTGTGATCCTGCTGAACTAGGAACGACGCTATCCAAAATACAAAGCCGCCTTCTGAGCTCAAAAATCCTCGCCACCCAAGTAGCTGCATCGGTGGAATCCCTCAAGGTTCTCCTGAATCCCGCGCTTAAACGACACAAACCCGACGATTTAGCCCATTCGACCTCTTCTCCTCTGGGGCGGCCATCGAAAGCACAGAAAGATACTCACTCCAACGGCAACCTCATGCAGGCTAAGCCCAAATCAGAGCTCGAGAATGACGACCTGTCGGATGGTCCCGACGAAGGAGGCTGGGAGTCCGGTAGCATCGAAGAAGCTGGGTCCGATAACGGCTGGGAATCAGGTTCCATCGACAGCAATGTACCTGATAATCGCCAACAGAGCACCAGCAGCGGAGATGACGAAAGCGAAGATGAAGCAGCCTCGTATCAGGAGTCGGAGTCTGACTCTAGCATCGGTGCGACGAAAGTCAAGCAGACTGCCAAACTCGAACCTCAAAACGCCAGCGCCGCTAAGTCTGCCAAAATGACCTTAACGGCGGAGTCTACCTTCCTACCCTCGCTGTCCGTGGGGTTCATTCGGGGTTCCGACGATTCTGACTGGAGCGAAACCGAAGGCAAGGCAGCTGACATGCCGAAGAAGAACAGACGCGGCCAAAGAGCCCGTAGAGCGTGAGTGTCCGTCGACGGAATCGTCGCCTTTTGCAAATAGCCTGACGATCCTTCTTTGCGGCATTCTTAGGATATGGGAAAAGAAGTTCGGGCGAAATGCGAACCACAAGAAGAAAGAGGCTGAAGAACGCGCTCTTGTGCTATCTCGTAAAAATAAGGGTCACACGAGCGTTATTAACACAGGATCTAACGCCATCCATTCTACGAGAACACCCTCGGGTCATGGTCCACCCGGGTCCACAGGACCGAATCCGAAGAGCAAAAATGCCCCACGTCAGCAGCCTGTCGACGGAGGATGGGGTAGCCGCTCTACGAACACGATGACGAGTCAGAAACTCCCGGGCGCCAAAGATAATAGCAAACCTCTACACCCGTCATGGGAGGCGAAAAGAAAGCTCAAAGAGAAGGAAAGCGTCGGCATTGTTCCAAGTCAGGGGAAGAAAATTAAATTCTCATAGATGGGTGAGCGGTTCTACGTAAAGAGTGAAAGAGATGGAGGAATACATAACATTCTAGACCCCTACAGAGAGACGCCCTTAAACTGCGAATAACATTAAGAAGAGAACTCGCTACAGATCCGGTAGTAAATCCAAACAATCGAGAAGCTCCAATCCGATAACTACGCCCCAGAATACACGAAATAAATAAGAAGCTAAGAGCGTCCATTCAGAAAGATCTAAGTTGAGCATACGTGCCGTTTTCCATCCACCAGCCGACAAGAGCGTGAACACCACATCTCTCCGCATTTGCCGCAACGAGGATAATCCCTCCCAGGTTTCCGACACGTTGAACAGTATACCATTTGCGAGCATAGCTTCGATTTCTTTTCAAGCTTCGCGAGTATGGGGTGAAGATCTGGTGCTGCGTCACCAGAGGGCGTGATGGACGACGACGACGACGTGCGGGAGGGTGGAGAAGATGGGGAGGACAGGTGACTCCGAGTAATGTGGGGAATTTGCTCGGGAGGTGACGTGCAGGGCCCGTTCGTGTATGAATAAACCTTGTCGTCGAAGGTCACGCGACGGCGCCTTGCAGATGGCCGAGGTACGAGCGGCGAATGACAAGTTGAAGATGCGAGGTTGCGTAACGTGGTTGTGGCTGACCGTACTGGTACGAAAGAGCCGTAGGCTTCATGGGCATTGGGGCTCTGGTCGGCCGCCAACGTTGAACATGATTTTGTAACTTCAATCAACGAACGAAACGAAGAGGTCGACGACACGGATAGGAGAGACATAGTTCTCGTCCTGGGTCGAATAGGGATCTGGCGAGATGAATCAACCTAGAAGCAAGACGAGGTGAATTCGGAGAATGGAGAGAGATGGCCTGGACATACGTCGGCGGCCTCAGGGCGGAATATCTGAGTTGGAGGATTAGACATGCTCATAATAGAAAGTTGGGGAGACTCTAAGGGTCCTTCTGAGGTATATATACTCGTTTCAAGATTCCTGGGGGAACCTGAGATTCTGCGGGAATAGATTTAAATTCTGCCTGGTTGGGAATCGAAAAAATGAAGGGCACTCACAAATGGTGGAGTGTGGGGAGCTGGAGAAGAGGCTAAGAGGATTGTTCAACGACAAAGCAGCAGACAGGGAGAGATGCACGCTGCGAAGCGAGCGCGGTGGCCTTCTCGAAGGTGGAGGGTAGTAAGGAAGAAGATAAGTGGTCGGGCCAAGTCCGATTATGTTCGGCTTGGCCTCACCGGACCCTGTGCCTTCGGCGATAGTGCTTTACGTCACTTCCTCCACCATCTCGCTATCTTTGACTTCATATGTACTGACATATGCTCAAAGATTCGTCAACGTGATACCTGAGGATGAACAGAACACTCTATTCCTACTATACTTGCTATCCTCTCATCTTACGGTCAACGTGCACCAATGTCATTCGCTACCGCGGTTCGAAAAAACGGACAACTCATCCAAAAATGATCAGGAACTGTCGCGTACTTGTTTCTAATCTGGTCCAAAGATAACCACTGACATTTGAGAATGTGAGATTTGAACACTCCGGTTTCCAATCTGCTCCAGAGCTTTCAGCGAAAGCCCTCGGTTAGCGACTAGATGAGTTATTCACTATCCGAAGAAACAACCAAAGCTGACCGCAGTTTTTCTCACTTGTACATCCAGTCCTTCTCGAGGGTGTAGAATAAAACGAACCCTCATAACCAATTAGCATGTCATTTTCCACATGGATCTCTTCCTTTTCAGGGCCCCGCACCCGCCGCGTCTCCCCGCCGCTGTCTCGACATCTAGTCCAATAACAAATATTCGGAAGAACTATAGCGCCATCTTTTGACTGTCCTTTTGCTTTCTTTTTTTTTTGCCAATTCCGTATTCCATCAATTGCCTTCAGACGTTTTGTAGTTTACGACAGGTGAGGTGCAAGAAATTCACAGGGTAACGGAGAACTAGTACTCTGTTCTGTCTCCTCAGTCGATAGGTCAGCTGCAAGAGAAGACGTGATTAACATCGATATCTGGGGAGGCTGGATATGAAGCAACGGCCTCTCTGCACCAATTCCCTGGAGGCTTGACTATGTCGGCGGCCTGGGGTTCACTGGGAGGGAAGTCTAATCTTGAAATGAAACTCGGACAAACCGTTCATTCGTTGCAAGTCGTTTCCGTTTGACCGCCTCTGCACTCTCCCTCTGAAGACACATCCTCCGAAGCACGTTCAACGTGCTGTGGAGAGTGAGGAGTCCTTCCACCATTCTTTCACTATGAAAGACTCTTTGGCTTGGCTTGTCTTTACGTCTCGTCGGATATGAAACACCGGAACGCACTTCTCAGTGCCCATCCAGGTGGTTATCCTTCATCGATGAATAGAAACCAGCAACCCGCTTAGTGAGCTAACCCTTGCCCGCCACAGAAGCTGTGCAGAATCCAAGGTCCCATTTACGTCTTTACTTGGTATTACCCAGTCCGGTCCGATGTCGGGCAAACGCGACTCGAGGCTGTCTTCTGACGCCCGCGGTGGGCCGGATTCAGTCACTTGACTTTATCCTCTCGTAACTTCCCCCCAGAAACTTCACTTTCTCTGTGTACGTATTTTACTTTGTTGCTTATCACCTGTTGATCATTTTCAAAGAAAGTCGTCTGTTTTATCCATGGCATCGAGCGGCGCGAGCGTTTCGCCCGTAGCCGCCACTTGGAGGGCACGTATCGTGCTTTACACCTCCATTAGGCAACTAAATCTGGTCGAAGGTGGCCGGCGCGCTTTAATCTTGGCAGAAGGTGGGTAGACGTTGGAGTTATGGAGTTATAGTGCCCTTCGCACACGGAGAAGAAGACTCACCTTTCCCTTCTTAACCGCTACGAGCTGGAACAGAGATAGCACGATGTCCAACGAGAAAGACGGTACTCCTTCGGCTTCGTCTATGGACAAGGCAACCGATGCCCACGATGGGTTTACCGAGCACCGGGAGGTGTTCCCGATGACCCCAATGGAGAAGCAGGTTGCTCTACAAGCGGCTCTCGAGATCGATCCTGGGGTCAAGCGATTCAGCTGGGCGGCAATCCAGGCGCGCAACTTCTATCCAATATTATTGGACAATGAATCAACTCCAATCGTGTGCTAGATGTATCTAGTGACTTTAGTGGTCTGCTGTTGCTCTGGGGACAGTGGATTTGATAGTACTGTGAGTGGTCGCTTCCCTATTGGGTGAAGGTCCTATCTCACACCCTGAAGGTTATGGGTGGCATCAACGGCATGAAGCAATATCAAGATTACTTCCATATGACTGGCGTTGGTCCGAAGACCAGGTAAGCTCATCGTTTCCGATGTTTCGCGTGTTGACACTCTAATTTATTTTCACAGTATTGTCTTCGGTATATTCACGATGTAGGCACCCTCTAGCTTCATTCAAGTCATTAGATTACTCTAATTATATTTATCTCACAGTGGCTCGCTCTGGTTCGTTGCTGGGCACTCTTATCTGCAGTACGACCTGCTTATCCTCTCCGCTCTCAAGCGGTACCATTCCGGCCTGTACGCTCTATTCATTATACTTTCAGCTCATCAACGACTGACGCATCATGCGACCCCGTTAGCATACCTCCCGGACCGGTTCGGACGTCGCTTCTCCATGTTCTTCGGGAACGCGGTTCTCATGTACGTCCAAATACTCCTCACACGACTCGAAATTACCTAATGTCTGGTCAGCGTTGGCGCCATCCTGACCGCCAACGCCACGAACAAGGGGATGTTCCTCGGCGGGCGCTTCTTGACCGGTCCGTATCTCCCAACCGAGATGATAAATGACGTAGTTGTGTATCCATTTCCCAATCAGGGCTTGGTGCGTCGTGCGCAGGGGCCTCGGCAAAGTCATATCTGGCTGAAATGGCACCGGCGCCGACGAGGGGCACTTATTTAGGCTTTTTGAACTCTTTGTGAGTGGTGTTATTATTAGAGCTGCAAGTTTGGTATGTTGTTGATAGGCGCCCGAAAGCTATTACGTTGGCCAGATGACTGCGACAGGCATGATGGTGGCGACTGGACGGTTCCAGAGCGAGATGTCTTGGCGCTTGCCACTTTACATTCAGGTAGACGTTTATTTGATTTCCCAGAAAATTAATTCGTCATCGTGCTAGGTTGTCCCTGCGGGCATCAACACGCTGTTTGTATTCCTTTGCCCGGAATCGTGAGTCTGCCTGAAAATCCCTCCTTACAGAACTGATTTTTTTGGCCAGTCCTCGGTGGTTATATAGCGTCGGCAAGCCAGATCAAGCCCGCAAGATATTGGCACGATTCCACAGCAGCACGAACGATATCAAGTCGCCCCTTGTGGACTTGGAAATGAGAGAAATAGAAGAGAAGATACAAATTAATGGAGCGGATAGTGCGTTCAAGTGGATTCCCATTGTTTACTACATCTTACCAAGTAACCTTTTCTTTTAGAGACGTGGTGGGACTTCAGACCTCTCTTCACCACCCCAGCGGATAGGTATCGGGCTTACATGGTTATTCTCATTGGTAGGTGCCCCTTTGTCTATGCTACTAACAGTCCGCTTATTATTGCGATTAGGCTCCTTTGGTCAGCTGAGCGGAAACGGTCTTATTACCTACTTTCTTCCGATTCTCCTAAGGAATGCCGGAATCACATCCCAAGACAAACAACTCACATTGAACTTTGTGAATAGTGTCACTTCTTAGTGGGTTTATGAACGTGCTTCATGCCGTGAATTTGCTGATTTGACGTGATTTAGTATTGGAGGTAAGTGAAACGGTTCTGCAACGTAGAAGCTATATTTGACCTCAAATGGTTTTTGTGTCACGAAGCTCTCTCGGTATGTAAGTAAAATTCAGCAGAGGAGAATCCTCACTAACATCTAGGTCAGGGATCCGCTATAATTGATAGATTCGGCAGGCGCAAAATACTGCTCTTGTCGACAATATCAATCACTGCCATTCTTGCTATCGTATCTGCTTTATTAAGCAGTTTTGGTAATTCGGCCAGAGCGAACGCAGGAATCACATTTATCTACTTGTTCATGGTGGTATTTTCGTTTGGATGGACGCCGATGTATGCGGTTCAGTTGAATTTTGGTGTGCCAAGTGCTGATTTTACTTCAAAGGCAGGCGTTGTATCCGGCAGAGGTGCTGAGCTATCAAGCTCGTGCCAAAGGGCTTGCTTTCTTGGGCATTGTATCACAGGTTTCGACCTTGATAAACACCTTCGGGTAAGTCAACGCTTCTGCCGCATGTTTGCCACGTTCCGGGGTTCATTGGCCGCCACAAATACTATTTATGTAGACTTCCTGTGGCACTCGAGAAGATTGGATGGAAAGGTACGAGACCTCTGCCTCGTGGATCTGTAACCCCCCTAATGCAATCCAACAGTTTATCTGATCTTCTTGTTCTGGGATATGTTCGAGGTTACCGTGATATATTTCTTCGTTGCGGAGACGAAGGGGTTGACACTCGAAGAGATCAACGAAATCTTCGAGAAGCCCAATCCAAGGAAATATAGTCAGCAGCTTCAAAAGGAAACCCGGGAGGCCAGACAAAGGCGAGAAGATGTGGAGGCGATGTGACTGCAGGTGTAAAGTTATGTCTGCTTTATTTTAGTCCGTACTATTCTGTACTTCGAACTGCCATGCTGTGATGATCCATTCGTGTTTCTCCGAACGACAAGTACGGATTCTCAAAGCAGTGAATCGAACGTTTGGATCGCAGACCTTTCCATGAAGATACTTTGTGTAATGCAGCCGTATGGCTCTCTAGTGAACCGGAGCACTTCCAACGATAACATAAGACATCGAAGCCTACACCCTGAGCAAACCTTCGTTTCATCCGGTGGTACTAATCGGGGCACTTGACGGGCTCAAGCGTCAACGCGACGGTTTGGTTGGGATGCGCTGCGGCAGTTGAAGACAGGGGGTATTAATTATCATGGGGTTGATGCACGCATACGATATCCCAGGTAAACCATAGGCTGCAGTGACGAGTCAGTCAGTAAAGGGTAGTAGGAAGCACCACTCCTTCGACGTCACTTACGAACTTGCTCCCCACCACAGGGGTGCGGCTAAACTAGTCCGTCTGATCCGGGATCTCGCTTCCAGTCGGTTGATTCATTAATGCTCTTGGTCAGTTTCGATAATCTCAGTCGCTGGGTTCACATAGAGACTCATAGAGAGCATAATGCGATGAACGGGCGATTTGGAGGGTCATGGTCTTGGTAATTACGAGAGGCGGCTCGCTGCCGTGAAATGGAGAGGTGACAAGCAGGAACAAATAGCGGCGCAATTAGCTGTGCAGTCTCCCGGGTTAGGGCACCACACGACCTGCATTTCTTCCATCTGTATATTTTCTTGACAGCGCCCTTCACCATCTTCCATAACGTCAACAAGGGCCAAATTTCCGACTTCCTCAGCATCACCATCGGTAGTCTCGTTCGAGCACTTCCTTCACGATGGTAAGCTCGAATATCTTGCGTAACTGCCTCGCTCATAAAAATCCAACCACAAGGGGCAAACGCTCTCGTCTCCCGGTTCGTTCACATCTCTCGCGTATGGTGAATGTATATTCTAAAGGCTTGCGTTGCAGCCACGAAGAAGCATTGCGAGTCAGGTGCTAATGAGCGGTTTTTCTATGGACTCACAGAGATGCAGGGATGGCGAATCAGTGAGTCAATTTTCCATCATGTTGAGAATACGTGTTATGTGCGTTCTGCACATGCCTTTTTCTGACCGTCCCTCTAGCGATGGAGGACGCCCATGCTGCAATTCTGGATCTAGACGGACCAGAGGCGACAAGTAACACGTTTTTTGCCGTCTACGATGGCCACGGCGGTATGTCTCTCCTTGTTCGTCGGGGTCATAAACGCCATTAAAAATGTTCGACAGGGTCTACTGTTGCTAGATTCGCGGGGCAGAATGTGCATAAACGCTTGGTGCAGGAGGAAAGCTACAAGGAAGCGAACTTTGAAACTGCACTTAAACGGGCATTCTTGGGTACAGACGAGGACCTCCTAGCGAGTGCGTAATCTCTTAATATTATTCTGAAGGCCTTCCCGAACGAACACACTCTTCTCTAGATCCTGCACATACCAGGGACCCATCAGGTTGTACCGCCGTCGCTGCTCTTATAACCTCCGATAATAAGATCTATGTTGTACGTCCATTCTTTGTGGCACTAATGCCCTGTCTTGACGAGATGTAGGCAAATGCTGGCGATTCACGCTCAGTGGTGGGCATTAAAGGGGAGGTTAAACCCCTGAGTTTTGATCATAAGCCAACAGGCGAAAGTGGGTGCTCTACTTGCGGACTGTCGACATTTGGTTGACGTTCTTCAAGCTGAACGAGCACGCATCTCGGGTGCTGGCGGTTACATTGAATACGGAAGAGTTAATGGTTCGTGATTGCCTTTCTTCTGCCAGTTTTTCATAGACATTCCCCAATAGGCAACCTTGCGTTGTCGCGTGCCCTTGGAGATTTCGAATTCAAAAAGAACTACGGACTCCCGCCTGAGGCTCAAATTATTACTGCGAACCCTGATGTAACGTGCCATGAAATTACAGAGGAAGATGAATTCCTCGTCCTCGCTTGCGATGGTATGTATCCACTCTTGCTTATCTCTACAATTCCTTGGCTTCAATCGATCTCCTCCTAGGAATTTGGGACTGCCTCAGCTCTCAACAGGTTGTTGATTTCGTGCGGCATCAAGTTTCGGAGGGGAAGGAGCTAACAGAAATTGGCGAGATGATGTGCGATCACTGCCTGGCGCCCGACACAACGTCAGGGGCTGGGATTGGATGCGACAATATGACTGTGCTCATCGTCGCCATCACTCACGGAAGGACCAAGGAGGAGTGGTATCAATGGGTGACTGAACGTGTAAAGACCAATTATGGCTATAGCACACCCAGCACTGTGCCGCAGCTGTACGCTCAAAGTCGATTGCTATCCTTCCGGGCCCGGAGGGAGGCGCAAGAAGCACGCGAGCGGATGCATTCAACACCCAGCGAGCTGCCGACGTTCGACAGTGAAGATTTCCTTCGCCGCTACGGTCTCACCGTAACAACGCTTTCTGGTCATGGCATTTCGTATCGGCCAGGAGGCAGCATCACCAGCGACAGTGGTCAACTCATGTTTACGAATGACGACAGCGATGAAGATGACAGCGAAGAGGAGGTTGCAGGCGGGCGGTCTTTCTTCACAGAGTCGTTGGGCCTTGGACGGGCAGAGTCGCCTGATCCGACAAGGGGTCTCAAAGCCCAACTGGACGAGTACGAAAAGGATATTCGAGATGAAATTTTGAATGGGGATGTGGACGGTGATGAGGATGCCCGTATCAAGGAACGGCAGGTGTCGGACGATGAAGCACCAGGTACTTTCATATCTCTTATAGATTTTGTGGCTGGCTTGCTGATCTTCGGGACAGTGAAATCTTCATCACCGACAAAACTGCCTAACGGAGACGCGAAGGGCGCACTAGAGCCTGTGGAGCCACTTCAAGCAACGCCGCTTGGTGAGATACCCGAACCTATCAAGGCATGATAACGACCGCGCCATAATGCTGGGATATATTACAACAAACCAAGCTGTTGTAAATCCAGGACTTTGTAGTTCTCACTGCTCCTTACCTTCGTCTTCTTTCCTCCGTTCTATTGGGTTGGTCGACATGTTCCCTTACTTTATCTATTGGTGTTTGTACTGCCATTCTTTCTGCAGCTGCAGCAATCCCCTTATTTCTTTTTTGTCGCCGATATGCCACTGCCACCTAATGTACCCTCCACGACACCATCCAACGACGATGAACCTGACCGCATACATGCATGTACTCGGACATTTTCCTGCCATTTCCGTGTACCGTACTGCAGCTAACGACGACACTGAGATATATGGCGGCTGGTCTCCCATCCTTTTCTCTCCTGCTTTTCCCTCTGTAGCCCTCGTACGTGATGCCCGCCTATGATCATATCGTCTTTGCTCTACCTTTTTCTGCTGTAGTTGTAATCACGCGTACCAATACCACTTTTCGTATTTATTTAGCATCGACCTTAGAGAAATGCATCATTCTCCTCTCTGGCGACATTGAACTATGGCGAAACGTAGATTGTGAAGCTCGAGCAGGATCAATTCAGTCGAAGAAAAAGGCGGTCGGAAAAGAGTGTGCTGTTCCAGAGTTCTTCAGGTCGTCTTCACAAGGTCATAAATGGTCGCCGATAAGGCCCTGTGCTTTGAGCAAATGAGATCTCAATTGGAAGGATTTCAAGGCTGCTGCGGCGACTTACATTCACTTGCCTTGAGTCCCGATGCATGATGCCTTGTTTTTGTCGACGGCTCTTCGTTGTCCTACTCACAACCCCCTGATCAATACCAGTTCGCCCTCCGTCAGACAGACCAACACCACATCTCCTTCCTTTCCACCTCGAGCTTTCACACACCCAACGCCCAGTAAGGCACCTCCACTCCCGTCATCAACCTGGAGCACCGACTGCTTGGCCCAAATATCTTTCGCCTTCTGCTGGGGGCGGTATACATAGACATTGGCACCACGATCGCGCAGGCTACCGCCTTCGAAGGCTAGAACACCACGTCCAGGCAAGTGGTAGATAAACCGAGTGTCCTGCTTGGAGGCTAGGACGAAGGCGAGGGCCGAATAGGTTGAGGTGTGTTTCCAGGATGGCTGGGCAGTTGAATGAGCACTTGGTAGAGAAAACGAGAAGACCGGCCCGTCGAGGTCGTTTTTGAGGACAAGAGAGATGTTGGAAGAGCCTGGTAAAGGAGTAGAAAGTAGCGTCATTGGCTCCTCTTCCCAATCTTTCTCGTTCGGGCCCTCAGGTTTCCTGAGCGTCCATTCGGGCGTCTGCCCACCTTCGCCTATCCAGGTAGCATACACATTTCGTCCAACGGAGGCATCAGCATCTTCATCCATCTCGCCTTCCATAATATTCGGAACGCCCCTACCCAATCCAAGCCCTGAGGCGTCTTCTCCAGTCCGCAATGCCGACGTATATTTTTCCAGCGACTCCCGAATGTGCCAAAGCTCAGATGGGTCGACTGTCTCGGGCACTTCGGGGTTTTCGGTGTCTTCAGCTGTCGAAGAGGCTGAGGCCGCAAAGACCTGCATCCAGCGGGTGCCCTCGTTTCTTTTCTCCATATGCAGTGTTAGAATACCGTAGGCATGCTCTGCTTCGCGATCCCAGGTCCAGAAACATGACGACGGATTCACGCTATCCCAGAGTGCCTTGACAGAGTAATGGGGGATGGGTACAGGCGGGTTCCCGCCACATTGAAGAGGCAGAGCATCGATGTGGAGAGTAAGAGTTTGTGTTGTAAATATGACCTTCATCTTGGTTTTTGGGGTGCTGTCAGGTAAAGGAAAGGCAACCGTCACAGAGTCTGACGTCTGAGTCCAAGAATACGGAAGTGGTCTCGGCGGGGTATCAGTTAAGGTGTTGGGTTTCGAGTCAAGATTCTCGCCATAGCGGGGAATCGGGGCGATTTCGTCCGGGGTTAGTTCATGGGGCTTCGTCTTCGTCGCATTCTCATCTGGGTAGGAAGATCCGCTGACGATGAGATACGTCCTGATCTCCTCGACGAAAGTCGCATATATCGGCACATCTTGTCCACGGCGATGCCACAACACCTCGAGTTGACGGGTCTCACTACCAGGACGCAAAGAAAGCAAATCAATCTTCACAGCCCAGATATCGAACTGGACATTTTGATTGTTTTCTGATACAGGTGGTGGTTTTCGTTGGTACACTGGATAAAATCGCGAAGAGAGCAGGAGGACGGTTGTAATTGGTGACAGCCTGTGCACGTAGTGAATTCTGAATGGTGCATCGACAGCTCCTCCGGTGCACAAGGTGAATGTTCCGACCGCATCAGAGGTAGTACCCTCTCGTATGGGTAGAATGTATAGGAAGCCATTGCCATCCGTTGCGGCCACTGCTGTCGCGCTGAGGAACACAGAGGACGGATACTCTCGTTGGACGGTGACAGCACCCGATGTATCCATTGGCGTCGCCATTTCGTAGAGGATCCTGAAGGAGGGCGTATCCTACTTTGAAGCAATTTTCCGTTAGTTCGGGAAACCCAGGTTATCAACTGCATAGCAATGGCCAGCGACAAGACTTACCTCCGCTGCCGGTATCCCGACGAGGCACACATTGTAATCCTGGTCCACGTAGGCTGCCTGTCCCGACTCAGCATCAACCGCGAGGTGATTGTGTGTTATGCGACTGCGCATCTCCTCAAACGACAACGGTAGGCGGCCAGATGCTGTTGCTTGTGTGGGCTTGCGTGAAAGGGCATATCGCGAGACTGCTTGCTCCTGTGGGATTGCCTCGAGCTTGTATCCTTCGAATTTCGGGTTCAAGAGAGCGCGATTTACGACAAATGAGTCCATTTTCTGTGTGTTGTGGGCTTCAAGAACAAAGTTGAACAATTGGGGAGATGATGGATGAATGATGACGATGATGGACGCCGAAAATAGCGGCTCGAATGAGGCAGTTCGCTTGACAGCGGCTATCATAGCCATCATTATTTCCAAGTCCGAGAGGGAGCGGAACTCGGCGCACGCTGGCCTCCCTCTAACCACCACCACGCTGGGTCGCCCGACACTCCTTACTCGCCTTCAACGCCTGGTGCGGCTGTCGGCTTTTGTTTTCTGATTCTCCCGCCTGGTGCAGGAGAAATGAAATGCCTTCTCTTGTAAGTCATCTCAATCGCCCACGTCCGCGACCGGCACACTGACCTCGATTGTTATTCCCGTGCAGTCTCATATACATTTCTCTTTTTCTTTCTAATGTCGCTTCTCTTCGACTTCAAGTCCAACCTACTACGATCGCTGGAAGTCCGAGTCTTGTTTTATGGCAACGGGAGCCGACTGATCCTGTAGACCTCTGCTTCGACCTCCGCTTCGTGCAGAATAACTTCGATGTGGGTTTGGCGATAGCCAATGTTACCCCCGCTGCAACAGATCAATTTGGGACAGTTTCTGTTGTTTTTCCAGGGGCAGGGTGCGTTGTATCCTGCTGGAGGCAAGGTCTCGTTGATCTAACCTTCTTGATAGGCAATATGTTCTGACGGCTGTTGTTGGGTGAGTAACTACGATCTACATGCATCTCATCGTCCCGCCTGACGATGTTTCGCAACTGAGGAGCCCACGCCATATTCAGATTGGCACGAGCAATGTTGTTGAGGTCATTCAAATAAGCACCTCGAGTCCCGCTCCCTCCTCGACGACGTAGGTTTCTAACTTTCGACCTGGTTGGCCCAATACCCATAATTTGCCAGTGACGCACCGTCGACTACGAATAACCCAACTCCACCCTCGATAACAGCGTAAGCAGCCATTTTTGTTGACCCCATCAGTCAGGCCGTTCTAAACAGCAATATTTCCAGCACGACGCCCCTACCAGCTTCAGATAACCCTACTTCTGCGCCTCCTTCACCAGTTACTTCCACTTCCACTTCATCTAGCACGCCAACTGTGGTACCATCCGCTGCTGCCAGACGGGGCCCCAACGTTCCAGTTATAGCTGGGTCAATAGTTGGGGCAATCGTCCTCCTCGGGCTGCTCGCTACCCTGGTTGTCTTTATTACGCGCAAGCGCGAAAAGATCAAGAAACGTTTCACTTTTCATAAAGACATGATGGTACAACGACGGCAGTCTCGGCACCCCTCGATTCCCGTTTCAGCGCCTGCCACAACCGTCCCACCGCCTTACCCCTTCACCGCGGCTGGCGGCCTCGAGGCTCAAACTCCAGCTAGGCCAGAGAGTAACGTCCAAGGTCTACACAGCGCGGCTTTGCCACCATCCTCACGCCCGCTTGGCACTGGACACATCGTGCCATCCCCACGCGGCCCAAGGGGACCCGCTATCAAACGCACCGAGCAAACCGTTGTTACATCGACCCCGCCGGCACTGGACCACGTCCCTTCTCGGACACGCCGGCAACGGGAGCTCACAGAACGCATCACGCAACTCCGAGAGCAGATTGGTGAAATGCACAGAATAGCGAGGCCAGATGCCACTCAGCGTGCGGTTATGGATGATATGCAGAGGCAGATGGTGTGGTTGAGGGATCAGGAGAACTCGGCTTGGGCGCTGGAGCAGACGAATAATCCGCCGCCTGGTTATGCACGATACATGACCCCATAGTTCGTGTTTTTGGGAAGAAGTTTGTTACGGTAGCTACATTATTAATGATAATTGGGAAATAATGACTTTGAGATTTAATAATTGGGCTGTAGATCCAGCGCCGAAAAGCCAAATACAGTGTAATTTGGGTGGCAGGCTCCAATCTTCTTTTCTCTTCTGACCTCAACTGAGTATATAACGATGTCGCCTGTATAAGCTCCTCCGTCGAGAACTCAAAGGCTACATTATGGCATATTCAGTTACTATCCTGGACAGCAAACGGTCGTTCCAGCGCAGTTGGTTCGAGATCGCCCATGCTGCACCCGCTGCCCAGGTGCCCGTTCACCAGGGTTGCGACTTACCTCGCACAGACCTGACGTCGACAAGATTCAAGAGTTCGGGAAATTCTTCCCATATTCTCCTGTCTTACTCAAGGCGCTACGGCTCCCGAACGCGTCAAGCCTCTTCGGTCATCAGATATTCACACTCCTTTGCACAATCAAAATCGGAGACTTCGCGGCTTGCGTTCTCCCCCTACCATCGACCACATCGATATGAATAAGCAACAGCTACTGGCAGCCATCGCCCGATGTGGCGCTCTGTTTGCCGCTCCTTTTTTGCTGCTCGGGCTCTACATTCATTGGAATGACAAGCGCCTGCACACAATCCCTACATCCGCGCTCTACTTCTCCCCGAAACGCGTGACGCCGGAGGAGGCAAGGGCGACTGCTAAGCGGGTGGCAGAAGAGGAGAAAAGTGGGACGGGTGTGAATGAAGAGGTGCCCCCGAAGACGGGCAGGCGGTATATTGTTGTGGGAGGTGTGCGTATCCTGCTTACTTTCCGTTTATCGTCTTATCTTGGACAAACGTTAGGGAGGTTTCTTGGGAGCATGGATTGCAGCAAAGCTTCTTGAGCGTGGCGAAGACCCGCGTCGCATTCGGCTGCTCGACCTTCACCCACCCACCAACCATGTCGTAAAAGACGCGCTCGCCGCTGGCTTGCAGTTCATCAAGGTGGACGTGACCGACCGTGCAACCCTCTCTGCCGCGTTCACTGCGCCGTGGCCGCGCCTCCCCCTCGAGGTGACACCACCACCACTAACGGTCTTCCACACCGCCGCCAACATTCGCTTCTACGAGCGTCACCTCGCGTTCATCGATCGTTCAAGGCCTGTCAACGTGGGCGGCACAGAGAACGTTATCGAAGCGGCGCGCGAGGCCGGTGCGGGCGTGCTCGTATACACATCTTCCGGCTCTGTATGCGTCAAGCGCACACGTTTCTTGCTCTGGCCCTGGGAGACAGAGCCCCCGTACTTCGTGCAGGTCATCAACGATGATGACACGCGTCTACCCAAGCGGCACGACGAGTTCTTTTCGAACTATGCGGCAACCAAGATTCAGGCTGAACGGCTCGTGCGCGACGCGGATGGGCTGCCCACTGTAGATGGAGTAATGCGGACGGGGTGCATCCGCCCAGGCAATGGCATTTTTGGCCCAAGAGGCGACATGCTCTGCGGCGCGTACCTCGTGCGGCAGCACAACCCGACGTGGATCGAGCCTGTTGTACAGTCATTCGTGTACGTCGAGAACTGCGTCGTCGCGCATCTGCTGTACGAGGCGCGTTTGCTTGAACCTGCGAACAGTCCAAACCCTGATATCGGGGGCCAGGCATTCTGCGTTGCAGACCCAGGGCGAATACCCACGTACGGGGATGTATACAAGACGCTCGAGACGCTAACGGATGGCGAGACGCAGTTCCCTTCCTTCTCACCGACACTGATGCTTCTCATTTCTTTCTTGATTGAAGGATACTACCGCCTCCACTACTACTTCGCCTCTCAGTCCTGGAGTGCACCCCTCGTGCGCCACCTCCCAGAGATCAAAGGCGACATTATCAACCTCCAGCCTGCGTTGTTCGCACTGACCAACGTGCATCTCATCTTCGACGACTCGCGTGCGCGGTTGCCACCCAGCAAGGGTGGGCTCGGGTATAAGGGCAAATGGACCACACTAGAGGGACTCGTGAAGACGGTCGAGGAACACAAGAGCGGTGTTGGGCGATCGGAGACGAGGTCGGGGACGGCAGGTGTCAGCTTTGGGTTCAAGAGGAAGACGGAGAAGGTCGTGAAGGCAAAGGAGAACTTGGTGCCAGAGCCGATAACAGTTGTGGCGCCTGTGGAGGTATTGACGGCACAATGAGCAGGCTGGTCGCTTTACATATTTTCAAATTGTATATCTAGTTTTCGAGTTACGTAGATTATTGTGGATTTTCCTCGCCTTCCCATCGCGAAGTTGCGTAGCCCATGGAATTTGCTATCTCTCGGTGGGCGTGTCGACACCTTAGGGTTGACCTTCTACTACGCACTCCAGAGTGCCTAGGTAATTTGAGATTCCAGCGGAGGATGGTAGGGTGAAACGAGCCGAAATGCAACCGGCCTTTGCGTTCTCATTGCTAGTATGGGTGAGCCGAATAGACGATACAGATATCCAACGTAGAATACAGGGTTTGGAGGGTGGGCATGATAAAAAAAGATATACTGTGGCCTTAGATTTGCAGGTAGATCAGCATGTTTGAAAGCAGAATGAGAAACCGAGAAAAAAATGGAAAACGGGAAAAAGAGCGTGGATCATCTAGCAGCTAGCTTTCGTTTCTTCTTCGCAGGATACGTTCCATACACCTCGTCATGATTTTCCTAGAAATGAAGACTCAGAGATATCTCCAGTGCATCGAGTGTAAAGCTTACCTCGGCACCCATCATCAATTCGTCCTCTTCTGACGAATCGTCTTCGTCGTCTTTGTCTCTGTAGTTAATCCGAGGTGCATTGCTGGTCCTCCTTAAGTTATAGCAGTCTTCGTCCTCGTCTTCCGCCGCATTGTTGTTGTAACTCTCGGCCTCGTCGTCCTCGTTCTTCGCTCTCCTTCTTGAGAGGTATCGCCGCTCAGATTCTTTCTTAGTTGAGGACGGTGCAGAAAGCACGATGTTCTCCAAAGATTCTTCTTTCTTCCTCCTCTTCACGGTGGTCTGACCAGACGACGACGCAGCCACGTCCGGAGATTCTTCATCCGAGTCCTCCTCTTGTTTAACGTTAATGATGGCACGAAC